GGAGCTGCTGAACGGAAAGAGATGAGCCTGTTGCGAGGCGATAGAGGAAAGGCATGTTATAGATGGCGAGTTGTGGTTTATCAGGATCGAATCGGGTTCGTTCGTCGAGCCATATACGAGCCTGAGCATAAGATGCTGGTCCTATAGCGCAGGTAAACTGTTTCAATGTAGCGAAGTAGAATATGATAGTTTTAGATATTATGTGAACAATCTCAGGCAACGTTTGTTTCTATGAGAGGTTTAGAATCGTTTGAAAATTTATAACTTTATAGAGGACTGGTGCGTTCGATGGCAACTTACCTTGTGCGCCGCTAATCGATTGACGTCGGAATAATGCGTTTTGTATCTCGTTAACTTCTTCTGGTAAAACAAGAATTAAATCGTTGAGCTTAAGTGTTCGCAACTTAGTTTGAGTGATGGTTGAATCCATTGAGAAAAATTGTTCAAATAAGTATTTAAATCTGTATGCCATCTTTGAAATGGTAGAATCATCAAAAACATCATCAGAACATACAACTTTTACTGATAGTTTATCATCAGCTAATGCTGGATTTTGTATGAACGTGAGTTTGAAGTCAAATTTGCCAACTTCAAGTGATTGAGCTGATGCGACCTGTTTCATATTAGCTGTATCCATAAATAGTTTTTCAGCGTTAAATGACACGGTAATGTAGTCAAACAATGTTTCAAGAAATGAAAGATTCGAGGAATTGAGGTTAAAATCTTTAATGATGTACTGTAACGGATATTGAGAATGTTCAAATATGGACAAGCATTCGTTTCGCACACGGTTGAAAAGATCATCAAAGGAAGTGTCTGAGTCAATGTGTATCAGGTACGGTAATGTCGAAACAAACATTCCTACCATATTCTCTAGTTCAGATCTATACCGATTAGCATTCAGGCAGGCAACGCATAGATCTGTTTGCTGACGTGTTAGCCTGTATAAGAACGCATAGAATGTTGTCAATCCTAGTTGAAATGGGGTAACTTGATATGAAGACGCACAATTAAGAAAGTTTGATATGGTCGTTTCGTGGAAAGATATTCGAAAAATCGAGGCATATCCTGAGCGTTGTGCACTATGTGAGCGATGATGATCGATGGGCAGTGGTAATCGACGTTCCAGATCGCTTCCTTGTAGATGGGAAGCCCAAAACTGTCGCGACGTTGTCATATCTGTGATACGTTCATGTACACTATAATCAATGTACTGCAATAGCTCTTTATCGTCTATATATCCTGCATGATTGTTGTAAGCACTACATATGTCGGTGTAAATAATAGGAAATGTTGATCGGTCAGCTGCTGCATGATGAGCGCCGATTATAAGTACGTCGCCCTCTGTTATGTATGCTGGATCAGTCATTTGTTCAGATGACCTATGTTGCCGAAGTATCTGACAATGAAAAACACTGCCAGTCGATAAACTGAAGAGATTAGGATCGATTGTGATTTGCCAGATTATGTCATGAAGTTCATTTGCATTTATAAATGTTTTATCCGGTAATAATTTACACACTGCATGGCCATTATTAACTTGTTGGGTTAAGGTACGGTCACTATAATCGACCGTGAGAGAAGTCCTTAGTATTTTATGTTTACTCATAACCGATTGTAAAGCTCTTGAAAGGCGATCTACTGACAGGGAACCGTTAGCAACTTGAAGAGCTGCAATTTCGTTGTAGATAGCAATTTTGTTGGAAAAGCGAACTTGTTCATCGAGATATATACGTTCTTGAGCGAATGATGCGATACCTTAAAATAAATTAAACAAATACGGTTTTCCAAAAATGAAACACATTATAAGCTGACCTTCTGCGATGTGTAACGTGTGCCATAGATTTAGTTTGATGTTATCGACTGTAAGAGCCACAAGCAATTTCGCGTGATCAGCAATAGTATCGTTTTCGAAGAATGGTCGAATACTGATAATATCACTTTCAAAATTAAAGGTTAATTGATACTGTCTGTAAATTTGAATGAGTAATAGAGAATCCCCACCGAGACCATAGAAACTAGACGTAACTGATATGGGTGGAGCTGACTGCTTTTTTTCTTCAATTAAGCTCATATCTGAATGATGTAGTTGTAAGTCACCATGCTGTGAATTAAATTTATCGGTATATAGTACTTGCTGCCAGATATTTACTATTATCCTCTCTGTTTCAGTTTGTGGTGCCAAAAAAGCATCTTCCCGCCGAATGATTTCGACAGATATTTCCGGCAGAGCTTGTCGGTCAATTTTACCATTTGGATTCAAGGGAAACGTAGAAACGGGTAAGAAATGTGATGGTATCATATAAGTGGGAAGCTTTGCACTCAAGAATGCTTTCAGAGTTTCATTCCATTTCGGCATTGCTTTGACTCTCGAAATAGTTCGATCATATTTCTGCTCATCACTAATTTTTCCAGCAAGTAGAATGTGTAACAGAATTTCATTATTGTTCTCATAATCACTGGTAAGCAGACTGTCCAAGATATTATTGAAGCCAGCTGGAAAACTAGCCCGAGAACCGATCGGACATATTCCAATATTCTTCTCTACACTGTACTCCATCAACAAATGTGATATTTTACCTGCCTCCAGATTGTCGTTTGGATTTCCAATGAAGAATAATGCAAATTGGCAATCATGAAATATAGCTTTTGCATCGTTATCATTGTCAAAGAACAATGGCATTTCTTCCTCTGTGGAACCAGTTCCACTAAGAACATGAATAAAATGGTCAGTTTCTGAAACATACTTAAACCATTGACTTTCATTCGTAGTGCTAGATTTTATGTAAACGAGACATTGACGAAGCTGGCAATGTTTGTCATTCGTCATACGTTCTGGATTAGAAAAAACTTCGAAGCAATAATGAGTATCACCTTCGTTCACATTGAGAGCACCCTTAGTTAAGGACTCGATTTGATAATCTCTGAAAAATTTCAATCCCATCTTAGATGCTTCTTTTTCCAGCAACCCCATCATATATCCCGTCTCTAGTGAACAAAAATTCGTGCCTAATGTTTTGCTGTACAAAGGTGCAATTGCCGATGATCGACCGACTAGATGGAAATATACACTCGCCGTCTCCTCATTCGTACTAGCACTAACGAGTTCTAGGCTGTGCTTGTCCGGATTGTGATAGTAAAGACCTGGCGGTATGCCATCTATAGGTGTATGCACTTCAACGTACACTTGAACAGGATAAAGACTTCCCGCTGATGCATAGTAATATTTCGGTAAAGGTTGGTTAGAAAAATTAATTGGTGTTAATATTGCTAGCAACGTACTCAATGTATCGAAACTAATGTGCGACGAAAATGATTTTTCATTATCATGACCCATATTGTAGCATTGTTTCAATAGAGTCTCTATAGTTGATCGGTCAATGTGCTCATTTGTGAATTGTCGATAACTTTTTCTCGCATAATACTTATTGATTAATGTTTCTGTTAATTTTGGTTTTGTTAAGGCGACGCTCTTCTCTCCTCGTAATTGATGTTGTATACCATATCTTGCCAACTTGAAATTGCTACGTTCAACATGACCAGTTATTTCAATTTGCGATGGATCGTATTTTTCGGAGGGAAGTGAATGTCGCTCCGGCATAATGTATGCAATCAATTGTTGGGAGCGCAGATCAACACTAGCAACTGCTTGATGAATATCTGAATGTTGCTGGAGATGATATTCAATTTCTCCAAGTTCAATACGGTGACCATGTACTTTCACCTGATAGTCTTTTCGTCCCATAAACTCAATATAGCCACCAGGCATGAATCGACCATGATCACCTGTTCGATAAATACGTTCACGTGTTCGTGGATGAATCATGAAACTAGATTGTGTTTTCACAGCATCATTCCAATAGCCATCAGCTAGACCTATACCACCGATATATAGTTCTCCCATCACCCATTCAGGACAATCATCCAGGTGAGAATCATAAACGTAATAATGCTGATTTCGTAATGGTGCTCCATAAGGAATTGATTTCCATTCTTGAGGCATCATTCTAGGTATTTCATAGGCAATTGACCAGATAGATGCTTCTGTTGCTCCGCCTAAACTTATTACCATCACTTTTGTACCAAATGTTGTGTGTATAGCCTTCGGTAATGTTAAAGGTATCCAGTCACCACTTAATAAGACGTGACGTAATTGATGATGATTGCTTTTAGTGTGTTTGTAATGTTCAACTAACATTTGCATTAACATCGGAACACTATTCCATATCGTTACACGATACTCTATCATCATGTCGCACCAATGCTTAGGATTCTTATAATCTTCGTGACCTGGAATAACGATAGTTCCACCGCCGTTTAATGACCCGAAAATATCGTAAACCGATAAATCGAAATTTAAATGCGATAATGCAAATATTCTATCGTGAGATGTTATTTCTAATCTTGAGTTCATATCGAGAATAGTGTTTAACGCAGCTTGATGGCTGATCATGACGCCTTTGGGTTTTCCGGTTGAGCCCGATGTATAAATGATATAAGCTAAATCTGTTGGTGATTGTTGTCTAACTAGAAACGAAGATTTTTGCCAGTCAGTAGTTGTAAATGTATCAACTGCGATCGTTGTTAAATGTGAGAACACGTGTTGACAATGCGACTGTGTAAGAACAATACGAACGCTGGTTTCTTCAATTAATGACTTGAGACGATCATATGGTGCATCAACATCCAACGGCAAATAAGCACCACCTGAAACTAGGATTGCTAGACAGGCAACAACTTGTTCCCATCCTTTTTTCATTAATATGGCAATTAATTCATTGGAACGAATTTGATATTCGTGTTCAAGATGGCTAGCTAAGGAATAGACGCGATCCATGAGTTGCTTGTAAGTGAAATGAGCTTGCGGCGAGATGATGGCCAATGAATCCGGTGTTTGTTCGGCCTTTTCTATGATGCCTGAATGAAGCAAATGTTGTTTAATGTTCGGCTTCCACTGTGTTTGATTGAAGTGTAATCGTCGATTGTATTGATCAGGTGGTAGCGATATAGAAATGGGTTGTTGCCACATATCATCAGATAGGCTGAATTCGTGAAGTGCGTTGATAAATGTCATGTGCATATTTTCAATCAATTCAGAAGAAAGCAATTCGTTCACGTATATCCAATTATCGGATAGATGACCATCACTTTCATATACGACATGATCGAGAAACACTTGTGGCGTTTGACTAATCATGTATTCAGGTCGCTGATCCAAAAATAAATATTTGCTATCATCCTTTTGATTCATACCACCTATATCTATGCCACATGTGAAAACGAATGGTAAAACGATTTCTTTGGTTTTCTGTGTCTGCATCAGATCGCGAACAAATGACACACCGTTGTAGGACATATGCTCAAGATCGTTCCACAGTTGTCGTTGGACCGTTTGAACGAATTTATAATATGAAATCGGTTCATCCAAGTGTATTTCCAATGGTAAAACTGTTGTAAAATCTCCTGCTATTTCATTGATTTGCGGATGTATCGGAAGCCGATTGAAGATTGGTAAATTCAATGCAAAATGTTTATTCTCACTCCACTTAGACAAGACGATGGCGTAAATGGATACTAAGAAGCCAGCTGGTGTCAGCTCATAATCGATGATTCGTCTTTTTAATCTACTCCATGATGATCTGTCTAGTAGCTGCTGTGAATTGCAATGACGTTGTACATGAATTTCGTTCGGTAGACATTGTAGTGGCAATTTAGGACCTGATGGAAAAGTGTTTAGACGGTCGAGCCAGTATCCTTTATCGTTTGTGTAATTGGGCGTACTTTTAAACTTTTCTTCGCTTAGAACATAGTCTCGGAACGAGAACGTTAGTTTCGGTAGAGCGAAATTTGAGCTACTGTACAACTGACCGAGCTGACGATATATTAACATCATACTCCAGAAATCCAGGATGAGTGCATCGAAACCAATATGTAGGCGAGTTCGATACTCGTTATCTAGTTTGAAATGAGTAGTCTGAATATTAAAAAGCGGCCATTGATCAGCAGGTAAGATTCGATGGGAAAGCTCTCGACGTCGTTCTAGTAGTTTTTCTTTCATTGTTAAAGTATCATCTAATTCCACTATAGACAAAGTGTACAATGGAACTGTTTCGAGGATTTTTTGTTCTGTCCGAGAGATAAAAATCGTACGCAATGCCTCATGATACTGAATGAGGTAATTCAATGCTTTCTCGAACTTTTCAATATCGAATGTCGCGGGAAAATCGTATTCGTGGTAAACAAAACAAGAAACTGAACCAAGCTCAATAAAGCCTTCACGTCCAATCAAATAAGCTTGTTGAATATCTGTAACTGGAAATGGTTCGTGTCTTGCCAGCTCGTCACTTAAGATCCTGTTATCCTCCGTGGAAGAGGACGAATCTAATTTCTGACCGAGCATTGTTTCTAATAATCACAGCAATAAAGGAAAATAACTAAAATATATGATACCAAAACTTACCTTGTAAAAGAGATGCTTCGGATCCAAGTTTATTGCGCATTGGTGTGCCCCTAATCTCTTGGGCAATAAGACGAGCATGATCAGTGATCGTAGGATACTGTCGAAGATCGGCAATACTAATCTTAGTCGTATTTATATCCAGACTTAATCTATAACTTTGATATAATTGCACAAGTAACAGAGAATGGCCGCCGATATCAAAAAAGCTTGCATTGGTAGAGATTTTGTCCGTGTTAAGAATCTTAGACCATAATTTATGAATATAAATTTCAGACTCATCCTTCGGCTTCACATATAGGTCACTCGTCTTGTCTGCTGAATGGAGTTCAAATTTTGGAGCTGGCAGAGATTTTCGATCTATTTTTCCATTCGGATTCAAAGGCAATTTGTTAAGTATGATAAACATTGATGGAATCATGTGCGGAGAAAGATGAGCCTGACAGTGTTCACGTAGCTGCTCTTCATCTATGTTTGATGCTTGAATATAGGCAACCAAATGATTGTCTCCCCATTTAATAACAATGCAAGCAGATACAGATGTCTTTCTGAGTAGACATTTCTCTATTTCAGTAAGCTCGATACGCTGACCGTGTAATTTAATTTGAAAATCTTTTCGACCGATATATACTAGTAGACCATTGTTATCAACACGAGCTAAATCGCCTGTTTTGTATAGGAGTTGATCATCAATGGATATGAGCGCTTTTATATTGAGGTCATCGCCCCTTAAATAACCTGGAAAGACTCCTACACCTCCAATACACAGTTCGCCTGCTTGATTAAGAATAGATCTTTGTAAATATTCATCTAGGACTACACACCGATATTTAGGAAGTGAGGCACCAATCGGAATGTATTCAGAGAGATCCGTGACATTCACCTGATAAAACGTTGATGCAATGGTAGTCTCTGCTGGACCATACATATTCCATACTTTGCAGTTTAGTGAGTTCACACTAGATAACTGAGCTTGCAGCTTAGTAGAAAAGACTTCACCTAGAAAATATAATACAAAAAAGTAGCAGGTGCATGCCATTAGCCGAGACTTCACTCACCAATACTACAGATAGATCGAAGATACTGCAACGCATGTCGGTTACTGTCGTTTTCAATAAAAACGAAGAAATTATGGAGCAAACTAGGCACAGTGTGAATATAGGAAATATTTTTGCTTGCTAATACATCAGCTAAATAATAAAAGTCAATAGTGCCTCCTGGATGAAGCATAACCAGTGTTGCTCCAATCATCAGTGTACCAAGTATCTCTTGCACATGAATATCAAATGAACATCGTGCCATCTGCACAACTGTATCCATGCTGTTGAATGTGTTTGTTTTGACTAGAGAGTACATACATTCAGCGAAATTTTCATGTTGAATTTGAACCTATAAAGCAAACAGTAGACCATAGTGTACATTGGCACACCCTCAATTTGTCGCACATATATTCTATCATTAGTTTACATTGAAACATGATCTGTTATTGGTTGACATAGCTCTTTATGTTATTTAATTAATACGAAAACTACTACATTTAGTCAGCAATCCTTTAAGTAATGTGAAGTGAAACTTAAGTGTTCTGATGATATTTCCGACAAAAAAATCTGAACAAAGTTGAAAAGATATAAGATAAGACATGGGCGGCGCATGCTTAATCTTTTAGGGGAGGCAATAAAATTTTTTTACCAATAGTGAGTATAGGTTTTCGATTTTCAAAAATGCACACAATCGATTTATTTTCGAAATTCATAAATAGTTCATTCATTTTCAGAATACTTTTTTTCCTATCCTCTTTTTTCGAATTAAATTGGGTAACAAGTGGGATATACTCTTTAAAAAACTATCAAAAGATGCGAATATTAGGAGAGGCAATAACCTTTTATTGCCTCCCCAGATTTTCCATAGGGGAGGCAATTGCCTCCTCTCGCCTCTATGGCGCGCCGCCAATGAGATAAGATGTTACCAAAGTGCCAAATAGTAAAACAAAGTTCTAACTCTCAAAAGAACGTGTTCGAAAGCCTTCAAAAGTAAAACATTACTCCATCGAGCACCCATCAAAGTTCGTTTCCCTTTGGCCTATTGAGTGAATTTTAGTATCATTAGATCACATGAAAGTTCAAATAGTCTTTTATTTTGAGAAAACAATCCACGAACAGGTTGATGGGTTTTGTAATAGTTTATTTACTAAATATCCGTTTCGTTTTTTCTTTAAACATGTTGATTCATCTGAATGGAACTAGAGAAGTAATTTTTATGAAATGGAGATTAGCTGGTAATCATTATCCTTCTGATATATCACCTTTTCAGTTAGTATTCTTACTTTGCTGTATATGTATAGACCCAGGTCGATCATTCCGGCGACTGAATCCGTTGAAATCTGAGTCGGATCCGGTACAGCTCTTCTCGATTCCGGCACAGTTTTCGCCGATTCCAGCAGGTTCCTTGCCGCCGAATTCCGACCGGAACCGACCGTGCCATAATAACCTGGGGAATACTAATAGCTGTTTTTGCTATCTACTAAGTGTCAGAAATTGACCACGTAGAGCGCCTTAAACGAAAACTAACGATAAACACTAAACTACTCGACGATGTGCAAGTTTTCTTAACTTAATACATGTTAAACTTGTCATATAAGATTTTGTTAATTGTTTATCTCGATGCAAAGCTAGCATGATGGAGCTAGTACGACGAAACAAATATTGAGCTTCAAACTTCTTACTAAGTAAATCCTGCCCAGATGAACTCGTGCACTCAATTCAGAGTCCAATTTTGCGTCGAATGGTGATATCTTTATTCACGGGACAAGTTTTGGGAAAATACCTACCCACATTCTTATTTTTCTTATATACGTGCATTTATAACCCACACAGAATCTATCCAAAGCTTGTCTCGTACACAAAAGTGTTACCATTCGATGCAGAATTCAGTTCTAATCGCGTGCACTAGTTATTGTGGACGGAGCTTACTTAGTAAAAACGTTTTTAGCTAGACCTACGTTTCGTCGTGCTAGCTTCACTTTCACTTCATTATCAAGCTGGAAAAGCTTTAGTACAGCCTATGCGGAAACGGTATGTAAAGTGATTCATGTTTTCAGCACTAATTGTGGCAGAACTGACTTATGTGGAAACCGCCACAACTCAAAAAATCAAGTATACTGACTGCCACAGATCTTTACGGTTTTTTTAACATACCGCTTTAGGTACTCCTGTGGAGCCACTTGTGAAAATAACATAAGCAACATTCTTTGGTTTGGTATTAATATGAGAAAATAAGTGATGATCGATGCACATATTCACACCAGTGCTGTAAAACTGGCAATCGATATTCACTAAACTTATTTCATTCGATTGATCATGAAATTTATTCTTGGTAAGATGATGAGCGAGGACAATACGGCTTTGGGTCTGTTGCACAAGGAGATGCAAACGCTGTTTGGGGTCTCGAGGTGATAGCGGACAATAAACTCCACCAATTAGCTCAGTAGCCATAATACCAATAATCTAAGAAATACCAAAAGTTTTATTATCATCTAAACTATCTGGTAGGCAAACTTACCATCGATAAACTACGTTCAACGCACTGACATACAATGTCACCTAAACCGACTTGATATTTCTTTAAAAGCTGAATAGATAATACTTGAGCAAAATATAGTAGTTCAGAGTATGTGATTGACTGATCATCAAGTTCCACTGCTAACTTTTGAGGATATTGTAATACTCGATCGACAAACTTATGATGAATACATGAGTTAGATGTGTGTTGTATTTCCGTATTGTTTATCGATTGCAACACTGCTCTTTCATCAGTTAACAGAAAAGGTATTTCAAAAAGTGGCATTTTCATTCTACGAACAGTACACGTAGGTAGTTGTTCCAATATCGAGTGAAATCTATGTGCGATTGTTTCTACTGTTGATTCATGGAATAAATCAAGTGATGCATTGATTGTACATGATAACAAGTCTCTATTCAATTGGTGTTCAACTGATAGGGAGAAATCCGACATGTCATTTAGTATATTTCTGTTTGACTTGATTGATTCAGAAGTTGGATGAAGCAGAGCATCACTGACTATTGTTTCATTTGTGATGTTCCCATTTTTATTTGATTGAAAATCGAAACAAACGTTCAGTATGTCAGCTATTGTAGAATTACATTTTTGGTTAAAAATACGTTCAAGAGGAAAATATGAATATTTGATGCAACTCATTTCCGTTACATTTACACCTTTCACCAGTTGCTCCAAAGTCCAGCTCGGATCAATCTCACAGCGTAACGGAATGATATTCACGAACATTCCTATTATTGATCTAAGCTCGCTTTTATATCTGTTATCGATCGGCATGCCAATACACAAGTCTTTTTCACCGTTAGTGAGTTTGAACAGAAAGACATAGTAGATGGCAAGTGATACTTGTCTTATTGACACATCATGAGATGATGCATATCTGATCAGCTCATTCGACACATCATAGCCAAAGTCAAAACATACCGACGTACCACGACCTGTTCGGTGTTCATTCGTCAGCCGGTGTCGATCGTATGGCAGTGACAATGGCCGATCTAAGTCACAATCATGAAGAGCATCAAGCCAGAACATACTTGCACCACTCATCGCCATCTCATGTTCGATCATGGCATCTATAATGACAAAGGACTGCATGAGAGAAGGTGGCGAACGAGGAATGAATACTCACAGTCAATGTACCGAAGAGTGGCATCATCGTTGTCAGATGGCAGTTGACCAGTTGTGTATGCTTCATTGAGATGATGGAGGAAGATGTCCATGGATGGGAAATCGAAGAGAGCATGGTGGAAGTTGAAGATGATGAGGTCGCTGTGAGAAAGAACACCGTCGGGTGAGATCTGTTTGTGGAAAACAAGGTGGCATCGGAAGACAAGACCTAGAGCAAGATCGAAGAGGCGAGGATTGGCCTTCTCATTGCGCATAATGTTATTAAGGTCTTCATCTGTGTTGTATGCAGTCTCTATAAACTCAAATAGATGCGTTTCATTATCATGAATGTCATTGGTTTTTTGTAAACACATGTTGTTTTCATCGTTACGAACGATTGCAGTTCGAAGAGATTGGTGTTTGGTAACTAACAAATGCAGCGCTTTTTGGAGCTGTCGGACACTTAAAATACATTCTGGGGATAGACGACAAAGAAAAGGCATGTTAGAAACTGCCGTTGCTGATTTCTCGGACTGCAAAAAGGTTCGTTCGCATTGGTAAATCCTTGTTTGTGCATAAGACAGTGGTCCTGAACAGAAAATAGATCGTAAATGTTACTCACTCTAGCAAACATTGCCACAATTAGTAAATTTACAACATACCTTCGTTTAGTGTTGTTATTTTCGGAGAAAAGATGGTATTCTGAATTTCATTCTGTTCTTCCGGTAGGATAAGGTTCAGTTCGGTGACTAATGTATCTGATGGAGCAATTTGTTCATTCGATGCATACGGTGTAAAAAGATGTTCGAAAATTTGTTTAAACCTTCGCGTCATTATTTTCACAATATTCTCATTATATAGATCTTGCGTGCAAATTAAACGAAATGATAGCTTGCGATCATCGGATGTTGAATCGTAGACAAATTTCAGCATAAAATCAAATTTTGCAACTTCTGACGAAGGAGCCAATGACATTTGTTCCAGATTTGTTTCGTTCAGATTGAAGTAGCTGGTATTCGACGATATATTAATGAAATGGAATAAAAGTTCAAGAAAAGGCACTTTAGATGATTCGAGATGCAGATCAGCGATAATATGCTGTAGTGGATAATGAGAATGCTCCATGATGGATAAGCATTGTTCTCGTACACGTTGGACTAATTCATTAAATGACCAACTAGAATCCATTTGAACACGGCAAGGTGACGTTGCGACAAACATACCAAGCATATTCTGTAATTCTGGTTTGTAACGGTTTGCATTGAAGCAAGACACGCAAAGATCATTTTGATGATGTGATAACTTGAATAAGAATGCATAAAAAATAGCTAAACTCAGTTGAAATACGGTGGTCTGATGTGAGCTGGCATAATTCATGAATGCTGTGCTAGTCTCCTTTTCGAAAAAGACTTCAGTAACGTAAGCATATCCAGATCGTTGTCTATCAAACGAATTATGTCGATCGACGGGTAATGCTAATCGACAATCAGTGTTGTAGCCGTTTAAGTGATGAGACCAAAATGTACATGATGGACTCATATCAGTTAGTCGTTCATGGACACTGTAATCAATATATTGTAGTAGATCTTCATTTTCTGAAGATTCTGTATTATCATTGTATGCTCTAGATAGATAATTTAAAAAAATTGGAAAAGTTGAGCCATCGAAAACTGTATGATGAAAAGCGACAATAAAAATATCTGATATAGCGAGAGGTGTATCAGAGTTTTCATCATTATTCGAGCTTTGATATTTGAGAATTTGACAGAACAAAACGCGACCAATTGACAAATCGAATAAGTTTGGATCCATAATTACTTGACTAATAATATCATTGAGTTCATCATCATTTTTGTACATCTTCTCAGATGCTAATGTGAATGTATTGTGATAGTCAGTGACCAACTGATTTAGAGTATTATCATTGTTATTAAACGCAAACGACGTTCGTAATATCTTATGCTTGTACACAACAGAGCGTAGAGCGCGTGTTAGACGGGTGATCGAGATTGAACCACGAATAATTCGTAGAGCAACTAGTTCGTTGTACACGGCAATTTCTTTAGTAAAACGAACTTGCTCATCGAGAAATATACGTTCTTGAGCGAAAGATGTGATTCCTATAGAAATGTATTGTCGCTTAGTATGTTTTATACAAACAATATTCGAAAACAGTTACCTTTAATCAGATGCAGTTGTTGCCACTTCACCGACTGTGTATTTTTCGACCCAGCTTCTTTCATTAGTTTTATTTGATCACCTATCGTGTCTTGTGTGAAGAACGTTCGTATACTTACAGTTTGAGGATCGACATTATATTTTGATACCATGCGTTGAAAGAGTATCGTTGCTGACAGTGAATCCATGCCAAAGTTGATAGGAGAAGTCGTTGGAAATAAATCTGAGTGCGTATCATTATCAGGCTGTAGTTTTGCTTAAAAAGAGAATAAGATGATGTCTTTCGAAGAGACTGACAGTATGCAATTACTTCGATCTTGCTGAGATTCAGTGGCGAGGACTATTCGGTATTCGTCCGATGAATCGAGCTTTCCTAGTAAACTAGACTGACGATGCGATGTAGTATGTTTGCTGTTTTCTTGAGTTGTAATTGATATAACAGCCAGTTCATAGCAATGGTATATGTGTTGCTTTAGAGCATTGGTAATTCGCTCATGAGCGGAAGATTTAAGGTGAATGCAGGTGAAAAAACGATGAGCTTCATTTAAGTCTGCACTTAACTTCGATAAATATCGAAGGTAAGATTTTCTTCGGTCCCAATAACTCATACTCTTTCGCGAGTGTGTGCTAATTGATTAACAACCAATAACAAAGACTATGTTCTCTAAAAATATAATCTAGCAACTATTTATTTAAAACAATCATCCAAATTATACATCAGGTTCTTCTTTCTACAGAATGTTATCGAGAAAACTTTTGCGAATCTATATATGCAGTATATTTTTTTAAGTATCCTTTAACTTTAATGTGCACAAGTTTCCTCCGAGAATGTTCCGTACGTTCTTCGGGCGATCATTCCAGAATTCAAAGATTCAAAGCATATACGTATATCTGTATTTTCGTACGTTAGAACAAATGCTTGTGCTTGATCATGTTGAATAGGGATTATCATCGTCATGCCATCAATCGAACAGTAGTCTCACAAATTCTCGTCTATAGTTCTAGCAATTGATTTTGGTAGGATTAAATACTAGCATGTATAGACAAGAGTTCGTATTAAGAAAGCTGGATTGATTTCTATACACGGTATGAAGTTGAAAACAGTAAATAGATGTGTACAATAGGAGAGAAAAAGATAATACGCACATAATGTGCGCGCACTCTACCTGAAAATAGTCTCTAGTAAACAATTCAAGCGATTACCGTATGGTTCTATGAGATTTCTCGGCGAAAAATAATGCGTACAATTTTATCCCTTTTTCGTAGGCAGTTTGTAATTAACTCATTTTGTCTCAAGATCTTTCTTGTAGCATCAATTTTTCTGAACTCATAACGTTTTTAATAGACGTTTATTCCGCATGGCTTCATATTGATAATGCCACTTGTGCCGAACTAATGGGTTTAAATACAAACACATGAAAAACGAGAGTCATTCCTCTTATGCCTCTAATCGATTATTTTCAACTAATAGTACCCATTTCATATACAAGGACAACGTAGGGACGCAGAAAAATATAGTACTAAGGAGAAAAAGGTGCATAAGCTTGATTACGCATTCATTCGATAATAAGCTATATAGAAAAGTGAATAAAAATACGGTTATAAGCATACGTACGTACGTCATGTATGTACGGAGTATCCAATATTTTTTTGTCTGTTCGCTTCGAACATTTCGGTCCGAAAATTCTATTAACGCTAACGAACTATTTTACGTTCCGACAGGTATCGTGAATCGTGGACGTTTGTAGCTGAACTAGAACGAGTTGTCAGTTCTTCTAGTAACATGCATACAACACACTTCGATACTTCTATTGGGGATCAGCCATACAGTACCGCAATTCTTACAGTGATAATGATCTTTGATACTGAAGAGTTCAGTTTACCATTATGCTCACTTTTGAGTATTATTTAATGATTTATGCTAGAAGCGACATATAGAACTTGACTGGCCCTTGTTTGTGCATGAAGAAGAATGTTTCGGAGTAGGTACTTCTCTTTCTATTTTTGAAGCGTTCATATGAACAGCATAGATTGTTCAGTGATGAAAAGAATTTCTAATCAGTTGACTTACTTTTTTTGAACGAAGAAATATTCTCCGTCAGCTTTTGCGACATTTGCCTACTGAAAAGCGTAAAAAAAGGCATCTGATTGTTTGTAACAGAAGATCTCGTTTTCGTTGGTACACTGTGTAAACCGCTGTAAAGTATAAAACATACGACTAGTTGAATATTCCAAAGGAAATATATAATCGAAAAAGGCTTATGGATGATTAAAGTTGATCATAGTTGCTTACAATAATTCAACATAATTCTATGATTCATAGTGAAGATATAGGAAGTGAAACTGTTGTTGCTCTTAAAAGTGATCGGTCATTTCTACATGAATAAATCGAAAACGTCACTAAGCTCATAGTAGATTCTCGTTATGGAACTTAAAGACCCTACTGTCATGTTCATCGCTTACGTGGTCAAATTTGTTTTCATCTGAATGCACTTGGCTGTCCGCTGATATGCACTTATCTTACAAAACCCACTCACCGACATACCTTATGAAAATACAATAATAGCAGATATTAGATTATTGTTCTTATATAATACACGGTAAATAAACGCGTCACACGTGATATATTTCGCATTATAAAATAATATTTTCACAATATGCCCTTCACTGATTTCTGTATAATTTCATGAAATCCTGCAGAGCGATTGTTATAAGTGCGTTTTGAGTGTTCAATGATTTATTAAAATATATTTGAGGGTATTTTATGTCAGAGTACAGAAATGAAAAAAACTGTTCTTTGTATGATTATTTCTCGTGTATTATGACATTCTGTTTTATTTGTGTTTTTTTTTTCAAATCATTTGTCATTTACTACACAAAGACAGTTCATAATTAGCCAAGACGATAACGAAATAAGATTGGGTGTTTTGATGATGACGATTGTCTATTGTGACTGCTTTCTTTATCTTGTGTGTTTTGATCACGTCGATGGGTATCGAATTTATCAAGGACTTGTTGAATGAGTACATCACTAATCGATTGAGATAAACATATTTTGGTTGAATCTTCGTAGACAATATCAATATTTTTTCCTTGAAGATGGCCAATCAGTGTTAGAAGTAAAGCATCGAGATCAGCAGAACGATAAGCAAGCTTGTTATCACTATGATCAGCTTCCTGTTCACCACTAGTGGACCGTTTACCTAAACGAGGGGAAAAGGCCAAAGAACTTTTAAGTGAATAACGACCATTATCACGAGCTGATCGCCAATAGTGAAAATATGGTCGAGAAATCGATGCTCGTCGATCTCGATTCAACATATTTAAAAGTTGAGTTTTCGATAAACATTCAGGCATGCTCGTTTGTTTTCGGAATGGTGACACTAAGACTGGAACTTGTCGAGGTTCATCCGACTTCACTTCATCTTGAACGTCATCGATCGGATCCGATGTGATTATCGTTCCGATAAGAGTCAAAGAGAGGACAAGGACAAAAACTACTGAAGAAGAAACATCAACGTCACATTACAATGGTAAGTTATTCAACCGTGAACTTACCAGACGCACACTGCATAATGTTGTGATAAAATTGAATCACAAAAAAAAATTTTGACAAAGAAAACAGTGTGGAGCATTGGTATTTATTTGAATGACAACACGCTGGCGAGAGGAATGAATTCATCAGAGTTTATTTTCAGCTATCGAGTTCAATCAGACACACAATACGCCGGCTAGATGAATAATTCTACTTCTTTTCGAATAAAAAAACTTGCCATCATATCGAGATGAAAGCAAAAACGCCTCTTCATAAGAATCAACAAAGAACTTCAAATTTAAAACAGAATATATCATGCGAAATTATTATATATTTATTCAAGTAAGTCATTACATCATAGCAACGAGAATCCCAACAATGAACTTCACTCAATTTTGCAAGTAATTTTGAAAGGAAAACTGTTGGAGAAACAAATCTTTGTCTGTCATGAATCTAACTGCAATAGTTTCGAGGTGATTGATAAAATTCGAATTATGTGCAACTTCCAGGTTATGTGCTAATTCGTGACATGTTAAAATGAAATAAAAATTGAGAATTGTGTGAATAATTGGAATCGATGGCGAAGTCGCTTGTAAATAGGGACGAACTTTGTCAGCAAAAACTTGTTCATAGTATCGAAGATTGAAGAATAGTGCACGACGATCATTAAAAGCAATACGAGCTGAAAAACAAATCGAATCAGCATGTCTTCAATCTTAAAAAAATAGAGCTTATTACCTCCATCTATATCTCGATAAAGATGTAAACTTTCAATTGGAATTCGAAACACGTGATTCGCAAGGCCAATCAGTACCCATGATAGTTGTTGTGCTTGATCAAGTATTTGATCAGTGACTCGAACATCTCGTTCAATGTACAATGGTATTGTATGAAACAATTCTTTATAACGTGTCATATTCGCTGATGGTACCGCTTCGCATGAATGATCGATTTCGTCTTTAACATGTTCTTGTTGAATGAATTTAGTCTGAGTAAAGGATCGGCCTTTTCTTAATGTTGAGAATAATTTGGCATCATCTTTGATTTGATGACGATTGAAATCTTCTACTCGACCAGGCATTTCTACATGACTTTCTTGATAATAATGATTTGGTTGTGTTTGTGGTTCAATCATTTGTACGGTCGAACGATGATTTTGTTGCTGCTGATGCTGAAGTAAACGATCGACGGGCACGCCACGACGTTTGAGTGTTTCCAAGGGTGAAGCAAGCTTGTCACTTATCGCATGTACGACGGTGTCCAATGGTTTTTTGAAGGCGAATCGCGCTAATTCGCTGGCAATGTCGATGTAATCGAATTCGCGAATTTGTTTTTGAAAATATAGAGTAACTTTGTTTTTGTCGTTTTCCAGAGCACAAGAACTACTGTCTGTTGACTAAAATAAATCAAGATAGATTCATCGAAAACAAAACTCAATCGTACAACTGACATCGAGCGTAATCGTCTTCTTCTGAAATGTTAATTGACATTGAATACCATCGACTTCATACACTGAGAGATTCATTCGTAGCATATCAACATGTTTCTCATCCAGATTCTCCATCTTTTCGCCCTGTCAATGGAAAAGAAAGAAAGTTTTGAGATACACAATCGCGTAGGTTCATTTACTCGATTGTTAACAAATAACATATCCAAACGATATTGAATTAAATCGCGTAATTTATTACCACGATCTGATGTAGCAACTTTTCCTAGAAAGAACATTGACGTGACGAAGTTCTGAATGACAATAGGCGAACTCTTTTACCTTTATGCACTAAAGTTCGTTTTACACATTCCGATAACCATTGTGCACCGAACTTCTCGTATAATTTCGTTAATTCGGGTTCATCGGGCGGTAATAATGGGCGAAGGTCAATCGCACATTGATGATCGTCGTCAAGGTAAATCTCAGTTGGCGCTACAACTTTGAACATTCGTTGTTTTTCGTTATTCGAACGGCGTTCCACTGTTTGATAACCTAAACACCACGCTTCATTCTTTAGTCGTTTGACTAACGCAGCTGATTGCAAGTCGTTGACAGCCATTGCCAATTGTCGAAGACAACTTGTATATGCTAGCAATTTTTGTTTCAAATCATGAGGATTACTTGGATTCAAATTAGCGAAGTAATCCGCTTGACGATCAATGAGTAGCTCAGCTAGAACAGGTGCCGATGGTTGGTGGAGTACACCGACACCGAGAAGAAAGGAATTGCCTTCGGGTCCATAGTCAACATAGTCAATTAAACCACTTTTATCTGTATCATCCATTATCAATGGAGTTGAGGAGACTGTCTTAGTCTTCTTATTTTTCGGTGTTGTTTTAGCATTTCGTTTTCGTCGTCGACGTCCGCCAGTATTACCTGCTCGTACTATTTCATCATCATCATCATCAATCTCGGAGGAAGACGACAAAGTAATAACATTGATTTGTCGAAGGCGAGACGAAGCCTCCGCACTTGATACATTCGGACGAATGAAAACCTGCGACGGTTTCATAAAGTCATCTGTGCCTTCGAGAGGAATAAAGGCAAGTTTTGCCACACGTTCAATTAACGGTCGACTGAGTCCATCGAGTTCGTTCATATATGCGAAAATCTTTGGCGCTGATTTTACACTCAAAATCTCTTCCTTCTTCTCCATCAAAATATCAAACGCAGTGTTGAGAGTTGGCCGATCTTTAACTCCCAGTAATCCAATATTAAAATGTTCATCGAATAATTGCACAACAGCAGACAATAATGTAGCGCATAGCGGACTTTCATCTAGTTCATTGAAAGAATGAAATCAACATAATGTAAATAAAGAAAACAAACCTTTGAAAACTTCTTCTGGCAGTGATAATGTAAGTGATTTTGATGGAGAACAGGATGGAAGAAATGGTTGTTTGATCTTAGCTGTTTTCCACAGTTTTGAATAATGCTGTTGGAAATTTTCAGCAAGGAATTTCAATGCTATAGGTAATTTATATCCAGCAATTGATTTTTGTTTTTGAACATTATGTTCTTCGATAATTCGATCGATTAGTTTTTGCAAGTCTGGTACCTCTCGTACACCGATTTCCTTCAGAAATGCATATTCACGTGAGCGTGGATCAATGTCATGCCAATCAAGAATTGGCAAAGTCGACCATTGTAGCTGAATGGCAAGTGAAGGAAAATGAAGCTCTTGAGGTGCATACTTTCGTGTCGTTTCTTTACTGGGTACTAATGTCGTGCCTAAAAGATAAACGTCACTAAGGGAAAAAATTTGGAGAGGATATTGGTGAAATTACCTCTCAAACACTCGCTGTGTTTCAATGCATTAAAATCGCCTTCACTCATGTTATCCCTTTCTTCCATCAAATGTTCAATTAATATTTTCATACTGTGTGTATCTGATGAACTAGTGTTGGTTAGAGATGATCGAGCATGTACAAACGATTGAACATTTAATGTTCGACAACCTAATCGTTTGAGAAATTCTGCTGACACAGGATTGTCAAGATTTTCCACGATAGACTGTTTTTCGTCATTATCATCATCTTCATCCTCTTCAGTGGCACTTTGCGGAACGTTTAATGTAATAACTGGCAAATCGGATGATAGAATATTAGATGGAACATAAGATTCATTTGGTATTTTCATTCCTTGATTTGTTGGTATGCATTGCATAGTGGACAATGTTGTTTTCAATTTATTCCATTCGGTCTTAGTCAGTTGCCCTGAATGTTTCGAAATAATGCTCAACAAGCAAGCTGCAGTGTTTTGTCTTGTGAACAGATGTTGTTGACTTTTCAGAAGATAAAAATGAAGAAAATCTTTCAATGTGAACGGAGTTAACGATAACTGCTTTTGCAATTCTTCTCGCGATAGATGAGCAGCAACGCTAGCAGGTAGGACATGTGATGGCAAAGGCAGACTCGATGAAGTATTGAAATTATCATAATTTCTCAGCTTTTCCAAAGTTATTATCGACGTTTGGATCGTTTCACGGAAACGTACAATTGACAACAATCGTTTGACGTATTGTTTATCTTCATAACGTTGACTAGATAGCCAATGGAGAAATTCAACAAATTGATTCGATAGAAGTATGGTTGTTATTATTGTCGACTCGATTAATTCGCTATTAACTTCAATGATTAGATCACGATCTTTTAAAGATTGGAATAAACCGTTTTGACTTAATTCATATGGTACAAGTGGCAAAGAGAGGAACGAATGGATGTGTTGAGAATAAGCGAGATATGCTTCTGTTGATGGAATCAGTGAAAGAATCGTATCTGTAGGCGATCGTTTGACGGGAACAAGTAGATCTTTATTGGACGAAAAGAATCCATCGACGAGAATCGAACCTGTAGAAAAAGACATACGCTCATTGATGTAAATGAAGAGAAATCTCGTACGTACCGATTTCAGTATTAGGTACTGATGGTTGAAAAGAAAATGAAGATAATGTTGAGTAAAACTGTTTATTTTCGTTGACCGATTGGTCATAAACAAATCTGGCAATTTGTCCAACGGATAGTAACAATTCTCGATTCCATTTCGATATGTATGGATCTTGTAGATCTAGATTTTCTCTTTCAATCGTTGGAATCAAATGACTGTAAACATGCATTCCTATGCCTGTTGTCTGATGTGTTCCAAGACCGATGAAAATCAAACCCGAGGGACTAATTTCGTTATTGTTAAATTTTAGTGGAATCAAGGAATTGAGAATTCTCACATTGAGATCTTTAGCTATTGACGACTGCTGTTGTCGTTTCACAATAATCTAAAATAATCTTTTCGTTGCAAATCTCAACATGTACAATGAACATTCTACTGACATCATTCGGCGTGTACAAAAGCTGAATTTGAACACTAGGCGGTAAACTTTTCTTCAATATTCGTCGAATTTGATTGTGATAATTATCATCGATGATCAAAGTTGCGTCGACCGATATATGATTCAATGCTATGGAAGGTCCATGATCAATGGAGAAGATTTGTTCAGTTTGAATAAATGCATCGAGACGAAGCATGTTATGTATGGAATTTTTCTTGAATTGCGATTGAGATTTTGCCGGGCGAATCGCTTTCTTTGTTTTAGTCACTTTGAAAATCGTCTTTTGATTAATTTTGATGACTAGATCATTGATATATTTCGTAAAAGATAAAACTGAAAAGAAGAGTACAGAAATCAACTTAGAGTGACTTAGTATTGGCTACACACCTTTGGTAAAATATGCTTTCAATTGCGAAAGATTTATTGTTGGTATGATATCATTCGTTGTCGTTGTTGTTACACTTTTCTTCGGCTTTTTCTTCGTGGGTGATTTGTCGGTCAACTCTGCTGGCCCATCAACATCGAAATCGGTTTGAGTATGTAAAATGTACTTCGTGCGCATTTTAAGAATGATTGATGTTGATTTCGATTGTTCTTGTGCAGCTAATTTATGACGAAATGTTGTCAAAGAATTATCATCACGCCATACGAATGCCATATATTCATCGCCCGACACGATAATTGGCTCTTCGGAAAAGGAAAAAACCGAGAAGAATCCCACACCAAATTGCCCAACCGACTCGACATTCGTATTTCCTTCTGCAATAGCTGCAACACGTTTCCAATCAGTTTCATTGAAGACCAGGCCATTATTGACTGCGCGAATTTCTGTAATAGTCTGATTGTGAAAGTGCTCCTCCGATGTTGCCGAGACTCCTCCATCACAGGTAATTTCGAAATGGAACGATGTTGCTTTGGCATCGTCTGAATTTTGTATTAATTCTCGGCAAACAACAAAATCTGATGAATACCGCGCAAGCATTTTATCAATCAACATTCGTTGGTTGACTTCAACGCGACTTTCAAAACCGGATTGCAATGCTTTTAAACGAAGAGCATCCGACGATGCAGATTCATATGAAAGATTCTTCGACATCCTCGGATCTAAAAACAAAAAATGAAGGCAATTCAGCGTTGCTCGTGCCTTATATATCGAGATAATTTTGCCTCGATGTTGTAATTACTTCTTGAACAGACCAGTGCACAATGATTGGATAGAAACATACTCACCTTGATGAGGACTTATAAACCGAATAGAATGGCTTCTTTTCTTTTAGATAAAAAAGAAATATTCAATAAATAATTGACAACATCGAAAATACAAAAAAAAGTATGAAGATTACATGAGAGAAAGCAAAGACTAGATAATTCACAGAAGGAGATAATGTCCGGCAACAGTTAATCTTGGTCTTCAGCTTGAAAGCGGACACGATGGCGTACGGTATTAACTGGACTTTTCGAACAATGAATTATTCCGCTGGCTGGCGTTTTCGATAGAAGAGCTGTAGCTGAGGATATAGTTTCATCAGAGAGATGTTTATCTGATTCGTCTTCATCTTCATCAAATCTAAATGTACACATAGATACAAAACAACGTAACAATGTCCAATACATGCAAACATACTTCCAATCCGATCGTCGAGTGATTCCAATACCGACTAAACATATGAAGATCAGCAATGCTGCGCCCAACACAGTTGTAAAACTGATCAAAGGTTTCTATAAAAAAAAAGGTTCACTTTATATACAGCCGGAAAATCGAATCGATAGATATTCTTACGCAATAGTCAGGCAATTCAAAATATTTGTTGGTAGTTAAATAAGCACAAACTTCTGCATACATTTCATCTAAATAGTGCAAAAGAGAAAGTTTATTTGACACAAAGCCAAACAAAGAAACGACGTATTTTCCTAATGACTCATACGATTGTTCTATTGGTGAATAGAAATATGACTCATCATCTCGTCTGATTGGTCGATTGGTTTACTTACGTTGTATCTTAATTCTTGTATCATGATGAATTGTATGTGGAATACATTGATTAATGATAGACTACAAATAGAAACTGTGTATACAAGTGAGATATCTCTTAATCAAGTCTACGTACTGCACATCGACTTCTAAGGATAGTTAGTTGTTGCTCATTGCTGATCTTATTAGATTTGATAAAACGAATATCTGGTCCACGTGCTAGTGGATTAATAGATCGTATCGAGATTTTCGCTTGTTTTAACACATCACACCGAAATATCAGACAATGATCAGCGAGACAAACTGATTGTTCGTCCTAACATTGAACAAATAACTATAGCGATCGGTTACAGTCATGACTTTATACCTGAACTAGTGTATCATTATGTCGAGTTGACAAATGTAGATCGAGATGACGTTCGGAATAAAATGTTTTATTGCAATATTTACATAACCATTCATCTTGAGAGATTTTCACTTTATTCGATTCTTGTTCATAAAATATATCACGTCGTGAAGAAAATATGCATTCATATGGAATAGTCATACGATTCCTTTCAAAGATTGGAGTAAGTGCCTAAACATATCTGTGAATCCATGTTGATCAACGCAACTGAAATTACCTGTGTAAAATAATCACGAACGAGTCGGCTGCGTTCCCGTGAACATGACCGATCACAAGCAACAAAAGAACAGAGAAAACAATAAATAGAAATAAATAAATGAACAAGATTCATGATAATACCATCTGAAACATATAAATAAAGATATCGCGAGAGATTCACCACAGTCTGGGGTAATTTATCAGTCGGAATACAGATAAAATTCAAGGTTCTGGACAAAATCACTCTTTGGCACATAAAATTCTAATGCAAACATTTCCCATTACACAGTGCTGTCTTATTTTGTTCCTTCAGTAATCATCGTAGGCTTGGAATCATGCTCGATAACAGGCTCATTTGTTACCAAGACTGATTTTGTTCTTTTATTCATGTATTCAAAGTAACTGAACAAGGTTCCACCAATTAATGATAAAATAATGCCGAGGATTGTTTTATTATTGATTACTAACCGATCAAAGACGAACATACCAAAAAATATTTGAAAAATACTTTTCAAAACGCCGACGACACTATTTTCGAAACGAAGAGAAGATTTTTTTTCAGCAAACTCTCTTTCTTAGGGTTACCTTGTTGTCAATGCCGAATTCTTGATTGTACACCAAAATGTTGCACCGTTCAACAATCCACCACCAATTGTTGATAAGATAAAATAAAACCAAAAATGCACTGTCCGATAACCTTTATAAGACTGTATACCAGATAATTCATTTGATAAACTTATCATAAAAATGGAAATCATCGGTAAAGATAATAGACTGTTGATATAAAGCACGTCATTTGAATCTTTTTGTTCACTAAATCGTTGAACAGTGAGTAAATACAGCGAATGAAATATCACACTCAGACTGCCAACGAGATACGACTGAAAATGATAAGAAACATCCCCAGTTGATGTAATGACGGCTCCAATGGTCATCATAAGTACGCATAAGCCGATCTTTAGATCCAATCTTTGCTTTTTCAAAATAACCACCGACAAAACAAATGTTAAGGCGGGTGTGCACCGCTAAAACACACGAAAAACTATTATTGCCTATATTTATTCAGATTCACTCACTTTAATCACAACATAGATGGCCACATTCAGCTTCATCAATGCTTGCAAAGAAAACACAGTACTGAAACAGTAGAATATCGAAGGAACGCATAATGTGTACAATTCTTTCTTATTCAAAATAGGTATTGTCACAAAATGGAAATAAGCTAGAATTTGAAAAGAGAGAACAATGAAGATAAGTTGAGACGAGATCACGAATAGACAATAATTGAAATTGGCCAATTGAAAAAGTGCTTTGTTAAAAAATGCTAAGATAAACGAGAAGAAACCATAGGTTATCATTGAAGGTAAATGCAACATATTTGAAGAAATTTATAACGTTCCTGAAATAGTCTTCATAGATTCATGTGCATCTAAAATAGAACGCCATACTATGTCGGTTGAGATAAGACTCGATGGAATGCACCTTGACACAACATTGAATTCGATGATTGTATATGGCATAAAAATTTACATCTGAAAACAAAGTCCAAACGAACATGTAAATATGTAGAAAGTATGATCAAACACTAATCAGTTAGGCTTTATCTTTCGATAGAACTGTTTGCGTGATATTGTTGTTTAAACAATAAAAAATCAAATAGGCAGCGGAAATCTTTGAACATGTATCCATTAATTCGTAGTCATGATGATATTCAACGTTACTCCAACGGGATATTTGAAATTCAGTTTCCAATCGTGATAGAGATGCAATATTCTCCACTGATTGAAATTGTTTGAGCAAACAAATCGTTAGAAAGATCGATTTCAATTGTTCAACTATGAATAAGACAACAGTCAATGATGGTTGGTCAAAATTTGCCAAATATTTCTCGATGATATCGCGATCGGACTTCTTCACCAAATCTTTCTTATCCAGATAGTAAGTGGATTCGAAATTAGTATGAAACTGTTGATTAATGAACGAAAGTATTGGATCCCACGATTTGATTTGCAGTTGTTTGAATTCTTCGGGATAATCGGAGCGGTAAAGTAATGTATCCCAATCGAGAAAGTACATGATTTTATCGATCAGCTGCGCTTTTGTTATCTTCAACGGATTGTCGATCAATGTGTTGATCAATGAATTCATATGCATTGATGATAAATCAATCTTCTTCTCTTGTTGATTCCATTCTTGTGCAAGAGCCAAGGCAAGAAATTCATTCTCAATGGTTACGAGATTTCCTAGTGGAGTTTTCAATTTCCGTTGATCGAGAAGGATTTCGTATTTGCTCGGCGATTGAGATGATTCAACAATGGACGCCTGTTTATAGAAGCGTTTGCGATCTCGGTTTGTCAATCCAAAATTCGTTGCTGACGAACGAGCACACAGACGAATGAGACATGGACTATAACGGCGAAAAAGTAAGGTATTCATCTGAAACAAACAAACGTCAGTCAAGGATATAATTAGACAGTTGTTTTTCAATCGCTGAGGGTTAATTATGGTTTATTTCTTTTGATGAAAACAAGAGTATTTGGATAATCATACAAGCATACAAGAAAATCGAATAATTGATAATTTATTAATTCTTTCATTGGTGAATTGCTACAACCAATCAGAATATTTCCACTTCACAACTATTCTGAGGGTAGACGTAGTGTTTCTGATTGGTTTAATCCATTTTATCGAGCGTGAGACAGAAGACGTTGCTATTATTTCGAAACACCATAACTGCAAGAACAAGAATCGTTTCTGAATACTTACACTAAACATGGATTTTCAACATCGAGCTGGAGGTAAAACCGGTGGTGGTGGTGTAGCTAGTGCGTCGGAGTCGAATCGCGATCGACGCGAGCGACTTCGGCAATTAGCTTTGGAAACGATCAATCTTTCTAAAGATCCCTATTTTATGAAAAATCATTTGGGAACTTATGAATGCAAACTTTGTTTGACTTTACATAATAACGAAGGTTCCTACTTGGCACATACACAAGGAAAAAAACATCAGTCGAATTTGTAAGTAAAGACTACATTTGATAAATAAGAAAAAAGTGCTGTCTTGTAGAGCTCGACGTGCTGCTCGTGAAAATCAACAATTAACTGATAGTGTTCAACCAATCAAGCCTCATTATGAAGTTCGTAAATTCATCAAAATCGGTCGTCCAGGTTATAAAGGTAAGAAATCTTTAGCGAGAATATATGATCATATACATATGGAAACTTTCTTCGTTTAGTAACCAAACAACGTGATCCAGGTAAGATTTGAATTGAGAATTTCTAGTGCGAGAATTTCGTTGTCTCTAGACACAAAACAACAATCGCTTCTTTTTCAAATTGATTATCCGGAAATATCGGATAATATTGTTCCAAAACATCGTTTTATGTCAGGTTTTGAACAACATGTCGAAGCGCCGGATCGTCGCTGGCAATATTTATTATTTGCTGCTGAGCCCTACGAAACAATCGCTTTTAAAGTAATACTTCATATGCAACTCTGTTGTTGAACTTCTCTGCTTTCTTTAGATTCCAAGCCGCGAGGTTGATAAATCCGAAGGAAAGTTTTGGACATCCTACAATATCGAAACAAAACAGGTTTGTTTTTTGTTTTGTCGGAGAACTTCTGCTGATAGATATTTTCGTTTAGTTTTTCCTTCAATTCGCTTTTAAACTCGAATCAAATAAATACAGCAGCGATCATTCATCCAGTGCACGATCGTACGGTCCTGCACCTCCTGGTCCACCACGTGGTTAGAACATTCTCTCCTGTTGTTCTGTGTGTGTTGTTATGTACTAAAATCGAATAAACTATCTGTGTCACTTTGGATCGAATATCATTCTCTGCGCACACAAACGAACTAGATGGAGTTCACTATCGATTTATCTCTGAACCATTGACAGCTATACATGTAGAGATAATGATAAAAAGAATCGCACATACGTATGTGTAGCTGATTGTTCGTACTCTTTTCTTGCTCTTATATGTAAAATAAGAGAATATTGTCCGCAGATGGCGACATTGAAAATATGTGTTTTTCTTCACAAAGAACGGGAATCATATGTGAAGACTATCAATCAAAAACGAATTAATCGTCGAGTATATCGAGAAAACTGACTAAACTTGGCGTTTAGAAAAAGATTGATCAAGTAATTGTTTATTTATTACACGAACAAACGGAAATTTTGACAGTAGTTCATCTATCACATTCTGTATTTAGTACCACAAATCAAATTGATATTCTCACAATTAATCAGTGTTGACATGTTTCGATTGTGTTAATCATTCTCGTAGATGAAACAATTCCGTGCAATTATTTATCATGGCCTATTCTGAACGAAGAAGTCAATTCTCATTTGCCCATTCTTTATATCTCTCAGATGTTGATGCATCGACACAACCTTGTCCTCTCCTATCATCATCAACTCCTTCTTCAACCTTATTGATTTCTAACACTAACATCCGTTCGGATATCATTTCTACTAAACAAGTAGATAAGGTAGCGCGTGCGTTGCCGTTCTCCTTAGATCATTCGCACGAATATTATACAAGAAAACGTATTGAACAATTACACGAACGCATGGAAGACATTCAAATCTCAAGTTTTCTTAAATTTATTAATTATCATCTTTCGTTCAAAGATGAACACAAGTTTGTTCAAGATCTTGCGCAAGATCTCTCCAATGGACATGTTTTTATTGATCTAATCGAACTCTTCTCATCAACAAAATTAAAACGCGAACATGGCCGAACACGTTTTCATTCGTTAACAAATGTTCAGTATGTTTTGGATTATCTGAAATCTCATATGAACCATATTAATATCTCTCCGCATGAGATCGTGTCAGGTAATCGAAAACAGATCTTAGCTTTACTCTGGATAATTATGAAAATCTTCGATTTTCCATCGTTTCACATCACGACGAACAAACATCTCTTTCCAGAGAATACTCTTTTCTCGTTTGGACAAGACCGAAGTTTGATCTTGAAGTGGGTTAACAATCTGTTAAACAAAATTTTGAATACAACGACAAGTTATGTGAAAGATTTCTACATGAAAACATGGAGCGATTGTTCGTATATGTCATTAATTATGAAGTATTTGTGTCCAATAAGTTTAAAATATGGCACACTGGAGTATTTCGATCATTTGAAAGCAATCGAACAAGTAGAAGAAGAAAAACTGGAGTTGTACATCAACCTATCGAATTATTGTTTTCAAACGACAACAATTGTTGATTACAGGGATCAAACAGAAAAAAGTTTGTTCCGATTTTTTTCGGAGTTGAAACAAAATGTTTTATTCATTCTAAAATCGAATCAAATTGGAAAACTGGTGAAAACCAATCCTTATACCAAACAACTATTCGAGTCGGTATTAGAAACAACGAATATCGGTAGGATTTGTAGAAGTTAACATCCAGGAAATCCACTCTTCGATTTGCAGAACAAATAGAATTTGACAATAAAGATGAAGATTACTTAGTTTTTGACGAAAACAAATATCAGAATGAAACGCAACGTGATAATTTGGATATGAAACATTCACTGCATGATGAACAAGAATATTCTCCCATTGATCTACCCAAAGAACAGCCGATATTAACTCAAAATCTATCGGAAATTTTATCGTCGATTACCGAGTTTGTTAAACATTGATTTCGCATATATGATTTCGATTTGTTTTCTTCTAGCGAATGTCAAAGTGGTTTACGTTCTCGCAAGCCAAGGAGAAAACGCTCGATCGTCTCATCGGCTACACCAGTTCCTTCTGGCGATAAAGTTTTGCAAATTCTCGAACTTCTACGCGATCCGAAATTGCTTATCTTCAAATATCTATTCGTTCTTGCATGTATATCGTTTACAGTTCTTCTTATTCTTATCCATAAGTGATATATTTAGTCAACAACAGTATTAGTACACAATCAACAATGCGTTTTATTTCATTGACTAAGCGTTTTTCATTATCAGGGATTTGTTTTTTATTTGTTGAAAAATCGAGCGGGGATTGGGAAAGTAAAGAATGAAAAACAATAGCTTCTTTCTTTTTATTGAATACACCTCAATTCAGAAGGAAAGTTCCCGCTTGACAAACTTTCAAAGTTTACGCGCTATTCTGTACAACTCGCTAATCGAATCACTTCTCGATGTCAGCATCGAAATTCCTTCCCAGCTCGTCAAGACGAAATCATTTTGAACCATGCTCAGATAATCACTCAACGACTATTTTACAACCATCGAAGGCGCATCATATCACTAGATCGGTAGCCCAAAAAGATAAAAATGGAAATACGAATCTGTCGCCATCGAAACCAGAGAGTGGCAGTGAAGAAGTTCACACCGCTCCATCCCATCATGAACGTACGAAGACATCATCACCTCGGTCAAGATTAGGCAGGAGTGATTGCATCGGACAGGATGCAGATGAAGAATCGACTGTTGCTTGTACAAGAATGACGAAAACTAGAACATCACTCAATAATTCAGCCAACCAACTACAACAGCAAGCGATGGGTGATCATCATGCGATCTCCAAACATCATCGTAGTCGAAAACATCATCGATTTTTTGAACAACAAGATCAAGACTTACCATTCGATCAAACGAATACTTATCGCAGTCAACTCACGACATACCTAATACTCATCCTTATCCTAGCATTTGTTCTCTATCGATTCTTACTCGCCGTATGGCCTAAGCCAAAGAAAACATTTCTCGAACAATTAATAGATGATCTCTCGACAGTTTTTACTCCTTAAAAATAAATCTATGTCAACAATTTAGATGTTCATTGGCGCTTTTAATCTTCACACTATGAATAATAATCAGCTGAAATATGTTTCGAATATCGACTCGTAACGAATATGATTCATCCTTGTTGAATACGATCAAGCGAATTCATACCGATTTTGCCCAATATGAAAATTCATCAGACAAGCTACATATACTTCGTGAGAAACTCAATCAATTGTGGTTACGACCACAACTTGTATCGAATCCTGTCATGAGGGATTACGAAGGCTATCGCATTATCGAATATCTGGAACAATTTCTTGCAGATCAAACCATCAACGAGAAGTTTTTTATTTTGATTATTAGTACATTAAGTAAAAACGAACATTTCTATCAAATACTTTTAAATGATCATACACGATTTCAACCTTTATTTCATACGACTAGTCAAACGTCTGTTCATCTGATACGGTTCGTTATACCTCTTTGTCAGTTTGATACACATGAAAACTGTCTCTAGATATATCGAAGTTTTGTATTTACATTGCTCATCGAACCTAGTTGCTAAATCCGGCTTAGAATTCTACCGTTTTGTTCTGGATACTTATTGCTTACAATATCTGCATAAAATACCACGTGATATTGAATGGCTTGCAGTATGCTCAAGATTCATGTGCCAATTCTATGAAAATACCCAAAAATACCTCTCATCCACTGACTTGATTTTCACAAACCAGAAAGATGCAATCGATTATTCATTCTACGTTATTGACACATTGATTCATCATTCGATGGTGTCGAATGACTGCAAACACGATGTAATCTTAGCAGATACAATTACAAAGACAATCAGTGTTGTGTGGGAACAAAATACATCAGTAGATCGTTCCATACAAGACACGTACGATCAATTGATATCCTCTCCGATTTGTTATTTTATTTGTCTTGTAGTTTAGATCAAAACACACTTATACAAAGTCGATCTATCGAATATCTTTTCGAAACTCTTTCGACGCCGACGAAATCAAAATTTAGTTCCGCTATATTATATCTCTTTCCTCGGATTCAGCTCGATACAATCGATTCTATCGTTAGAAACATGTATACGGACGGGCGTCTCACCGGTGACCGCCTAGTAGCAATCATTAAATGTCTAATTGATCTAATCGATGCTCCGATAGAATTCTCTCAACATATATCCTATGAAACATGGATAGCTGGCTTTTGTATGACTTTGATCACTTTCAACCATCATGAACTCTTGCTGAAAGTGATTGATGAAACGACTTCATTGCTTATTGATTATTTATTTTTGACGAGAACAGCTGATAATGCTTGCCAGATCCTCTTCTGGTTCGTACGTTATGATAAACGTCTTCAAACGTTTCGCTCGGTTGTGGATCACTTGGCCAATCTTTTCGAAAAACTCAAGACTATTCCAAATGAAGAATTGAAAACGAAATTAATCGAATTGTGTCAGATGGGAATCGTTCTTCATCCAGAATATGATATATCCAATGAAAGTATCTTAAAACAAATAATTCATAGTGTTCCACAGCCAGATTTGAATATTTTACTCAATCATAAAAATTTTCACAGCAGATTACACTCGCTGAACATGGAAAACGATCAGAAGATTAAGAATCGTGTAGGAATTAGTAATCTAGGAAATACATGTTACGTCAATTCAGTTTTGCAAGCATTATATCAGTGTGGCCTATTTCGAAAGTACGTGCTAGAACAACGGTTTGATGAACGGGTCGTTTTGAGAGAATTGCAACTCATTTTTGCTGAACTTAATCTGTCCAAACGAGCATATATCAACGCAGTTAATTTCGTAATTTCATTTTGATACTATCAATGAATGAGTAAATGAGTAATCTAGGTGAGAATTGCTCGTCCAACGTGGTTTACAGTCCATGAACAACAGGATTGTGCCGAATTTCTCGGTATGTTGTTCGATTGATTGTTTATTCGAAAACTATTCGTAATGAGTAAGGTTATTTACTCGACACGATGAAAAATGAAGAAAAAGCTCTCTCGTCAAATGAAATTCATCGTCTTTTTACGATTCAGACCTGTCAGAGGAATCGCTGTCAACGTTGTTCAATTGAATCTTACCGAGAAGAATCGAGTAATTACCTCTTCTTACCCATTCCATCATCAGATCGTTCTCAGGATAATTACAACTACAATCAATCAGCTACACCTATATCAGTAATGAAGAATGGATTGAAATTCTATACGGCATCGAATGGAAACTCTTTAACAAGTAGTACGTTGCCGTTGTGTGACACAGCAATGAATTCATTGAATTTACAAACTGTTTTTGATTGTTATTTTCAAAAAGAAGAATTGGAAAATGAAAATCAATACCGCTGTGAGCATTGCCGGTAAAGTCATTGTACTCTATGAAACGATCGCATACTTTTCCCATCAGATCATTACAAAATGCCGAACGGTCCATCGTCCTTCAAACAACGCCAGAATACTTAATTCTATCATTGAATCGTTTTGAATACGATAAGCAAACAAATATCTTTCGTAAAGTTTTCACCAAAATGAACTATCCAAAACTTCTCAACGTTCACGTATATCCGCCCGGAGCAATCCCTCTTCTCACGAAATACAATCTTCTTCTCATCATCGTTCACACTGGTTACACGCTTCACGGCGGACATTATTATGTTTATGCGAGAGACATCAAATCATCAATAAGCGAATCCGAAGAACAAAATGATGAATGGTTTTTATTGAACGATGATCTAGTTACATCGTCGTCGTATGAAGCCATGATGGAGAATTGTGCTCAGTACACGTCAGCTACACCTTACGTTCTCTTCTATAAACGCATCGGTCAACAGCAGACAGAAGAGACTCCACAGATACATGTTCGCGAAAGTTTAATCCGACAGATGCGAGAAGATGACAGTAATTATGAACGTGAGATAGAGAAGTAATTGTCCAACTCATATGACGGAAATTTTTTGTTCGATTTAAAAGTAAGAACTTTATTATCTATTTTCTCGGTGTTTTCGTCATTAGTATAAAACAACAGAGGAATGTAAAAAAAAAACGTGTGCTGTACAGAAATAATAAAAAGAAATTATCGTTTTGTATGCATTCATTTCAATGATTTATTATCGTGCGAATGTTTTGATGATGAACTGTTCGGCAGGTTTCCTTCGCTGTTCGAGCGCGTTCGTTGTAAACGATTCATTTGAATATCTTTGGCAATATTCACTGACGAAACGGAAAAGGATGTTTGATGTATTGTCACTTCGTTCTCATCGGTCAATAATTCTTGATCTTCGTTTTCGTTTTTCATCAGCATTGTGTCACATGTCATATTATCATTTTCAATTGTATCCTTCAGACTAATTAATGGCGATGATTGGCCTCCTAAATCATCCTCAACAATTATGTCAGGTACAATAGCTGGTAAAGTGTCATTGAAATGATTTTGTTCAATGGTTTGCTGTCGATGTAGTTGTGCTTGTTCGAGCAGATGTTTCTTCCTTGTGGTAGTTTGATTTACACAAGGGCAAAGCAATGCAAGAGATTTCTTTCTCCAAAAATCTGGCGTTGGCTTTGTTGGTGACGAATGTCCAGAAGAAAGATTTGTTCGACGCCGCTCTTGTTGACGAGCTTGTAATGATGATTGACGATGGCGATTAATTGATCGACGAAATGTTGACAAACGTGTAGATAACGTATCACCTGTTGAACTTCGCTGAATTGTGTCACTGCTCAGAATAGTTCGTTGAACTTGCCGAAGGACTTCATAACGAATTTCAGTGTTGAAATAAAAGTAAATCAACGAGGTGAAAAAGCCCTGTGAACAATAACAAGTTAGAAAAGATTTGAAAAGCTTGAGAATTTCTTACTTGTAAGTCACCGAAAACAGCTTTGAATATAACAGTCATATAATACCATATTGTATGTCCTTGATTTTTATGATAGAATACCCAGATGACAAATAATGAATGTAAGCCAAATAATGGAATTAGGATTAGAATTGATTTGATTAAATGCCTATTGCCCGTTCGACTTGTTTGAACATTGTTTGATTGATATTTCGAGTAGAGCAAACGAACAAGATAAACGAATATTCCGAAATTGACAAGTAAATAAAAAGCATATGGTACATAGAAAAAATAATAAAAATACGTTGTATTATCTGCTTCTAACCAACATGTAGAGCGTTCTTTTATTTTATCGGTGAATATGTGTGAAATAACCCACATTGCCAACCAAAGTAATGGACTTAGCCAGCCCCAAAGAACGAACGGTAAACAGCCGCGATCACGAAATAAATGACTAGTCAAAGCAGTAAATAAGAACATGGCTTCACAGAAGATAAATGTTTGAGAGACCGCATCCGTATACCAAAATAGTGATGATAAGACACGACAGCCAATCACCTAAATGAAATCATTTTGAGCAAGGTTAGATATTATCAGTGGTAAAGCCTCAAATTCTTCTCTGTCCTTTTCTATCACGCGATTGTCTGGAGATCGTTATTCACGTACCTCGTTTGTATCAATTAGTGCTTTTGCGCGTGCGTGTTTTTTTCCTGTGGACTTACATGAAATAAATTCGACGATTTTGAGAGTATTTCAATGTTGCCACATTTATCTCGAGTATAGGATATCATTAGGCGTGTATATCCACCAACGATCAGATGAATGAAAACTAATTTGACAATCGAACGGAAAATGAACGCAACGAAAAGATGCATGTGAAGCAGGTTACGGGGTAAATGCAATCGTCTAAATAAGAGGAAATATTTGCAAATAAGCGGAGTATGCCGGGGTATGACAACGAAATGATATTTAGGTGAATGAAGTAATCGACACGGAGGATGCCGACTTAGTTCCGAAAATTTCAGACGAAAGAGTTTGACATAAAAATATGAAACATACTTGACATTCATCATGCAGAGGACAGCAATGGTTAATGATAGGAGGGATAAACTTAAACTCATTGTTTCTATCATAATACTGATTGAATTAAACTAAACATGAAAACGCGTGCATCGAAGAGAAAGATTTTTTTGTTCAATAAAATCTTACTTTCACTGGTCGACCATCACCAATACAAGATTTACATTGGATATCTGGTAATACAGTCATATCCCACGAACCATTACTCAGACATAGTCGTTCCAAAGTGCCTAATAGAGAGCAAAGAAGTCTTCATGTGAACAACTGAATGTATTATCAACGAACAATTTTCAATCCCATAACGAACACCATCATAAAAATTGTTTAGTCCGTGATCATATTCGATAATATTCGTTGCTATCGTACCATTCATTGTCGCTCTCCAACAAACACGAATATCTTCTTCGTAATCATATGGACATGCATATGGAGCTATGAAGACAATCAGAGTGTCAATAGAAATCACTGCAAAATGGCTTACACGGTAGTCCATTGAGAGAGCTCAATTGACGACAACGTAAATATTCACGAAAAAGTTTATTCGGTGGTGTATTGACATTCTAGAAGACAACAGATAGCGCTACATCGATCGATCTTGTTTAATGGGTTTACTTTTGTTGGAAATGTACTATTACTAGTCATATTTCCCGACTTCATCACCTAGAAAAATAAAGAAAATATATCATAAGAAAAAAGTCGAGGTGTCTTCTTCGAAGAAAAACAAAGCATTAATTATAACTGGATGATAGACTAATCCATTCAAGAGGCCGCTAAGTCAAAGAATCGACCATCTCGATGATTCAATTTTAGTAAGTTCACTTTATTCAAATTCGATACTCACGTCGTCGAAACGAAGAAGAACAAATATCAACCAGGATGTTATCATTTCCATATCTCGATTTAGTCTCGAAGAAAGCAGAGACACGCAGACTGTTTTCTCTGCCTAATAAGACTCAAGCAGAAAAGAAATCGTAATGCAGCTGTTTAACCATTAGTATATGTCCTGACGACAATCTTTTCTGTTGTTTCCACATATGTCATTTACAAATAACTTATCCGGAAAAGATAACTCTATATACAAAGATATCTCGTTCCGTTGTTATTTCAGTACGCGTAGAGCAATGTCATATCAACAATCTCAATTAACAAATACAAGTTAAGTTTATTTAATAATCGAGGAACATGCTTCTAATAGACGACAAGCAAGGCAATGTATGCATGAGTATATACATACATCGAGTTTGAATTTAGCTGCTTGAATGTACTTCTGAGATTGGAGATGAATCAGAAAATTGAAAGTATTTATGTCAAAAGATATAAACGATATCGATACCTGCATTTTGTCGTGAAAAGTTGATATTGCTGCGATTGTTTTGTTGGTAGTTTCAATCTAAATAGAGTATTAACCTTGAAGGATCATTTATTATTTGATTTGCTTTTATTAATTGTCTTGAAAGAGAAAGGAACATAAAGATAAGCAGCTGACTTCGTACAGACGGTTTCTGTGGAGTGTAGTTAAAAACATATTGACGTCCTTGTGAAATTTTTATTAGGAAGATCACTTGAATGTTATTTTACCTGTATAATCGGCGTTTGTTCTGTTTCGCATATAATACCAAAGAGTAGATTGATCATGAAAGTTAAATACCGGAACTTCATCTCATCGATTCTTTTCTTTTTTCTTTTCTTTTTCTTCGTAACAATCAAAATGTAGTGTGTGCACACTAGGCGTTCCAATTTGATCTATGATTCTCTTGTTTTAGTCCCGAAAGTAATTGTGTTTGTATATATATATATATATATATATACACCGAATGATTGGTGTCAATTACGACTAAACCTTGTGCTTCTATTAAGCAATTGAGTGTTTTTTTTAGAAACGCTGTTGTAAAACGTATGTATTGTGCAAAAGATGCGATGAGTTGATAATTGGCATACAACGCACATGTGCATGCCGTTCTGTTTTTGTAATGTTTAGATGTTCCGTGAAAAGTTATAATAAGAAGTACAGTGTAATTAAAGAAGCTTGAATGATATCTGTCATCGATCTCACCCATTGAATCTTTCTTGAAATAACAAAGAAGAGAGATGTTTTTTTACGAAGTGTAACACAAATGATCTCGTTAAATGGCATATCGTTGTTCGAATACTTACAGTCAATACATGAGAATATCGTAATTCAACGTATTTCATAAATGCGTCTATGTGAATCGAACCATCAATAATGATGAAGAAAAAAGAAAAGATCAAATTTCGATCGACTAGGAATAAACATATAGAACTCCGAGGCCAAGTCGCTGTATCGATAGGTCTTAACAATCTGGAACGATTACATCTGTTTTGCTTTCTTTTCTTTGCCTTCAACACTAATGATTCAATGATAGTAGTCGAATTTTTCTTCTCGTTAATATCAATCAGAAAATGAATCCTGAGAAGAAATCAAGAAAGAATATTTCTGTTGAATTTCATTTAACGAATAGTTGACAAGTTCACGCATCGAACGAACAGAAAAGAAAACGGCCGACCGTGATGAGGACCATCTGTTACGAACTTTCATCAGCTCATATATCAACTAATATGAATATAAAAACTATCTCGTCCAAATGACAAAAGCTTATTCTTTGGCGTATCTTATTAGATAAGAAGAGACAATGCTTGCACAACAATTAGTTTACGCTATTGGACTATTGAATCTTATTCTAGCTGGTATAGCTGTTTTCTGTGTCACCGAAGCCGAGAATCATCCTGAACATTTCTCATTAGTTTACATTGCAATAAGTATATTTATATTTTATATGGGCACAATTTTAGTTATCATTATTCTACAAATAATCGAAACACATCGAGAACGGCGCGAACAAAATCTACTCAATTCATTAGAAACTCAAATACCAGATATTATAAAACTACCGCGACTATCTCAAGCAAAGGAGATTGTCGAAGAAAATTCAATAGTACCTACAAGACCTAAAACCATCTATCTGACGCGTAGTCAAACAGTGCCAATCACGCGACCACCACCATCACAGATTAATCCGCAAACATCAGTTTCATCTTCATCGAATTTTGAAGACGCTCTACATATGTCCAATGATGAAATGATAACAGCACCGAATTCTTTTACAGCTCTATCAAAATGTCGACAAACGAGTGGGATTATACATAAGAATTTTGAATCATCTTCATTCCTTATAAATGAAAGTCGTCATCATCCGTGAATACAAATGTTTTGTCTACTTTTCTTTTCCTAAAATAAAGTTCATTTGATATCTTGATCATCTAGCGACATCCTAATGCATTTACTCTGTTTGTGCATCTATGCACTTGGAAGGTGACGAGTAATACGGTGTATAATTATAGGAAAATCAGAATTGAATATTCTGTTAATACTTTTGCAAATTTTTTTAAACTAAAGAGTAAAACGAGGTTACGAAACTGCTTTCGATTGGTCCAACAGTTCTGCTTTCCCTCTTACGACGCGCTGTCACCATTTACTCGCCACCACAGCACAACGAAGAGGATTTACATTGCTTACTACTACTTAAAATTGACTTTTTTCGAACATATTAATAAAGAAGTTTTCGTTTCAGATGCGGCGCTTTTCGTTAATTTGCCTATGTCTGACGATTGGTCTTGTTTTCGGACAAGAACAAGATAATTTAATCAATACAAATGTTGAGCGAGCTCTTGATCTTGTTTCGCATTTACCAAAAGAAACAATAAGTGTAACAGTTGAAAATCGAGGAACAAAAGGCGCACGTTATTACGATTATGTGGTCGAATCACAACATGCTAATGATGTAGCTTTCGTTGGAGCTGTTGTAAGTTAATTAGCATTCAATTGAAGGATGTTACCGGTACTATTTCTTTTCTTATTCAGGTTAAAGGTAAAAATGCCGACGATCAAGCTGCTTTACCAGTCAAACAACAAGCTGCTGATAAAACCAAGTAAGTTAAGATAAAACATCCAAATCATCAGTTGTTAATTTCATCGCATTTATAGAGGAACAACTTACCGCATTGAACTACCCAACGAACTCCGTGCTGGTCAAACTATCACACTCGAAATTGAAGTTGTTCATGCCAATGCTCTTCGTATGTATCCAACAGAAATCACCCAAGCTGAAAAACAATTAGTTCTCTACAAAACCAACACTTACTACTATTCACGTTATGCCACTACTACACAAAAAACTGTTGTGACATTACCAACTGATCGCACTGAATCCTACAGTCCAACACCAAAACCTGTCGTTAAAAGTGAACAAACCATTACCTACGGTCCTTATGAGAACATTGCTGCATTTACACGCAACGAATTATCGTTACACTATGAAAACAACAATCCATTCTTAACTGTGAGCAATTTAAAACGTTGGATTGAAGTATCACATTGGGGAAATATTGCTGTCGAAGAAACCATTGATATATATCATAGCGGAGCTAAATTGAAAGGATCATTTTCAAGACTTGACTTTCAACGACGACAAGACAGTTACTCCGCCGTGAAAACATTCAAGGTAACAACGAAGAAATATTAACATGCATCTTGTTTATTTTCCTCTCCATTTTAGACATCTCTACCAGCTTCGGCCCGTGATATTTATTATCGCGATGAAATCGGTAATGTCTCCACTAGTCATGTCCGTGAAATGCAAGATCAAGTTGAAGTTGAAATTCGACCACGTTTTCCATTATATGGCGGTTGGAAAACTCACTACATTCTTGGTTATAACGTTCCATCCTATCAATATCTCTACAATAAGTAAGTCATTCACTTACTCGACAAGATCCAATATGATTTTGTTTCAGAGGAAACCAATACGTCTTGAAGATGCGTCTTATCGATCATGTCTATGATGATCAATTACTTGAACAAGTAACGGTTAAAATTATTCTTCCTGAACACGCTCGTAACATCGAATTCTACGCTCCACCATACGATGTCCAACGCTTACCCGACGAAAAACACTACACATATTTGGATACAGTTGGCCGTCCAGTCGTAGTTATTAGCAAACGCAATATGCTATTTCAACACATCCAAGACTTCGAAATTCATTATACATTCGACAAAATCATGCTATTACACGAACCCATGTTAATTGTCATTCCGTTATTCGGTTTATTCTGTTTGGTTATATTGTTAGTCCGTTTGAACTTCTCCATAACTCACAATGAAAGTAATGAAACACGTCTTCGTATTAAAGCAATTTGGGAACAACTTTCGGATAGTAACATCAAACGAACAAGTTTGTACGAAAAATTAGAAGATGCTTTGAACTCCTACAAGACCAGTAAAGATCTTAAAGCGTTCAATGAACTGAAGAAGAAATTGGAAAGTGAATTTAAAAATCTTCAACAAGATTTAACAAGTTTACAAACAAAAGTTCGTGCTGACAGCGCTGATGCCGCTGAAAAGGTTTGTTTTCCCCGCTCGTAGAATCAAACGGAAGAATGAATCTAATTTGACTTGTAGATTGCAGAGTTTCTCAGACTTGACTCTCAACAACGCGATATTCAATCATCATTGAGTGGTTATGCTGAAAAACTTGTCAATGGCAGACTGGACAAGAATGTTTACTTGGAACAAGAAAAACAGATACGAGGCAAAATCCGTGACATCGCTACACGTATAACGTCGATTCTAAATCAATATTGATTGTGAGGAAAATGATTCGAACATCCGGCTGAAACATTCTTTCTACTTCTTTTCATTTGCACTCCTACTTGTTGTTGTTGCTCTCTCTCTCTCTCTCTTTCTTGTTATTCGATTAGGTTAATAGAGATGATTAAACATTTTTGTCTTGGTTTGTTTTGCTCTTTTGTTTTATCGCATCATGTTTTATGTTATTTGATCTGTTTGCATATTTATGATCATTTTCAAATAAAATAAAACATTTATCGCAAACTTGGTAGTTTCTATTCAATTTGAACTGTTGTCAGAAATTTTATTGAACTTTTCAACTGATTGATATTAACTTTCGAGAACGAGGTTCACCCATACGTGTACAGATGAGAAACTAGGAGAAAAAGGACACGCTTTGATAAAATGTATACAAGAGAAAAAATATAGTAGAAAAAGAAACAACTGTGAATAATAGCACAAAAGACATTGCCAGATTATTGACAACAAAAAAAAAAAATAAAGTCACAATTTGATCTCACACAAACAACAAGTTGAAAAGAATTATTCGATTTGCAAAATAAACCATATGAATCGAATAAAAAACTCACTACGTTATTACGCATATGCTAATTCTACTAAAGAAGATGAGAGGAACAAACCAGGGAGATATTTTTATCAAATGTTTGCAGAGTTTAGTAACTGGTTCAGTCGAGTTCGATTATCAAGAAGAGATTTGAGCAATTGGTCATGTTCTTGTTCCATAGTAACAAGTGTTCGAGATCGTCTAGAGAATAAAGAAAAGTAAATCAAAGGATTGCCAGCTTCAAAATAGCAAATTACGTGGCTTGTTTTGCGATTGCTGCCATAGGTGTTAGATGAGTTGGTCGCTTTTTTTCTTCTGTTGCCTCCTGTATAGTCGATGGATCGGCACTCTGCATAGGCGAAGACGAAGTAGAAAACAAATGTTCAGAAAAAAAAAATTGACTACCGTTATCTCGTTTTCTGGCGATGGTTCTACGGGCAGGAATAAACCAACAGTTTTACTAAAAGAAACCAATCAGCAATCAGTTTTGATTATTTGAATTGTCGAACAAAAAAATATGCATTTGAAAATCTGTTAAAGCGAAGTCCAACAAGAAGATTGCAATCAAAGACGTGCATCATTCTATGTATGTATGGGTACAAAATGTCTAACCTGATTGTACGGAATATCATATCAAACACGCGTCGAAATATTGAAGTGTTACTGAAGTATGAGCAGAAGTAGAATATTATCAACGAAGTTTAACATTCTGAGAAGTACTTTCAACTAGCGAAGACATGAGCAGAAGAATTTACCTGGGTGAATTGTCATTTTTCTGATTGCTCATGATTTCATTTAGTTTAATGCTGTTGTTACTTTCAATAGTGATCAATTTATTGAGTTGCCTTTAAACAAGGAAACAATATATGATGATATACGGGACAGAAGAAATTGGTCTATTTTACTCTCGATTTGCATGAACAAGTTTAAGATATAGTTGATGTAAACGTGCCATTTCTTCGTTATTTCCTTCATTGATACTTAGAAATAGCGGTGATCGCGTATTTGTAGAACTCATTGTTGTCGAATCACTGGGCGTAATCGGTGTTATGTTGCTAACCGCCGGAAGAAAATCTGTTTTTTTTTCAAAAGTGAACGAATCAGATGAAGATTTTCAAAGGAAGACTTTCTCACCTGGCCGAATGAAACCAACAAGGTGTTCAGCAACACGACGGATAACATTATCGAGAGCGAACAAAACATGAGGAGGTAGACCGTTTTTCGATGACAGGACAGTATTAGTCTAAAAGTAAAATTGATTACTATCGATATATGTGTTGAATGTTAAATACATACCGCTTTAATAAAGAGGTAAAATGACCGTTCGAGGTCAGTTCTTGAGTCACTATCCAATGTAGAGTTATCACAGATTTGTTCTATAAAATGAATGAATTTTCAAACATTAACACAAACGTTAGCTCTGTTCCTACCAAGCGCAATTTGTAATGAGCGTTCATTTAAGTCTTCTAAATATTCACAGATACCAGACAATAGGATTCGGAGCTTGTCCTAGATAAAGTCAAAAAGATGCGAGTTAACGATGCGCGAAAGAGCACAGAAGATCGTTTACAATGGTCAAAACTTCTGTTTCATTTTTTTCGTCAATTAAATCCATCCATTGTCCAAGAAGCTAAAGAAATTATTATTGACAAATTCGCCATTGGAAACGACACTCTTACGTCTTCTCGACTGTCATTATCACGTATAATGTTCATTAGTTCCGATCGACGGCGATCGTCAATTGAAACCTGAGGTTCAAGACTCTTTGCTGGCCTACACAAATCTCATCTCTAATTATTGTATAAATGCTTTCAAAGAACATACTCAAGCACGCCCGCTTCTTCGCTGAAACTTCGATGATATGGTAACGAACAGTCAGATACATGTATACTGCTGAAATTAGACAGAAACAGTTCATTCAGTCGTAAATCAACTGTCATTTGAGATGCTACCTCTCCTGTCCCTTTTCTCCGCCGTTCTCTAAAAGAAAGAAATAGTTCGAATAGGAGTTGAAACTAGAGAGTAATATTTACTTCCATTATTGTCTCGTGCCAACTTTAATCTAAATGGGGAAAATATCGACTATGATGCTGATCTATAAAAGCATAAAACATACTTGAAGAACGGATGATTCAATAGATCTTTTGCCGAAGGACGTTTATCAGTTGGTTCAAAACATCTAAAAAGACTAAGTGTATTGCGAATCCTTTGGTAACGAACTTACTTGGAGAGAAAATCCTTTGCTGTGTCAGATAATTCTGGCGGAATATCTGGCGGCTGTCTTTCACTACCAAGTTTAAGTAGCAAAGCACCGGCATTAACCACTAAGTAAAAATTCTAGATGTTTTACAAACCATCATCTTTAGATCGTTTCTACCTTTATGAAACGGCATTTTACCAGTCGCCATTTCTATTACCGTACATCCGACACTCCAAATATCCACCTGAACAGAAACATACATAAACGCTGTTCTGTCTGCCGAAATAAACTTACTTCAGGCCCATAGCCCATCGGTGGCACAAGTACAACATCCGGACTCATATATTGTAAAGTACCTAATGTATGTCTATTTTCATAGTATTTTTAACCTTATGTGCCTTACCAACACTGTCTTCTGTACAAAGTTGGAGCCCAGCAAGTCGTTTCGATGTACCGAAGTCAGCGATTTTGATTTCTCTACAAAGTCGGATATTGATTCGGGTCAGTTAATAAATCGAATTTGTCCTTTACCCTCTTGAATTGACAAGAATATTTGCTGATTTGATATCTCGATGTAAAATATGATTTTCATGGAGGTACTGTAAACCTTCCAAAAGTTGTCGCGTATAATTTCTTATAACGGGCTCTTGAAATTGCCCGAATTTCGACAGATGCTGTGAAAGACTTCCTCTGAGAACACAAAAATGCGTTTGAACTCATTCAACATTATTCGTCATGAACTAACCCATCAACATATTCCATAATAATCTGGAACACCGATTGTTTTTTCGAACGATCAATAACCGAACCGTAGTATGTAACAACTAGACAAAACATACACAATATCGATCATATATTTTCAGAAAGCAACAAACTATTCTTATGGCTAAGTGTTGATAGGATTTTGATTTCGTTTTCGAGAACATCAGTGTACACCGGATTACGCATTGGAATCTCCTTAACTGCAAATTTTTTCCATGTATTGCGATCATGGGCAACATAAACTTTGCCATAAGTTCCTTGACCCAGTGCAGTGCGCTGCTCGTGCGGGTCACGATCAAAGACAAGCTAAAATTGATATAAATACAACAAATATTTTCTTCACTTTAAAATCTTTTTATTCCTGAAGTAGAGAATACAACTCCTTCAACACTTGACGTGTTTCAGGCAAACGAAACAAACTGCATTGTACGGCCTCGGTCATTTTATTTCGATAAATGGTTAAAAATAACATATGTGCTTGTTCTTTCATGAGATTTACTTACATCGAATTTCGGCTCCACTTCAGGAATATTTGTTTGCACTCGATATTTTGACATTTTTTCATTGAATCTGTACAAAAATAAATCAACAAGAATCGAAATGTTTACCGATCAAATATCTACGTACGCGATACGACGTTCGACTGAGGAGAAAAAGATTTGTAGTTCGACGGATAGAAATGCTTCAGCATTCTCGTATGCGTAGAGAAAGACTGAACGATTATCCCGTTTTACATTTCTAAAAAAAATGCATTTACTCACAAAAACCAACATATCGATTTCAACATACATTATCGATCGAATAGAATCCATATGAATTGTTCTAACTGATACATCGACTTGTGCTTGTGATGGCTTCGCTAATGTATATATCACAAGGGTTTCCGGTTCACTCCCCGTATGAAAATTTAGTTGTAAATGAGATTCCACATAGACATTTTTCAGCGTTGTTCCATCGTGTTTTTCGTAATTATCACAAACCAGAATCTTTGAACAACGAGAATATCTCGTGCAAATAGTTGACAATTGTTTGATATACTTACAGGTACTTGAGCTGGTAATTCTCTTTCCTCGCTTGATGTTGAATTTGAATTGATTGCATCAGTAAAAAAGTCTATCCAAAAGCTGTAAACATTTTCATCATCGGTTGTCTCCGATAATTGCTCGCGAAGTTTCTCCTTGTCACGCATACGTGTTGCTTGGTGAAGAATTTTTAAGTTATTGATCGTCGATTTTAAATACCAAATAGGAGGATTTAGTAAATACATGTGTAAAGCAGCTAGACAAGCTTTGGACCAATCACGTTGAACAGCGTGTAATTCAAAATAAGTAGCAACATCCCAATAATTCGTCAGATCTCGTAGTGAGCGGCCTTTTTTACCGAGTAGAGCATTCAATTGGATAACTAAGAAAAGGATATGATAATCATCTTTTATGCGTAAGTACAAACAAACGTATTTTGCACGAAAACATCGATTATTCTCTTTTGACTTTCGAAAGGATTTGCTATGTTCGAAAGAGAACTTACTGATTCTGTATGCTTCATTGTTATTCTTCAAATCTTCTATTTTAATTGCCAATAAAAAGAGTAGATTAATTCCAGCACTAAATGATTGGTCTTCATAAGAATTATCCTTTAAAACATGTGCGTGTCTTACTGAATATTTGGATCAGCTGCATAGCCTCTTCTATACCATTCAATAGCCTTTTCTAATGATTCTTGATCTGTACATGATGATTCTGTATATTTATCTTTATAAATTCTTCCACATAAACAAATTATGTCATTAGACAGTTCACTCTCGGTTTTCTTCGTTTGGCATAGACGTTCGAGAATGTTCAGAGCTTCATCACGATCACCGGGTTGATTACGTCTATAAAATTCAGTTGAATCAACTCAAGTAGGAGAAGGTTATCTTTCGATGAATATTACCGACTACGGGCAAATGCAGTTAAATATGAGATCATCATATTAGTCTTAATTCTTTTCCCAATTTCTTTAAGTTGTTCACAACGTTCGTTTAATTTTATCATTGATTCATAGTCCTTCAATGAAAATCCATACGACATGGTTTATGCTAAGCATCAAACATACTCACTTGAATGTCTCGAAAAGCGTACATCAATTTAGTTATCAATTTCGGCGTGGCAGATTCGTGGTTGTTCTCATTCAAGATCTCATCACATACTTCGTTCCATAAGAACTACAATAACACAAATGGTTATCATTTCACTCGAAAGATTCCACATGAATGTGAATACTTGACGATAAGTATTGTCATCTTGGGATTCAGCTTTGCTTGTATTCATTCGAGATATGTATCTATCAGCAAGTCCTTTCCTGCAGAGAGAGAGAAGAATGCAATAGATTTGGAAAGTTGAAGATATACTGTATATTGTCAGCAGCACGTTTGAGGAAAAGATTGAGATTAGTACTAAGCAGCGGGAAAGGATTGGCCGGTTGAGTGGTATCATAGAAGACATTTTTGCTTTCGTCATATCGATAGACAATCAATCGTTTTATTTTACATGTTGTCTATGAAAAAGACTTGAATAGTATACAAAATATCCCAATTATAAAATATCTACTTTCAGATCTTGAATCGCACTGTCATTTTCAACACCACTAGCTTGAATTAACACGATATCATCCAGACAATCCATACTTTCTCGATTGCCTTTGTGGTACATAAATGTTGGACGGCGATCCTGGTTTGTAACGTCCTAGAAAAGATAAGATAACAGCGATTCTAGTCATGTGTTCGTCTCAAGTAGTTGATATTTTCTTACCATAATAACAATGTCAGCGCTAAGATATTTGTTTACCGATTCATGTTCTTGAAAATCGAGTTTGTGCAATTCAACTGATTCACATCGATATTGAAGTTGTTCAACAACTGTCCGAATTGTTTCCCATAATTTCTGTCCATAGTATTTGTATGGAAGGTTGACATCTGGTTTCAATGAATCCGATTCGGTCAGAAGAACGACTTTCAATGGACCCATTGATTAGCGTCTGAAAGAAACAATAGCAACGAAATTGAGAGTTGCCGATATATCAATATGTTTCAATTCTTTTCGATAACAATTAGACGCAGATGGAATTCTATCTGAAGATTTCTAGTAAATACTCGACATGTAAAATATTTCAACAAAAACAATGATTTCCATAGAAAAATTTCTTCGTATCACCTGGATTTTTCTTGTTCGTATTCGAATATTGACTCAATTTACATCAGTTATTTAAGTAAAGAAACGAAAAGAAAAAGAAAGCCGATCGATAAGAGAACATTGAAAAAAAATCATCAGATGATAATAACAAAGATTCCTTCGACATCTATTTGCCAATAGCATTGATCGATTCAACTGCCAATCGAAATCGAGCCCGTCAAAGTAGAGAACAAACATACATTGTCAATGGTGACAACTAACGATGACGGTCAAAGATGTAATGCAGAGAAAAGAAACAAAAAAAAAAGAGAGAAATCGTTTTTGAACACGTCTCGCCATCTCGTTCTGTTCGTATCTATTAGTTAAAATGTTTTTCACTTCACTGATTCAAGTAAAACTTTTCTTCCTCTGAACTCATCTTCTTTGTTTTTCTCCTGTCATCTTTCAGTGACAAAGTCGTCTCCGGAAGGATAGACAAACGTATATGATAAATTCAAGAGTTTTATTCAGGATTAAATGGAAATTAATTCAGTCGTTTTCTTTCTTCTCATTGATTATTTTAGAATTGAATTTTTCTTTGACAAGTTTCATTGGAATCGGATGTTTTCTTCTTACAAGTAAGGCGAGTGGTTCGTCTTGACATCGGCCATCATTGAATCCTTGTTTAGAATCCCAATCGATCACGATTAAAACAAGAAATTCTATTCAATATCTTTCAAACTGTGTGTGCGTGTGAGTGTCTTGTGACGATAAACAAACAGGTATGTACTTTCATTTCTCATACCTAGTTCGTTTTATCCTTCTCTTCTTCGCTGTTGTTTTTTTTTCTTTTATCATGTCGTTCGAAAACGAGAAAGAATGTCAGCATAGTAAACAGTATAGAATTATTTGCTAAAGCATTGTGAGAGGGGGAGTGTAAAAGAGAGGGTGACTCGTGATACAAACAAACAGATAGAAAAGTTCATGTCGGATTCAACAGAGAAGACGAATTCATCATGGTGGTTTGAATCGTTTTTTGGGAAAACTGACACACATAATACAACAAGAGATCGATCGAATTGCGTTTCGAGCGGAGACACTTGGACACGTTTTCGCCAATTTTTCAGTTTAACTCCAACAAATGCAGGTGACGCACCTCCGTCATCTACAATTCGGTACGGGTAGGTTTATCACTACGAGTGATTCTACGGCCTATTGCTCATCGTTTACATATTTAGTAAGCTGAAATTGATTGTATGTTGTTTAGATTCATGGGTCAGTTTCTGGAAAAACCTAAAACCGAAAAACACAACATTAGTGGTAAAAGTGACGATCTGCGATATGGTCTCGGATCAATGCAAGGATGGCGGTGAGAAATTCACTTGTTAGTTTGTTGAATTCGACGAGTTTTCTACTCTTTTTTTTTCTAGTGTGGATATGGAAGATGCTCATGCCACAGTTCTGAAATTAGATGATAATCGATGGTCACTTTGGTCCTATTTTGGTATATTCGATGGCCACGCAGGATTTCGTACTGCAGTCAAATCAGCAGACAAGCTTCATCTACGCATTGTTTCATCGTTGGATGGCTTAGTTCAGGAAAATGCAAATTTGAAATCGCTTTCGAAAATAACATCGTCCCAACTTGATTTCAATAAACTCGAAATGGCTATTAAAGATGCTTATTTTAAGTTCGATAACGAATGGAGAGAAGAAAATCGTAATGCAAATCCAGGTAAGAACAACGAAAGACAGAGAGAGGAGATGAAAACGATTTTGTAGATGATAAAAGCGGTTCAACAGCAATATCATGTTTGATTGATACAGAACGAATCTATTTTCTTAATGTCGGTGACTCACGAGGAATTCTCGCTTCGACTGACGGCCGAATATTACTTGCTACAAAAGATCACAAACCTAGTAAGCCACTTTATTCTATCACTCAAATTTCTTCATATGACAAAAAATTTAGGTGACCAAGCTGAACGCCAACGAATTCAGGAAGCCGGTGGTACTGTACTTATTCAACGAGTCAATGGTTCCTTAGCTGTATCCCGTGCTCTTGGAGATTTCGAATATAAAAACAATCCTAATCGTCGTCCAGATCAACAGCTCGTTTCTCCGGAGCCTGAAGTAACTTATCATACGTTTTCAACCAAACCCGAGGAACAAGTAGCAATCGCCGTGCTTGCATGTGATGGTGTCTGGGACGTAATTACTAACGAAGATTTAGCAAAATATATTCTTGGCCGAATGCGTGTTACAGATGATTTGTGTGAAATAGCCAATACAGTACTCGATATGTGTTTATACAAAGTTGGTTGCGTTGTACGAATGGGAAGTATGTGAGCATTGATGTTTATGTTTAGGGCAGCAAAGATAACATGAGTTTGATTATTATCGCATTTAAAAATGCACCAAAACCAGATCCTGATTGCAAAGCCAAAGATGAAGCTCTGAACCACGAAATTCGAAAGAAAACAGCTGGTAAGATAAAGATTCTTTCAGCGTAGAAAGTGTCCGAGACTTTCGATTTCACTTCGAATTTTTCTAAATTAAAAAAGAACAATTAGCTTGAGGAAGACATAGGCACTCATTAGGATCTCACAGGAGGTCAGCCGACTTTTACATATCTTTTTATCTGTTATAATTAAATCTAAAAATAGATCTTTGATTCATATAGATCAAATTAAAAAACTGACGTTTCATTTCTTTTCTAGAAATCTGCGGTCGATATCCTAATAAAGCAAGTTTGGATGGGAATACCATTTGGCAACAAGTTGTGACATCTCTTAACGAACAATCGTCAATTCACGAAGCACTTCCGATTTGCGGTGGATTTATTTCAAAGTAAAAGACATTCGTGTCGAAAAACGGATGTTTTCTACGAAGCATCTGTCTTGTTTAGACGGTCTGTTTTCGATACAACATTTGATTCTCTAGTAAAAGGAACAAATCCAACAAGCAACTCTAACAGTGGGGTAATTGAATAGAATTTTGCTTTGAATAATTATCAAAGACTTGAAAGTAGAGAAGAAGCAGAAATCCTATCTCTTTCAGCGGAAGTTTTCAACAGCAATGCGGTATATCTATGCCAATTTCTTCCCGTAGCTATTATCTGTCTATTTCATCGTTTCACAATTAGTGTTACACATGAAATTTTTCTGTTGCGTTTGTTTCTTTTTTGCAAATCTGTTCACCTACAAGTAGCTGAATAAACAACTTTAGCATTTTATACGAAAATAAGTACAGTGTATAGTGAATGCATTCCCATTTAGTTCGGTTTTGACTTCACAGTTTGCTATGAATATTTTCTTATTTTTACATTTCTCTTTTTAGCCATTAGTAAACAACAATCACGATGATGAAAAGGATGAACATGATGATAAATCGGCTCGATCAAATTCTTCATCAGGCGATACGTCTTCATCTAGCAGCACAGTTTCTGCGTTAACCCAATAGCTGTTCGGATTCATTCTCCTTATACATATATTTCTTTTATGCATTTTTTGGTTTCAAATAAAAGCAGAAAAAGAAACACAGACACTTTCGAGAAGATCATCATGGTATTCGTTTTTTCTTTCTCTCTTTGTGCCCTCTGGGTAAAGCACCTATGTGTTCATTTGTTTTCTTCTTCTTTTTATATCCTATTCAAGATATTTGCTCGTTCATTAACTATTATCACATAACTATTTCCTGTTGTTTTGTCTTATTTTCTTTTTGTTGTTGACTGTTGTATGTTTACAAACGAAAGCAGAGAAGAGGGGATACGCGTACGTTTCTTACACATATATACATTTGACGAAATGCGATTCGATTCTGAGCAGTGATTGAATTTCTGCTACATTGCCCAGTTTTCTTTTTTTTCTGTTTGTTTGTTCGGTTTTTCTCTCTTCTTGTGTATTTTTTTCGATGAATAAAAAATCTATAGAAATGAAGACGAGGAAATAGAAGAACGTTCATTAAGGGTTGCTGAACATAAGATAGGCTTGGCCTCAGCCATATTCATTGAGTTTATCACGTCCATCGCTCGACGAAAGTGGCTTATCATGAATGAACTAAAAAAACAATTCGATATATTTTATTTTCGAATCTGTTCGAAGAAATTTCATTCAAAGTTTTATTAAATACTGTTTTGTTCGTTTTTGACCGATGAGATTTTCATCATGACGCTTTTCATCTCCGGCTAGTCATCGACCAGCATTCCGACATCCGATAAAACCATTGCAAAAGAATCGTTTTTGTAAATCGTGTTGTTCGGTATTGGAATCATCAGTTGGTAATTGTTCGTAGCTTTGAACGATGTCAAGAATGCGTTGACAGGCATGCGCGTGTGTTGTTCCTAGATGTCCAGCGGTGCACATTCGGTTGAGATGTTCACGCAGTTCATTGAGTACTTTCGTTTGTTCAGATGGATTGGACTCGTCAAGAAGATTTTTAATTAAGTACAAAAGTGTCATTTGTGTACGTTGACGATCATCCGTTTCTTGGATGAGACGATTACTTGTACAATGAATGTTTGAGATTTGAAAGAGAAATGTCGAAAGACATAACGATAAGAATAAGCAGTGGTGAAACATTGTGATCTTATCTGTGTGCTGTTGTTCGTAGAAATGAGATGGATTTTCTTTGTTCGTTTCGGTTTTTATTCATATTAGGCCACTTTGTACCTCAGGCGATCGTCTAAAATCGATCGGTCGTTCTCGATGCGTTAGATTTTCAGTATTAATCAGATCTTCAGAGCACTTTCCTCCCGAGTAAAACGTCATCAGACTTAAATAAAGTAACGCCTCCGTCGAAATAGAGTGCCTATATCTATTTGCTAATATTACAATGTCATTCGTGAAGAAAATAGATTTTGATCAACGACTAAAACCATACTTCAACATACTCAGATATTTTTAGATTTTGTTTCAACGAAGTTCTCATTAATAGTATTTGTATAAGTACAAAGAAAAAAAGACTGACACCCAGTTCTTTCCAAAGTTCACTTTTAGAAGCTAAAAGATAACTCCGAATTTAGTTGAATATTTGTATTTATCTACAAAAGTTGATCATCGTAGAAATTGCTTTGTCAGAGAATTGAAATGAAAATTAAGAGTTTAGTTCTACTCGATATGCTTTATCGTATTTACCAATCATTCTCGTCAGTGATATTCAGTTTTAAATCAAAATGATGTATTCATTAAAGCCACGCGATAATGTTTGAGTTTTTACCTGGGCGAAAAGAAAAATGACTCACTAGCTTCTCTTACTGTCGTTCATTTTTTTTCAGCCACTTTGGCGTGTAAACATATATATGATTTTTAGTTCCGCTTGAAAAAACTTGCGTTCGTTCGAACGATGTCAGCGTTTCATTTGTATTTATATCTAAGAAATAGGCAAAGGTAAGTGTGGAGGTTTTTTCCTTTAGTGGTAAAACATTTCGTCTTTTTCCTTGTATTCGAGTAGAGCCAATGAGTGGCCGTGAAATTGAGCAAGCAGATCCGGCGAAGGATGTTCCTGTTGTTTCAACTACTGATCCAGCAGAAACGAAATTAGTCGATCAAGGACAATCAAAAGCAAAAGTGACACCGAAGGAAAAGAAGAGTGTTTTGCAAGCCGTACTGCATTTTGTTTACAATCCTCAGCAAAAGACAGTTCTTGGCCGTAGTTCACTCAATTGGGGTGCGTAGAGAAAGATAATGTCGCTTAGAATTGTACATCCATTCGTCGTTCTTTGTAGCTAAATTAGCATTGTTCTACTCGGTATTTTTCTTCTGTTTGGGAAGTTTCTTTGTTGGCTTCTTGTATCTCTTCGCTCTGTTTACGGATTCCAATGAGCCACGATATACGAATACGGAAAGTACTATGGCTGTACGTACAACGGCAACTGTTGGTCTGTTGACGAAAATCTCTTTTCCCTTACATTGCTCTTCTTGTTTATAGTTGGTTTGGGCTTTCGACCACAACCGATAATAGACGATAATCTCATTCGAGTGACAAATACTAAACAACAACAAGAACAAATTGCTTCGTCACTTAGTCTATTTCGTCAAGGTTGAAACATTTCTTTGTGCCCGTCCAAAGTCGAATCTCGATTTTTCTAGTCTATTTAACACAAAAAAGTGATGCGAAAACTGAAGTCTGCTCAGCCAATAATCCAGCATCTGAATTACCACAAGGTTTTGCTTGTGAATTCGATTGGAGTGACATTGTCAAAAATGATGATCATCCGTGCTCAGAAAAAAATCTCTATGGTTTCCAGCAGGAACAACCATGTGTTTTAGTTAAATTAAACAAAGTAAAGCATTGAATCCGTATACGAACAGGCATAATTCATCGTTTTCGAAAGGTTTACGGATGGACACCATCACCAGGTCGATTACCTGAGCATATTGTTAAGCTTCAAGGCGGACGTAATAGCGGACCGATTCAAGATCCTGATGTTTATATCACATGTGAAGGAGCGGTATGTTAGTCTTGCCTATTTTATGGCCAATACAGGTTTTCATCTAATAGCACCCCGCAGATAAAGATGTTCTTACTGATCTTGTCTATTATTCGATGGATAATCCAAATGGCTCGCCATCTTATGGCACTATACCTAATCATTTCTTTCCATATCGGTAAAATCTTTTGAAAAGGAAAATTTGGTGTGCAAATTTCAACTTGATTTCTTTGCAGAAATGCGCCGGATCATGTTCAACCATTTGTTCTAGTACAATTTAAAAAGTTACCATTGGATCGTCTTGTAAGTGTGACTTGCCGCGCGTGGGCACCACATTTGGAGCAAGAAAGCAGAACAATGCGTGGCTTAGTTAATTTTGCCCTATATCGTTCACATAAATCATAATCAATCAGGGCATCCGACTGAAGCATAGAGACTGAATTCGTTTTCTTTTTCGAGTAGTCTATTTTTAGTTTATTTTTTTAACTTGATTTCACAATAAAAATAACAACTCCCTATGCCCATCCAATGTGCTGATACTACTATTCGAGCAAACATGTAACTCAATATATTTTCATGCAATAGACCTTGATCTGGCGAGAGAAAGAAAAAAGTTTGCTATTCATTTCATCGTAATGCCTCATAATATGTCTTCGTGTTCTCTTTTACATATGCAAAAATGACGTTCGTTCTGTTTCACGCGAATACGAAGAAAATCGTCGTTTGATCTTTGTAATTCAATAGGCGAGTGATCATGACAGACATACATGTTATAATTTCATCTTACTCGTCGATTAGACATGATGATTGAAGAACAACGAATTTGTCTGACGCGACACAGAAAGTAAGGAAAGGATTCGGAAATTTTGACTTCGGTGAATATAAGGAATCATATCAAATGAAGAAATTTCAATTGAAGAAGAAAATAATCGTTAGGAACCATATGAGTTCTGTTTTTTTTCTCAATATAAGTATACTTTAAACATCTATTCTAGGTGAATAATAACGGTCATTAGTTTTCTATTCATAGTAAATCATGAATGAGGCGTTCACTATTCAATCGTAGACGGTTTATTCTATTAGTATTGTATTCTATTTGTCTGGGTTTTTTCTTTGGATTATCTTATTGGCAATTTATCATTGGACAACATTGTTTATCGATTTCCTCGGAGCCACATGTTCATAGATCTAGTTTATTTTACTCTCACTTTCAATATCGAACAAGAGACACTTGTCAGAATGATCAAGCGAAACTCTTCTTAACTATTGCAGTTCTGTCATCTCATGAACGGCTGAATGATTATTTGCCAGCGATTCTAGAAACATGGGCGTTAACAACAACGATGGAGATTGAAATCGTGATTTTTCTCGAAGAAACTAGTTCAACAAATGTCGATTTTCTCGACCGAATCTTCTCGACATTAAACACAGATATTCTAGCATGTTTATATATTGTAAAATTAAAACATGTAGAAAACCACTACCCACCACAAAAGAAAAGTTTCTATGCTATGAAATTCCTCTACACATTCTATCAGCATCGAACTTCATGGGTATTACGCTTAGATGACAATGCTTATGTCCACATTGAAAAGTTAATTCCATGGTTGAAATCTATTGATCATCGACAAGCTCTGTACATCGGACAAGGCGGCACCGGGCGAAGAAACGGTCCTGCCGTTCATTTCCCACCTGAAAAAGTAAGACAATTGATCGAGCAGGTCGAATGAATCAATGTTTGTATTTAGTATTTTTGTATGGGTGGAAGTGGAGTGATTCTTTCTCAACAGACTCTAATGCAACTAGGACCCTGGCTTGATCAATGTTATCGAAACGAGCTTTTAACTAATCACGAAGATGTGGAACTAGGCCGATGTATATTAACACACGTCCAAATCGGTTGTACGAATGCATACGATTCCAAAGTTTTATTTTATCATCACTATGGTCCCTACTATTCCTTTGGGGATGACTTTACGCCAAAAATTATATCTCACGCATTTATTCTTCATCCAATTAAAAATCGAACAGTTTTTCGACAATTATACAGCTTCTTCCTTAGACAAAACCATCACCCGACGAATATTTCCGAGTGGAAACCACTAAACTCGGAAACTCATGTGACTTTTTTGAATAACAGAGAACTCGACACCACCCGTGACATACAGCTTCAACTAATTGACGGACGATGGAAGGTCTATATTGATACAACTGTTCGATCTTATATCGAACGTTTACAAAAAATTTGGTATCACCGTTCGAGTAATTGGACAGTGGCCAACGGCAAGGCGACCTTTGGTTATCATCGTGCAGGATTTAAACATGGCTTAGAATTGATCACAGAAATTTTGCTAAATCTTCGTTCAACACACATCTCACCTGTTCAATCGCTAATTGTTCGAAAAAGATTTTATATTCGTCAAGGACTAGTGAATCAAAATCGGATGACATATCGAGAAATAATCAATGTTAATCATGAATCTCAATTGAATCTTATTGTTGTTGCCAATAATAAAGATAATGCTTTACTTCGATTTATTCGTAACTTTCACGACGAAATTCTTCACTATTCTGCTCGTAAACCACTGTTTACTTTAACCATACTGTACTTTTCTCAAAACAACTCATCTGCTCTTAATTTGATATATCAATTATCCGTCAGATATCCATCAGCTATTCATCTTTCGATTGTAAATAGTACTCAGCATACGTATAATCGTGGACTCGGCCGTCAATTAGCATCGAATTATTTTACAACTAATCAATTACTGTTTTTCCTTGATGTCGATTTGACGTTCACTGGTCAAGCATTAGTAAATACACGTGAAATGATCATTCATCTTCTATCGATTTCGTCATGTGCAGTTTACTTTCCAATCGTTTATTCGACTTTTTCAAACACATTCAATCCAACTTATCAGCAGCTGAGCCGCATTGAGAAAGATTCCGGTTTGTTTTCTATCTATGGTTTCGGCAATGTTGCGGTGCGCAAAGGTGATTTAGATCGAGTTGGTGGATGGGAACTCAACAACCATGAATGGGGAATTGAAGATGTCAATTTATTCCAGCGCTTTGTCAATCGCTCAGCTGAATGTTATGTGTTTCGCGCAGTTGAGCCTGATCTTAGACATTATTATCACAAGAAAATGTGTCAAGGTATTCAAAATCCAGCACGAGAAAAAATGTGCATCGATGCAGAAGCCAGTTTGCTCGGATCTCAGAAAGACATGGTCAACTATATATTCAAGCATGAGTTAATCTAGGAATTTTCACGTTTTTTTTTCTCGCCCAGTAAAATACACTTGACACGTATTTGAACTAGAAGTGTATGTTATCTAAACGCTTATCAGTATGTGAATCGAAAGTAAACGCCGTCCTAAAATAGAAAACAGAACGCTACAAAGACGTTTTCTTCGAACTATGAGAACAAAACACATGAGTCGAATAAAGTATAATCACCGACAGGCGTGAGAAAGAAACGATTTTTAGGTGAAAAATTCGTTTTGTGGTATCTTCACCTTCACATACTCGATAATATTTTTCTATTTTTTTCGTTAAAAAAAACGCATCATACTGGCCATTTATGTGAAACCACTTTTGTCTGAGAACAAGTTTCGGTACTTCGATACCGATGAATAGCTGTTGATATTTACTCGTATCCTAATGAAACATGTCGTGAAAGCAAGCAATCAGGTAGAAGCGTTTCTTTTTATGCTTAATCATACTTTATATTGTATATCGATAATCGTTCTAACGACAATACAAAAAAAAAGAAAGGAAGAAAAAAAAGGAAAAATAGAACATACAATCATCTTTACATTATGTACACGGATGTGAGACAAAAATTCACCGTACGATTCAATTAAAATAGAAAGTTATTTTAATAAGTACTAAGATGAATAGTCGCTATCGTCGAACATCCGTTCTTCAGGTACCAATTCGCCTATGATATATTTTTCTAGTACAAGCCACGCATCCAAACTGTGAGGTTTGTCAGCAAACGCCATGGTTGCATCTGTTCCAGCGTACTCAAGCATGATATCAGAACCGGCAGGGTGCTAAAGAGAGAAGAACACAAATTTAGTATAAGATATTTTCGTTGGACATGTAAATATACCTCTTGCATGAAGTCTGTTAGGTCGTAAACGCGATCTCGGATAACCATCCAACAATCTGTTTCCGTGCAATGTGCTGATACATCTTTCAATGTATATTGTTGACGTTTTGGTAGTTGAACCAAAGTTAAATTCAGCAATTTACTTTGAAGACTATTGAAGACTTCTAAAGAAAAGAGAAAAGAGAAGAATAAAGATCGAAAGTGAAATGTATCAACTTACGAAAAAACTCCATAGAAAGTGTGTGTGAAAACTTGGATCAGTATGTGTAGTGGTTCGGTTTCTAGTTTTTGTTCGAAATATGATGAAAAATGGGTCGGCATCGTCTGTATTTATAATATCATTGTTAACTGAGATAGAATGATGAAATGATGAGAGAATAGAGAGAAAAGAAATAGGAGGTGTGTCGGTTGATAAATGTTTTCATTGGTGCACACATTCTCTTATTCTCTCTCTCCTTCACATTTCATCAGCATATTTCGCACATACTGGATCGAAGCCAAAACGAAAAAATCGAATGTATGTATACAACAAAAAAGGATTCGGTCTGATCATTGCCGTCTGAATTTTGTAAAGAAAAAGGAAAAGAACATCGCGTGGTTTATCTCGCTAATCATTCTAGGTTAGCCAGTGCAAGATGAGTGTCTACTGAAAAATCTGCGAGTAGTTCTTTTCAACTTTTGGACAAAAGCCACGGTGGGTCTGAAGCGTAAATGATTTTTCAATCAATCAACGCGTAGCGTAATAATGATGAAATGTTTGGACAAACGCCAAATGTGCGTTTCGATCTGTGTGTCCTCACGGTTGAATGGACGAATGAATGAATTGCTAAAGAAACGAAGAAAGAAACAACCAATCTTGCTCGATGAACCGTTACACTAGCTTTAGCTAGTAGCTTACTATAAATAGCACATTTGTATCTCGTACTCTTTTGTTTGAATTTGTAATCTTGGAAAGAAACGAAAATTGAAGCTTAGAATGGCTCTTTGTTATTAGCAGTTTTAGTTTGAAAAAGATTAGAAAGTCAATAGGACCGAAATAACGTTATCTATTGGAGGTCAACAGGTTTTTCTTCTCGATAATAAGAAATTATTCGAAGTAAATCAATTATGCACTCAATGAATTTAGAAGTATACAAATGACACGAAGAAAAATATTCTTTTCCGTTATCCGCTGATATTACAGATGCTTGATAAGCATAGCATGCCGATGCCAAATAGTTTGAACAAATATTACATGACTTGATTATCATTTTTCTGGTAGTTATATCGCATTAAACATGATTCGTACGTGAAAGCCTTTTCGACAGATTTCAGACATTTGTGCACATACACACCCCTTCTCTCTCATTTCGTTTTTCTCTCTCTCTCTCTCTTCATTTTGAGAATATCCGACGGCACGCCCATCTCCATTCTTCAATATCTTTTCCAACGACGCAATTTCATTTTTCTTTCTTTCGTTCCAATGACACTCAAAAGGACTGAAAAGTGCGCTTCTGACACCCACACCAAGCATCAATCATCGAAAATCGATTCAAGTCAGTCTATTTCTACTATGTCGTCAGTTATCTTCTGATCATCAGCGTGCAGATTCTTATAGAATTCAAAAAGATCGCGAAAAAAGACAGAAAAAGTTTGTTGTATATAGAAAGAAAAACAAACCAACCGAAAGCGCGTCAGATAGTCTTTGAAAACCAGCTTAGATTCGATGTCGAACCGTCGCAACGAATGTGTGTGTGTGTATGAAAGAGAAAAAGAGAATAAAAACAACAACATCATCTGCACAGAAGAAATTACAAAGAGAAAAAAGTAAACTTGCTGAACATAAGGAATTCTCTCATAAAACAAAAATAGGTCAACCTCAACTGAGAAAATATAGAGTGCAATGAACAGATTAACGTTGCGATCGACCCCAACCTATTTTCAATAGAAGAGAAAAAAAACGAATTGATTTTTAAGTCTGGTAGAAAGCAAAATGTTGGTACATGCCTGAATTTGAAGAATACATATGCGATTGCTGATGCCCGTAGTATTGATTGGAGTTAGGCCCGTAATTATCGTTATTATTGTTACTCCAATTACCAAGTGGAGGCCTAAATGAAGATACAAAAGTTGATTTTCGTGCGATTGTAGTATGAGGGTAATGCTAACTGAGAATATGTATCCCATGGTTGTGATCCGTTATTATTCCATTGAGGCGGAGGATTAAAGTATGGTGGTTGTTGTTGTTGTTGCTGCTGATGGTGATGTGGAGCCTGGTGTGAATAGCTTCCGCTGTATTTTCCATAGCCCATATTATTACCGACTCCGCCACCTAAAATTTAACATTTTCGTTGAGAAATTCCTATGATAGAATCAGTTTTGCTCACCCATATAATTATTATTAAGTGGTGGACCGTAGGAGTTTTGTGGATACTTGAACAAGAAATAAATTAGACAATTCTTTGGATTTCTTATTGGGAATAAGTTTTACTTACAGAATCATGCTGATTATTGTTATAATTTTGATTATTCATTCCACTTCCATAATGTGGTACATTATTTCCACTGCTCATGGATTCGTCACGTCCCCATCCACATTTGATGGTATAACCATTAATATCACTACCATGTAGATAACATATAGCATGGCACGCGCTCTCTTTGGTTGCATATCTATGTCATACAACAATCGTTATGTTGACAGGAGGTAAGCTATTCGAATTTACCGAATGAAAGCATATCCTTTCTCTCTAAAGACACGTATTTCTGTTATTTGACCATATGTTTCGAAATATGAACGAATTATATCTTCGTTGATATCACCACAATTGCCAAGATAAACAGTATTATTTGTATCACTCGTTCGATTCCACACTTCGTTGAAATCGAGTTTCGGTGCTGATGATTCATGGCCTTGTTGGAAATTATTCGAGTCTAAATCATAAAATATGAGATCAGAAGCTTGAAATAATTTTTTTCATACCTCGATTTCGTGCACCAGTCGGGGCTTCATTCGTCGCCGCTTTTCTTGTCGCCCAATTTGTACGTATTTTTCGCGTACCCAGCCATTGACCATTCATACTAGTTATTGCTGTTTCAGCATCCTGAAAATAAACCACAAGATGCTCATTCTCTCCATTACTCGTGTTCCTGTACTTACGTTTTGGTTAGTAAAAGAAACAAAACAGTATCCTAAATAATAGCAATTTATCCCGTAGCAGAATGAAAGTAAGTGTATACCTTTAGGTTTTTGTGTATCAGTAAATTTTGCAATTTTAATTTCTCTATTAAAATGATAAATTGAATGCAAATAGTAAATCCTTGTGCATGTCTTACGAAATTTCTCCGAAAGGTGCAAATGCTTCACGTATTGTGTTTTGATCCACTTCTGGCGCGAGATCGCCAACGAATATATGAAAATGCTCTACACAGAATCAATATCATAAATAAATAACTGAGTAACATACAAGAATACATACTACTGGTATCCACTTTGTTTATTCCGGACGTTGAAGTGGTTGCCCAATTGACTTTGATTTCTTTCCCCATTACTAAACGCTTATTCATCGCCAGTAGTGCATTTGCTGCTGCTTGATGTTCCGTAAACTCAATAAATGCGTATGGATCGCTGGTTGGCTACATGAGAACAAGATGGTGAACTGGAGATCTTCGGTAAAGAACTTCTTACTTCATGAATAATTTTACAATTTTTACATTGTCCCATTTGTGTAAATAGGGCCATGAGGAGTTCTTCAGAAACGGAAGGGTCGAGATTTCCCACGTATCTAATCATTGAGATGAACGTTAAGACGAGAGAAAATGATCAAATTCAAGTACATACAATGTTCGAGAGTTGGAATTATCCTCGTTTTGCGAAAGCATTGTATGTCTAATAGTTTTCTAAGAATAATAATGATCTTTTTCAAAGAATAAAACAATCAAAACTAGTGACCGAAAAAGAGACGGATCGTTATGCTACGTATTTAATTCGTTAATATGTGTAGCCATATTAGAAACCAACCATACACCTTTGAGCAGCACATTCGCCCAGTTTTATGAGTACACTCAACTCGTTTGTAACTTGTATTGTGCGTTTCAACATCGATCTCCATCAGATGCTCATGTATGATCTCATCAAGGATGTTTCGAATGTATGAAATCTGTTCAAAAATACGCAGTAATATTTTCATAATCTCGTAATAGATGTCACTACTATCTGATTGATCTCGTCAATGAACTTGCACTGTTCAAAACTACTCGTACTCGATATGAAATCTTGTCGATGGCGGTTCATTGATGGAGTTTCGATTTTCGATTGAAAAGCAAACGTCTTTTTCCTCAAGTTTTCCTGACTTTTCTGTAGTTCACTGTACCGAACCAACACCTGTCAAATGTGATATCTGAGGACATTATTAAAAATTAGATATAATTCATAAAAGAATGATTTATGCTTTGTTATGACGTCGATTTTTCTTTCTATCATTGCAGATAGTATGCAAAAAGTCAGGGTATTTATTTGATCTCTGTTATGTGCTGACTTCATTTTTGTCGTTTTCTCTCTTTTTTTTTCAGCCGGAAAGCACGAGTTCAAACAAAGCAGGTAAGAACTATGTTAGTATTGAACGAGAAAGAGAAAAAGATCTATCTGCTGAAAAAGCTCTTTGCATCTCTGTATTCGTCTGTTTTTTATCAGAGAATATTTGACAAGTGGTGGAGGAATGTATTTATTCCATTAAATCTATGAAAGAAGAAGTCAGGAGCAGATGGTTTTTCTGTAGAGAGAGAATATTTTCTATACTTGCAATTGAAATTCATGTTCATTTAATGATTAGATAATGGCTCAACGTAAACCATCAAATGCTACACGAAAAGGATCGATCTCATCGTCAACTAGCCGTACTTATTACAATAAAACATTCGAAGATGCAACTGATTTATTCCTTTTTGCTTGTGCACATGGCGATTATATGCTGGTGCATCGACTTTTGCTCGAAGGCGAAGTTCAAGCTAATGTTTCGAATAAAATGGGGAAAAGTGCGCTGCAAATAGCTATTGAAAATGAGCATTTCGAAGTAGTCAAAGTTCTATTGGACAAAATCCCTTATGAGAAATTCCGTGATGCACTTCTCTTGGCTATTTATTTGGGTCACACGAATATCGCGGATTTTATTATGAACCATCCAACCTACCGAACATTCTGCGGCGGATTTCTTGATCCAACACATCCGCAAGCGTATGACGATTCACAATTCAGCTCTGATATCAGTAAGAAACAGTTTTCTTCGCTTGATTTGTAATTATTTCATTCCATGTAGCTCCACTTATCCTTGCTGCACAGTACAATCGTTTGCAAATTGTTCATCAGCTGTTATCCAAGGGTGACCGTATCAAAAAGCCCCATGCTAGCTTGTGCCCGTGTGTCGATTGCGCGGACAGTTCAGCGTACGATTCCTTTCGTCAAGCCCAAGTTCGTCTGTCTGCTTACAAAGGACTCTGTTCGGAAGTTTATATTGCACTAACATATCCTGATCCCATTCTTCAAGCATTCGAATTGAGTCACGAATTACGAACTTTAGCACAAGTTGAACATTATTTTCGTGAAGATTATCAGAAACTAGTGAATCAGCTATCGATATTTGTTACTCGGTTATTGGATAACGTTCGTGGACATGAAGAACTTGAAATTGTTCTGAACAAAACTGGCAGACCTAGTGAAGAGAAGTACGAAAATCTCGCTCGATTTGATCTAGCTATCCAATATCAAGAAAAGCCGTTTGTATCGCATTCGAACTGTCAACAGAAACTAATGGAAAAATGGTATGAAAATCTGTCAGCGATCAAAAACGCGCATCTGACCAAACGACTACTCTTCTACTTGGCTTTTATTATCTGTCTACCCTTTTTATTATTAGCTTATTATTTCTTCCCGAAGACCAAAGTCGGATCGTTGGTAGGAACGAATCTAATGAACTAGTCATTCGATATCTCTCTCCCTTTTTCTAGTGTCATCAACCAAATTTAAAGCTGAAGGCATACATTGTTTCATATCTCGCGTTTATTAGTCTTATATTTGCTTCGAGCAATTTTTCAATATCGCATTTACAAAAAACGAAACCTCTTTCTAACTACGATCCAGACGTGTACGAAAACTATGTTAGATACATTTACAAAAATGCGAGATTAAAAGATGATCTGATCGAGCGAATGGGTTTCAATAACCATAGTAAAGCTGATACTCTTCTAAATTGTGATATTAGTTTGCGTTTTATGGAACCGAACCCATTTCAAATAGCCATTTTTATCTGGGTTATCGGGTTCGTTTGGCAAGAATTCAAACAACTTTTTACTTCGGGCATGAGAGTTTATCTGACGGCACATAGTAAGTTTCTTGCAGCAATCGATTTTTTTCATCGGCGTAACCGTTTCTTTCCTCAGGTAACTATGTCGACTGTACGATGAATCTTCTTTATATACTATACTTCATATTTCTCTATTCATCGATGATTTATACTCGTACATCGATGAAAACATTCCAATCGGATGCATATTGGAAGGACATAAAAAGTTATAACAAAATGTCTGATGACGAAAGAGTAGATATGCTTGATAAAACCCATCATATACTTTATTGGTTGAATGCTGATCGCTATTATTGGAAAAGCAGTGATTCACAAAACTTAGCGGAAGCATTTTTCGCGATGGGAAATGTCGCGAGTATCTGTCGAATTTGTTTTCTTTTACCAATCATCGGATTTGTTGGACCATTACAAGTAAAGTCATCAAATCGATTGATTAGCTCGAACAACTAATTTTCTATTTAGATCATGCTTGAACGTATGATTATTGATATTTCGAAATGGATCGTCATTATTGTTATCTTCTTCGTTGCTTTCGCATGTTCATTATATTTTATATTCTCTTCATTTGCTGTTATTAGTCAAAGTTATGAGAATGCCACCTTCTCGGCGAATAACATCGAGCTATATAGTTCAATACCATTGATTACAAACAATACTGAATCCGTTGCAAATGTAGATCGCTGTCCAACTCTGTTTGGAAATTTGACGAAAAATGAAACCGAATCGAATAGATACGTTCAAGAAGTTCTGAGTAATGACGATAATCTGTCTAGTGTTTGCAAAAAAAGTGACGATTATGAAAAGAAAATCAAAGTCGGTGGTCGACCAGCGATCCATTACTTTGGTAAAACATTTGGCGCAACGGTATTAACAACATTTTTCACTCTGTTTGGTGTCATTGCTGAAGATGGTATACCGGTAAGAATGGAATCGTGTACGTAAACGTTTTCTCTATACGTTTCAACTAGGATCGCGGTTATGAACTAGTTTCCTTAACTTGTGTTAAACCAGATCCAAAAACGCACGCATCAGGCTTTGATCAATTCACATCCAATCTTGGTTTTATTATCTACGGTCTGTTTACGTTCATTTGTGTGACCGTCTTGATCAATACTCTTATTGCTATGATGGAAGAAACGATCGATACAATCGATGATCGTGCTGATGTAGAATGGAAATTCGCGCGTTCACGACTCTACATGGAATACATACGCGATGGTAACCATTTGCTTTCTATGCTTCTTCCAAAGTTAATGAATCATCTGATTTTAGGAAATACTCTTCCTGTTCCGTTGAATATTTGCCCAACACCGAAATCTTTCGTGTATCAGATGAAACGACTCAAAAGATTAATATGTAGGGATAAAACTTCGATGAACGATCACGAACGAGCAAATGGGAATAAAGATGATGGCTTAGGCGATCTCAACATTCGACGTCGTAATGACAAGATTAACAGTAAAAGCACTCAATATGATAAATTTAAAAATGAAGGAATTTTCAATCGACAACGCAGTTACGTCATACACGAAAAGTTGACATACAAGATTGTTATCGAACGTATTGTGAAGCGGTTTTTACTTCATTATAAAAACAAACATATTGGTATCGACGAAACGAATGATGGAATCGAATTTAAGCAATTTAAAAACGATATTTCATCATTACGATTTGAACTATTTAATGAAGTGGACATTCTGGATGAGATGCGACAATCTTTGATACAATCGATGAAGAAATTCGATGATGATCTGAATAAACAGTTTGATATCGAACAAATGAAATATCAATTAAGTCATCAGAAACATTGAATATTATTCATTCGTTTATTCTAATAAAACATTTTTCTTTTTGCGTTTCGCTTTTTTCATCTATTAGGCCAATATTGTTACAAGAGATGACCAGGTCAGAATGGTTGGCTGGGAATGATCGTTGCTAAATTTCGAGAGCTTTTTCATGATGGAGCATAGCTTTGGAATAATCGTGCATGTTTCGGTATGCTTCGCCCACGTTGTTGTATAGTGAAGCAATGTTGGAATTAGCAGGAGAAAGTGTCTTTTCGTAAAATATCGTAGAATTTGATTGTCTCTTCGTACTGTTCTTGATCATTTCTGATTCTACCCAGTTGATCATAAATAACTACCAACTCATTTTCAGCTGCTGTTCGATTAAGTAAACTTTGACAGGTCTTGTCAGCTTGATCAAGTTGACTCGTTTGAATTAGAATTAAGACCATTCTATTGTATCTTTTTATGTTGGGAAACTTCTGTTCTCGTGTACTTTTTGTTAGTGCACTCAATTCGGAATCATTATTATCGATAAATGTTAAAATCACTTTATATACTCGACTGTCCGTATCCATTGGTCTAATGTCCTGGATGCGAAATACACTGAGCATGGAAAGCAATAATTCATTCTCATCGGGATAGTGACTTATGGTACTAATAGAAGCAAACGATGTTGCAGATTGTTTAAAGTTGATAGACATTGTGAATATAGTTTGTACTGAATCTGGATCTGGTAAAGTTTTCGAAGCAAAGCGTTCTAAAGTAGCGCACGTTTTGCTTGTCGATAAGAAGTTGTGGAATAATATTAGTCCACCTTTCGTTCACACCAGTCTTTCAAATTCGTTTTTTGGCATACCTTGGCTATGGTAAACTACAAATGTTTTATGAGAATGACTGGTATATTGTTTCTTCTGCAATTGTTCAATGTTTTAATAAAGATCGGTGACAAAAAAAAGATCTCATTCGATGCATATCTTCGGAATCAGTTAACCGCAATGCTTTATTCACAATAGGAAACAAGAAACAGTCGCTCGTGTACTACCAAACTGGTAGATGTTGATGATACTTGTGTTCTAGTTCTTCAATGTAAGGTAATTGCTCATTGTAATCAGTATGTTTATCACGGCAATAGTTGATAAAATCCTTGAAATCTCTCTCTTCAAATTCGATAGTTGGAAAAATTTGTCCTGCGATTTGTGAGTACATGAAGATTGGATCGAATTAATCTATTTTCTGGCCAGATGGCATAAAGGTCGTAGAGATAACATTGTGTTCGCATTATTTAACTGCCTGTTTGAGTGCTTCACATATGCCTCTCGATTTCTGTAAAAATGCCTATGACTTTAGGCCACCATGTAGTCCGTTCCACATGGTGTTTCATATTCCCACAGAAGACATCAGAATAGCGTTTAGTTGCAGCGTACGGTGCACACCTGGTATAACAGATTGTCCAATCGAACCAGACATGATAGCAATGACTGTTCGGTTTTCCATGGTTTCGATAAATTCGAAAGGTTCATCCGCATTTTTATATAAATGAATGTCTGTGAGAACGTTTTGAAAGTGTGCAATTGTATTTTGACAATCTGGATTATTCACATAAATACTACTGTCTATGCGAATCAAACGACCATTGTATGGTCGTTTGGAGGATGCATCTGCCTTTGGAAAAACGTATGTGTATATCGATTGAATACCTCCCATTACTTATTTGTTAGAAATATGGTTTCTTATTGTATTGCAGAAAAAACAACAGAAAAGACTGTCAGGTAATCAGAAACTCGAGTGAAAAATATTGATTTAGCGTTTTGTTTAACAATGATCAACGCTGACGAGGCAAAAGGTTGAAGAAGGTTGTTTTATGAAAGGAAATAATCTCGCAGAGTGTTTGCGTCTTGCTTCTAATATTTCTCCTGTATGTATAAAAACATATTATTCTGCTAGTAAAGCAACATTCAAGCAAATTTTATTATGAAAGTGAGAAAAGCAGACTGCCATCTATTTCTAACTATCTAGGATTTGTCGTTTTCAAGTACTCTGAACACGACAACTTATGGTAGAAAAAAAGTGAGAAGAACATGTAAAAACAACATTTCTTTTTCTATAAACTAAGTGCCATACATCTGTTTCAAAGAAAATTCAGTTTTTTTTATTGCTTATGGCTATGGCAGAACCAGGCCGAAGTTCAATTGAAGATGATTTCATGTACGGCAGCAGTGTTGCATCGTGCCATGTCTACATACGAATGCGTAAGCTCGAATACAGTTTCACACAAAGATATGCCATCGAGTGATAAATGCACGTTTTAGAATTCTTGCGCAAGGTCTATGGAATTGTTGCCGCACAGCTTTGTTTTGTTGCATTTGTATCAACAGTGATGATCTCAATTGAACCAGTGAAAATGTTCTTTCAAGATCATCCGGGCTTTCTTCTCTTACTCTTTCTTGCAACATGTGTTAGTCTCTTGGCAGTTTATGTGAATCGCTTAGACTATCCATTAAATTTTGCTTTATTGGCACTATTCACTTTCTTCGAGTCATTGACAATGGGCACAATCGTGTCATATTTTGATAAAATTCTCGTGATACAAGCAGTTATCATCACGGCGGTCATCGTTGTCGGCTTAACCGTCTATACATTTCAGACGAAACATGACTTTTCGGCTACAGGTGCAAGTCTATATGCAATACTATGTGTTCTCTTTGCCGGTGGTGTCGTTCAGGTTTCTATCGACTTCATCTGCGGAGAGTTAATGAACATTTCTTTGTGTAATTTAGATTTTTGTTCGCAATTCATTGCTGGAATTGGGCTTGGCCCTAGGCACTGCACTTGTCTTTTCTCTCTTTCTGGTATATGATACACAAGAGATCATGCACAAAACCTCGCCGGAAGAGTATATTGATGCTGCGATACAGATCTATCTCGATATTACACGTCTATTCATTGAAATTTTGCGTATACTTGAAGCTATGCGTCAAGCGGAACGTTAACACAAAAGAAAAACACAACAAGAACTCTTCTCTTTCTGATTGTTGTCATCTATCTGTTGTAAATCAAACTAGTCATGATGTGATATATTTATCATTCGATTGAATAAACTAGCCTTCTATCTTACAAACACGTAACTTTCGATAAATTTATGCAATGACAATGATTATCAATATGACTGAAACGAATAGTCCACCGATTAAACTGATGAAAACAATAGCAAGGATGTTTGCTGGCAGTGAACGTATTGATTCGCCTAAACGTTTCATCCGTGAGGATGGGTGTTCGTTCGTCGAGTCGACTATAGGATTTGTTTGCTGCTGTTTTTCCAACAATTCAATAGCAACAACATCGTTTTTGACATGATCAACGGTCGTGGTCGAATCAAATCGGCTATCGTGAATGTATTCAAGATTACCTCCGAAAGGCGGTATATCAATGGATGATACCGTTGGGATCTTCTGTCGATAGGATGAAACAAGCACAGTATGGTTCAGTAGAGCGAAAGAATCCGCACTATCACTTGTCGAATCAGGTATAGGTTGAACACGTGTACGGTTCATTTTTCGTATTGGTGCTGTTATACTTGATTGAGTTTGTTTCGAGTACTGTGCTATACGTTGTGCGACATTAACAACTGTATCGATACCACCGTGTACTGTAGAGATATCTGTCGGTGAGGCCATACTCTTCACCAAATTCATGATTCGATCGTATTGATCGTTGGATGATGATGATGAGGACGAAAGACCAGCAGTGCTACTGATTCTCCCTTGTTTCGGTAGACTATCGTAACCGGTTTCATCTTCAGAGAATTTATTCGGATGAATAGTAGTATCCGTGAAAGGCAGTGCTTTTTTAGAGTAATTATTCGATGACGCTCGCATAATTGAAAAACAGAACGAAAATGAAGGCAGGCGATAACGTTAAATAAGTTAAATTGATTAAGATTATTTCTCTTTTTTTGTTAGAAGAGTTGTCAGAAAAAATACGCGCAATGAAATATACAAAGTATCAATTATCTCTGTTTTTTATTGAGGATTCATGTACATAGTTGCACTGTATTTTACTGACGGTTCAATGCACAAACTATATATATAAATCAATCAATCAAACGTTCCTAGAACGTTGATTGGTTTATACGAATAACCAATCAAAAAATAGGAGACAATATTAAACTGAGTTTTTTTTGAAAAATTTCCTTTTTTACTTGTTGTATGAATGATAAGCAATTCGACGAAATTTTAGTTTAAGAATGAAAATAGAAATCTAATTTTTGATTGGCTAGAAAAAATTGACTGAGTGGCCCAATACGCCTACTTAGTTTATTAAAACTTGTTTCGTTATTTTAGTTTACACACAAATGGCGTGGAAATCACTTCTTGCGTGTTCACTTCTTCTTCTACTAACAATCAAAAGTACACTTGCTTATTATGTCTTAGTCGATGCACATTCGGAAGAATGTTATTTTGAAAAATTAACATCTGGTACAAAACTATTGTTAACATTTGAAGTTATTGAAGGTGGTTTTCTCGACATTGATGTTCGCGTAAGTACTGACATCCGATATCAATTTTCCTCTACGCTACTTTTGCCTGTCATTTAGATCACTGGCCCTGATCAAAAAGAAGTCTACCGTGGCGATCGTGAATCCAGTGGCAAAACAACATTCTCTGCACATATGGATGGAACGTATACGTTGTGCTTCAGTAATCGAATGTCAACCATGACACCTAAGATGGTTATGTTTGAAATCGATATCGGCGATGCTCCGAAGCTCGATATGAACGCTGGTGGAACGGCAGACAATGTTACACGTAAATAGAATCTTTCGATTTGTTATTTCACACTTTTATTGGACGAACTTTAGTTCACCACAATAAACTCGAAGAACTTGTTGCAGAACTATCAGCTTCATTAAACAATATCAAACATGAGCAAGAATTTATGGAAGTACGGGAACGTATTCATCGTGCTAGTAAGTTATCTTCAAGATTTTGTCAACGTTATTTTCTTAAATCCCGTGTTTGTTTGCAGTTAATGATAATACTAATTCTCGTGTTGTTATGTGGTCATGTTTTGAAGCGTTCATTTTATTGGCTATGGCATTCGGCCAAGTTTATTATCTCAAACGATTCTTCGAAGTTCGCCGAGTTGTATAGGAACAAAATCAAAACCATACACACATACATACCACCGTTTTCTTTCGTTTTTCTCTCTTCTCTCCTGATTTTAATCGTTTAGAAAAATATATCTGAGTGTCATGTTCGTTTTTTTTTCATTTGTTACTCATAAATAAGACTATTTCGTTGCTTTATTTATAAGAATCAAAAAAATATGTTGATATGTTTCTCTCAAGACTCGACAGTTCTTTAATGCGAACGCATTTGTTTAAAAACATTCACGAATCGATCAAATGCTTCATGCGAAAACTTTCTCGCACCTTGATGGCCATTCGTTGTTGCTGACGGCGAGTTCGAGCCTGAATTTGTTGAATTACTATTATTGGCGTGGTCGAAACGAACCGGTCCGCCATCATTAACTGTTATATCTACACCTCCGGTTACGATCATGATCAGCAAACGTTTGATTTCTAAATTATCTAGTCGCTGTTTTAACGTTTCATCCAAGGTTTCGTCGTAAATTTTCGAATATTCTAATTTGATTTCGGCTAGATCTTTTTCCTCACGTCCAAGAATAATGCGAATGATAGTCACATAATCGATCGGTGTTTTATCCTGCGCTTGGCGCAGTAGATGTGAATAATAGCTACTTGGCGAGTGGGTGAACTCAATAATGTCTTGAAAATATTGAATTTCTATTGGATTTTGAAATCGACGCTCGATTGCTTGCAAAAATGGCTGTCCGTATTTGTCTTCGTAGAAATCGAATATACTCGATAGCTGAGAAAATGAATCTTGAGTGAATATTTTTATCAACGTATCGTCATCAATGATCGGTGTATCTGAAGTTGCCTCGTATAAACCTTTCGCCACGTATTTAGCTGTAGTGGATGAACCTGCGGAATCTTCATAACGTTCTCCTTGTAGCAATTGAATTAACAAATTCGGAAGAATGCCCTCTGCGCCAAGTGCAACTGTAATATCATTTTGAACAGCAGCGCCAAACACCAGTTCATAAGTTTCTTTGAATTTTCGCACATCATCATTGTTTAATCCCAATAGAATTTCAAGTAGAACTCTTGAAACATTCTTGTCGTCGTTTTTCGTTAATTTTTGCGTTAAGAAATCGTGAAAGTGTCGTGCACACAATTCAACCGGTTCAACGAGCATGGCTAAAGTACACGAACGAATAGGTGATTCAGGTCGTTTGAGTACCATATCAATCAAATTATAATGATATTCATAGTCGAGATCATGTATAATTATCATGCGTTGCTCACAGCTGTAGGCTGAGAGGAAATGAAGAATACAATCCAGATCCAACATGTGAGCAGTGACACAGTTTTTCAAAATTTTCATCAGCTGTTTCGTATCACGTTTGTAATCGAATTCGGCTGCATGAGCAAACGAAGGAAGAGTGGATTGACGCTAGAACAAACGGCCTATGCACCAAATCTTTGCAAAAACAAAACAAGTTTCGATTACGTACTGTGAGACGTTTTTCAACTTTAAATAAATCACCATCGAAAGTTTTCGATCTTGTTAACGTTTTCTTCATATTCGAAACAGTCTACTCGGGTTTTTTTTTCAAATATATGAAGTATCATTTATTTGTTGTTTAGTCATGCTTCGCCGATTTGTTTGCACTATAATGCGGATAATGACACAGCATGTAAACAACAACAAAAGGGATATTCGTCTATGCTTACTGTATTCAGTATCCAAACAGGCTCGACTAATTGACTATTAAGCATAAACACATCGAACTTAGAGTCGTACGTGCTCACCCTCGAATCATTAGAAAAAGTCAGGTGTGAGAAAAGTGCGAAGTGCAAGATATCAAGATGAATCATGCGTGTTCCTTGCGAAAGACTGAAGCTTTAACCTGCTCTGAATTTGACCCAAACATACATTTCTACTGTAGTTTTATTAATGGCAGACACTTTCTTTTTTCTAAAACATCGCTGATAATTTGTTCAAACAGAAATTTTCGCCAAAAGTATATAATTTGTGGACCATTAGAACAAATACTCTCAAGTCAATTAACTTGGAAGAATTCTTCACAATGTATAAAGCGGAACAACTAAAAAAACGTTTTTGTAGAGAAAATTAGTTGCAATCAGGTGATCTATTTTACGTGTGAGAGAAAATGTTTGTTTACTTGGTGTTACCGAGAAAAAGAAATATCGGAGAAAATTTATTTATTAATCAAATATATGTTTCTGTCAGTTCCTTACAATAGAGACATTCTCTTAAAACTTCTTCGTCGTTGAGTGAGTGCAGTCTTTGCGAAGAGTTTCACTGAAAATGATTAATAAGCAACGCCAGAGAAGAAAACGAGATCTCGATCGAGATTCACCGATTTTAATTCATCGACGTCTTCGTCGTGCGACCATTGAAACTTGTCAACATTCATCAGCGGATATTGACAATATCCTTGGAAGTCAACTTCAATTGACGCTTCCACCTCGTGCATCGACACGAAATCGAGCCGCTCGAGCATCGCTGCTACCTTCAATACCATTGAAATATACAAATTCTTCTAGTAAAGATACGATTCAACACGTACCATTCGATTCCAAATTATCTCAATCATTACAAATATCCCTCTGTACACCTGTTTTGAAAGAGAAAGACGGTATTTCTACTCGAATCCTACGCTCTAAGAATCAACCATTGAGACCGAACAGAAATGCTCAACAACATGCACAAACAGATAGAAATCATTTAACATCAAGACAAAGCCACATACCAGATTTGTATATTACATCAAAATCATTGAACAAATCCACTTCTGCTTGTTAGTTAAACTTTCTTCCATATTCAAAGATCATCCTCAGGTTTATCTTTCGTATTAGGGGAGGAACCGACGCCGAAAATAGACTCTCCATCAAATGAAGAAGAGTCGTTGGTTGCTGTTCATACAATATCTGATCTAACTTACACTCCTCAGATTTGCATTGAAGAATACAACGATGTCGACTCATCCACTCCCTTGTCACCTAAACAGCTACTGTCATTTAATGACATTTTCAAATTAAAACCGCCGAAATCATCCGTATCTCGTCGACATTCGTACACAAACGCATTACCAGCGCTTGCAGAACATATCATTGACGAATGAAATGTTCATTTCCATCTGAATCATCTTATTTTCTTCGAATATAAACTTACTTGAACTGATTCGGTCGATATCGTCGACTACAAAGAAGTGGAGGAGTTGAATCTCATCAGTTACTAATGTTCAAGGTGAGACGAACTGCTCCACTTAGTCGAGTCGAGAGAAGGAAAAAGCCTAATTCGAAATAAAAAACATCGAATGATTCTTTTTTTCACATGCGATAACGTTCTCATCGTCGTAGGAAAAAAGGAGAAGCATTCTTTTTCTTCGTATTCGTGAACTTTACAGCTGTGAGACGAAATTTGACTAAAGCATGTCGAGTCCGATTGGATTTTTTTTTCATCAATAAAGAAAAGAAAAGAAAAACTAAAAGTATTAGAAAACTAATTGAATCGAAATTGTGTTTGATTCTCGGCTTAACAAAAAAGAGAAAGAAAACGCCGATGAAGACAATTAAACTTATGGACATGAGCTGGAAGAATATAGATCTGGCATTCTATAAAACATCCATGCGAAATCCATCTTCCAGCTCACATACACTCAAATGAAAATATGAATTCTTTCTCGTTTTTACTTGTTGTATTTATACACAAATGATAAGAAGAGACAGAGTAAACACTGTTATCCGCTTTTTTCTCCATGTTGACATACCTGGTGTAAAAGACAACCGTTGACGACAAATTGTCTTATTGAAGATAAGCTCATGTATACATATATAGCTCAAGTGTAGGGAGATGTATGTGTTCGGTTGCTTATCATATCGAAGAAAAAAGAAAGAAAATGAATAGATAATGATGATGATGATGAAAAAGAAAACAATCGAGAATATCTTATTACGTTTCTTCGCTCTTTTTAGTTGATTATATTGTGTTTGGATGATGTAAATTTGAGAAGGTAGATGTTGAGTAATAGTCAGTTTGTTTCACTTCGATTAAATAACTGTTAAAAACTCACAGTATCATTTCGATGCTTATCATAGCACGAAAGAAAAACAGCTTTAGATACTAGTCATCAAAAGATAACGAAAATACGCGTTCACTCGACAAAAAAATCTAACTATAGCGATATGGCGCCATCTATCGAATATTCTGCCATAGCACAGTTTTCAGCTTTGCGAAACTTTTACTTTTCACAGGTTATCAATAAATAAATACATGAATAATAACTTCGATCAATTCTTCGTTTAAATTATTTCTAACACTGAATGGAGAGGATGCAATAATGATTGGATTTATTCCATAATATTACAACCAGCCAGTTTTTGTTTATTTCCTACGTAAGATAATGAATAGAAAGTCAAAGGAAATTTCACTTTAAATCAATGGAGTTATAGTTTGTTAATGTTGTGTAACATTTTTCTCATGCATTTATAGATCATTACACCTCTATTCTATCATCATGTCGGACACCGAGATGGACGAGACGCCACGCGGCTCGGATGAAGTCGACTTGAATAAGTCGTTACAAGAAGTCCTTAAATCAGCCGCCCGTAACGATGGTCTTGCACGAGGTTTACGAGGTAACAACAATTACATAAATCTTTCTTGATTGGATCCGTCGTTTCTTTTGAATAGAATCGGTCAAAGCATTAGATCGTCGTGAAGCTCACCTTTGCGTTCTAGCATCAAATTGTGATGAAGCGAACTACGTGAAATTAATCGAAGCTTTATGTGCTGAACATAACATCAACTTATTACGCGTTGATGACAATAAAAAGTTAGGTGAATGGGCTGGTCTATGCAAATTAGACAAGGATGGCAAAGCTCGCAAAGTAGTTCGTTGTAGTTGCTGTGTTGTTCGAGATTTCGGTGATGAAACTCAAGCTCACGATCAACTCTTAGAATATATGAAAAAAACCAAACAATCTGCATAAAACATGACCAAGCAAATCGTTGCATGTTTTTTGTTTTTTGTTTAAAGAAACACATACATCAATAAAATAACAAGAAGATAACTAAACGTCATCCTAAATCGATCTCTTAGTTCCTCTCGGAAAGCCTTTTGATGACAGGCAACAAGAACATACTAAATTCATCCATGCTAACTATTTGCAGATATAAGTTCATCTTGTTTTGTTTTTGTTGTAAATGGCTTCCATTGTCAAGTTACAAGTCATTACCGGTGCGTACGATGAAGGAGCATTGGCTTATCTTTTACAAACAGACGACTTTCGATTTCTACTTGATTGTGGCTGGGATGAAAACTTTTCTCTCGACATTATCGAACAATACAAACGGTAGGGTTTTTCATACACAATGATCTATTAGACACATTGGAAATTTGAATTTATTTTAGCCATATTAAAACGATTGATGCAGTGTTAATAACTTATCCTGATATTTATCATCTCGGTGCACTACCTTATCTCGTTGGACATTGTGGATTGAAATGTCCTGTGTATGCAACGATTCCTGTGAATAAAATGGGACAGATGTTTATGTACGATTTGCATCAAAGTCGTTCGCATAGTGAAGATTTTACACTGTTTACGCTTGATCATGTCGATGCAGCATTTAATCTATTTGTTGAACTCAAATATGATCAATCGTTTCCACTCGAAGGTTATTTCATACTGACATTTCCTTTGTTCGTATTCACACTTCCATTGTTTTTAAGGAAATGGACAAGGATTAACGATAACGCCATTGCCTGCTGGCCACATGATTGGTGGAGCTATATGGAAAATTTCGAAAGAAGGCGAAGAAGAAATTGTTTATGCTGTAGATTACAATCATAAAAAAGAACGGTAGTTGAATTGTTTCCTAAAATCGGACACATCAGTTGTTTTGCTCTTTGCTTCATTAGACATTTGAATAGTTCGAATTTAACTAAAATAAGTCGGCCCACACTGTTGATAACAGATGCTTTAAATACGAAATATTCCCAAGGACAACGGAAAACCAAGGATGCTCAATTACTAAGTGAGGAAAAACGATACCGTTTGGAAATATAACGTGATTGATTTTCAGCGACAATCTTGGAAACGATGCGACGAGACGGAAATGTACTGATTTGCGTTGATACTGCCGGCCGTGTTCTGGAATTAGCTCTTCTTCTAGTAATATTCTTCCTGAAAAGTCGACTTTTAGTTTCACTTTGTATTGTACGAATGTAGGAACAATTGTGGCGAAACGAACAATCTGGTTTATTTGCTTATTCGTTAGCTCTGTTGAATAATTTTAGTCATCAAGTCATTGAATTTGCTCGTTCACAAGTCGAATGGATGGCAGATAAGATAGTTCGACAGTTTGAAGAGAGTCGCGCGAACCCATTCCAGCTGCGTTATGTCAAATTGTGTCACAATCTCAGTGATTTAGAGAAAGTTCGCGCACCCAAAGTAAGCACAACTAACTTATGTTTTAAAATAAAACTTGAATTCTATTAGGTTGTGTTAGCAAGTCAGCCAGATTTGGAATGTGGTTTTGCACGCGATTTGTTCATTCAATGGGCTGAGAATGACAAAAATAGTATTATTCTGACAACAAGAACATCTCCAGGAACGTTGGCAAGAGAGCTAATTGATAAACCTAATGTGACAACAATCGAAGTTGAAGTAAAGAGAATTTACGGCGAGCAGGCTAAAAATTTGTATTGATTTTTACTTCAGGTACGTCGGAAAGTACCTTTGGAAGGTGCAGAATTAGAAGAACATCTCGAACAACAGCGTATTCAAAATGAAAAGAAGGCAGCCGAAGCTCAAGCAGAGAAGAAAAAGTCTCGTAAATCATCTCGTTCCACAGGTGATGAACGAATGGATGTCGGTACTGGAATGGAGGACGAAGATGAGAATGACGACGACGACGACGATGATGATGACGATGACGATGACGATGATGAGAATCAAATCAATAACAAATCGAAATCATCGACAGGCGATCATACCATCGATACAGGTCTTGCTGATGATAACCTGTTTGTTACACCTTTGCATACTCCGTCCGGCACTCGTGCACCAACTCAATCTCCATTTGCACCGAAGCGAAAAGCATTCGCTATGTTTCCTCATAAAGAAGAAAAGTACACATGTGATGATTATGGTGAAATAATCAATCCTGCTGATTATATGGTCGTTGAAACGAAACCATCGATTGCAAATGATTTTGCCTCGATGAATTTTGGTGATTCGGACGAACGACAGCCTCTTAATGAACTATTTGCTAATAATAGTAATGTATCGAACATGGTGTTGACGATGATGCAACAAAATTCAGTCGGAATACTACCTGCGAATCAAGCTCAGCAACATCCACTGATTCAACAAGTGCAACATCAACCTTCGACTATTCCGTTTAAGACTCTACGTGAAAAGCGTGAATTGAAAATCAATGCCAAAGTTCTATATGTTGATTTCGAGGCACGAAGTGATCGCGAATCGATTGAAAAGTTACTTAATCAAATTAAACCGAAGAATTTAATCTTGATTCATGGCACACAAGATTGTATCGAACAATTAGAGAAGTATTGTACAGCAAAACAAATTGTTCAAGGAAGAATATTTTCACCCCGTGTGGGTGAAATTGTAGATGCCACAACTGAACGAAATCTTTATCAAGTAAAACTGATTTTATCCTTGATTATAAAGTGTTCATTTATTTGCTTCTTTTTAGATTAAACTCAAGGATAGTTTGTTAAGTTCGATCTCATTTGCAAAAACACGCGATGTCGATGTGGCATGGGTTGATGGAGTTATCACCCATGGTGCACCACCCCCCACGACTCCGTCGGGATTAGCAACATTTACCAGTGACTATCGATATTTTGTTTTTTTTTACATTGAAACAATCCTTTCTTGTAGCTGTTGGTCAATCGAATACAGAATGGTATTTAAATCCTGTCGCGCGTGAGGTGAAAGATCAGGTAACTGTTGAAAATAGAAGAATTCCTTTCGCTATTTGTCACCACTTAGATGCCACCACACCCATGTGTATTTGTGAACGAACCAAAACTACTCGATTTGAAAATGATTCTTATCCGACAACATGGACTACGAGCTGAATTCGTTGGTGGAGTGCTCACTTGTGAAGATACAGTCGCAATTAAACGAGTAAATCTTCGACATTTTTTGTTGAAGTTCTTCAATCAATCTTGTTGCTGTTTTTTGTTTTCTGTAGAACGAAGCAGGCAAAATTATTCTCGAAGGTTCTCTGTCCGACACCTATTACAAAGTTCGACGAATCTTATACGATCAATATGCTATTTTGTAATAATTGTCTATAGATACTATATCTTTAAATGTGTTTTTTTTCTTTGTTTTTCAAATAAATATACGTGAAGTTCAGAAAACAATCAACTAAATTTCAATCCATAAAAAGAAAGGCAAAAACAACGAAAATTAAAAAAAATGTGAACTAATATCTATTATTGAGTAGGAATGATAGTAACTTTTCGATGAATTTCTTCTAATATACTATCTGCGCCCATTTGGATTAATTTAACAGCTAAATCCGTACCGCATAATTCAGCGTTTTCTAAAATTGTTTCATTGATATTCACACCACATACATGTGCGAAATGACGGAGTAGAGGTGGAGTCTTCATTGAAATTGACGGTGATAGTGAAGAATCAGCATCCGAATCAACGCGTTTTCGTTTGAAAGTTTTTCGAACTGGCTGTGTCTCATCCTCAGTGGACGATAAAACATCTTCATCGGTTGACGAAACAAGAAAGCTTGGGATAGGCGTTGTCACCGGGATAGTCAAATCAAGGTTTTCGATATGGCCTTTCACAGAACGGGATCCGTCAAGATTTAGCAAAATACCGTTGATCGTCAAATTTTTGCCATGGTACTCAGTTCGAACAGCATTCGGAATACTACAGCCGCCTTCAACTAAGATAACATTCTATAGACTGTTGCTTTTCTTTCGACGAAAAGACTTACTTCGTTTTAGGAATGCTCGTTCAGCAACACAACGGACGACTGTCGGTTCATGATTGAGTACTGATAACATTCGAATAGTATCATGATCATTATGTCGACATTCAATCCCCAATGCACCTTGTCCAATAGCGTAAAGAATGCGTTCGGGTTCGATTATTTCACTAATACGATCTGCCCAATTTAACCGTTGAAAACCAGCAACAGCAACAATCATTGCATCGTAACCTAATTCTTGATTACTCAGCTTCTCCCAACGCGTATTCATATTTCCTCGGATATTCTTGTACGAAAATTGTGGATAATTCAGCTTCAATTGAGCGATACGTCGCGTAGAACTCGTCCCGATCACGCTGCCAGCTGGCAATTCACTTAGAGATTTCTCTGATCGCCATGGTGCAATGACGACAGCATCACGCGGATCGGCACGTTCAAGAATCGCGCCAATAACCATGTTCGGTGGTAAACTGGTCGATGGAACATCTTTCAATGAATGAACAACAAAATCAATCGTTTGTTTATCGAGTTCATTCTCTAGTTCTTTCGTAAATAAACCTTTGTCACCAATATTCGCCAGAGGTGTCAACAGATTTTTGTCTCCAGTTGTTTTGATTTTGATTATCTCATATTCCACTTTCGGAAAGAACGTACGAAGTTGACTGATAACACTAGAAAGCATGTAATCCAATCAGAATAACACATATCATCTGACATAAATTCAGTTATACCTTTCGGTTTGAACAAGTGCTAATTGACTTTCTCGGGTGCCAACTTTATACTTCAAACGCAACGGTACGTACGACATGATCGATATGACTATATAAAACAGATCATTATTTTAATCTAAAAACAAGTGAATAATACTATGAAAATATCGTCATACGAGTGTAACCTAAGTACGTATGAATCATTTCATATTCTCTTACATCAATGGCAAATTATTTTGCTCACTGACTCATGTTGATATTTATCAAACTGCCTGACGATTTCGAGAAGGTGATTTTTAATCTGGTATTGGGATTCATATTCATTCATTTGAGATAAATGCGATTTCTGGTTTATGTTATGTGTCAAGCAATTCTTTTTCTTTTCGCCAATGAATGAAGAGAACTCAATGGGCAAAAGAACGACCTCGATAGATATGTGTGTGGATGCCGCCACTAGCAAGTATCATCGTTCTTTTTTTCTAGATTGATTATTGTTTTTGATAATGCAATGCAAAAGGTAATTGCCAGCTATTTGATAAATATGAAAATTTCTCGGTTTTAATTGACATAAGGGTGTTTGTGTGACGTAGTTGATACGCAGTTTGTAAATCAAATCGAATGAAAAACAAACGCACGATCGCAGTTTAACTTTTTTAAGTACAAAAACTTAATCATTCGCGTTTTGATGATTAATCTTCTCATTTCTCACATTGTAAGGACGATGACATGTACAAAGACAGATGAATGTGTTTTTCTTCTCAGGGACGGACTTTGTGTAAAGTAAATCAAAACAATGATATGCTGTTACGAACGATACAGTACACAACAGAGAGATTAAGATGCACACACGCACACACACACACGCGCACGTTATTGTTTACGAATAGAACAATGAACTAGACTTTTTTTTCAAAGAACAACGCAAGATAAATACCATAAGATCGATGATCTCAATCGTACACTTTCGAATAAAGTACTTAGTCAAATACAGTTGATCTATGGAAGAAATTCTTTGACATATCCCAAGACTAAACATCGAGATCGATTCAAATGGGTGCAATTTACTGATCTTATCTAATCTAAGTTGTTTTTCTGCGTATCTTTGCCAACGATAAAGTATTCTGGAAATATTTTCCATCTTAATCAATAAGTCAGACAGAAATAGTATAAATTACCGTCGATGAAGAGAATAAACATGTAGTTAATCAAAAAGAAAACCGATAAATTCTAATTACGAATGAATAATTTCGTTTTTCCAATGATTGCATCTTATCGAATATGCTCATAGATGACAGAATCGAAAACTGACTAGCTATCCTCTTTCCTTCTCGTTTATGGCAATATATTCGACGTCAAACGAGCTCATTCCAATTAAAATTATTAGTCGACACTGAAACGCAATATTATTAACTAGTTTTTTTTTCTAATTAATATCTCTAGTTTCTCCCGATATACAGTACATTGAAAATGATGATTTCATGCATGGTTTCTTCTCCCTTTTCCTCTCTCGAACAACATACATTTCGTGTCAACTTTGACACTATCAACTTGAAATCACTCACGTGGTAATGAGAGAAAAATTTAAGGTAAATTATCACTATAAAAGCAACGTAAACTTTATCAGTTGTTTATTTTCCCTTTCTCATTCAACATGTCTCATGTTCGGCCTCCACATCGTGCACCTGTCCCGATGAGACCACCTACCATAAATCATCTAGTTCTTCCGCGTACTCCACCTCCACGCGCCAGTATTCCCCAACACCCCGCACCACCGCCACCACCACCACCGCCGCCGATGCTGCACCCTTCTCCTTCTGTGCCTTCTAGCGGACGAAATCGCCTTCCACATTTCCTTCCCGTTCTTCAACCACCCCTCTTTCCAAAAGAATTTGGTTTCTACGAAGAAGAACAGTATCTCGATGGTTATGAAACCTATGAAACCATTAGTCCACTCATGGATCAACATCGATTAAAGACACAACAACTTGACCAGACTACTCGAACATTTTCATCGCTACTTGGCCATACAAGACGTCATTCGCCGAGATTTGCACGATACCTTCGTTCTGTTTATTATGAACATTAAATATTGTATGTTTTTTCTTTTTCAATGCACAAGAATAAATAAAACATGTAATCTAAACAATCTTTGTACTTATCGGTCATTAATATCTTGTCATATGTTTGGTTGAAGATAATCAAATATAGACGCCGGATTTTGTAATCAACGAGCGAGAGTATGGATAAAATTCTAATCGGTTTGGAGATGAGCAAATACAGACGAGAAGAAGATCATTTACAAAGAGAATTATTTCTTTTTTTAAATACAAATTAAGAACATGTGAATCAAATATCATAAGTCATATCTTCTTCCTTCCTTCCTGCACATACGACTGTTTATTAAGTCAATATTGAAATGATGAACATGTCGGTACTTATGCATGAAAATCGACTTCTTGTCATTTTGAGTGCGAACCGAGCAGCCCGAATGAAATCATTACATAAGATGAAATCGATATGAGATGCATGTTGAAGAAAAACTAATCTCAATTAATTTCATAACGAATGGGGACGAAAACAAGTGTGAACATCGCATTTGATTTCACCATTATATTGTTAACAACTAATCGACTAGTCCTACAAAAGACCAAATCACAGTTCGATTAAATTTCGTCTACTTGTTGTCTCTTATTATTCAACTGTAGGATCTGATATGCGCGGGTGGGAGTCATGTTTGTTTTAGTTTAATTTTCAAATAACAATACAATCAGTTCGGACTGGCCAGTGAAAGGTCAAAAGGTAGTAGTCGATTTTGTTTTGAATAGAGATCTCCGTCTTATATAAGTTAAGAGGAAGTGGGCTCAGATATCTCTTCATTGACTTTATCTCGTATACACACAAAAGATTGAACAGTTGATTATACATCTCTTTTCCACTGACAACATGTAAGAATTTGATCTTATACAAATATCGACAGTTGCATCAGATTGCGAACTCGAGAGAGAATTCAATCAGCGAAACATAATAATGATGATTATGTAGATTGAGATGAAATGTATACATGATGATGATGAAAACAGTATTGAACAAAAGAATAAGGAGGCGAAAGGATCAAGCTTCTTTTTCAACCAGTTCATATCCGTAAGATTCGAAGGGGAGGAAAGTCGGTAGACAAAAAGATAAATAACATCGTCATCTTTGTATTCATTAGAAAATAAAAAGTCTGTATCCGAAACCGAAATGTCATTGAAATAGTAGTTAAGATTTGAACTTCTGTCATTTTCTCGTATTTCCTTCGATGATCTTGTCTAACATAATTCGATAAAGTTTATTGAAAGATAATAGCAATAAACAAGGTTGTTAGTTTTCAAATCTTTTGAATCACTTCTTTCTCAGTTGTATTTATTCATGGATCTCTTCGTCTTGCATATGAGAACGTAGAAGTTCTAGACATCGAAGAAAAAAAATGATGATTATTAGATAGATCGAATAAATACGTGTATGACGATTTACTACAAAAGATTGCGTTCGTCAATATTGACATCACGAACACGACGAATATGTTCAGATCAACGAACACGTTTGATCGCTAAAAACAAAGAAGAACACAAAGCGACGGACAGAATATGTCAGATTAAAACGGCGCCGTTCTACCACCACTGGTGATGATGAACGTGATGTAATTGGAGATGGTCGGGTGCAAAGAAAAACTTCAGCTCGCTCTCCGTGTATAATTGCTCGGTGACGCGTCACGTACGCAATACGATTGCAATCACACGGAAGGTCGGGACCGATCGTCTTAAAGAATCACAGAGCAAATAAATGATATGATCGAGAACATAATATTCTTTTCATTCTTCAATTAATTTTTTGCTCTCATTTTATTCTAATCCTCTCTCTCCTTCTCTTTAGAGAGAGCGAGAGAAAGAGAGAGAGAGGATGAACTGGTTGGTAGTACACGATAGTGAATTAGAAATGATGACTTTACCAATGGAATTTAGTTGACTATGACATAGGTGGGAGGAGAAATAGAGAGAGAAAGAAATAGAAAGAGAGAGAGAGAGAGAGAGAGAGAGAGAAGACAAAAAGAGCGGTGTGACAAACAACAATTTGTCAATCTATAAAGTGAGTGACAGCTGAGTTCATCATCATCATTCAACACACTCTCTTCCTTGCAGTACATCCTCCCGATACAAGCATACACAGAGATATTTAACCAATGAGACAGAAGTTGATCATTAGTAAGTAAAGATATTCATCTTGATATTTTCCTTACATTCACCTGAATAGGTTCGCTGACTATCCTGTCAGCAATAATAATCTATCTACCAGATCAAGTGGCCTCCTATAAACGTTGTCCTGAACATGGTACAACCGATTCACCAACAGTACAATATCATTTCGACGAACAATTCTGTAATGTTTATCACAAATGTAACTGTACACGTACGGAATGTCACGTTGTTGATTCACATGTTTGCCCAATTGCAAAAGTCTATTCGAAAACTAAACAAAAATGTCTAGGTTTGTTAACAACATTCTCTTTTGTTTGTCCATGACCTAGACATAGTTGTTCTTTCTCATTAGATATCGAAGATGAAAGTTGTGAAACGACTTATATTCAATGGGTACAAACTCATAGCAGCACTTTGAACAATCCAGTTGCTATCAACATATCAGAATCTCTTGTTTCATCTACACCGAATAGTGATTTTCAATGTGAACAAGGTCAACCAGGCAAATTTAGGTGAGGATTCACTCTATTTATAGTCAGTTTCTCTTATTGATGAATTTAGTGATCCAAATATCTGTAACATATTTCATGTTTGTATTACACGAAATGACCAAATCGTTGATCAACCATTCATGTGCCCATATCCAACGGTATTCAAAAGCAGTTCGTCGGATAAGATGTTTTGTGCTCAACCAGAACCGAATGATTGCAAGGATAAAGCTTTTTATCGTTCAGTCGAAGGGCCTGCAAGAGTTATGAACAGTGAAGACGATGCCTCATCAATCTATCGGCTACCAAAGAATACGCTCATGTCTGATGAATGTTTACATCCAGGTTTGTACCCTGATAGCATGTACTGCAACACCTATCATAAATGTACGGTGAATGGCGAAGATGAACAATATTTATGCGAAAATCAACTGCTTTTCAACCCGGAATCGAGAATTTGTGATTATCCTATCAATGTAGCCTGTGATGGTAAAGGTTTATATCGACGTCCATTGAATTTTGTCAATGGTACTCGACTGAACTCATCTTCTATGGCCATCTATGATGCTGAACTTCGTCCTGAATGTCCATTCCATGTTTTAAATATTTTGATTACTGATAAAGATTACTGTAATGTCTTTTATGATTGTCAAGCAGATGGTGCTTCTGTGTACATGTGCCGGGAAGGCACAGTATTCGACTCATCCAGTTGCCAACCAGAGGGATTGGTCAATTGTGGCAATCGCCTAGTTCTAACTGCACAAGGTAAACGTTCAGCCAAGCCATTCGTGCAAACAACCACTGAAAGTCCAGCAGAAGTGAAGACACCATTGGGTAGAAGTTTACAGAGCAAACATTCGAATTTCATTCTTTTACCACCACCAATGCAGAATCAAAAAGTCGTTCTCAACGTTCCATTTGATTGTAAAGGACGTATTGATGGTCACTGGAGAGATACGCGCTATTGCGATGTTTTTCATGCATGTATTGCTGGTGTACAAAAACGCTCGTATGGTTGTAATCAAATTGGAGAACGATTTTATTTTGATGACGCAACACAGAAGTAAGAAATGAAGAAGATTAGATAGCATTTGTGATTCTTCTCATACGAATGATTGTTTTTCGTTTAGATGCGAATTCACGAGTAGAAATGCAAACGGTTGTCAAGCAAATCAATACTACACAGCGATTGAACCGATACCTGCTGTACCTGGAGTACAACTGAGTACTGGTAAGATGATGAGAATAGTCTCGCGGAAATTTATGTTGTCTTCTAGAAACACCGACCGAACCATGGAAGATTTTTATACAATCACGCGAACAATTTACCTGTGCAGGTAAAATCAGATAGTAATCTTGTTTCGAAATGGTTTTGTTTTGATACTTTGACAGGAAAACAAGATGGTTTCTATGCTAGTCGCTGGTGTAATGTCTTTTATCGCTGTTACACGGGTATTTCTAGTGCTTTTCTGTGTCCAAAAATGCCTAGCGGTGCTCGATTATGGTGGGTACAACATGGCTCACCTCAAGGTATTGCACAAGAAACTGCTGCGTGCACTTGGCCATGTGAAACAGGTCGACAATGTTCAAGTTCGGGTGGAATTATCGTTGATTCAGGTTCGACAATTAGTGAAAATCAACAAGAGGCAGAAGCGGTTTTTTCACAATCACTCTGTACATCCGCATCATCAGGCGGTTCAAATCCAGGAACGAGTGGATCGACAGGAACTGGCGATGGTAAGTCTTTGATCATCAGAGAAGAATTAAACTTTTTCAAGTTGAATCGCTGGCTTTTCTAGAAACCTTTACCGTCGATTCCGATGCTAGTTGTATCGGACAAGCTGACGGCACTTTTCTCAGCAGTCGGTATTGTAACGTATTCCACCGTTGTGTCAGCGGCACTCGTCGAGACTTCCGCTGTCCACGTGCTACAAATACACCCTACGATCTTTGGTGGAATCAACTAACTCAACAGTGTGATTGGCCATGTAAGTGTTTCTCATTTCCCCGATTCACTCATACTCAATTGTTCGTTACGTTCTATCAAGGTCGAATTCAATGTAGTGGTGCAGTGTTCGGCACGACGTCAACATCGGGACAAATCCGAACAGAGAATGCTCTCCTTTTCAGTAATGAATGTAATGGCTATCAGAATGTGAATAGTGCTGTCGCCAACAATCAAGGCATTGTGTATTCATCGAATGCTCAAGTATTTGAAATACCTCGTATTTTATCATCGCGAGTCATTGAAAATCCTGATCCCAATTATGTCTGCATGCAGACTGGCAAACTTCCTACACGACGATTTTGCAATGTTTATTACGAATGTTCAATGGTTGGTTTACCACCCTCACAAACATTCGAGTGTATTGACAGCTTCTTCGATCGCAGTCAAGGTTTATGCCTGCCAAAAGATCAAGTTCCATGTTTAGGCGGCATTTATCCATACGATTCGATTCCAATCGATCGTAATCCAGATGCACTACAATGTTCAACCAATTTAGGCTTTCAATTGCATACATCACGACAGTTCTGTAATATTTATTATCTATGCGATGGTACACAATCTACACCAACAACGTTCCGCTGTTTTGATCGTCAAACTCAAGAAGAAGGCATCTACGATCCGTTTGCCGAACGTTGTGACTCCAGACGAAACTTCAACTGTCAAAATGCTATATTAAATTTAAGTCAAACACAATTATATCGTTCAATACCAATTGACCATGCACGTCTATCGGATTTGTCGATTTTACCATGCAAATATGATCAATCCTATGTTCTTGAACATGAACAGTACTGTAACTTGTATCATGTCTGTCGACAAGGTGATTATCATCTATATGCCTGCATATCCGAAGGAGCAAACAACAATCAGCCTACATCGTATTTCTACCAGCCAAACGGTCAATGTGCTGCACCATTAACTACGCTATGTCCACGAACGAAGAGTGTGTTTAGCTACGGCCGATTACTATCACAAGGAACACATGATATGTTTCAACCATTTGTAATGCCTGATCAACAGCAGCAACAATACAATTTTGGTTCGATTCCTATTCAAGAACGTGTCAAACCAGTTCCAACATGTCGGGCAACAGACAACTACATCATCCCACACGAACGATATTGTAATTTATTCTATGGTTGCAAAGAAGGTGAATTAATTCTCTATGCGTGTGTTGATCGTTTAACAAATAACTATGGTGGAGTATTTCAATCTTCTACTGGTAACTGTATCGCATCCAATGAATGCTCAACAAATGAATATTATCGACCAGCTCAAGTGACAACCTCACGTCCAAATAACAATGTTCTCTTTCGTTCCTATACTATGTTAGAAACATCCAATGATACACGAAAAGTAAACGATACAAATGAAATCAAATCTGCCTTTTCATGTGCCAATCGTGCTGATGGATATTATGAATCTGAATGGTGCAATATTTTCTACCGTTGTGTTGCTGGAAAACGTATCGATGAACGTTGTCCAAAAGCCGGCAGTCAATCTACATTAAACTATGATCTTTGGTGGAAACATCAATATACTACTTTTAATGCGACGAATCCACAATATTATGCTGGCCTGGATCATGTTGTTCGATGCGATTGGCCATGTAAGATTCAATGTAAAAAGCCCATATGGATATCAAGCACTAATACTCAAGGTGATTCTTTTCAAGTCCTTCGACAAGATCACGAACAAAGACCAGGTTGTTCGATAGCTTTCAATCGAAAAATTGAACATTCAATGCATCTGCCAACACAAATGATCATGTACTCTGATATTCCAAATCCATCGAATTATACATGTCCAATGAATATCCATGGCGTTAAAATTCGTTTACCTGATCTGAAGTTTTGCAATGTTTTCCACGAGTGTACTGCTTCGAAACTCATGGGCTCATTTCTCTGCATTGAGTCACAGTTTGATGCACGCGAAAGTGATTGTGTGCCATTATCTTTAAACAATAATTGCCCAATGGCACGTCGCTATACATACTCGCGTCCACGTCTAGCTGCTCAATCATCGATTATTGCTTATTACGAAGCTGTTGAAGTTCGAAGTGTCAATCCAAGTGGTTATGAATGTATCACCGATGGTATTCATACAGATCCGATGTTTTGCAACTTATTCCATGCATGCTCTGGTCGTACGCGGCGAACATTTCAATGTCGTCAAACAGGTACCGATGGTATCAATGATGGTGTGTCCACATTTGATTTGAATACTAAAAGTTGTACAAGATTTTCCTCGTATTCTTGCTCAACACTTCTCTATAACCAAGAGTTCGTCATTTTGCCAGTTATGTTTAAACCACCGACTGTTTCTCCCTGCGGCAAAGAAGGTTTCTTTCCGGTTTCGGATATAACTGCACAATATTGCAACATGTTTGCTTGGTGTCCCAAAGGACACGGCGAAGCGAAAGTGTTCGAGTGTGTTCCATCATTTCCTGGCGCATATACAGGTGCTTTTGATATTTCACGACGTTCATGCACATCGCGAACAACATGTCCGCGAGCAAGACATTCAACATCATTTAATACGAGTCTACTTGCGACAACTTTACGGCCGAAGATCGTCAGTATCGGTAAACGTAAACAGTTTTCATTGACAAGCACAATGCTTGAAAATGGCTATATTGCTTTGGGATCGGATTTTCAATCGACATTCTCATGTCCGATGGGAACAACAGGATTCTTTGCTAATCCGAATTATTGTGATGTGTTTCATTATTGTTACGAAACTGGAGAATTATCGTCATTCGTTTGTGCATCGATGCCAAATCGATATCAACTTTGGTGGAGTCATCATAATGAACAGGGTCGAGCAGATGTAAGGAATAATCTTAAATTATAACGGATTGTATGTTATATCGGTCTTATGTTTTTAGAATGTTTTCTGTGATTGGCCATGCAATTTACAAGGTGCTTATGCTTGTCCAGCTCACAAAGCAATTTTTATGCGTGACCGTCAACCCAATGGTAACGTCGGTCAACGTGAAGTCATTGAAGCAACATGTTCATCGGCTCAAGTTCCAACAGCTGCAGTTGTCGTGAATAACATTACGCCAGATCCTATTGTCAGCATCAATCCAACCTATTTTCCTGCACCATCGCCTAGTGTTGTCAATATCCCACAACAACCTGCTACAGGTAAATATAGCAGCAGCGATTCCTTTTCTTCTAATCAATGATTTACTTCTTTCTTTCTTAGTTGGAACGAGTTTCAGTGCATCAGTCTCAGGATATCAACCATGCGTTCAATCGAATCAATGGTATGTCAGTCAATCGACGATTCGTTGTAGTCCGTCGTTTGCTACTACTGGCTTCGCACCTGATCCAAAAGATTGCTCGAAATATTATGCTTGTGATTCCTATATCGGACCAGATGGGATGTCAGCAGGTAAAACAACGAACTTTTCAACAGGGAAGAAATTTGCATTTCTTTTGATTTGAACAGGCATATTAATGCAATGTTTGGCTGGCTTATGGTGGGATCAACAACGACGTTCTTGCGTCTTACCGTCGGAAGTCGCTTGTAATCCGTACAATATTATTAATTCTCAAGGACAAGGAACAATTATTGACAATACTCCAAGTGGTATGAATAGTAATGTTATATAAAAGAAATATTTTCTCTGTTCTATTTAGTAATCTATCAACCGTCACCATCGGTGCCCGTAATACCATCAGTTCCGTTTGTGCCTGTTGGTACAACACCCATTCTTTCCTTCCCTCAAACACAACCACCTATTCAAGGTGGTTCAGGTATGAGCGTAAAGTCAAAACTATCGAAGTAGATTCTCGTTTGTATTTCTCTTGAAGAACCAGCTGCAGGCAAATGTCGTGGTGCACCATTATGTACTGAAGTCGGTCTCAATATTCTTCAACAAATGAAAGCTATACCGGGTCGAACCGGATGGTTGTACGTATTTAATCTCATCTGACGACTGCTTTTCTCAATCACCTCTTTCTTTAGTTACAAATGTGACAGTCAATGTGCAGTTGAAATGCGTTGTCCACCAGGTCTAGTATTTGACGATTCATATCAACGTTGTGAATGGCCTGGTGCTAATGCTCAAAATCCAAGCCATCGTTTAGGTAGTTTACGAAGCAAAAAGCAACAAATGCGTACGATGTCAACAATGAAACAACAGCAAGCTACTTTTACAGTATCGCCAACAAAGAAATTTCTCAATCCATGAGATCATTCATTCCTAATACATATACTGTTATACAGTAGATGTTCAAAAGCCATAAACTTGTTCCTCTTCTGCTTCGCACTTTTTCATTTCTGTATAGATAATTCGCTTTCCTATGACATTTTCTGTTGTTGTTGCTGTTGTTGTTGTGTCTTTGTCAGTTTCTTATCAGTAGCTTGATTATTATTCTCTTGAAGAAATAAAAAATAGCCTTTCAAATATCTTCTGATATTTGAGTTTCGAAAAGAAGACATACTTGCGTTTTCTATGGGCGACGATGAAGTTTATTGACGACAGTTCTGACAACTAACGTCCTCACTAATATTTTCTGTCAAGAAATCAATGGCTAGACAATGAACAAATGGTGACAAAATCCGAAACGATCAGTCAATCAAGCATAGGATCTACATATTTATTAACAAGTTTATCGCTTATTCATGGAGCTCACACATCGAAAAAGTCAAACGAATAAACATGACGCAAACGATCCACTAGTAACCATAACTAAGTCGGCCACCACGAACGAAAATCGAAAAAACTCCACGGATACAATGCCGACGGAAAAGGCCTCGACTCCTTCGTCCATTTTCCAAAAAATCTTTCTGGATCAGATCTCATCGAATACATATTTCTACACTCGAATTCTGTTCATTCGTCTGCTTGGTCTTGTATATACCTTTAGCTTTCTTGCAGCTTACCATCAAACACCCTCTCTCATCGGCTATCAAGGTCTCTATCCAGCACATGTCTATATGAAACGAATGAAAGAACGTTACAGTATCTGGCAATCGCCATCGCTTTTCTACTTTCTACCAGCAATGAACACATCGGATTTCTCATTGCATATGGTGAATGGACTAGGAACTTGCCTTGGATTGTTTTTATTATTCACCGGGCGATGTAATTCAATTATTCTATTCATTCTTTGGTGTTTGCATACCAGCTTACTTAACATTGGACAAATATTTTACGGGTAGGTAAGAGATGTGAGATTAGGATGAAAGAATTTCTTCTTTATACTTGATAGGTATGGGTGGGAGACGCAAATGCTTGAAACAACGTTTCTTGGAATGTTTCTCGTTCCGTTTTCTAGTCTCTCGAAAATAGATAGGAAAAGTCCACCGAGCATCTTGTTTATCTTTTTAATGAGATTTCTCGTTGCGAGAATTATGCTTGGTGCTGGATTGATCAAAATACGCGGGGACGGATGCTGGAGAGATCGTAAGTGGTTCTTCTCAGCTCATCTGACTTGAGTGAAAGACTTATCTATTTAGTAACATGTATGCAGTATCATTATGAAACTCAACCTATTCCTAATCCGATCTCTTACTATCTTCATCAAAGTCCTATTGTGTTTCATAAGTTCGAAGTGCTTGTTAATCATTTCATCGAACTAATTGCTCCGTTTTTGTGCTTTGGTCCGTGGCGTTCTGTTCGACATATTGGTGGCTCACTGCAGATACTTTTTCAAATTCTTCTGATTATCAGTGGAAATCTCAGTGTGCTCAATTGGATTACAATTGGACCAGCATTATGGTGTTTAGATGACTCGTATCCATTATATAAATACATATTTAGATCCCGACAAATCTTCATCGAAACAACAAGGCTTAACATTCGAGCACGAACGAGATATTTAAGATCGGTCGTAACACTAATCGTGTTTGGTTTAATTCTTTATTTAAGTATTGATCCAGTACTGAATCTATTTTCACGTTATCAACGAATGAATTCCAGTTTTGATCGATTCAATCTGGTGAATACCTATGGAGCATTCGGTAGCGTGGGGAAAATTCGCAACGAAGTAATTATCAGTGCTTGTAATAGAACATCGGTCGAACAATGTAATCACGAAAATGCTTGGTTGGAATACGAATTCAGTTGTAAACCTGGAAGAGTTGACAAAGCACCTTGCTTTAGTGCACCTTATCATCGAAGATTAACATGGCAGTTATGGTAAGACAAGATATTTGATGATTTAGAATGATTGTTATTGTCATTATTGTTGTTCGTAGGTTTGCTGCAATGCAACAAATAGAGTATAATACATGGTTAGTTCATTTGATGGCACATCTGCTTTCGTCAGATCAATATTCGCCAATAAATGTTGTTCTTTCGAATGACGGAGGAAATCCGTTTCCCGATGCACCACCTCGATTTATCAAAGCTGATTTATATCGATACAAATTCACTGATCTTACTAGTGGTGACAAAAACTGGTGGATACGTCGACACCTGCAACCATATTCGCCAATCTTCGACTTGAAAAGTTCACAACTGAAGTCTCTTCTACGTCATTGGGGGTGGAGTGTGCCAAAAGCCCCCATGAGAGCATAAGTTTCTGCTGTAACTCGAATTGTTGAATTGTAGTCTTTGCTTATGTGGAATAAAGGTTAAAATTAATAGAATTATGCATCGCTGATTTTTTTCACCTAACTTGCCTGTGAAAATGTTCATCAGGAGGACAAAGTCAAAATGACATATTTTTGCTTTCGATGGAGAGTCGTTTCAAATTAGCCAAAGAGTTCTTCGCGCTTTTCGGCAACACTAATTAAATCTATTTTTAATGAGACAGGATAAATCTATTCTTTAAAGAAGAACTTTCATCGACGTAAGAAGGGAAACCCACGTCTTTAAAACAAATTTTTAATTATTTCTCTTTCGTCAAAAATATCCCATGGAAAGCCATGCGTGATGCTATTCTTCTTCTCTCTTATTAAGACTATTCGTCTGTCTAACCATTCTGTCACCTTAGAAAATTCATCAGCTATTTCTTTAGGTCAAGTTCGAAAACCAAATGAACTCGTCATCAGAGAGTAATAATTCAATCTGGTATTCGAATGATGCGGCCTTCACGATCAGCCCTATCGTTAACTTTTGGATCTTTCTTCTATTAGATGTATGTGCTATTCTATGTACAATCTTTGTCTTATATCATCTATTATCCAAACGGCGACTGCGAATCGCTCCACATAATCACATACCGATCATACTACTTGTTCTCGCATTCATTTACGAATGTATCGATATGCCGTTTCATTTGGAGTTCTTTCTGACAGGTAGAATTCATCTGGAAATACCCATGCTTTGTCTAATCTGGTGGTTTATCGATTGGGGATTCTACTTTACGATTGCAGTTCTACTCGTATTCGCTTCACTCGAACGGCATGTTCTTATCTTTCATTCTCAGTTATACACTTCGAGACGTAAACGTTTTCTTTTCCATTATCTTCCTATATTAGCAATTTTGTTTGCCATGATGACGTTCTATAGCATCGTCATCTTCTCACCGATTTGTACGAGCACGTTCGACTATACAGCGGATTTGTGCGGTACACATGCATGTTACGGTTCGATATGGAATCTTTCTGCTATTGAACAATTACTTTTTGGTGAAATATCGATTTTTCTCATTGTTATATTTAGTATGTCATTACTAATACGTGTCGTTCGACAAAAACATCGCGTTCACGGGGCAGTTCAATGGAAGAAACAACGAAAACTAGCTCTACAGATGTTTTCATTATCATCGCTGTACACAACGTTTTCTCTTCCCATTACAACTATTTACGTCGTTCGATTATTCGGTCCGTCAGATTGGGGTGAACAAGTTTTACCTATCTTCTTCCTTCTCTCCTATTTTGCTATTTTCTTCTTACCATATGTGTGCCTTATGAATTTGCCAGACCTTAGCAGGATCTTTCATAATTTCACACTTCGACCACGTATCCAGGCGAGAATACATCGGCCGACACCGTGAATTTTAAAACATTTTTTATTCACAAACTGTCAAGAAAGCTGACGCTTAACTGTGAGTTTTCTGTAAATGATAAGTACGAATTGGCATACGTTAAATTGTATGTCATCTCTGTTGAAATGATGACTTACCGCCGATAAAAATTGTGACACTCTTTTTGTTTTTCTAATGAATCACGTATGGCACAAGTTGGACATACAAAAGAGCGACGATTTAAGAGCAGATCTATTTTGAGCGGAACTATTTATAAGCAATTTTTTCCTGATTTTATGCGTTCAGTAAGTGTTGAAATAGATGAAAGGTAACACAACATGATATTCTTTGATTGTTGTGTCTGGATACGAGCACGCAACCCGTGAGTGAACACAATTCTATTTAAAAGTGAATAAAATATGACGAACAAGCTAATGAGGGTGTCCTTGTGATCAAGGGTTGAAGTTTGGAAAAATAAACCACAGTATAGATTTGTATAATGGTAAGAAAATGATGGAGTCATGTCGATGTCGCTACTTGTCGATAGAGTTTCGACGTAATTTCTTTTTGCCCAACCATATAATTTTGACAAGTTTATCAGCTGATTGATTGACAACTATAATCGAATGTTTTGCTCATGCAAGTTTGTGTTCTATTCTTCCATTTTCTAATTCTCAACCATTGATGTTGTCTGCAAGTTTTCTTTCGAGAAAAAGAAGAACGCAAATCAGCATGTTGAAAAAAGTGTCGCTCTCTATTCTGTTTTTGTTGTTATTCTTTTCAGTAAATAAAACAATTAATTAATCTGCCGCGGTACAAAAAAGCAAATGAACTCGCAAATAGATTTTCTCGTTTATCTTCGGATGATCAATCATTCGATTATGTAATAAATACTATCCTCCCTTCAAATGTCAGCAGTACTTCTTCTGTTCCCGTATTATAACCTCGACCGAAACATCCGAGATAACCGTGTAGATAAACATCTCCTTGCTATTTTCGTGTTTTATAGATGATCATATGACAAGAAATTCAATTCACACGAAAAGTATGTACTAATTCTGATTTTCTCTTTGCGCAAAACGTTCATGTCGACAAAAATCCGTTTCACTATAATGGATCTTGTTTGTTAACTCGGTAGAAAGAAAAGCAATCGATCTTTTTCGATGCTATTCCCTTAAGATTTTGCGACCTCTCACGCTATTATTTATGGAAATTCCTCGTTCTCTTCGTGAGTAATATGCATAACAAAATTATGAAGAAAATAAAACCTATCGCCAACTGATTTTGATGAAAATTTTTATCGTCTCACCCTCTCACGATTGAGTTTTTATCTACGACCTTGAAATGATTTTCGTTGTTTTCGTATTCTCGTCACTCATATTGACAAAATACATCTTTGTCTCTGGACACACGCGGAGAACACATGCTTCAGTCATACTTTTCTGCGTCAGTTATAAATGAAAACAACGCAGGTGTTTTTTCTTACGTCTTTGAAATAAAAACTTGCGTGAAACAATAGTCAAGTAAGATGAAGTTCGCGTTGTCGTTCGTTCAATATTATTCGAGAAGATAGATTCATTCACAACTTTTCATCAATCATCCACTAGAGACAGATGTATTTCTATGGTAATCATCTATGTTCGACGCCAAACGAGTAGCTCGCCAGAAGAACAGAGGAAAAGACATCAACTAGGCATCTGATGATGTTACATCAATAGGAAATATTGTTATTCAGCATATGCCTGTTTTCAGACCGGTAAATAAGTTTGATTGGCTGAATTTCTAGTCATCCTAACGTTGTCTTTCTTTCGCGAAAACGTAGGTGAATCTCACATGCGCATACGTGCTTCTCGTTATGCACGAGTACAGTTGACATGAGGGCGACAGTTGAAGTGCATTTGTGCTGCCACATTCGGTTTGTTCTTTTCAAATGTTTTGAAATCGCGTAACGAGTTTCGACAGGAAAAAAAGCAGCGACCTTGAATCGTTTATAAATAAATAGTCTTTTTTGTTTTCTTCTGACTTTTTCGCTGACCTTGGGTGTAAACATGGAGGAAAGAAGTATTGATCTATGTATCTTATATACATATATGCCATTATCAGCATGAATAACCACCAAAATAAACGTCATCGTTAGCCTCAAGGGCAATTTATGATTGTATAAGCGAATGAAAATAAACAAAGACCTAGATCTGACGAATCTTTTTGGTCATGTATGTCAGAGAAAACAACAACAACAAGAACACCGACGAGATTCATTGAGAAGAATGTACGCATGAAATTTCTCGAATCGAGAAAGAATCGTTCAGTTTGGCGTTATGTTTGCATACATGAAAGGAGAGAGAGATTTTGTTGATAGAGTGTCAGTTGACGAGTAATACATTTGTTACGGCAACCACACGTTACATCGACACAAATCTCTATTGTATGTTCTCTCCCTCTCTCTCTTGCTTTCTTTCTTCTTCTTCTTCTTTTACTTTATTATCTCATCGTCGTAAGGTGACGTCTTGAATTCATTTTGCGCATGCCTACTTACTCACCCGCTTCTTTCTTCTCGTTTTCTTTTTCTTTTGCTGCATGTTCATTTGAATGTGTTCTTGTTCTAACATTAATCTTGTCAACAAAAGACAAGAATAGGTCATTGAATATTCTTTAATTGATATAACCGACATTCAACAGGTACAAAAAGAAAATGAATCGTATGACGTCAATTGTTATCGTAGTTATTATTATTTCTATCGCATATTATCGTACCAGCGTCAATGTTCTGGTACAAAAAAGGAAACGAAATTGGCCTATCAATTTCTCAATAGAAACCTATAAATGACTATTAGACAGGCGAAAGAAAAGTTTATATTTATATCGATATTCTAATTGCGGAGGCATAATGTGTCTGAATGAAGAAAAAGCGGTCTGTAATGTTTAGATATCGTGGCAGATGCGACAATTTCACTTCGATATGACTTCTCGATTGATTTACGTGCCAGAAAAAAATCATTTTCTATCGGAGAGATGCTAGTTGACGATGAAACGCTCTTTCCAGTCATTTGAAATCTTGTGTTTTCTTTTGCATTTTTAGATTAGTCATGGAACATGGAAGAATGTGGTCTACGATGTTTGAAAGATATTCTATAGATATCAATGCTCCGTTCTAAATAATTTTCTTTATTAATTCAAATAGCAGATGCTCGAGTCGTCATCAGTCATCGAATCAACTTTACCTGGCGTAACAGAAGTTGATCTGTCGAAACGAAAAGCTGTTTCGAAAAGACAGACGATATCAAATCGATACCATCGCTCACACTCATCGTCAACAGAAAATTTACCTAAAGCAACTTCATCAATGAATCAATCAGCACAGCAGCCAGATCAGCATCGTGCAACCGTTGACGGGTCGATTGATTCGATCTGGTCGTCCTCAGGTAATGAATACCTTCCAATAGAAGATCAATCCAACTTTTGTAATTAACTCCATTTAGATGACGATCATCATCATCATCATCTACTTAAATCTTTACCTTTGAATACGTTCTATTCTAATTCATCGTCTCGTTCTTCGTTTGATCTATGTTCGAACAGTAGTGATTCTCATCCGATGAACACACCTGAAATTCCCATATTTTCTTCGTCGTCGTCAGGCTATGATTCGTCACTGAATTCAATACCTGATCATCTATTTTCGTCTTCTCCGAATTCGATTATCATTCCTGATTGCGATCCATTGAAACAGTGCGTTACTCTACATCGACAAAAACAACCATCCTTTCATCAAGGAAACGCTTCTTCACCACCATCCTCGTTCAGTTCACCATCAAGCTCGTTCTTTTCTTCACAACCGATTTCGAAAATCAATTCGCCATCCTTCTGCCGCAAGTGTGCTAGTAATAATCAAGCATCCAGTGATACCGATGATGATTCCCAGGCGACAACTGTATCCATGAATTTATTATCTTTACAGCCGAATCAACGACCCAGAAGTCTGCCGATAGCCATTCAGCAACCGAAGAGCATAGTAAATGATGATGAAACAGATAACAGCTCGCAGAACTCGCCTCTTTGCCATTGTTCAATCAGTAACTCTCAAAAAAGCCGCTTTCGGCCATGTGATTTATCACCAGATACATATCCTGAAACTAACCTAACGACACCGTCGACAGACAAATTACATATCAATGAGCAAGTGACAATTAACCAAAAGAATTCTTTGGAACATTTTATTATGAGTCCAACCGACAGAGTGAAAGTACAAATGAAATACCAAGAAAATGATACAAAAAGTGTAAGTGAAATTCGATTTGTCTTCTCATTTGATTGTTTTCAATCTATTTCAGAATGAATTGAGAATTTCTCAACCTGAAGATGTTGACTTCAAACGATCAAAACTAAAAGCTATTCGAATCCTTTATCAGAACAGACTCAACCTTAACAGTATTTCATCTCCGGTGACAAAACCAGTATGTTATTACTAGCAGGAAACGAAGTTATTGACTTTTACCTTTCTATTTCAGAATTTAATTAAACATTCATCGAAAATACAGGGACATTGTGATTCTCCTCTAGCAAAACGAACAGCCAATCCGCGTCTATTTCGAAGGTACACACGACATCATGCAAAACTTTCGATTTCTTTTCTTTGTCGTTCAGTGCTTTATCGTACAGTGTATTCGAAGCAGATGACGAACATGAAGTGGTCCTATCTTCGGCTCGATCCGGTGTGAATGGAACACATGAAAAATCGATCACCGAACCATTCAATTCTTTGCGAGTTAATTTTATAGTAAGTGATTTCATTCGATAGGAATTTTTCGTATTCGTTTATATTCAAACCAAAAAAGGAATCTTTATTACACGGAAAAATTCTTCCATGTGGCATACTTGATGGCTTCACTGTCAAATTAGGTGCAAGTGGACTTTTCATACCTAAACAAGCTGTTTTACCCGTAACAACATTTTGGTTTAATGTTTCTGAACATCAAGCAGCTTCACCATATCTCGTAAGACGAAAGTTCCCTTCAGTTTCATCTTTTCTAAGAATAGATTCTTCCATAGGGTTTTATAAATTTACAATCTCTGCCTAAACGGGGTTATCATACTCCAACGAAAGGAACCATCACTTTGGCACTACTGAATCCAAATGGAACAGCTGTTCATCTATTTTTAATTGTTTATGATTTCAGCGATATGCCAGCTGATCATCGAACATTTATCCGTCAACGAATTGTTCTTATGCCAGAAAATAGTACTCATCAGAACACATTCAGGGAAAACCTTCGATACTTAGCTCATATTCGGTACGTGAAATTTCCGTTTCTTTCTTTTTTTCTTCTAAAAATCGATATTTCCTCTTCTGCTTAGTTTTGTCACATCACAAACAGGGAAGCTTTACATGCATTCGGACATCAGACTGATATTCGCACGTAATAAACTCGATTATGATGAACGTTCAGGCAACGGGAAACCTCAGTTGGTTACTCTGACAGATGTGCCTACACCCAAATATTGGCCGAGAAAATAGATGCAAACAAACAGTTAGCTTTGTATTTATGAAATTCTTTATTTCATGTCTATATTTTTTTCTTATTTTCCTTGTCTTTTTTTCTTAATATAATACTACAGCAAAAGTAATCATAGTTGGCATATTTTTACGAAGTACAGTCTATTGCGTATCATCGTGAAAACAGTCTATTTATTATATATGGATTGGACTCATACGGAGTCGAAACAAAAGAAAAATATAACGAAATAACAGGGAAATAAATACATGGGATTGATTATTAGCAATGTGATTGGCCGTGCTGAGGATTATTTTGTTGTTTGAGAGTTATGGACGCAGGACAATAACCTATGACTGGACGAATGTCATTCGAAGTCTTCAGTTTTTGTCGTAGCTGTTGATTATCTTGTTTTTTGTTCGGATGTTTTCGTTTCTTCGCTGCTGCATTGTTCAACCGAATGATCTGTTGTTCAAGTTTGCTTTTCTCTTTGGCATGGTGTTCAAGTAATGATATTGTCTTCGATGGAACAAGTTGAACTTGTTTCAAATGTTCGATATCGATTACCAATGCATCGGACGGCAATTCTTTATCATTATAGTACAGTCGAACTAATTGTAAATAATCCAATTCGTTCGTATGTGGTACACGAGCCACTTTCTTCAATTGTGGATGCAAATTAGGATGATTACTTGAAATATAATCATATGGAACATAGGTATAGTTCATGGTACACACAAATGGTAAGATCTGTGTCGAAATCAGCATTGAACCACCATGAGTTGCCAGCACACTTTTGTATTGACGATTGATTTTCGCTGTCGGATCATCTTTCAGTAAGATCTTTGCATATACGAGATTTTTCGTACCGACAAGAACATGCCGTACATTGATCAACAGAGCATTTTCAGGAATTTGTTCATTATTAATTTTGCATTCCCGTATCATTGAATTGAGTAGAGTAACATCTGTGGGTGATGCACGTATCAGTACCGAGCGTAAGTCTTCAGATTGTAGAATTTTACACGCAACAAGAATTTGATGAGGAACAAGACGTTGTCGACATTTGATGAGAAACGGCAAATAGACATTGTTGATTTGTACCCAACCCGTGCCATCGACTTTTGCGTTCACAAACAAGGTGAGATGGAGATCAGGTGAAAGTGCAGCTTTCGAATATAAGTTTGAAATTTGAGCAATCGTATCAGGTTCACGTGATTGAAGCACTCGGGATGGTAATGTTGTTGGCGAAGAGACAGGATTTTTAGCCGTTAGGGGAAGAGTGTAAGTGGAGAGAATGCATGGTATCACCGGCTTGTTTCCATTCATCAAATAATTACGGTTAAGAGTGTTCGGATTCGAGTTTGTCAATTGTTGAGAACGAGAAGTCAAATCAAGCAAAGCCTCGAATTCGATTACTTGATTATTTAGTTGTAGAATACGCGCGTACGATTCATTCTGTAGATGATATTTGAAGATGTCGCGCATAAGTTCTATTTCGTGCTTTGTCAATGGATATGCAAGAATCGCTGGTGAGATTTGTGAAAAATAGAACGATAAAGCTTTCCATCGATTAGATTGCATCAAAACAGTTTCAACGTAACGTTTGAGAACGTAACGATCCAGACCGTTTTTACCCGGTCTAATGATGAAAACAACAGAATTAGTTTTCTCTTGGAAATATTAGACTACAGACTATTGCCTACATACCGAAAAATAACAGCAATCGTTTGATTATCCCATTGTTCCCATGAAAATTGTTTTAACCGACTTGTGCTGTCGATTAAACCACTTGAATTAGACATTCGTCTATATAATAAAGACCAACATGAATACAAACAGAAGCATCTATCTACTCACTTTCTTCTTAAAAAGATACACAAGAATGCTGAAGATTCATCTTGATAGCTAATCTTACTGTGAGACCAGATGTTTAGTATATGCAAATGGTTGTCTTATCGTTAATATATTGTAGCTACTGAATACGAAACAAAAAAAGACGAATCGTATCGTCACACTTTTTCCCAATCTTCATACTATTGGCGAGGAAAATTATTCAGAAAATTTCTGAAAATATATAGATTAAGATGTCGCTCGTGGGCATCTGTACAGTTCTAGAAAAGTACAATGAATACCCACATAGTCATGCTCATATCTTAGCGATTATCTACCTTCATTTCGGCAACATTACGTTGATTTGCATTCTACCTAAGCGGTGCTCTTGTTTTCACCGCGCAAATGCGGATGCGAAGTTGAAGAAAGTGACGGACTACACTCATTCAGTTCTATAGTTTGAAGCAAAGTGAAGTCTTTTCTTTTTTGCCGAAACTGATAGTCAATGAAGTATGGCTGCTTGCTAACACCATCTACACAGTCAACAACTCAAACAGCAATGCGCAACAACAAATCGTATTAGACGATGATTGTGAAGAGAGGAAAAAAGAAAAGAAAATAGGCAATAGCTGTTGATTCGTAATTAAGAATATGTCATCATTGAGCAGTTCGTATTCACTTGATTTCACATCTCCTACTAGTGATCTTTTACCAATCTTACCCAGCACATCAGAATTGTTAGCACAAGAGCGTTTCACGAATCTGATTCGTCCTTGCTTTCAACATCTTTTCAAATTTTTACAAAGAATTCATCCGCTATCAAATCTCTTGAAGCATCTTTATCAATACAAAGATGAATTTATATTGATTATCGAAAGCGTTCTTCAATGGTTTTATCTTCATTTTCATTCTGCTCTTATCGGCGAGCATTTTTATGGATTAAAGCGTACGGCGAATCATCGATTACGTTCTCTTATCTTTTCGGTCTTTCTACCGTATGTCAAATTGAAACTTCATGCATTCCAACATCAAATGCGCGAAAACAATGCAGATCAACACGCGAAATATTTTATAATTCTTCAGCTATTACCTAAACTACAGGTAAATATCTGTCCCTTCCAATACAATGCAATTGTGACGATATGTTTTTCTTCTCATAGGTATTTATCGAAGGAGTCTGTTGGTTGTATCGAATCGGTTATGCATTCGGTCTGACAAAATACTACAGTCCAACGCTCCAATTAGCTAAAGTTAAACTAACTTATGCCAAAGATCCATCACCTAACGTTAACACAACGCCATCATCTGCTAGCCAATTCATATCTCGCATTAGTCAAATTATATCATATGGACTATTCGTCTTACAACTAGTCGATTGGTGGAACAGTACTTGTCGTTCAAAACAAAACTCATCGGAGAATCTCGTTGAATTAGTCTCACCAAACATCAATAAACTAGGAAACAAACGGCAGTGTCCGTTGTGTCGTCAACCGTGTGATATACCGACCGTTATTCTCGGTTCTGGTTATGTTTATTGTCATCAATGCATCAGTACCTATGTTAATCAATATCATCGATGTCCAACATCGCATCAGCCAGTGACCACTGACCATTTGATAAAAATCTATTGATAATTGTTTCGTGTAGTCCTATTTTCTTTTATTTGCAAAACAAAAAAGAAACTAAATATTTTCTCGATCAGTCGCGTTACGAACGTTTGTGTTATTCGTTACTAAGATTTGTCGCTGTTGATTGTTGATGTAAGGTTTCATTCTGGTGAAGAATCAATAGGTGAAAAGAAAATAAGTGTCGGACGTTCTCTCAATGACTTCTAATTATAAGAATAACAAACGAATGAAAAGAGTATGCTCACTCACTTACTGTTAATCAAGTAAAATAAGAAAGCAAATTTCAATTTTTTCTAGTAAGCACGAAGCTGGCAGGCGAATGTTTATCTGCTACGCCCATATATATTGATCTTGTCACGTTTTCACTTCGCATGACCTATTTCAATACAAGTAAATCCGTAAATCGCGATTTTTCTTCTTCTTCTTTTGCTCTCTCTATAGTGTACGAAAAAAAAATTACAAAAACGTTCGTTCTTCCATAACACTACTTACAAGAATTTTTCTCCTCGAAAATAATTGACATATACATATATACATTCTGTAATCCAGCTGTCTTTTATTTCTTATTCGACAAAGAAGAAATGAGTACCTTAGTCTTGAACCGCGCTCACTCAGCTAGTGCTCGAACAATCCGCCGAGCATCTACGAACAACCAAGCATCACCACCGAAACAACGTCCGACAACAAGCGCCGGCGTCCGTCGATCATCGACTATCAACCAAACTTCGCATTTTTCACAACGCCCTACGAGCAGCACTGGCCTTGTTCGATCTCATACAAATGTATACAGTTCAGATGAAGGAACACCACTGGACTTCTTACCCCCCTTTGAATCAACGGAGAGCGCTCGAAAACGACGAAGTCTTCGCCGATCAACAACAAAAAATTGCCCATCATCAAGAGAAACGCTTACTCTACGCGAATTAACAGATCTTTTGCAAAGTGCCGCTGAAGAAGAGCCGTACATTTGTAAAATTCGGTGTTTTTCTGTGCTTCGAAAACTAGTAGAAACTATCGACATCAGAAAGACGCCTCTCGACTGGAAATTATTATACGAATTACAAAAATGGGAGAACAACATCATACAAAAAAATGCTTGTGGAGAAGCACGTTTCAGTAGACTCATGGATGTACTGGTACCTCAATATATTTCAGAAGCTGAATCGATCGATTTAAAAGAAACCGACGCTCAGAAGTTGTCCATTCATAGATCAAGTTTAAGTGGTATGGAATATTAGCAAAGTCACTCGAGCAATATTCGATCTACACATACAGAGATGAAACTGAACTGATAAGATTTACAATAGTCATTATTGTTTGTTTTTGTTTTGAAAACAACTTCATTTTGTACAGTTTTGATTGTTTTGTTTTCTTTGCAAAATACAGCATTTGAAAGTTTCACTTCGAAAAAATACATGCCACATTTATTTTCTAAACTTTAGTTGCACTTGCCAATGATTCATGACGTTCTTTCAATGAATCAGAAGTGTGTAGATTAGGGTGGAATTGCTTCTGGTGTGACACGTGTACACTTCGCTCACCGTATATCAATATTTTTCGATGTAAAGGTAAACGATCGACCAATTCTGTCAACGTAGTACTCGGTACAATGCATTCAATCAATGCGAGTAAATGTAGTTGGAAACTTCTACCAAATAATCATTAAAATTATTACTTTTATTCTAACACAGTTCTTATAGAAACACAATCCACTGGAGATCGGATGTTGCGTAGTAATGTTCTGTGTTATAGAGAAACAAGGAAATCCGTCTATGAGCGCCATCTCATCCGTCAATTTTTCAGCAGCCCGAAGACAGTTTTCGACGGACACCAGTGAATCATTGATCAAGTCATGAGAACGAGAAAAAAACAGGAAGAAACGATTTTCACCAGAAAAACAACTAGCTCTTCAATATATGATTGGTTTTTGACGACAGAATTTTACGCAGTCAAATTTCATACTTTCGCTTCATTACTCACGTGGACATGTATCTTGATTATCTCGAAATAGCATCTAATTGACACTAAAAACAAGTCCTACTTTTTCCCCTCAAGAGATTCAGAGCTCTCTAAGTTGACAAGTGGATCTCTCTCAAGTATATGCGTAAATTCCTCTTGTAGATTTCGATTATTTTGACAAAACAAACAACAACAACAATAACAACAACAATGACAGAACAAGAAATTGATGTTTACTACAAAGCTGTCCTCGATCTCGTATCGTTGGCTGGTAAGGTAAGTGTATCTACCTCTACCGAGAAGAAACCTGACTTTTTGCGTTTCCTTTGCAATTGTGAGTCAGTGCGCCTGCGTATTTATCGCAATTATGGTCTATTGATTTTCGTTTTGTATAAAGAAAAAGGGGCAAAAATATAGTTATGCGCACTGTTTTGGTGTTAGGTTGTAAATGAAGGTTTTTCGATAACTAAACATGTCGAAACCAAATCGGGCGCAGCAGATCTCGTGACCGAGTTTGATCAACGTGTTGAAGAAATTTTAATCAAAAGTTTACGAGAGACGTTTCCAACACACAAGTAACTGTCTAAACGAAATGATCACGATCGGGTGTGAAAATCATGTTTGTATGTAGATTCATTGGAGAAGAATCGGCTGCTGCCGGTGCAAAAACTGTATTTGGAGATGATCCAACATGGATTATTGATCCAATTGACGGTACAACGAACTTCGTACATGGGTAAATTCGATGTCGAACGCACCGCTCGTTTTATTTCTTTGAATCGATTAGCTTTCCATTTGTGGCAATTTCTATTGCATTAGCAATCAAAAAGGAAGTGGTCATAGGTGTAATTTACAATCCTGTCTTAGACAAATTGTATTCCGCTGTGCGCGGTAAAGGTGCATTTAGAAATGGACGGCCGATTAAATGTTCCGGACAGAAAGGTCAGTTGACCGAAATGAGAAAATGGCGAATGAACTATTTGATTGATGATGTAGATTTGGCTTTATCTCAGGTTGCCGGAGAATATGGTTCAAGTCGTGAGCCTCATATAATTGATGCCAAATGTCAAAACATGCGAGTTATCATTGAAAAGGTTCACAGGTAACCGAATTCTTTTTCGAAGAATGCACGACAGACCGATCGATCGTAGTATTCGAGCTGTTGGCAGTGCAGCTATGAACTTATGTATGGTAGCCGAAGGTAGTTGCGACGCGTATTTTGAATATGGGATACACATTTGGGACTATGGTAACTAATACAAATCGATTAGATTCGAAATTGAACATCTTTTTCCTTCTTTCAATTTTCAGCGGCTGGTGATTTAATCGCTCGCGAAGCTGGAGCATATACATCTGATCCATCCGGTAAGTATTGTGTCTTTTTTTTTTGTTCGAAAACTAGAAAGCCATTTCTATGTTTTTTGTCTTTCAGGTGGACCGTTAAATCTTCTTCATCGTTGTATTTTATGTACAGCGACAAAAGAACTTGCTCAGCAAATAACCCCTTTACTTACTCATGTTGAATTTCCGGACGACTAATTGAAACATCCTATTCTAAATAAATTAGATATGTCTCATTTTAGATGAAGATTAATTCGCTTCTCTTCGTTGCTATTTGTGCCAGTGCGTTCTTTAGTGCAATTCATGGTGCTACTGATGCAGAATGTAAACAACAATCAAATAAAGACTGTGATGCTTGTTTAAAATTGAGCGACTGTGGCTTTTGTAAAAGCTCGAAGGCCTGCTTCAAGTACAACGTCGTGGATCAAATCACTGGCAATTGTAGCTCGGATGATCTTCAAGTAGGAACGTGTATCGGTAGGTTGAAAACGAGCTTTTATCCGATATCTGAATTAACGAGAACATTCATTCTGTTTTCGAACGAGATGTTTGACAGCATCTATGAATATGACTCGAGAGTCAACGAATATTATCGTAGGATTGAAATAATTCAAACTAATTTGTCTTATGATTTCGTTTTAGGCAATTTCAAGGGATGGATCATCGCCATTATTGTCGTTGCTGTAGTTGTTTTGATTGCTGTTGCGATTGGCGTATGGTGTCTTTGTAGAAAATGTAAAAAGCGTCGCATTCGAAAGTACGAAGCTGCGTGTAGAACGCGTTGACATAACTGAATTCGTCTATTGTAGAGAAGAACGACGACAAGAAATAGATGATCAACGGATGGAAGAACGACGAGCAGCAGCTGAAGTTCGGTAAGTTTCGTGTACAGATACACTCAGCCGATACAATCTTTGATTCTCTTCTAGAACGGCTGAGCGAAACCGCGTTGCCGACGAAATCCGTATGAAATATGGTAATGTGAACTTTGATCATTTAATTACAAATATCAATTCGATTCTCTTCTGTAGGTATACTCAAAGCCAATGATAATGGAACGGATTATACGCGTATGAATTAAGAAAAACAAAGGCAAACCGTTGGTTTTCTACATTATAATATTTTTCTCATTTGATACATAATCATTCTTTGTGAATTTTGTTTACTGCTTTTTGCGTGATCTGATGACTCTTAGTGATCTTCATCATTCTCTTTCTTTTCTTATGTACTTCCACGATATTAATATCATTTTCATTCTTGCTTTTTGTACGTGATCTGATTTTAATAATACGCGGTTTGAAGAAAACAAAACAACTAAGAATAAAACTAACATTCCATTATATTTTTGCTTTTCTTTCGTTTCTAATTTAATAAAGTGAACCTTCTTTTTTCTTCGAAAGATGAATTTTTATCCATTTCATCTCGTCACCAAGCAATGCCGTTCGTCATTATTGCGTAGGATTATCATTGTTAATCCTCGCCTATTGTCCACGATTATCACTCGACAGAAAAAAGATTCTAAACAACAAGAGAATGATACTCTTGCTCAATCTCCAACTAATCAAACTGAACTAATCTCATTTACTCAAAAAGGTACATATGAAAAGATCTTGACAAGAAACTTTTCTCATGCCCATTCTTTTCATAGCTCAACAAGCGGCGAAAGATTCAATCTATTCACTTGTTATTATCGCCGGTGTTGTTACATTAAGTGGTCTCTGCTATCTAATCTTACACGAACTTTATTCAAGAGAAACACCAAATGGAATTTATAAAGAAGTATCAAGACTATGCTTAGCCAATACAGACGTATGTTTAACATGCGTATGAACGTATTTTCTAGATGTTTAGTGTAGGTACAAGATGCATTGGGTGCACCAATCCTAGTTCATACGACGCCAAAGATTCGATCGATGAGAATGAGCCATGTTCGGTAATAGAAGAGGAATGTACCGCCCTATAGTCGCTTGCCTTAGTATTGATTAACATAAACTTTGGTTGTTGATTGAAATGACGTTACGAACAAACGATTTTGTCTTTCTAGTGCGAAAATGTTCGATGAAAAAGGGCATCGAAGTATGACTATATCATTTTATTTAACCGGTAAAGAACGATCAGGTGTTGTTGCTGTTAAAGTCCGAAAAGTATTTGTCTTGAAATCTCTTCTTCTCTGAACGAAATTTCCTTTATTTTATAGAATATCTCAAATAAATTTGTATATGATTATATTCTTGTACAACTTGATCGTCCATGGCGTAACCGAAATATCATTCAAGTTCATCAAAATCTCAATCAACTATCCTTCGACGTTTGACGAATAATTTTTCTTTTGAACTCCCGACATATATTTTTTTACTCGAAACAAGGTCGAACAGTAGAATCGATTGTTTTTACAGTTTGATAATCACGATCAAGGTTTTCAATTTGGATGCCAATGCGATTGTTAAACGATTTTGTTCCATATCGATAGCGATGATCGACAGCTGATCGTGATGTTGGACAGCAATGCTTGCGATATGTAAATAAAATTATGGAACAAAGTATGATTAGCAAGGTGAAGGCAATTAAGGCACAGAAAAGATAAATAATTAATGTTAAGAGCGTTTGACGAGATGATAATGACGATGGTTCAGAAGAGAAATCAGTCAGTTTCCAAAACGAGGCATTGGCTAATGTTGAATTGCTTTCGTTAACGTTCAGTTTGGATAACCATATGGAAACTGGAATTGTCGTTGACATGTACTCAAAATTATCGAGAGTTGTGTTCACAATAGCTACGCGGAAGAAACATGCGTTTAAAACGAGCTGGAATTGATGATCCGTCGACATATGGACCTTGACTTACCAAAAGGACAATTTTCGATTAGAATGTCATCAAGAGCAAACCATGCATTGGAATGATTTCGATCGTTTGTAACATGTCGGACTTCGATAGCAATCTGAAGAGGGAATTTTTGTATGATTTTATCGGTATTTTAAATGCAGTTCCTTACTTGAAATTGTTCAGAGACTTGAAAAGTAATGTTTCCTTGTTGTAAACTGAGATCATCGACTTTTATCGAATGAGCTTTATTTGTTGTGCTCTTCCACTGACCTAGAGAAGTTGTTTGTGTTCGATTATTTTCAATCAAATATATCTCGATATGATCACGATCATTTGAAATACTAAATCGAAATGTTAGTCGACCATCGAATGAACATAATGGAGATAATTGTAACCATGGCGATATAATCGTATCGGTAAAACCCGTTCGATCATCTTCTTTACTCCCAATGTCAGCAATTAAAACTAAAGAAAAATAAAACACTTATCTCAAACATAAATGGTACCGGAATAATTATTTCTACCTTTATTTTGACTGTCTAAAGTCATGATATGCCAACGTCGACCAACGCTCCAATTGCAACTACCAGAAGAAAATGTGCAAATTTGATTGTACGGAACGGAGGTAACAAGTTCAAACAATAGAAATAGTATGAGATCTATGCGAATCAATAGTGTTGTCTAGAGTTATAATGGAAAGAATAGCTTACATGTCTTCATGATTGTAATATGATAAATGCTCGATGACTTATAATCATTTAAATGAATGTATACATAGACAATGCAAGCAATGATCATAGTCGGTCGCTTTCTTCTCTTTCCTTTATTGACTAACGGATCATCTAATTACTCGCTTGACGCTGCACTACAATGATAAGAGAAGACAAACAAAAATAGATAGGTTCTACCAAGCAACCATATCTGCATCTACTCAGAATAGCACGGTGCATATTTTCTGGGAAAAAATAGGTTTATTCGTTCAAAAACATCGAAAATATAATCATAATTAATAGAATATGAATTTTTAAATGGGTCATCCAATGCCTACTGCGCGAACGTGTAATGAGATATGCATATCATCGGGAAAATGAATGACAACCATTTAGCATACAATATAATTGCCGACGATTTAGTAGTAGTAGTAGTTGTAGTTGTTGTTGTTGTTGTAGTCGTTTGAGAGGTCGTACTGGTAGCCGAAGTTGTGCTAGCTGACGTGGTGGTTGTCGTTGTTGTTGTTGTAGTCGTTTGAGAGGTCGTACTGGTAGCCGAAGTTGTGCTAGCTGACGTGGTGGTTGTCGTTGTTGTTGTGCTCATAGCGACGTCTAAAGACAATGTGATCAGACCACAGACAATACGTGAGCCACTATTTCTGTTTTGAAAAATTGAAATATATTTAATAAGAAAAATGGAGTTTATGCGAACGTACCCAGTTGTGTTGCTTGTACTTGAATTACCTAGGCCTCCGTCATCAGCATTAAGGTGCACAATGATCGTTCGATTAACAATCGATTGTGTTGTATTATATAGTTGAATGATTGAATCCGTGATGTTGACGTAAACGGAGCCATTTGTATTCATTGCAAGATTTCCAAGGTCACCAACGTGCCGGCTAGTTATATTTGCTGTTATTGGCCCATGGGAAGTATCTATAAAGAGATAAAAATGCATCCGACACAAGTTTGATACTAGTTACTCACTGTAAGGATTGAAATGATCACCAACGACAGTACAATCCGGAGAATATGTTGACATACTAAGCGTATGAACATGGAAACCCTAAACGACTATTTTAACAATCTGTTCTGCATTAAGTGTCAATCATACATGTGTACTATTTGGAGTCAATCCAGATATCATACCAGTTACGCTAACTGGCGAGCTTGAATTCGATTGAACGAATGTTAAATTACCACATGTTGTATTTGAACCATTGAGATACATCGTAGCAGTAGCTACCATAGCACATTCAGTTTGATAGATTAGTAATAATATCAATACACTTGCATAAGTAACTAACATCGTAGCTGGCATTTTCTTTTGAGAATAGTATACGAATACAATTTGTGTATTGAGATTTATAGGTAGAAGACGGAAGTGCTAGTAGGTATGTTTTTGAAAGGTGAATGTATATGTATCAATCATTCATGTTATGCTTGTGTTTGAATTCTGTCAAGTAGTGCTTTTATCGGGACTTTTATAAATGAATGCATACTCCAGTTTATAATCGCAGTATTTTGACGAATTTTCGATATTTTTTACGACGTAATAATATTAACTCATTCACCTGTAAATCTTGCAATAAACGACTGCTTTCGAAGGTGTCTGATGCAGAGCTAAAATTTTCGATGTCTCAAAACTTCCCGAAATTGAAACAGAGAAGCACACTCATATTCAACATGTTGCAATAAACGTTCGCCTTCGATCAAATGTCAAGTCACTTTGTATCTCTATCGCAAAATCATAGTGATTCTCTCGACCACTAAGACATTCTGTGTACAGAAACGAAACATCGAATCAAACACGCCTACTAATTATTCTAATCATTGGAGTATTATTCATCGATGCAATGAAAATAATAATGAGTATTTGTACAGTCTTCCTATTAAAATCAGAATAAAGAAATAAAATCTGTTGTGCCGGTAAATCGTCTTAACCGAGAAAAAGTGTTTTTTCCTTTTCTGTACGTCATAACAACCAGATCTGAATACATTAAAAACAATCCCTCACTCCGCGTTATTTACTATGAGTATATTTCAAATACGACTTAATATCAATCCTTTCCCCCGCTGCGTTTGTTTTTCTTGTCATAACGAATCGACTGTTAATTGAAAATGTTCTCTCTCTCTTATCTAGTACACATTCCAGTCGAACTATTAAACGTGACTTCAAAAGGCAAGTCGAACCCACAATTGCGAGTCGTATTAGAAATGTCGAAACATCGAAAAGGTCGAGCATCGATGGATTTAACACCCAAAGGTTGATTAGATTTTTGAATTTTGATCAAAACTCAAGCTTCTTCTGTTTAATTCTCGTAGAAATTGCAGCGTTATTACAAGCATCTCGAATAACTGAAGAAGGTTAGTGATAACATCGAAATCCTCGATATTTTCACATATTATTCTTGTAGAAATTCAGCACTGGCATTCAGTATGGATATTTGATTGAAAATATTCAAAACTACCTCGGTCATGTTTCAGGATTTTCTTCATCAAAATCCATCAGGAGAATTGGATAAAAAAACATTCATTGACTATTATAAAAAACTGCATCCACAGCATGAGCTGAGTACGTCATTTGAGTACGTAGTTTGATCGTTGTTCTTGAAACGTTCTATTGATTGTTTATATTTAGTCAAATATTTGATACAATCGATGTAAATCGTGATGGTTTAATTGATTTCAACGAATTTCTTGTTGTTGTCGTTTTAATGGACCGTCTGAATGATTTAGGTTCACGTCTATCCTTCGTTTTTGATATGTATAGAATATCTCTCGATGAATTACTTTGATTGACTTGTTTTTCTCTAGGTGGGATCAGTCGGGCGATGAACAGATCGATCAAAAAGAATTAGCAAATGTTATATCCGCGATTGTAAGGCAGATTTGCTTAGATTCACCTGTTGATCACTGATATTTTATTAGTACGATCGAGCTGGTGTTATCGATCGAAAGGGTGAACGAGATCCAAAACGACGAGCGAAAGACATCATTGCTAAGTTAGATCTCAGCGGTGATAAGAAATTGAGCAAAGATGAATTCATTACTGGGTAAATTTAATCTATCATATCATTACTTTTGCGTAGAAATTTATCTAGAATTTTAGATGTAAAACCGATCCAGTTATTCGTAACTTACTTGCTCCGAACTTTTAAATCTTGTTTCTATTTCGCGCGTGAAACGCTCGCGTAGCTGATGTATACGATGTCAATAAAAGCGAACCTTCAGCGATGTAATAACAATGTCATTTCTAAGTCTTCTTCGTATGAAAACAGAGAGAATATAATTCGAACATAACAGAAAAAAACATCATCATTCACTTGATCAGTTTTGCTCGTACAAATCATGCTTTGCCATAATTTACCTGGCGCAAATAGACACCTGGCGGAGAAATCCTATTTGAAAGCTCAAGCGGACCATAAGCGAAATGTAAAACGCGGTGTTATTCTTGAAATTTGATTCTATTTGAAATTTTTATCAGATCAAAAATGTGCGTAGTGTGTTGGATCAATCACCACCTGCATCTCGTCCACATTGTTCACAACGCATTCGACAAAAACAAGTAGATTCAACTGCATTTGTTTCTTTGCTAATATTCATTTCTGCTTAGATAAAAGAGCAAGAATCAGCTCGAATCAAACACGAAAATGAACGTCTCTTAACGAAAATTGTCAAAAATGGAGCGTTCGTTGATTGTCATAATCATTATGTTCCACTTAAGTAAACAAGATTTACGTTCGGAAAGTTTAACGAAGAGTGAGAATTTAAATTTAGTTTAAATAAACAACATCGTAAACATCAACAACTTCAATACGAGAGTGACTTTCAACGACTTCAACAACGTGTGAATCAAGTTCAGGCAACGTATTCCGCACGAGAATATGCCAAAGATTATGCAAAGACTCAAATGATTCAAAAACGCTTAAGTCGATATCCACCCACTAAGAAATGAGTCGCTTCTGGGCTCCATTGATTCCTATTTGAAAACTAAATCAATAAAACCAAATGTTATCTTTCTCAGAGAATATTCATTTATATATAATCTTGAACTTTTAAAAACAAAAATATTGTTTTTCCTTCGAAAATGTCTTTTAATAAAGAAATACCACCACCGCCCTATTCAGCAGTCGTTTTAGCACCAATTCCTGATAAGCCGTATGTTAAAGATTATTTACCATGGTCAATTATAAATCTCCTTTTCGGCTGGTGTTTTTTCGGTGTTATTCCTCTGATATTCTCCATCCTATGCCGCAATTATAAAAATAATCAAAACTTCGCAAGTGCACGAACGATGAGTGCATTGGCACTAATGTTCAACATTTTGATTACTATAGGAGGCTTAGTTGCCTGGTCTGTATTCATCGCTTTTATGTATCTTTATATCATTACCGTTGATGATTCAATACCAAAATAAAACCTCGCTTTTTTATAATGATACATTAGTCGGTATTTTGAAAGCCAGCGCACACTGGAAAAGAATTATTATGAGAAAAGCGCACAAGCGTCATTACATTCAACGTTAGTGTCGTCAAACCATGCGACAAGAAAAATCTTTTTTCCTATCCTCTCACCTCACATATTCATTCTTTCTTTTTTTACACCGAACATGGCCGAACACCATCACCACCATCATCATCATCATGATTATGCGCAGGCAAATGCCGATCATTTTAGTGAAAAATCACGTGATTACACCACTGAATTTTCCACCGAAATAGGCAAACGATGTGCATCAGCTATTTTGAAAAGTTATCCGTTCGATCCAAGTCAAACTGAAGTTTTGGATTTTGCTTGTGGTCCTGGTCTTGTCTCATTCCAACTTTTACCACATGCGAAGAAAATTATTGGTGCTGATTTAGCATCGGGAATGGTCGATGTTTTCAATGAAAATGTAAGATTTATCAAATGAATTTTTTTCTCCTATAAACATATTATACAGGCCAAACAACAAGGCTTTTCACCCGACAAGTTACAATGTATTCAAACGGATATTTTAAAAGACGACAGTAAAGAGCTCGATGGTGTACTTTTCGATGTGATTATGTGAGTTGTTTAATCGAACTATGTCTTTTATACGAATATATTCCAGTTGTACGCAAGCGTATCACCATTTTCCCGATACAACTCAAGTGACTCGTATGCTTGCTAAACGATTGAAACCAAAAGGGCGTCTCATCATCGTTGACTTCATTCAAGACAAAGACATAGAACAATTTTTCGGACGTCTACACGATAGTAACCATGCGCATATCGTCGCTCACAAACGTGGTTTGTAAAAAGAATTTTTTTGTCATTAGAAGTCTTTTTCGGTTGTCTGTTTTGTAGGATTCGCCTCCGACGAAATCATTAATATGTTCAAAGCAGTGGACTTGCAAAATCCTAAATTTGAGGTAAAATTGCACTTGTTGACGCAATGAAATCTATGCGAGTTGTTCTAGACTGCATTTCAAATGTCTAAATCGGAAATGAAAAGTTATCCAGGGCACGAAGTATTCGGCAAAATCATGCAAGGTGATGAGGACTTCATATTCAAATATTTTGTTGCATATGCAGACAGAGCTTAAATTTTGAATAAAGTCAAGCCGAAATTTGCGTCGAGATAACAAGAATTTTTGTGTTTATTGTGGGTGTTAAACATACATGTTTCTTGTATTGATTCAGTAAATTGTCAATGAATGTGATGACATCGATAAAAGATATTCGTTTCAAGGAATGATTAACAGGATAGTCGTATTTTGAAGAAGCGAACTACACTCGTTCGATGAATAGTTTCTTTTCATATGATCAACCACTTTCGATGTATGAGGTAAACGATTTTCAGTACTTCTGCATTTGTGTACTTCCTCGCGAAATTGTTTTCAAAGGCAGCAATTGATGGCGATGAGGAGTACTTTAATCAATGGCTGCTAACAATGAAACAAGATGATGTATCGATAACGACAATTAAAAGTGAAATTGAAAAACTCGACCAGGAACAGTATTCTGTGTTACACTATGCTATTCGATATAATCAGTTGCATTTAGCACAAAAATTCATCGAAGAATTCCGTTGCGGTACGTAAAAATCGAATGTATCATCACGATCACATTCTTCGTGTGTAATTTCCTTCAATAGATGTGAATCTTGCTGGTTTGAATGGCGAAACACCATTGCATACAGCTGCTCGTTACACTCAAACTAAACTAACCAGAGAAGTAAATGTAACTATTCAACTAGATGATCGCTAAACTGTATTTATTTGATTGTACAGAATGCCATCACTTGTTTAGTTAATTATCAAGCTGATATTTCCAAACGCGACTATTATGGTAAGTCTATTTGAAGAGAATAGTCGTTCTCTTGAATTTTTCACAAGGTCGAACACCACTTCACCATGCGGCGATGAGAAATAATTGTACTAACGCGAAACAATTAATCGAACTCAACGCCCCGATTGATGTAAGAGATTTTTCAACCAGTATCCTGATTTAAATATGAACTCTATCTGAAGATCATTGATCAAAATCACGCGTCACCACTTCATCTAGCTTCTCGTTTCGATGCAACCGATTGTGTTCGATTATTTCTTGAACAAGGCGCACAGATTGATCGACAAGATGCGAACGGAAACACGCCATTGCACTGCTTAGCGTTATCGCCCTCGATTGTCAAAAACAAAATGATTCAAAATACAACAGCTTATTTGTTATTAGACATAGCGAAAGATCGTCTTGATTATTATCTTGAAATGTTCAATCACGAAGACAAAACAGCGTTGAGTCTTGCATGCGAACACGGAAATCAAGATCTAGTACGAATTCTTCTTCTTTACGGGGCAAATGCACAGAATTGTATGACCATTCATATGGCAATTAAATCAGGTAATCCGGATATTGTTCAATATCTATTAGAATCACAAATGAAACACGATTTTCACACGTCATTCCATATGGCTTGTCAGTATAATCGAACTGATATTCTACGAATGCTAATCGATCACTCCAGCGACCATTCAAATATTGAAATTCGTGATCATCGAGGTTATACGCCGTTACTGACAGCTAGTTATTATAATCATCATGATTGTATGCAAATACTTCTATCCAATGGTGCGAATTTGTTTGCGGTGGACTATGCGCGAAGAAATATCTGTATGTTCGCTTGCGAGGAAGCGATTTTTGTATAGATATCTGTTTTGTTTTTGAAAGTGCACATTTGCGTAGAAAAGCAATGCAACGATGCGTTGAAAACATGCTTGGAATGTATTAAAAATGACATTGATAGTTATGAACTATTTACTACAGCTGATCGGTATGGAAATACTGTGCTACATACAGGTAATTTTAGTGTTATTTTTCATTTATTATTGATAGTTAAGGAGAATTTTCTTAGCTGCAAACTATGGTTCACATGAAATCTGCGAAGTGCTCATGAATGTTATCAAACATATCTTATTCTTGTCCGGTTCGGATGAAAACACATTTCACCAGCAATATTTATCGTTGATTTTGAAGAAGAACAGAAATCAGCGTACATCAATCCACGAAGCTGCGAAGATTGGCAATTTTGCATTGATGGATTGTGTTTTTCGAATTCTTGAAGCGAATGTTCAGCATAAATTCACTGTGTGTGAAGCTGTCGATGATGAATTTAAAACTAGTCTGCATCTCGCCGCAGGTGAAGGTAAAATCCATTTGAGTTTTGTGTATTGCGTCTCATTTCAAATCGTCAGGTCATGACAAGATCGTGCAGTTTCTTCTCGCTCAAGGTGCAAACGTCTGTGTATGTGATATGAACGACGTAACACCTATGCATGAAGCTGCAGCGCATAATTGTCGTCATTGTGTGGAAATTCTCCTTCAGAACGGCTCGTCGATCAATCAATTCGATGGGAAACATCACACGCCGCTTCATCGTGCAAGTCAACATGGTCATTGGGAAATCGTTCGCTTGTTATTGAATTCCAATGTTGATGTTCGACTGGTAAATTGTGATGGTTACAATAGTTTGGAAATTGCAATCGTGAACAATTGTCAACTAACTGTACGAGAGTTTCTCCAGCACGAAACATGGATGAAATCCTTGCGAAATTGTCAAATGGAGGTTTCAAGCAATCGGAAATACGAAGATCTGTCCACACCGTTACGAAAATTGATTCGGTATATGCCCAATGAAGCAGAGGAAGTGTTCACACGATGTATAACTGAACTTGGAGGATCGGAGGATCCATCATATAAGATCATTTTTAATTATGAATTTCTTGAAGATCAATTCGCGATTCAAAAATGGAAGCAAGGTAGAAGAGAATCCGTTCTAACACTAGTTGATTTCCATTTTCGTAGACTGTTACACATTACCTGGTGATTCATCGTCAATAAAAATCAATAAGTGGAATCCACTACATTATTTCAAGAAACAGACAAACGCGTCGTTATTTGATCACCACATTCATAGTCTTCGACAGAATCATCCTCTTTATCTGATCATCACATACCACCAACATGACCTATTGAAAAATCCATTAATTGAACGATTGATTACACGTAAATGGGTTCAATTCAGTCGATCATTCTTTTGGATACTATTTCTTTTCTACGGTAATTTTTATCGTTAAAGTATTCAATCTATTCAATGAGTTTCATTTATAGGTTTCTTCTTAGCTTCGTTTACTTTCACTATTCTTCGTGTTCGTCACCCTCAATATTATTATTCGCTTTTTAATGCATCGATATCTTTGGTTAGCTGTGAAACAATTTCATTAAACCTTCTTCGGCATGAGTCGTTCATCTTAATAAAGAAGAATTTCTATGACACGATGATCAAGTGGCTGTTGTTGAGCACAATCTTAATCCATGTGGTCAAGAACGTTCTACTAATTTGTATACGCTTTCGAATGTTCTTCGGTTTATCGAATATTCTAGAATTAATCGCGTTAATCTTGAGTATTATCTTTTCGCATGACTTCTATTCGTGGCAAATGTCAATTCGCTTTCGATGTTCACTTCAATGGCAATGTGGGGCGATCGGAATTCTCATTGCATGGATCACACTAAGTAAAACTCGAAAGAACGAGCCTAAAGACCGATACGTTATGTCTGATCTCTCCTTTAACACTTCTGCTTGACAATGAAAAATCTCTCAAGCGCAACGTAATCTGTTTGTTTGTTTGTTTAGTTACTTATGTGCAGTTTTTATGGGCATCTGGTATATATGTCGTTATGTTGGAGGTCATCGTACGAAAATTCCTCCGTTTTATCCCAATTTTACTGATATTTATTCTTGGTTTCGGTCTATCGTTCCACATGCTGTTACAAAATCAAAGTGTTTATCATCATACATTCGATGCGTTAATTCGCACGGTGTTAATGTTAACCGGCGAATTCAATTACGAAGAGCACATCTACCGTGGTGAGAATGAAAATGGTCGGTATTACTATGAAATGGTATTTCTACTCTATGTGTTATTCTGTATTTTGATAACAATCCTAATCATGAATTTACTGATTGCCAATGCTGTCGGCGAGATTCCTCCATTGATTGAACATGCCCAAGCGAAACATTCAATCATGCGAGTCAAACTGATTATGAACTATGAAATATTCTTATCAACATTCGATTGTTTGATTCCGTACCTAAAACAGCGAGCAAGACGTTTAATTGAAAAGAATCAAAATGAAATCATCTATCCCAATAAAATCAGTCGGTATAAATACAAATACTATCAGTTAAAGAAGTTTTTTGATGAGAAAAGAAAGAAATCTTTTGAATAAAAAACAAGTTTTGCAATGATTTATTTTAATGTGTCGAGTTTTTTCATTACCCATCTAACCCGGTCGTTGCCCCAGAATGGTTCACCGCGAACAACAAATGTTGGAACACCGAAAATCTTATCTTCTTCCGCTTCTTTCTCAGCATTCGAATAATCCTGTTCGCCCTGACTTTGAGCATAACTTTGGAAGTCTTGCGCAAGTTTCTCATACGGAACATCCTTCTTCGATGTTTCATACAAAAGTTTCGTTATCTCTTCCATATCTTCGAGATTTAATTGTCTATTGAAGAATCGTTGAAACGTCTGTTGTGCAAAGACAGGAAAGAATCCATTTTTATCAGCATATAAACCCGCAATCAGTGACAGATGTGAATTGAATAACCGTTCCGGTCCGCGAATAGTCATTCCGCGTTCATTGGCGAAACGCCGACAATCCAAATATAAGTATCGAACTTTATTCCAATTCAACCGATTCCGTTCTTGCAGATTTCCACCAAACGATTCTTCTGGACGAAAAGCCCACGGCACGAAACGCACCCGAACAGGATATTCCTTTTCGAGTTGAAAAGCCGAATCTAACGCTAGATAACTATATGGTGATTTGAAGTCGTAATAAAACTTGATGATTTCTTTTGTTTTTCCGCTTGAATAAGTACGGAGGAACGTTTTGAGAAACATTCTTGAATAAACAGAAGAAAAGAACAACATATAAATGTATATCCTGTTATTCTATTGCTCTGATTTAGCAAACAAAAGCAACAACAGAGAGAAGAACAAAAAAGAAAGATCAATTTTCTGTTGTTATTTAACAGTAAAATATAAACAAATGTACGAGAAACTAATTGCAGAAAACAGAGGAAGAATAAATAACCACATCGCGCTCGATTCGTATGTAGAAAAATAAATATAAACAAGAGAAACCGAAAGGAACTGTTCACATGCATTTTGTTATTTGGTGGATTTCGGACGCTTTCCCATTTGCATTGCCCGCCGTTTTTTCTCAGCTTCTTCACGTATAATATCTTCTAAATCTTCTCGGAGGCCTTGCTTCGTGCTGAAACAGAATAATGTTGGATGTAAATCAAGATTTGTCGTTATTCGACTTACCTGAAATCTTCTTCTTTTTCAATTTGATCAAATGTAGATTCCATGTTTCGTAGATCGTCGTCGTCATCGTCCAAAAATCGTTTTCGATATCTGAAAGCGTAGACGAAACATTCAGTAAGAAAATCAAGTGTTCTTGCTGACTTTTCTGGGTCAAAACGAAAGTTTTTCTTCAAAGTTTCTTGAAGTTCTTTTCGATAATCGAATCCTTCATCTTCATCATCATCGACAATAAAACCATCCATTTCTAAGAAAAATCGAACAAAATCTCCAGTTGAAAAGAATTACCACCGTACCTCCATCATCTTCGTCTTCCGAATCATCGAGTATAGGAGGACGTTTCCGAGCTAAAACAAAGCGCGATAAATACTTCATTCCTCTAAAGAACTCTCTTACAAGGTACAACTGATGGGCGTTGACCATTCATCATTCGGTTAGGTGCTACTGGTCGTTGATTATTCACCGCTCGGTTAGGTAGTGATGGTCTTTGGTTATTTAAAGTTTGACTCTGAGGCACCTTCTGTCCATTCGATACGCGATTTTGTGGTAATGATTTCGATCCGTTCACTAGCGAAGTTTGTGGTAGCTTTTGTCCATTTACTGATGGCTTTTTATTATCGATTGCCGGATTTCTAACAGGCTGTTTCACATTGTTCGACGATGACGATGATGTAGCAGGTTTTGATTTTGTTTGCGCCGATCCTTTTGTAGTTGAATTCACTTTCATAGGTGTAGATTTCTTCGAGTTAGATGCACTTGTGGTTGGTTTAGAGTTGGAACTGTTTTGCTTGGCTTGATTAGATGAAGATGGCTTATTAGATGTTGGTGCTTTTTGCAGTCGTCGTGCTTCAGCAACGTAAGCTAATTCTTTGGGTAACGGTTTCTTACTATCCTTCAATTGCGCATATAGCATGAGATCCTCGTAGGGAATACTCGGTGCCGGTTTTTTGGCAACAGCTGGAGGTTTAGCAGGCGCTGAACGAGGAGCAGTACGTGGTGCCGGCGGTGGTGGTGGTGGAGTTGCTTGTGAGGAATTAGCTTTTGCTTGAGATTGTTTTTTGATTTGAAAATTTGCTTTTTGTTGTTTTTTTAATTCGTTCACTTTTTTCAACCGCTGTTCTTCTAAAACAAAAGCAAAATACATTCTTGAGGATGACAAACTAATCCATTCTTTCTAACCAGCTAGCTTTTGTTGTTCTTGTTCACAACGCCGTCGTTCGAGAATCTTCTGAATCGCTGCTTGATCGACAGGTCGTGCTTTTTCTGCTTTTTGATTCAATCGTTCGCGTTTACGTCGTTCTTCTTCAAGCTAAAAAACAACAAAACGAACCTACGAATTCTTTTCACGAAGAGTAATTACTTTCTCGATTTCAGATCGACTATTACTATCAGCGACGCGTAATAGCTCGACCCAGCTTTGTGCCATAATTTTTCAAATGAACAACTAAAATTAAAAAAAAAAACAGTATAAACAATCCATTTGAAACAAGCTACACTCTCGAATAACAATTGCCCATGAATGAATGTATATTTATAAATTACAGCTGATCAATCATCGTGATGGATTCCGATTGGCGCTGAGTCGACCAATGAAATTTCAGGTATGGAGGTAAAGGTAAAAATAGTCACAATCGAAGGAAAGGGAATGAATAGAAACATGACGATGGCTTGTTTTCAATGATACCTATGGACATGGCACATCGATAATTTCCAACGAAATTTGTAGTAGGACGTCTTTTTTCTTCCAGTGAAGATTTTATTCTGTTCATCATATTTGAAAAAACAATTTTTCAGAGAGAATATTACTAAATCTTTCGATAAAAAATTCACACAACAGAATGAAACAGCGAAAGGATATGTCATTGACCTATACAAATAAAACAAGGTTTGAAAGGGGGAAAAATAAATACATGTAAATATAAAAGTGGAAGAGGATAAAACGCCGAGTCATTTTAAGTAGTTTGATCAAATTGATTTGTTAAAAGATAAGAAATAAGCGACGCTTTCTGAGCATCTAAAGCTTCCAATTGTTGCAAATAATGCAGTTGATCGGTAACTGTGATGGTTGATGAAGCTAAAACAGCAATAACGTTTCTCGTTATACAACGAAACGCGTTTTGTAAATGGATCATAATTGAATTTCTTTGAGCACCAACGCTACAACGTTCAAATGAATCCTCAATAGCTAGTTGAATTACTTCATAGTACGCTTTACGTTGACGAGCAACCTAGAAAAATTCAGCAACCGACATATATCGTACATTCGCTTTAGAACTTACGATACATAAAGAATGAACCAACTGTGCATATTCCTTGTGGTAATTTTTCATCTAAATTTAAATGAGAGTAGATTGATAGAAGACCGAGTCGTAACTTACTGCAAATGCAATGAGTACATTCGTTAACAATTCTCTGCCACAGTAGAATAGTAATTCAGCGATGTATTCTGTTTTCCATGGTGTCGGTTGTGCTGAAAAGAATGAAGTTTGTCTTTCCGATAAGAATTACAGATGATCTTCTATACCAATCAACTCATTGAATAGAGCAAGTTTGCTATTACTATTCCAAGTTTTTTGAGCATGTACTGATCGGCTGAGAACATTGAAAGCTCGACTGAGATCGAAATACGCTTGTTCTTCATCGACATTTGGATAAGTAAAGTAATTCGTTCGATCACGAGTAAATTTCTCCCAGTCGATATTATCTAAAATTGAGTAGATGAGCATCAATTCGATGAAGTAGATGAAAATGTACCTGATCCAGTTGGTCCGAATAGTAAATAGATGAGTCGTGCTTGAAACCAGATCGGTTGTCGGTCAAGAATAACGTTTAATAAACAACCGCGATGAGCGTGAAGTCGAATAGAATCAAAATAAACAAGACGAAAACATGAACGAATATTCTGTTCAAGTTCAGTTTCCACACCGACTAAAATACAGATGAATGAAAGGCGAATCTTTGTTGCAAGAGAGATTTTACCGTGTTCGCATGAGTAAAACCGATCGATCTTTTTCTTCAGATGTAGATGAGAATCAAATTGAGAAAAAGTCCAAGCAATTTCTCGTTCCGACCAATGTTTTGTTACTTCACCAAGGAATCGACCCATGTGAGATAGATCGTCAAGTGATGTACCGTCTGCTGACAAATTCAACTGAAAACAAAAAATTGAGAATTGAGTGACTGACGCAGAAGATTCAGTGTGTTCACCTTAGAAAAAAAGACTTCTTTAATCATCTGTATTCGACGAGAGAGCGGGAATAAACTTGTCATTAGTCCGAATAAGCGACCTACGATATGATTGAGAAAGATCGAGTTAAAATCGCTTGTTTTCGTTTACCAAGTCGCTCCCAAGCGCCCGATCGTCGTCGATCTGGTGATGTTTGTAAAACGACTTTCAAGTACTGCGTACCCATTGATGATCGAAGAAAGTTTAAAACAAATGTAAAGTAAACATTACTCGTACTAGCTAATTGATGTAGTTCATATGCTAAGAGAGACAAATCTGAAGATGAAACATGCAGACGAAAATGAGAGATCATACGTGATAGTTTGAAAAAGACCAAATCACGCATTTCAGTCGGTAGTTGACTTAGATAGCAGATATTCAATGGCATAAGAGGTGTTTGGTTGTTCAATGACCTGAGAACACAAGGAAAACATCAGTTGGAAGGCTATTGGCTTTGAGCTTACATGACTTTCAAGAGACGTTTCTTTGCTGGTGATGGTGATGACATTGAAAAATCATCTTTGACAATAAGAAATTTACGTTTTCCAGAATTCATTACGATGGTAATGGTAAGCAATGGTTAATTCAACTTGGACGGCAAAATCGCGTCCGTATAGGCGAAAATGTTTGTGACTCGAAAAACTGATTTAAGAGAAAAATTTTCGATGAATTGAACATGGGAAAATCAATAGGAATCTTTTCGTTCTCAATAAATTTCAAAAACTGTATAACTGTAGATGTCGTTAGTGGTTGTTTATGCAATTGGATAAAAAGTATGTGTCGTAAATAACGATGTGCATTATAAAAATATCGTACTTTTTGGACTTGTTAACAAATAAATGTCAATGTTGGGAATAAAATGTTCTTGATCGATCGAAGACTATTGTCAAGTCAATTGAATTCTACCACATATGTGTTTAATCGATTTTTCATCGATCATGAACAATTCTAATGATGAATTCTTACATGTTATTTACGATTATACCAGTAAAGGAGATGATGAATTAACTTTAAAGTATGATTGACAATTTCGAAGAAAATATCTGACAACAGTTGAATTTTTCTTCTAGACGTGGAAGTGTATTAGAAGTTCTATCCAAGGACGAGAGGATCTCCGGTTCCGAGGGATGGTGGACTGGAAGATTGCTTAATTCGGAATCAGTCGGTGTTTTTCCGGCGAATTTCGTGGCAAATGCCGAGCCAAACTTGCGAATCATTGATTACAAAGATTTACAAATCGGTGAACTAATCGGAATTGGAGGATTCGGGTAAGAGAATGTAACGAGCACTCTTTTCTCGATGAAATATTTATCTTTTAGTCATGTACATTACGGTAAATTCGGCGACGTTCATGTCGCGATCAAAACTGCCAAATCGTTGACTTCCTATAACATATTTTCGACATCGACATCACAAAAAACTTCGATGGACGATCAATCTGATGCTGTACATAAAAATCTCATCGATGGTCTTTTACGCGAAGCACGTCTTTTTTCCAATTTAAATCATCCAAATATTATCCAGTTGTTTGGTGTCAGTCCATGTTTAGCGACAAAAAATCTCTATCTTGTTATGGAATATGCACACGGAGGAGCATTAAGTGAACTACTGTATCGAAGAAAATCCGGTCTCTTTCCTAATGTCTTCATTGAATACGCAAAACAAATTGCAGATGGAATGAGATATCTACACGGTGAAGCACCTGGACTCGTTATTCACAGAGACTTGAAATGTTCGAATAGTATGTAAACGAAAATTAGGGTGAAAACTTTACATGTTTGTGCTGTTTTAGTTTTGATATTAGAATCTATCGAGAATGTTCATGACGATTATGAATTATTGCAAAAAACGTTGAAGATTACAGACTTTGGTTTAGCAAAAAAACAATTGCAATCGTCAAGCATGACAACTGCGGGAACATATCCATGGATGAGTCCTGAATGTATTCGGAACAACGAATTTTCCACGAAATCCGATGTTTGGAGGTAGGTCAGAGGTACTTTTCGACATGATATCAGTCTGTGATTTTCTAGTTATGGTGTTCTACTTTGGGAATGTTTAACCGGCGAAATTCCTTACAAAGGTTTTGATCAGATGCAAGTGGCATTTGGCATTGCAACAAATAAGTATTCACTTCCAATCCCCAGCACGTGCCCCGAAGAATTTTCTCAGCTGATGAAAGGTTTGTTTGCTTATTCTCATTCGTTCGTCGAATTCGCACGTTGCCGTATTTAGAATGTTGGCATGTTCTTCCTCAAAATCGCTTATCGTTCAATGAATTACATGATCGAATTGTAAAGATCATTGAGACGAACTATTCCAATGCAGAATTAAACAATATCGAGACGAACGAAGGCTCGTATTCGTCATTACAACAAGATTGGCGTAAGGAAATTCAAACGATCTTCGACGAATTGAAAACCAAAGAACAGCAGATTCGTGATCGTGAACAAGCGATGCTTCAAAAAACTCTAGAGCAAAATGATCAACGTTTGCAACTAGAACAATGGGAGCACGAATTACACGAACGAGAAATGCACGTTATCGAACGTGAATTAAGCTTATTAATGTTAACAAATCAACAAGAACGCCTTCAGCATCAAACACCCAAAGCACAAAAACGTTCTGGACGTTTTATGCGTTCACTTCTACATGCAGCTTTGAATGGAAATGCCAGTCTTTCATCTGCCACAGCGACCAGTTTAATCAGCAGTCCGACCAGTTTGTTTGCTCGAAACAAAATCCACATTTACATAAACGCTTTTTTTTGTTCTAGATTTTCGTCATTTGATATCCGTTTGTCGCGATCCGGGTATGAATCGGCATCATCCAGCATCGGATCAAAATTTATTGTCCCCAGTCTCAGATCCTTCATCGCCAATTGGTTCTTCAGCTAAAAGTACACCAACAACACCAAACTTAAGTCGCCTTCGAACATTAACTTGTAAGTCTTACCTTCCATCTTTTCCTGCCTAATTCCACCTTTGATGAAAATAATCGATTCGAAATCATATCAATAAAAGATTCTTCTCAGAGATCGAATTCTCTCTTTCTAGTAAGTGAAGATCTGACTCTAAATAAACTTGATGATGGAGAATTTTTAATAAACAACGATGGTAAGACCATATAATGTCAATGGGATATTTCTGTTTTTATATAAAAACCAATAAATCATTAGCTTTCTTTGCTTTAACAACTTTGATCAACAAAATAGAAGCGCTTGTCAATTAACATTTAAATAATAGTTTGCACGCAACAAATTCATTTGAACAACAAGACTAGAATTTCACCAAACTTCTTCTTTTCAATAATCTCTTCTTCCTGTTTAGTTCATCAACCATTGCAATTAAACGGTGTGAATTCTCCTGAAAAGCCGACACGTTGTTCATCAGGAACACTACCACGTTCGCGCTGGCATAATCCCAAAAGCTGGTCATCATCAGCGGGGGTTAAGCGAAAACATGGAAAAACGAAAGTTCGACCAGGCGAAGCCAAATGGTATTTGGACAGTGAATCATCAATCAGTAAAGCCAATGACGACGAAACAAAATCTGCTACACCGATTGTTGAATCCAATTCAAAACAAGGTAGAGAGTTTATCATGAGCAAATTTGATTTCGCACTGTTGATACTTGTTTGGTTTTTAGAAAACTCCGATGAAATAAGTAAGATTTATAGAAAGAACAACAGACTAAACTATCGTAACTAATCGAACATTTTAAATCTGACATTCATTCGTCTAGAAACAGTCGACGATTGTTAAATTAAGATGTATGCAAGATGTTATGTTTCTTCGTAATATTTAGATAGAAAATCATTAACACTCAATTAGATTTCCGTACTTCTTCTTCTTAGTTGTTGTTGTTGTTGTGGTTTTCACATGGTCTATCTCTGTATTGATTAGTCAAGATTTTTAAATTTGCTTCTCAGATCATTGATGACTAGAATTCAATCTAGTAACGCGATTTTCTTTCTTTTTACATAGATTCATCTTCGTCTTCCACATGTTCAACTCCCAATGACTGTTCTCTCTCGCGTGCGTTTTTGGATATTAACTCTTTCTTAGTTAGTATTGGACTTGGCCGTCGTTTACCTACTCACTTACCTTCATCTACCTCAACTCTGAAAAGTCCCCCGAGTGAAATCAAATCCAAACAGCAAAATCCATCATCATCGTCCGCGAATACCACTCCATCACCTCTAACAAAAAAACAACATAAACGAGCTTGTTCATCGCCGACAACTAATGGACTCGTGAATATCGGTTATTGCACACGACCTGCCTTTTCATCGACTCGACCCAACTCTCTTGTTCTTTCTTCTACATCATCATCATCACTAGGATTAATACCAAACATAAGTCAATCAGATTCTCAACTAGATGAAACATATTTTCATGCGACAAAGCAAGAAGACAGACAAAGCTCGATTGATGGTGCTGCCAGTGACAATTTCTACTCCGTTAAATCATCGAAAATGTCCACATCGATGACTACGTCCAATTCTCAACCGCTACTGAACTGTCCTTATTTAATCGATATTGACACTGAAGAGCAACTATCACACAAATATTTCCCTCGTTGAAAAAATGAAGCTCTTAGGACGAGAGTTTCTCTGTTCATTATTCCTTTCCCTTGCTTCTTTTAGTTTTCGGTTTCTTTTTCACTGACATATTCTATAAATCCACATTCTCATTTCGTATGCTGTATTATTAATGTGTATGCTTTTTCATATAAATTTGTACCTATCGAAAGACGACGTCTATTAAAATGAAAAATTGAAAGCTTTTATTTCGTTGTTTCAACGAAAACTGTAAAAACAAAACAAAGAAGAACACTCAGGCAAGTGAACTAGAAGTTAACACATCTTTCGCCTATGATTTCCACGATCCGAGTTGAAATGTTGAACGTGTTTCTAAATTGAAAAGAATGGATTAGAGAAAAAAAGAACAACAACAAATCGAACAAATTCACATACGGAAATCTTTGGTATCCGTCATTTGGTCCGCGGAGTCTAAAAGTGAGAGACAATTTAGTACATGTTTAGTGTTGAAGAATAATTGCAAATACCTTGGGGACTACTCTTCCATCCGAGTAAAGTCTGAACGACTGGTTCTAAATGAGACATTTTCAATAAGATGAGAGATTTAATTACTGTATTACTTGGTGTAGTGGTGGCTGGCTGAAAAATTGCTGCGCTCATCAAACCTAAAATGAATACGCACTAAGTATGAACAAAGAAAAGAAAATAAACGAACTTGATGGTGCTTGTTGACCCATCATAACTAATGAAATTGTCATATCAGATCAAATATTTTTCTCGTAGAAAAACTGCTTTCTTACCTTTTCCGTTCATTTGTTGCTCTCCGGTATTTCTATTACCGAAACCTAAGTCGAAGAAAAAATAAATTGATCAGAAACACAGCATTTACATACCTTCTAATTGAAAGATTCTTGTTGTCATTGTTGGTGGTGTAGTTGTTGTGGCAGTAAATGATTTACTTGGTCCCATTTGTGTTTGTGCTATAATAACCTTCACCGATGGGAGAATATCGAAAAGAAAGTAATTACTTTGAAAATTTGATGTTTTAAAAATAAAGGGTTTAGCAACTAGTTTTGGCACAGCTAAAATTGCATTTTTTCTCTGATGATTTCTTTTTCTTTTTTGAAGATGACCTACCTCCCGGTACTTTTCTCATTGTTGATGGATCTAAACACAAAGTATGTTTACAACTAACGTTTATCGTCGAATTGATGCTCAATAGGGAATGATTTATTTACCAATTGTTTGCCATTGAATAGTTTCGATAGCTGGTCTTTCAACCGTAATAACTACGAACTCACCTTGGATTTCACCGTTTCCTTGTTTTCGCTGTGGGAAAGCTGGTTGACGATCAGTTTGAAAATTGTCTCTACTGAATCAAAAGATTAGAATTAAGAAAATGAACATGCGCAGTTATTCACTCTTGTTTCTCTTTTGCTTTTAAGTTCAGAAACGGTAATCGTAAAATATCTGGCAATGCTCGATCACAACGTTTCTCTTCTTGATTCCAATAGAGATGAGCATTGCATGGCTGGAAGAAGACTAGGTCATCATCGCAATTGATAAAAGCATGGCGACTGAAAGCGAATGGATGGAATTGTTGTGAGTTACTCAAACATGGATTTGGCACAGCTAAAGGAGAAGTACAAAAAGAATTTCATTCTTGATTTGATAGTTTAACCAAAAATTCGTCTACTTCGTTGACAGTTTCGTCCGTAGCTTTGATGTTTGTCGCAAATGCAAACATAATCTTGAGTATAATCCACTGCTTTGAGCATACGGCATTCATTGCTAGCACCACAAGGATTCAAAGCACATGAGCTCTTTGGAATTTCGCATCGTTCGCCGGTCCAATCTCGCCGGCAAACACATCCTAGTTGTAGATCAGGTGAAATGATACATTGTCCTTGATTTAAACATGGATTATTTTGTTGGCAAAGGTCTAAACAAGCCTTTTCCGTGTTATCGAATACTCCGCCATTTGGACATGTGTAAATTTCGGGAGTTTGATCTTTTCGACAAATGAAGTATTTGGTTTTATCTGGCAGATAGGCATTTTTCACATTCGGACGAATACGATCGCATGAGATGAATGCTGAAAATAGACAAATGATTTTCGACAGCAGAACATTTGGTTGGCTCTACTAACTGAGTTCATCTTGGCGTCCGTCGGAAAGGTCCCTGAAACAGGAAATGCACATGTCAGAAAGAGTAACGATTTCAATTCACATACGTATCACCGGTCATCAACGACTCTTGATTAGATTGATCGATTATTCGTTGGAGTTCGCCAAACAGTCCAAGGCTTTTGGTGCTCGGCGAGGAAACTGAGTCTAATCAGAATGTATTCAATCAACCAGACGATTTCGTTCATTAAATTGAATTACTTAGTCGTGGACTAGGTTGTCCATAAATACTCAAAATCAAGACTGATATCAACGCAAACTTCAATAAAAACTATCAGCAGAAACAAATGAATTTCGTCACCAAACAAAGTTTCTATACAAACCATCTTTACGCACGAATATAAAGTCGAAGTGGCGAAAGATTTGATTTCATTACATTTATATATACACACAGATAAAATCAAGTGACAAGAATCACCTCGATAGTTGAATATATATCGTCAGATTACCTAGTTTTCTATGATATCATTCGAGGCACTGAGCTGTAAGGAAAGAAAAACACTATATCACGTACGAAGAAATATACGCATATCGTACAACCATCGTACACGATCGTTTCGTTAGAAGATGTTTCAAAAACCCAATTTTTATTGGTGAAAAGCAATATGAACAGAAAACATGTTCACGCGATATTTTTAGTAGAACTATGTCATGAAATGGTTGTTTATTTTCAAGATTTGATACCATATTCGCTATTGATCGTACGACCGATCAAAAGTCGACGAACTTCACTCGTTCCCGCACCAATTTCATATAGTTTCGCGTCACGTAAAAGACGACTTGTTGGATAATCGTTAATATATCCATTGCCGCCGAGAATTTGAATGCCATCAAGACACAGTTGAGTTGCTTTCTCTGCACAGTACAAAATAACACCGGCACAGTCCTAGGAAACGAAGTTCTAATCCTTAAACTCATAATCGCGTATAGTTTACCTTTTTACTAACGATGTTTTTATCAACAGCTCTCGCTGTTGTATATAAATACGAACGGCAAGCATTTAATGTCGTGTACATATCAGCGATTTTGCCTTGTATTAACTACGAAATCATTGTCAATGACCGGTTAGAATAACTTCGAAAATCGTACCTGATAGCAACCGATTGGACTACCGAATTGTTTGCGAACGTGAGCATATTCAAATGCAGTGTCGCAACATGCTTGCATTAAACTAAATAAAATGAGTTACGAAAATATTCAATCTCCTCACGGACTATGCGTAATAAACCATACCCAACTGGACCCGCTGCAAGTACAAGACGTTCGAAGTCTAAGCCGCTCATCAATACATAGACGCCACGATTTTCTTTTCCCATCAAATTTTTTGCTATGAAAATAAACAGGTTTGATAAAATCTCAGTCATATCACAATTTACCTGGAACTTTACAATCTTCGAATAAGAGTTCGCATGTATTCGAACCGCGCATACCCATTTTATCAAGCTTTTGAGCAGTAGAAAAGCCTTCCATGCCCTTAAACGAATAATATTTTTTACAATTGCCCAGTTAGCTCTTTAACAATCAAGTACTTTCTCAATAAGGAATGCCGAAATGCCATGTTGTGGCTTGTCGGTTGACGGATTCGTTTTAGCGTAGACAACGAGTACATCGGCGTCAGGCCCATTCGTAATCCAGAATTTGTTACCATTGAGAACGTAATAATCACCTAAAAAGATTATGACGGGATTAAATTGTCTTTCTCCCAAATCGACAAAGAAATTCATAATGTTTCAATTCAATATTTGCTGAGAGAAAAAATATCGTACAGAGAATCTTCGTTTCTTCAGAAACAAAGTCAAACTATACATATTGTGAAAGTGTCTGTTATCATAGCGGATGTCTATCACTGTTCATCGACAGATTCAGTCTTTGTTGAAGTTGTAGTTGCGACTTGCGGGACAACTTCAGGTAACGGTGGTGGTTGTGGAATGGCTTCCGGAATCGGTGGTGGTTGAGGTATAACATCAACAGGTCGTGGTGGTACGAAGTCTTTCTCTTCTTTTTGTACACTGGCTGACCTTGGTTCGTGTTTCGTTTGGGAAGGAGGTCGAATCTCCTTTTCTTTGGATGAAGAAGATGTTTTTGAGTCTCTTCTCGCATGATTGAATATAGGTGATTCCTTCGATTGACGGCGTCGAGAGGCCCTTCGTCCATCGTGCGATTGATATCGTGGATAAAAATGGTAAACGTTGTTCGACGTAGGCGAAAGAGTAACATGACGTTTTTTCTTTGATTTTGGGTGCTTCTTAGCATTTAAGTAATTAATTATTTGAGGATGTTGTTCTAAACGATGACGTGCCTCTTTCAAACGAGAATAATTATCAAGTAATTGAGGATTGACTTCAATTAGAGAATTGATAGTTTGATAAACAATCAAATCAGCTAAAGATATTTGCGAGCCTAAATAAAATGGACCATCGCGATTGAATACTTTGTAGAACTTTTCCAATTGATTCAAATAATCTTCTGCATGATCAGCGATGAACTGCTTGAGAAGTGTTTTACGTTGCTCATGATTGGCTGGATTACCAACATGTTCGAAGAGTATCTCTTGAAACGAAGAGTTGGCTTCGAAAACCATGTCAACCATAGCGTATTCTTGGTTAGTTGTTCCATGAAGAGCAAATTCTCGTGCTAAGTATCGAACAATAGAATCGAAATAGTAGATTTTAAACTGATTCTGAACACGCAAGATTGGTAATTGTTGAACAGGGATGTGATCTTTCGCTCGTGTCCATTCATCTTGTGTGACACGTTTGTCTTTGAATGTCACACCGACATAATAGAAAATCAAACGAATCAATTCATTGCGATTATTCGCATTGAAGTCATAAAGTTTAAAGTATGCAGCAGCATCCTGTTCCGTTTTCAATACTTGTTGTGGTTGTAATTGTTGCGCGTAGTTCGGATTATAAAATGAGGTCGGCTGAACGGGCTGCTGAGTCGATTGAAGTCCCTGATTACAATTGGGTAATAAGCCAATGTACGGCGCTGAACCGTACGCAGGAGGATAAAAACCGACGCCGTTTGGCATGAGCATCTTTGCTTAGTGTGAAATACGTTTCGTTTTACAAACACTCAGTAGAACATCTCATTAAAAAAATGATGTTTAAAACAAATTGATATATAAATGCAAGGCTTGATGACAAACAATTAGAATAATATGAAAATGATGAGCGTAATGAATCCTTCAATTATGATCAACGAAAAGAAGAAGAAAAGATAGATCGTTAACAAACCTTTCTTTTCAGCGGTTAGCCTCATTGAAACGACGTCAGATCCTGAATTCGGTTCGGACATGGCTAATGCACCGAAATGTTCGCCACTGATAAGCTAAACGAACAGAGAACCATACAAACAACCTTGATGAAGAGAAATTTGACTTACTTTTGGCAAATATTTTTGTTTTTGTTCGTCATTTGCGTTTCGAACAATTTGATTGACACAAAGATTCGAATGTGCGCCATAACTTAGAGCGATGCTACCACTAGCACGAGAGATTTCTTCCATAGCGATACAATGCTCAGTATAGTGTAGGCCCAAGCCACCGTATTCGACTGCAATTCAAAACATCATTCGTCAAGATACTCAACTTAGATTCATTACCCACCAGGTGCTGTAATACCCAATAGACCAAGATCACCGAGTTTCTTCCAGAATTCCTGAAACGAATCTTTTCCATACAAATAGCTTCGTTCTGTTTTCAACGTACGCGTAGTTTCGGAAATGTATTTGTCTTGTCGATGTCATTAGCATAGGGTGCCAACTCTTTCTGTGCGAACGCAAACACCGTTTCACGTAGCTATTCGAAACAGCATAGAAGATCACTCAATCAAAGTTGATATTTTATCTGTAAAACCTGTTTTTGATCATCGGTTAGACCGTATATGTCATCGTTGATTGGGTAATATTGTGATGATGACGATTGTTGACGCGTAAATACTTTGATCGATGATCTAAGACATTGTTTATTAAGCGAAATTAGTCGATTCCACATCAGAAAAGTTGCCCTGTCGTATCTTAAAAAAGGTAAAAAAAATTATAAAATTTCAACGTCTTCAACCACATTTTTATTGTCGGTAACCCAGTGACCATTCGATCGATAGTAAACGATGGAATGTGTTTGTTTATCAAACCAACCGGGCAAAACTTTCGAGTATTTTAAAATATATAAAATCGTCTTTTTCATTTGGTTTAGGTATGAAGGACGTTCCTGTTCTGGTGAAGTCGAGGTCATTGAGAGTAATTTTTGATCATTGTGAAAATAATACAAATACAAAGGTTCATAGTATTGTTTGATGATGTGTCTATCAATGGAAAACTGTCGGATTGCGATAGATCCTATTCGAGACGAATAGATGCAGCAAGCCGGATGGTTGTCGACCGAGAGGTAGACCGAACGTAAACGAAATGCCGGTCCGAAATCGGAAAAGTTCATTTTCCGAATGGACTTCGTGCAAACATCAAAACAAATACCATAAATAAGTGGATAGTGCACGTTATGTACAATATGGTCATTGTAGGGTGTGATAGCCGCAAGTTTAAGATGGAATGACACGTTTGATAAACCAGCAAAGATATTGAGAACTGAATGGCTCAGTCTATGCGAATGCTGTTGATTTGAGCCATCGAGAAAACCACCTAAAACAATATTGATATGTATGACGTCATATAGTTTTAATTTTTGTTTAGATGGTCCTGCGAAAGAATATCGGTATATTTGTGTCATGTTTGCTACTTACCAACGAGATAAGTATCGTAATGTGTATTATCAGGCGCGTATGTTTTCATTTCGTTTAACATTTTTTCTAAACTTTCATTTGTTTCTGCTCCATCTAAATGTATTACACCGATCGCATGTTGATTATCAAGTACTAGTATATGGCACGTAGTTGCATCGTCACTTCCAATTAAATGAAATCCATTTGGATCGTTTTTCCCTACAACTGCAAATTCGCGTTGATGAACATAAATTGTACGCGTGATTTCTTCCGGTGTTTGTTTGAATTCAGGAGATTTAGCAAATTCTGTTGAGGAATGAATCAAGTTAGTATGTTGAGCAAGCTGCTCTAATGAAAATTTATCTGAATAGATTTGCTCATCGATGATGAGAACCATCTAAAGGAGAGAAGAGTATCTTAGCGCAGGTTTAGAAAAAGAAAATTAGCTTTTGCTTTTGTCCATTTGATCAAATCACGTGTTACAATGAAAAAAGAAGACGAGAAACGCACACACACAAAGGTACATATTCGTGATTAGTCTAATGTATACGTGCAAGTTCTTCAATTATTTTGACTAGTTCTTCCACCGTTGTATTGATTGGAGTATTGTTTTCACCCTAAAATAACCAATCGAGAATTTCAAGCAAGATTTGTCTTTTTCTCACATACGTGCAAATCTGTGATAAGTTCTTCTTGTACTGTTTTCGGTAAGTCAAGGTATGTTTCGATTAGATCGCCGTCAACGAAACCACACGAAACACTCGAATGATTATCAGATTCAAACGAACGCCATGTACCGTGATCAATTTTGCCAACGCTGGGCACGTAATCTGCTAGTGCTAATTGCAATGACATAAGTAACTGATATAGTTGTGGTGTTAATTGAAGAAGAAGGCCGATATAACCGGATACACTGCCCATTAAAGTACACGTTTCGAGAGAAATCGATGTTTCAGCTGTTTGTTGAGTTACAAGACAACCTGAAAAGTCGAACCACAAGGTTTTTATCAAATGAAAAGTATACGTTTGTTTACCATGTCGAAAGACATTGATGTTTTCTCCTAAGTGACATAATCCCAATTCTTTCAACACATTTCTTTCATTCTCTTTCGTTGAACCACTGTCCTTATGACAAGATATTAAATTTCCTGCATCTTCAGCACAAATAAATGTGTCATCATCGAAGAATTCACATGCGGTCGTCCATTGCGGTTGAACATCACAAGCAATCTATGGAACGCATCGATTAGCAATGAAATCTTACCAGCAAAAAACTTATTCTCACTTCTTCAAATTTCCCCTCGTCAACATTATATCGTAGAACAGTAATTGATTTCATCAAATCATTGAATAGAACGAAGTCATCCTTAATTTTGACCTGTAGACAATCAATATGTCCTAAATACTGTGTTAATTGAACCAGTTCGTGATTTTGTGGTGAAAATTTGTACAATCGAACCTAGAAAACGCGAATATAGTAAATTACAATGCCGATTTCGTCACTTACAGCACTTCCAACAGAAACAAGAAGTTTGCCATGGAATGGTAACATCGAATGTGGTGCACCATTCAACTCTTTCTCCGTCACCAAATTCAAATGTCCGCTTTTATAACGATACAACAGAAGACGACCGATTTTTGGCGTATCATCATCTTCGAATACAATGGCCGTACCAACTGCGATATACGATGACGAAGGATCATCAGCAAAAGTAATCACACACACACTCAGAGCTTCTTCGCGATTCAGCAGACGAACTGAGACACGAGCTAGAACAAAAGAATGCAGATAAAATCATTTCGACGTCTCAAACATTTCTACCTTCATGTGTATGCTGATCTAAAATAACAATGGAATCAATGACGTCATTTTGTGTCGGTGGTACAACGTCATTGATATTTTTGATTGTCGTTGTACAATCAATCTTTTGGTGTGCTTGTTTACTAATTGGTACGATATTATCCGTCTGATACACATCCATGTATTGAGTTAACACGACAAAAGCCTTCTCTTCTTCGAAGAATGTTATACGTCGTGCTGGTTCGCCGAGTACTAAGGAACGTACATGCAACTTTTGTATATCGTCAATTCGACCAAGAATGACACCGGCATCGGTGACTAGCGTTAAACTTGCACCATAGAATTCCGAATGAAACGAGCACATGCAGACAATTTCTCGTAAATTAACAGCAGAAAAGACAAGCTTCGTATTTGATGACGATATAACCGATGGACGATCACTGCAAGCAAATAGTACTGTACTCTGTGAGGAAGGATCCGTTGACGATGATGATGTTGTTGTACTCGGTGAGATGTCTGTTCGTTTACATATTGTGAGTGTTGTTGGTTTTGTGCCCAGGGAAACTTTTTTTCGTTCGTATAGAATTCCTTGTTCAACATCAAGCAAATAGTAAACTATAGGACCATCAGCTAATGAAATAACAACATAAGGCTGAGAATCGAATGTTATCATAACGACTGATCGTGGCAACGTATCTAAATTCACACAAGATCACTTTTCCAATTGTCTAGACGTAAACTGAAATCTACCTGAAGTCAATGGTTCTTTATGTAAAACATCGAGTGTTGGTAAACGATAAATCCAAACTGATATTTGTGTCCATAAACCAACCACACAAAGATTAGTTCGTTCTTCTTGTGGATTCAATGGTGTTACATCCAAACAAGCGATATTATATGGTAATTTGCATTTACTAGAAGCACAAAAGTCAGTTCAAAGTGCTATGAATGATGTGGATGTTTACTTGATTTCAGTGAAACTAGCTCGACCAATTTCGAAATAAAATAATTGATTTCCACTAGCGCAAACACATTGAGTCGTGTTGGACGATCCGACAGTAATTTCATTCTGTTCATTTTTCCATTCGACAAGGAGATCTTTTCCATTGTTTCCAATTAGACGTATCGAATGTGTAGTGATCTAAAATGTCAAACATGAATGTACGAACAATAAATGAGTATCGGAGATCTACTTGTAGATATTGATCAGCGATGACATTTGCACAAAATAATGTTTGGTGTTGAAAGTCAAAACCAGCTAATTCAATTTCTTCGATTTCATCATTTTGTAAATGGAACAATCTCAATTGAAGCGCAAATCATAGTTTAACTTCATACAAAGCGAAAATTCAATCTACCTAGTTTGATCAAAGAACGCCACGACAAGATGGTTATCATAATGATTGTCTATTTTCAATGCCCAGATGCCTATCAATCCCAAAACATCAGATATTATTTGACCGATTTAGTAACTCTTACCTTTGATATTTCGTAAATCAATAGATGCATGCTCATGAATGCCAATACCAGTCCGAATAAAACGTAATGAAGAATCTTTACCATTACCAGAGCATGTCACTAACTAAACAGGAGATTCGAAAGAAGACGGTGTTTGTATAGCGATCATTAATTTCTTACTTGTCGACCTTGGCGTTCTAGGTCCACAACACACATATCCACAATCGGTCCAAGATTTGTATATGATTCCAGAATTTCTAAATGACTTCCATTTTGTGGTTCAGGTAGAAGCTGAAAAATAAAATTTTGATATCCATATACACATTCCAAAACTATTTTCTCATTACTCGAATAAGTTGACTATCACCAAAGCGTGATCCAATGAATGCCACTCCATTGTCTAAATAAGTAATATATTCACATGATGACGTTTCACCAAGAAGATCCAACTAGAAGCGAACAGATTTAGATAAACGGCATGAAAATGGTTTCAGACACTACCTTCATGTCGGTTATCGTTGTTGATGAACTTCCATTTCGTTTGTCACGTTCGAGAACAAGTAGATAAAGTTTACCAGTATAGTCCGTTAATAAATATCGACAGCCGTCATCATCGATAGGACAGTAACCTACGATACCAGCGTCATCCTAGAAAAATAAGACGATTCCATGAATTAGTTTTGATAAACAAAGATATTGTTCAATCACATCAAGTAGTAATGATTCGATTTCCAATGGTCGATCGTTTTCTTTATAAAAAGCCACAGTGTTTCTTCCAATAACAATGCAACTGAAAGTATCTTGTCCAACTAAATACTCGAAACAAAATATCGATTATGTCTGCTCGTATCGACTTTACTTGGAATAACGAATGAAGCTTCACTCATTGTCATATCTTGTTTCCATGTTAACTTCGAAATATCTCGTTCTTTCAATTCGACTTGATAAGTACGAATATGATATTCTTCTTGATCACGATTGAATGTTGAGGTATCGCTTGTTTGCTAGACAGACGAAATTTACTTGATTCAAGACGCGAAGAGAAACAAAGAAGATCTTTACTGGATACAAGATTACAAAGGTTGGTTTTTGATGGCCGGGCAGAAATTGTATGTCAATAATGTTTTGTTCATCAACTCTAACAGAAGAAAATCGGTTAGAAATCGTGAATTAAGTGAGAAAAACTATACTTCACGTTGTATGCTTCTAAGCTTTTGGATGAAGATTCTTTGGAAGAAAAATCTTTCAAATAGATCAATTTAATCAAGCCTTCGAATATACGTAATAAAATAAGACCATGTTTGACATCGATCGTACACAATAGCTGACGAACAGTTTGCCGTCCTGTATCCTAAAGAAAGCAGACGAGTATTTCAGTATTCGATGAAGTGACTTCGATGAGTTACTCTTAACAATCCATGGCATTTCGTTGAGATTTCATACTGATCTTGATTCGTTTTTCGACAATCTAAGATCATTCCTTGATATTTGTCAGTAAAAATAAATAGAACATCTTTGTTCATGTTCTACATAAAAAAAAGAATGGATTCGTCTTTCGCAAGAACAAATTTTTCTTACCGAGAGACGAAAACATTTGAGAATATGAATTTGTCCATAGATACAAACATCTTTCACTAATTTTAAACCTTCGGAATTGATAATATAGATTTCAAAGTGTGTATTCTTTGCAACAATTAAATTAAAATCAGTTGGTGAGGTGAAATGGCCAGTGGCAAGAGCCGTTACCGCCGTTGGGCTCTGAACCGTAACCACATAATTCGTTGCAGCCATCGGAGGAACTTTGATCCGCTTGTTTTTTTTTAGTTTGTCATTATAACAATCTATCTATAACTTAACTAGTTACGTATAGTCATAGACCAATCGTTTCTATGAACGGTAGGCGGCGCCAATGTCTGCCAAACTGTATTTTGCTTCTGTACATCGGTTGTGGCACACAATTTCGAGTTCATCAAATAGTAAATCATCATTTATTCAGACAACAACATAAAACGATATGTATTCGAAAGAATGGAGAAGGAAAAACAAAACTTTATATTTGACACATTGGTGGGTTGACAAAACCGAAAACATTCATTTCGATTAACAAAGAAAAAATCACGAAGATTGCATAAACAGCAAGAAAGAAACAACCAAGAAATTTATCTAAATACCATTTTCTACCATGTATACTTAGCACCTAAAACCAAACGAAATTTCATTGATAAAAGAAAACATCTCTCTTACTGTTACAGCAACAATACCAAGAAGTAAAACTGAATCATACATCAATCCATTCGAATTGATATGTACGACTTCGCCGCTAATCAATGTTTTACAAAACCATGGCAAAGCAAGTCCGATCAGCAGATCGAATATGTTCGAACCAAATGTATTTGACACACCCATGTCCACAAGACCTACATCAAATCGTACGTTGATGATATATCAATCCATATGCATCGCATATTTACCTTGACGAACAACCAATACACTACTAAGTGCATCTGGAACGCTACTACCGGCGGCGAGAAACGTTATACCCATGACACTATCTGGTATACCAAAAGTAAATCCAATCACTGTCACCATCCAAACCATGAGGTACGTCAATAAACATAGCCAAAAAATCGCCACAGCAAATGTCAATGGATACCAATGAGATCGTCTAGAATAGAAGATGAGTCAGGAAGGGTTGAATTTGAATTGCTTACCTTGGATCTCGACAGTCAGGAATCGTGAAGTGATAGACAATTTTGATCGGCGCAAGGCACGCCCATTTAGCAAAACCGATCGGATCATAATTATGATTTGGAATGTTTTTCCAATCGTTATAATTCAAATCACTTGCTAATAGACTAAATGAGTACGAATCGAGGAACGTTTGTTAATCGAATCAAGCGATTACACCTACCTCGGTGTTCGACCTTGATAGAACGAAAATCGTCGATCGCCGACTGGCTTTTGTGGACGAGTGACGCCTCGTCTAGCACGTAATTGCTTCTGAAAAACAGTATTGCTCATATTCACAGTTACTTTCATGCAATCCATACATACTTGACTAATCACAAACCGAACAGCCATTTGAAATCGTGTACGCCCTTGAAAATGCTTAGTCATCATTAGTTTGAATATTATCGTTCGAAAATCCATGGAAACACGCGACATAGCAATGAGTTCATCAACTGGAACTCGCGAAGAATTATCCATTTCATTTCCATAATCTTCTACAAATCAAAGTTTCCAATGCAGTTAGTTTTCCTTCGTAAGAATCATTAACTAACGATGACTATTCGCCATTCCATACGTCTTTTGCGTATGTGCATAGTTCATGATCGGTTCTTCAGGTGCATTGAATGTTTGAAAGATTTGCCATCGTTGTACCACTAATTGTTGTAGTTTTTGATTGTTGCTATTCAAAGAAATGATAGTAACAAGAAAAACTCATAGAGAATTTTATTTTACCACATAATGACAATATATCCTGCATACATAATCAACAGAAACATCGATTCGAATAGAGTTATGCGACTATCGGATAAACACTATCGAGCGAAATGATATAGAAGGAGGATATATGAGTTGAAAAGTACTTACAATGATAAGAAACACAATTGAGATTGCGTAATAAGCTGAGTCTCGACAGAGTGGCCTAGGAAAAAGCAAAATAAAGAATCGTATTTTTTGATTAGTTCCAAATGAGCATGAATTCTAATGTATCGATTTATTATTATTTCAGATCGCTGTTGACTTGACGCAAAAACAAAAGCTTTCCCAAAGGACGATTTCCATTTTTTTGATAATTGAAGATGACTACTATCTCCAGATAAAAGCCCAAATGGGAACAGAATTTGATAATAAATGAGAATGCCTGACGAACAACAATGGATATTTATGTATTCGCGATCAACCTTTGTCATCTCAATCAATAACAAAATAATCCGGTACCTACCACCACGTCAATCGAATGGCCTAGAAAACCAGATGAATTCGTTAGTTAACCACCAAGCGCAGTACAAAACCTACTTCATTGACGAATAACCCACAAATTCCAATTACACATACAATATTGAATACTGCCGAGCCGACAATTGTTCCAACTCCAACATCTCCTTTTGCCACAAAAATACCTAAATACGATCGATGATCGAATCTTCCAGTTGCTTGAATGCTTCTTACCAATAAGTGCAGTAAAAAGTTCCGGTGATGATGATCCACCGGCCATAAATGTGGCGCCGGCCACGTCTTCATCAAGATTTAATGTCTGTATATAAAATCATATAGGTTGAATTAAGGTTCGCAAAGAAGGAATTTACCGAACACAATTTGTCAAGCGCAGCAATAAAATATTCATCAACAACGATGGCAATCGCAATGAAAATATAAATACACGCTAATAGATGGAATATAATCGCTCCCTAGAAAAAGCATTCATTTATGTGATTGAGAATATGCGCATTTATTTACGTGACGTCGCTGAGATTGACTAAATAGATCGTCGGGAAATTCATTGATAGCTTTAATTAACATAGAAGGAAAGAAAGCATCTCTATGAAAATAGGATTTGAGTTAAGACCTACCTGGTTCGGTACAATTCTTCATTTGCCCCGGTTGCCAACTGATTGTTGGCGCAGATGTTTGCTCTTCATTGATTATTTCTAAATAGTAATTGCTATTCGTAAAGAAAGTTTGTGTTTTCTGAGTACCGCTCCTAGTCGTTGTTTTTGTCAATCGATGTTTTCGTGTTGATGAAACAGCAGCATGACTTGGCCGAAATTGTTCACCAACAAGATGTGCTAAAGTTAATCCAATTAAAATTCGAATGGCAAATTTGACATGATGTCGTTTTATAAATCGTTTGGATAATAGCGGATGTGTAGCTCCTTCACTCATTGCGCTCGATCTAGTGACTATGGGATTTGCTTTGTTTTAGAGGAAGAGAGAAAAGAAGAAAGGCGGCGAAGGAAGAGAGAGAGGGAGAGAAGGGAATAGAAAAAGGCAATGCACTACATCGCAATTAATTATTCCAAATCAAGAGAAAATACGCTGAAAGAAAAGCGCTTTGCACCGGAAAAAGAAGAGAAAAAGACAGGAAAGAACGTCAATGACGATATACATGAAAAATTCCGTGCAGTTTGTTCACAGAAATGAGAACAAATGTCTTGTTAGTAGAGTGATCGACATGTTGAATATAAATCACAATTAGACATTACTTCCACATGAACAAAGGGAGACAGAAGAAAACTGAGCTGCAATGTTGTCTCCAATTCTTCTGTCAAGAAGTTCGACTCGAATAGATTTTCATATGCGCATGCATTCAAAGAAGAAATTGCTAGTAGACATGCATGCAGTTCATTACACATATGTTTTGGATTGAATGTCAATTGATGTCCAGACGAAATCGTGAGATCATTTGAAAGAAAACGATCAGAAATGTTCGTTTTAATGAGAAAGAAGAGAAAATCCAAGTGAATTAGTGAAAAATAATCAAGTTATTGTTGGAAGAGGAAGACTTGTGAATGAGCATTGAAATACAAATTACTGACGACACGATAATCATTCAAATCAGAAGGGAGATGTAATTCGATTGAAAGTGATTAGAATATTGACCGAACGAGGAGGTTTTTTCGAAAATTCTATTACTTATTCGTTCATGTCACGATTGTTTTAATGAAATTTCAAATTATCGCCAACTTCTCTTTCGAATATTGGAGATCATTGAAACAAATCAACATTCAGCGGTCTTTGTCCAAAGGAAAATTTTCCGAATTGAAAAAGTTGACAATTAGATTTTCTCTGCTCTTCAGACCGTGTAAAAGCCTTGTGTATACTTCCTCATTGGCCATTATAGCATGACCGCATTTGAGTGAAATTCGACAGGAGATGGATGTCTATATTTCGCAAAACAAAGAAGTTTCGTTTAATTGTTTATTGGTCGTCATAAAGTACAATTATCCCTTAATAATTTGTTTTTATCATTAGTAGATTTTCTATTCGAACGTGTGAAACAATTTCAATACGATTTGACCGATAAATGTTGATGGATGTCTATTGGAGCGTGACGAAAGCGAAGAACTAGAGAAGGAATTCATTCTCTAACGTTTTAATCTTGTCATTGAATGCGAGCGATGTGTCGGTGTCGTTGTCTTTTACTGTTTCGAGAAATTCACTGAAGAAAGTATGTCCTTTGCCAAACACACGAACTTTCCATGTGCCATTGAGTCAATCAGATATGCTTTTCTTCATTCTCTTGTTGTAAGTGTAACGAATTTCATTCGTAGAAATTGTCTTTCTTTTCTTTTTCAATGAGCAAAACAAATTCACGTAACAATTGTCGAGGCGTGAATAGTTGTACGAAGGTCTCAATGAGATCTTTCAAATATTGATGAACGAAATTATATTAACTTGTCATTACATTATTCAAGGATGTTCGTCAATCGAAAGACTTTTCAATCATATATTGATAACCGTAAGAACAAAAAAAAAGAAAAGAAACAGTGAACAAATTGTCGAGAACAATCTTTTCTCTTCTCATCTTTCTCAACATTCTTTGGTTGAGTATGAACTGAATACTTTCGTTTATTTTTCAGTTCTCGATATTTTTCTTTAGAAGTCAGTTACTTCCTTTTAGATTGAGTGTCCATTCTTGTTGTTTCGACACTATGTATCCAGGTCCTTTCAAACCAGTACCTATGAGCTTCCAATATCCTGGACAGCAGCAACCACAGCAAGCACCCTCATCCCTATATCAATCAGCTTATGGAGCCTATAATGCATTTGTTGCTCCAGTACGTGAACGATCTGTACCAGCATCTGCTCGACCCAACCAATCAGCCAATGGTCCATATACAGCCACTCCGACTCGACGTCATTCAAAACACGGCCGACAACCACCTTGTCAGCATGAGTATTGTACTAATCACGATTTAAAATGTAGGAAACTTTCAACACGAAGAATATTTCTCTAAACACCTTTCGTTGTCTAGCTAAGCGGCATCAACGTCGCGTGTGCATCTCTCCAAACGGCGCAATGGATCAAAGTTTGTATTCGGATGACATGAAAACATCAGACGATTTGAATCGAAGTCCAACACCTCCATCGAAAACTCGCTTAAAACCGGATGATGCGAACATCAACGATCATGATTCGAAAGTCCATGGTTACAAACCAATGAACAGCGAAATGCCGCAAGGTATAGACGAAACACAAAATCTACATGACTATAATAAACGCAAATCACGTTCAAAACGTCGGGGACATCACCGCCATCAACATCCTCAAGGACCATCCAGTTCGCAGAAACGGGTAATTTTTCACTGGAAAATTCATTCAAGATCAAGGAAACAATCTGATTCTTTCAGGTTCATATACAACCCCTCTACAATAGTCACTATCAAAGTCATGAAGATTCTTCTCGACGTGATGATCCCTATGGTAAATCAAGTAAGCGGCCATCGCGAATCCATCCTGACGATAATCATCAAATGCCTGTTGGTCATGGCGATCGGCCGTATTCTAGCGCGTATGCACCTTATAGTCCTTATCAGGCACCTAACTACTATTCATCTGGGACGCATTGTCATCCCCAAGCGCCTCATGCACAACGCTCGAATACCAATGGTGTTAATAGTGCATTTGAACGTGAAATTCACCGTTTACGTGCGCATATTCATGCATTAGAAGATGAATTGCACAATTTACAAAAGAAGATTCATAAATCTACGTTACATCACGTTGAAACGTCGACGCAAGATGATTTTAATTTGAAAAAGCATCGTTCAAAACGTCATGTGAATCGTTCACCACGTCAAACGCCCGTTATCGTTGAAATAAATAATGTTCACGGTGAACATGCTCGTGATCTATCACCAAAAAAACAACCACCACCACCACCACAACAACAGCAGCAGCAGCAACAACAACAACAGCAGCAACAGCAACAGCAACAACGCCATCCACGATCAAGTAGTCACGCTAATTCTCAACAAGGTCGCTCTAATATTCATCCATCACATCAGCGTCAATCAAGTAAAACTTCTGAACGACAAACGAAGGTATTCAATCCTAAAGCACCAAGTCAAAGTCCGAAACCGGCAGAACCGAATCCATGCGAATGGTAAGAAAAAATAAATGACATTGCGCATAGGCGTATTTTGACTTGTGATTCACTTTGAAGTTCATGTGCGATTCTCGATCAAATTTCTGAACAAGAAGTAAAACCTGTTCCAATTCAAGTTGCTAAACAACCACGCGAAGATACAGCTGCTCAATTAGCACAATTAGCTCATGCCGCAGCAGCTCGAGTGCAAGCTCGCCAACACGTTCCACCGCCTCCACCTACTCAACAATTCTTCACTCATAACCAAGAGTCAGCTTCAGGTCATCAAATTCGTGAACTAAATGGACCACATCCAGCTCCAGGGAATTATTCTGAGCTAAATACCAATCAATCAAATAATAACGATCTCTATAATAATAATGTTAGCGACCGAAATAACCGCTCAGCCGAAAAAATTCTCGATGCATTCGAACGTTTCTATAAAAACATCGGTCGATCATCGACAACTCCTGTCAAAGTTAAATACATTCCTGGAGAGGCCGGTTGCAATCATTGTCAGCAACGTAATATCAACAACAATACTAACGCATGTGCAGCACCTACTGAACTAAGTCCAACTTGTACCTCATCAGATTCATCAAGTTCCGATGAAATTATGATTCAGGAGTGTCAACAAAAAACGGTATTAACTACTAACGGAAGACGTTCAATGCCTATCTTCTGTTTCTTTTCTTCATTCTAGACATATGCATATACTTAACTAACAAAATGTTCATCGAGAATGGAAAGCATATGAAAAAAAATATTCTAGAAACGAAAATATTTATTATGATCGAAAAAAGATAAACCTATGAAATAATTCTAAAATCGTTTACGCCAAAATTTTCTGTCTCTCTCTCTCTTACTCTCGTATAGAAGTTAAATAAGTTTTTCTCATTAAATTTCGTCGTCGTCTTCTTCTTTTTTTTTTTTATTAATTTTGTGAACAAACTGAAAAAAGGTTTTTTTTTTCTCAAAATAAATTTTCAATTACATAAAGCAAAAGAAAAAGAATCTTAGAGACCGTGACGTTCTCGTCGTTGCTTGATACTTTCAACAATTTGTCGAGCAGCAGATGGTCGATGACCATTGAATTTCAAGTTATCACTAAACATAGCTTGACCATTGCTCTTCGCAGATGATTTTGCACGATTGATAGCAGGTTTAGCTTTGACAGCAAGACCATCGGTAAAGCTAACCGACGCGAATAAGACCAAGCAGGCGATGATTGCAGCGAAAATTGTTGTCAATTGCATCGTGATCGTGTATGGTGTTTCAGGGAAGTCAGCCGTTTTTATACAGTCGAAGAGTGTCATATAATGTCTTATCATTATGATTGTTGAAGGCCATTTCATAAAAAAGACTTCGTTTCATTTTCGTACACACCGTCAACACGTTTATAACGTGGGTTTTACAAGCTAATCAGTGATTTTAAAGTACTGAAGATGATAACGTTTGTCAGGACTCTTATTGATGGTAACTAAGACACAAAAAACAACTCACTACCGAACGTGTTTTCGGAAAAGAGTGTAAATAGTTTTCTTTTTTTCTTTGTAGCAGCAGTTCGTTGAAAGGTGTATATATCTACGTGACAAGTCGAAGGCAGCATGTGAGTACCGAAGAACAAGTCGATATTCTTTGGGTATACTCGAGGTAGTTATGTACTGCAGATTCTCCCATAATGGAATGGCTTACGTTTTGATTCTATTCACGTAAATTTCAAAAGTGTGGGTGTCTTAAACACGGTCGCATCTGCATTGATTCGCATTCTCAAAATGTGTTGGCGAAGGTTTCAGTATAAAAGTATACGAACAGACTGATCGAATTTAGTTACATTCCCATTATAATTATCAATAAGGTCAGCCGTTCTCAATTATGTTGAAGTTATTTTTGACTGTTTTTGCCTTATGTCTTATTCATGGATCTTACCAACAAAGTATGTGACTCGATGTTTTGTACTAAACAGAGCAAAAGTCAGTGTGTGCGAATGACAATGATATCTATTTAGATCCAAATATTGTCGCCCTTGGTGATTCGTTCACAAGTGCAGGTGCTGTCGGTGGCGCACCAAAATCCTATCCAATTGTCGCTGGAAAAATCTTAGGATGGCCTGCAGTTAACTATGCTAAAGGTGGATCCGTTTTAAAGGATATTCCAGGTCAATTAAAGAAAGCGGAAGCAGCTTTAGCTAATGCAACACACGTCATTTTTACTACTGGTGGTAATGACGTTGGCCTTGTTCAATCATTTACACAAATTATTTTACTGAATGACCTTGCCGGCGCTTCAAAACGAGTGAAAGATGTTGAAGCTGGATTAGTTAGCGCCTATAATCTCATCAAAGCTGCTGCTAAACCAACAGCGAAAATCTATGCCGTTGCTTATGTTGATTTCATTAGCGTCAGCAAAAAGATTCCAAATGAAGCCAGCTGTCATAAACTCATGGATATCTTGAACGAGACAGTGAAAAAAGCTGCTCAAACTGCTGGTATTCGTTTTATTGAAGAAGTCAAAACAGCTTTCCGTGGTCACGAAATGTTTTCGGCTGAACCATTCGCTGACAGTCTCTTTGCCTCAAGCAATGCAGCTCATCCCAACGCCAAGGGCCATGCTAAAATCGGCGAAGTAGTCGCTGCACGTCTCTTAGCAGATCAATAGAAAAAGAATCGGTTTTCTGTTGTCTGTATTATTCTTATTGATAAAATAACGTAACATCAGTCTCAATTCTATCTTGTATGATTTATCTAAAACGAAAGATCGATATAGCAGAAACCACTTCGTTGCTTGTAATCGATCTAGTTCGTGGAAAGAGACATGTGTTTTTCTGCCATGAAGCTTGAAGAAAATACCAAGGGGTTAAGCAAAGTGCATGATAACAGCTTGTTTGTCGGCGATAATAATTGTCTCGATTAAATAAATACGAGCATATGAGTAAATCTTTCAAATTTAGTTTGAAGAAAGAAGGAAACCAGCGCCATCTATAAACGCCAATCGGATGTATTCTCTTTGCCTCTAGCCATCTATTTGCCTGCAAACGATGTACTGAGAATCTCATCCTCTCTTTAATTTCATCGAACTGAATCATTTTTATCAATATAAAACTAGACGAAATCTCAGCAACACTCATACAAACTATTCTAGATATGTGTGAAGAGACCAAACAATATCTTTGGGCTTTACAAGATACTCTTGGACGTGGAGCAACATCTCAAGTTTATAAAGCATACAACAAGTCAACGGGCGAAGTCGTTGCAGCTAAGGTTTATCAAGTTTCATCGAGCTCTCGTTCAACACCAGGCGATGGAAGAGGAGCTCAAAATCGAGATTATCGGCCAATTTTAGAACGCGAGCTAGAAATACTCAAAGCAGCTGATCATGAAAATATCATCCGATACATTGCTCTAGAACCAGTCATATCATCCGATGCTCCTCAATCGTTGGATAATCGAGAAGCTCTATTGATTGAGTACTGTAACGGTGGAAGTTTGAATAACGTTCTTGAATTACCGGAAAATCGTTATGGATTGATTGAAGATGACTTCATGTTACTCTTTCGGCAATTGACTAACGCATTAAGATATTTACATGATAAAAAAACCGTAAGCATGAAACTTTCTTCTAAAATGATCGAATCATTCCTCGCATTTGAAGATTCACCGAGATATTAAACCTGATAACATCATGCTATCGATAAATATCAATGGTGAACGAACATATAAATTAGCTGATTTAGGCGTGGCAAGACTTATCAATGACGGTGAAAATGCTTTCACCTCGTTGGTTGGGACGGAAGAATATATTCATCCAGTATTGTACGGGTAAGCATAAGTTCAATGCAGTTAATTTGCGTAAATTCGACAAATGTATCGTTGTTTAGCGCTGCTGTACATGACAATAAAACTGATGTGTTACGAACTGCTTTGCAAACGCGTGTCGAGTTTCCATTTGAAGTCGATCTCTGGTCACTAGGTGTGACACTGTATCAATGTGCCACAGGTGTGCATTCGCAATTTTGTTGAAATTCTCACTTCGTGTTCTTTTCAGGGGATTTACCATTTCAACCATTTGCTGGTACACGAAAAGATCGTGCTGGCATGAAACGTATTCTAGAAACGAAACCACCAGGATGCATTTCGGGGATCGAAAATACATCTGGTGGAAAGATTCAATGGTCCAAATCCCTACCTGAATCATGCCGTTTATCCAAAAACCTTAAGCAACGATTGGAAGCTCTCTTACAACGTTTGCTCGAATCGAATAGCGAAAAGTTGATGACATTTCGAGAATTTTTTGAAGAAACAGATCGAATCTTTCATTTGATGCCGATCTATTACTTGAATTTAAAGCGTTTTATATTAACATGTCATTATTTCAATCCATCACAACCAATAACAAACCTATACGATGAATTACAAAAACAAAACAACGATGAAAGTCATGGAGATTACTTTTGTCTGTTTCAAAAGTAAACCTTCGATTCTTTTAAAGAAGGATCCTCATCTTATCAGTTATTCCTTTTTTTGCGATTTCAGTGTACCATATCCAATATCGAAGTCGAATCCAATGTCTGTCAAAGTCTTCTGCGAACAATTACCGATACCAACATCACGTGAAAATCCGCTCGTATTTTACACATTTTCACCAATGAAATCGAGCCCGTCGTATATTCCGCAAATTCATATTCCAACCTTGAAACCGATTCGACAAGTCAATGATGTGGCTGCAGCCTACGATTGGAGTAAAGACACAGTTGGCTTATTCTTTTATGTTAAAAATCAACTAAATGATTATCAACGCATTTTGCAAACAGCTCAGTGTTCAACAACGATAATGCAGCAACATCTGAAATCGAATCTGTTGGAATTTTTGTGTACAATTCGGTCGAAACTGATTGTTTTTCGTGCAATAGAAGAATTGAAAAATATTCTCGATCAAATCGATAGTAGTACAAGTAGCCAATCATCATCGTCGTCATCGAACAACGTTTCAATGACATCTCTCAATGGAAATAATCCATCAGGACGACCACCATCGACCAGTGGAGAAGCACCGTCCATTGGATTTTCCCATCTATTGAGTAACACAGCATCATCAAGTGAAAATAGTTTGTCACCAGGTAGGCGTTTGTCTGTGCGAATCATTTTGAAAATACATTTGAACGATTCTAGTTACGTCGCATCGATCAACCGGTGCATCACCAATGCAGTTAATTCAACAAAGTATTCGCATTTATCTTCGCTCGTATCTGCAACCGTATGAACAATTAAAAAAATGTGAACAAGATATCATAGAAATGATTGAAAGAGAATTCAGTGGACAATTAGGTGTGCCAAATGACCAAAAACCGTTTGTCAATACTCTTTGGATATCGCAATGTACGAAAATGTATGCGTCATGGATTCATCGAGCTGATAAGTTTTTGAAGGATCTTATGGATCTTCATGAAAGTTTTCGGAAAGTAAGTTCGAACAACTTGGTATTCGGTTCGCCATTCTCTTTTCTGTTTTTCGAACAGAAAAAATCTCTTCTCTAAGGTGACTATTCTTCTTACTGAGCATGATTGAGCTTATGCATTTCAGAGGAACTTGTCATTCGAGTAGATTTGATACGCTCGCAGAGCATGCAGAATCGAAAGTCAATTTGTTTGAAATGTAAAGATGAATTTTCTTCTAGGATCGGTTGTTAAGCACGTACAATCGTTTACAAAGCGACTCTCACTTTCGTCGTCGAAAGAATCTCGAAGAATTACATGGAAACTACGTGTCATTCGCATCGAAAGAATGCTATCCGAATTTAATCCGAGGTTTCAACGATTATAATGAATGGATCAAACAACGCTCGAGTTTAATTCATGAATTTCAAGCAATTCAGCAATCCTACGGAAAACAATGTGATGATATTATGAATTATGTCGACATGATTGATGATCTTCGCACAGTTGTTTATAAGAACATTCGCGATTTAGGTGTGCCGACTGCAACAACAGCAACGCCCATGGCAACCAATGATAATATTCAAGTGCCGTCACCAGCAGCAATTCGTGCACATCCCTATCAAATGGCTGAAGATGATAGTTCTCATCTTCCTGACGACGATGAAGAAGAAGCCGACAATAAATCGGGTAGTAACAAAACAATGATGACGAAAATTCGCGGTACAACAAAAAAAACTATTCAGCAAGCTGAAGAGGGCTTTATCAAACTAGATAATGTCATCCGACAACTTCGTACTAGCATACACAAAAAATAACGTTCGACATTCCTTCGTGTATATTTGTATAAACAGTTTCCTCTAGTTCCTTTGCTCCCGGTGCGTACAATATACCTCTTTTCTCTCGTTCGTCATTGTATAGTTTCATTTAGCAGCGTGTTCGTCTCTCCTTTTACTCATTTTGGTGTTTCTTTCAATAAAAATTCATTGATAATACCACACGTGCGAATGTGTGATTGTTTATTTTATTTTAAACAAGAAATAAAACGAAACTTTCCTTCTCTCGACTTTTTTTCATGATGAGGAGCTTAACGAAATGTGCAGAGTTATTTCTTGCCAATTTCTAGATTAAAACATGGCATCACATGACCACGATTCGGACGATGATGCATCCTCTGCTCACGGTTACAAAGCGCCACAAAAAGTTGACCTCAACGCCATTGTCTCTAAGGATGAAGATGATGAATCATTGACGCGATACAAACAACTTCTGTTAGGGAACTCAACAATGAATACACAAGCGTCCAATCAATTAATTGATGCAAATGATGCTCGTGTTGTTTTACCAATACGTATCACACTCATCTTCGACAATCATAAACCGGACGTCACGTTCGATTTGAAAGGTTCGCCTGAACACCTACATAACCTCCATGCGAAACGATCGGTAACAATAAAAGAAGGAGAAACATATCGTTCACAATTGGAATTCTATGTCCAACGTGATATTGTAACCGGTTTGAAACTAATAAACAAAGTTCTCAAAGCACGTACGATTCCTGTGGATAAATCGAAATACATGATCGGTAACATGTCGAAAGGTGATAGATGGATAAAAGAAAGGTATTATTTGTTGTTTAGGTTCGCGCGCACCAAGTAGCGAAGTGCAAACTTACGTGAGTGATGTTGAACAAGCACCCAGCGGCGTTCTATCTCGTGGATCATTTTTGGTGAAATCAAAATTAACTGACGACGATAAAAATGTCTTCGCCGAATGGGAATGGAACCTTGTCATCGCCAAAGATTGGCAATAAACACGAACGCGACCCTTATTTCTATATTTCTTTCATTTTTTATATTGATTCTGTTTTACTGATGCAAATTATGACAATAATTCTTCTGCTTAATGATTACACTTACTTTCGAATGAAATATTTGATTATTCTTCTCCTTTTTTTTTCTAGATCATTATGCAATCAACAGCACTTATTCATTGGCTGAATCAGTTGACTGAACCCGACACGGAGAAAGTCAAGCAAGCAACGAAACAACTGCAAAATCTTTCATTAACAAACGATTTTCTTCTCCAACTATTTCAAATTCTTCGTTCGGAACAGAACGATCAAATCCGAATTCTCGCTTCAGTTTTACTCCGTCGGAAGATTTCGAAATCATCGGCAACCATTCCCAGAGATGTTCACGAAACACTCAAGCATCACCTTCTCGAACAAATTCAAGTCGAATCGAACCAACGCATTCGAAAGTCTCTGTTTGAATTGATTGGCACCATCGCCAAAGAAGATCTCCAAAATGAAGTCGTCGAGAGAAAGAAGAAACCAGCAAAAAAATCGAATAAAAAAGAGACAACTGGCTGGAAGGAATATTTGCACCTATGCGGAACATTAGTTCAATCAACAGATCTCAAACAATTGGAATTAGGCATGTGTCTATTTGCAACGTTGGCAACGTATTGCGGAAGATTTGTTCTTGAACATTGGCCACATACGTTCAACTTGATCACGACAATGCTCAAAACAAGACCATCGATAGTTGTTTGTGAACAAGCATTGATCATCTTGACGAATTTGGTGAAAGTTATGACACAGAAACAATACGTACAAACAATTGCCGATCTTGTACCAGTTGCTAATGACACAATACAGTATCTTTTCGTTAATCTGAAAGTAATTGTGTAGAATTTGAAGGAGAGCTAGTTTGATTATTACTGTTTTAGGCAGAAAATACAACAAATCTCTTGGATTTTTATGAAGCATTACTTGATTGCGAATTACCGAATGTCATTGGAACACATCTTCAAAGTATCATATCAACATGTCTTCAAGTAAGAAGGTTCTTGTTGCCTTTGAGAATTCAATTTTCATTGAATTTTCTTCTAGGTCGCTTTAAGAAATGATGAATCAGTTCTTGAATCCGTTCGTTATAATGGTTTGAGTATTTTAGCGGAGATTTGTCGGCAGAAAAAGAAAGTTCTACTGAAAAATCAAGCAATTCTCCCACCCATCATTCAAGCATTACTTCAAATCATTAGTACAACTGCCATTGACAGTAACACCGCAACCGATGATGATGAAGACGAACCAGTCGTTGTCGCTGGTGCTAATCATGTACTTGAAGCAATGTCGTATCATTTGTCTCCTGAGAAATTTGTACCATTAGTCGTAAGTTGAACATGCAACGAAGAGAAAGGGAATTCTCGACTGTTTTTTTTTAATAGATCGCACAAGTTGAACCAATGTTACAAAGTAGTGTTGCGAATGAACGTAAAGCTGCTTATTATGTTCTGTCGGGCATCATTGACGGCTGTTGTGATTACATCAATAATAAGTAAACAATTGCTATATAAACTTTTCCTTCATGATGTACTCGTCAATGCATTTTCAGTTATCTGGAACCGTATATGACAGCACTTAAAATGGGCCTTCAGGACACTCATTCGGATGTTTCGAGTGCAGCTTTGTTGGCTTTAGGTGAAACATGTGCTGTTTTAGAAGTAAAGCATATTTTTACTGAACTATTAGTTCTCTCTACGAAAATGAATTGTAGGGAGAAATCTCGAAGTATTCAGTACAGTTTTTACCAATTCTTATGGAACTAATGATGAAACCAGAAAATATGCAAAATCATAATTTGAAAGTCATCCGAATCTACTATGCTGTTGAAGAAATTATCGGAGTTTTAAGTCTGTTTGAGTATTTCTCAATTTTGATTTAAAGAAAACGTTTGCGATGAATTCTAGGTGATGAACATAAAACTTCCATTCCGGAAGTACTTCGAGTTCTATTTCATGTTCATGCTTCGACAACGAATACTAAGGTTCGCGAATTAGTTCTTGCTGTCTATCCCGCCATCGGTAAATCATTCTTCAAACATCGAACTGATGTTTTCATATGTATTTCGTCTCTTTCGTTCAGCGACTGTTATGGAAGATAAATTCGCGCCATATTTGGAACCCGTCATCACTCAACTTTCACCTAATCTAAGCCAAAAACCAAATGCGGACATGTTACCAGTATTTTGTACATCGCTCAGTAAGTTTCTGTTGCAATGATTTCGATGAATGAGATTGAAACTTATAATTTAGATACACTCGCTTCACTTTGCCGAGCGGTTGGCACGGAACATTGCAAGGCAATTCTAGTACAAGCACTGGACTTCTCATTGAATCTATACAGTGAAATAGACGAACCGGAGTTTCGTTCAGCAGTGTAAGGAACTGTCAATTTCGAAACGTCCCATGCTTAGTATCTTGTTTAGATTTGCTGTCGGTGGAGCCGCTAGTCGTGTATTAAAGACTGAATTCAATCCAAATCACCTGAATAAGATTGTCGAACATATTTTCGAATCTCTTCGATCACTTAATTGGATTGAAGTAAGTTAACATTAGTTGTCTGTTGATTCTCAAAAAAATTATGTCGAACTTTTAAGGATATCGCAGCCACTGAAACGCGTAAATTAGAATGGGTTGATGAAGAAGAAATAGATGCTACATCAAACGGAATTAGTGATACAGAAGCAGCGACCACCGACGAAGATAAGAACGATGATGACTCGGATGATAACGACGATGATGAGCTTGCTGATGAAGGGTAAATCGATAGATATATCATGATCTATTCATTTCGCCTCTTTTTCCCTAGAATGACGATTGAAAACGCGCACGTAGAGGAAAAGGCAGCAGCAATCGAAGCACTGGGCGATATTGTGGAAAACTGCATGTGAGCAAAGCTCATTGACCCTTTGTTTCGAATCATTTTGATTTATGTCAGGGTTGCTGTCTGGGCACATTTGAAGGATATCGTTGAACTCATTGAAACTATGTTGGAGTTTCCCAATGTTCAATGCTCACAAAATGCTGTAACAGCTGCGGGAAACCTTCTTGTGTCGATTCATAAAATGACAACCCAAACACAGATTACACACGAACAACAACTTGTTCAGAATGGTATGAACATGAAGATTCTTTCCTCATAACATCTGTTTTACTTTTCTGTTCGAAGAACTGGATCGTCTGCTAGTGGAATTAATTCCAAATCTCTGCACAATTATTAACACATCGGCAAGTCGCTCATTAGCACAAGTTGCTCTCGATACCGTCAAGAGTGTCTTAGACGAAGTGAAACTAGATATGCTGAAACATGTCACTTTACTGGAGAAAATTGCTCATTCTGTTCAGAAAGTTCTCAATTACAAAGTAAGTTCATGATAGACAGACAAAAACCTATCTGTACGTCTTTTCTTTCTCAGACGAAATGCCAACAAGACGATGATGACGAGAATGAAGACGGTGGTGATGGTCGAGAACAGGATGGTCGCGATGATGCCGAATACGATGCCATGCTAATATCAACTGGTGGTGATCTCTTACCCATATTAACATCGATTGCATGTACTGGTAAAGTCTCGTTTCTTCCCGTGTATCTCTCATCCATAATTCCAAAATTACAAAAACGTCTGGTATGTTTGCTTCTCTTCGTATGAAATCTTCGAAATCGATTTGTTTTACTCTATTGTAGAGACATCAAGCAAGTGTTTCGGACCGTTCATTTGTTATCGGTGTTCTTGCTGAAACAGTGCAAAATATGAATGATGCATTGATTGCACCTCATTTACAATCCCTCTTTACAAGTACGTCAAACCATCAGGCTTTAAAACAGGTAAAATACGCCTTTGTTTTCTAGTGTTTTATCAATACTTAATTGATGACGATGAAGAAGTACGTACGAACGCTTGCTTTGGCATGGGTGTACTCTGTGCAGTTGCCAATCAGCAATTACTTGGACAATACGAAACAATCCTCAGCCGTCTTTCTCAAGCTCTAATAAAAGAAACCAATCGAAGAATGATCGATAATATATGCAGTTGTCTCTGTCGAATGATTGTTGTTTCACCCAAGCACGTTCCGCTGGGACAAGTAAATATTTGACTTTTTTTGTTGTATTGGAAGAGTCGAAGCAATCAATCATTGTAAATTCTAGGTTCTACCAGTTCTTTTTCAACATTTGCCACTACAAGAAGATTTCGCTGAAGCCAATTCAGTTTTCACCTGTCTCAATCTACTTTACCAACATCTTTTTGCTGAGGTAAAAGTTTTCACCTTTCGATCATCATCTATTCAGTGTTTATTCGATAGATTGAAACATATCTTCCAAAGTGTATCGAAATGGCAGCATCGATTATCGACGATGAACGCGTTTTACCTGGTAAAACCTGCGTCATTTCTTTTCGTGATGTCTAATTCATTCGTACTTTTTCTAGACGCTGTGCCAGTCATACGTGAATTTCTTCGCTCAATCTATGCAAAGCATAGTGCCGCTTTCATCCAAGTAATGCAATCATTAAATGAACCGTTGCGTCTTATTGTGACGAAACATCTTCAAACAAACTAACCGAATCGATTGTTTGTTTTTTTTTTGAAGAACTCAATCCCGGTTTTTGTTATTTTTTATTTAAAGAAGAAAATAAACAAAAAAGATCTTGTTAATGCCTAACTACCGCTCTTTCTCAAGACTAAACCTCGAAGGTCAGCGGCGATTTACCACAAACGGACACCCTTGACTGCTGAGTAATCGATTGAGAAAAGCAACATACGGGGATATGAATATCGACAAGCTGTGTGTACCCGTAAAATCTTCATAATTACTCTAGACTAAGGATCTGTATATGTTTGAAATAGAAATCGTGTCTTCCTTTTGCTTTGTCAGATGAGATCGACGTGTTTGTGTTAAGTTTATCGGAAAATATCTTAGCAATAATTTGACATATTTCGTATTAGAATTTCAAAAGAAGATTATCGTGCTTCAAAGCTCGAGATGTGTATCTTATCGATACATCTGACGTATTTAATCACAAGATAATCCATGTAGGAGGGCAGATGGAAATATATTTCGAACTACTTCTGACATATACATGATCATTCTTCATTTGACAGCAATCTACCAGTGAGTATTCCAAAAAGAAAGAAGTTGATTTTCATCCTTGAGGAAATTTTCAGTTACGTTGATGATATATCATTTCCCAGTCGATTAGTCCTTCTCAAATATCGAATTCAGTGAGATCGTCTTTCTTTCGACATTACAGTTCTAAAACGTTTCAAATTCTAGTCAGACTCTAATTACAGTCGGACACAGTGACACGCATTTGTCTATATATTCTTGTATCAACCATCAAGAGGTCGGTACTCGTGTTGAATAGATTCCACAAGAGTAACCGTGAGTCATAGTGATCTCATAAGTTAATAAAAGATATGTTCGTTAACATCGATATATGCTTGAAACGATCGTTTGTGTTTAAGGCAAGACCGTGTCAAAGAGCAGCATATCTTCTGGGTCAAGAATAAATTTAGTTATCTCCAGCTGAATTGAATTGTATCCGGTTATGCGTCGCTAAAGTTCTAATTTGTTGTTTTTTTTTATAGCAATTGATATAAAAACGATGGTGTTTCGTCTACTGATCATTTATTTCTGTTTTTCCTTGGTCCAATTTGCATTAATTGAGTCAGTACCTTTGCCCGACGAGGTACTTATCGAAAACTATCCGTCAGCGAACTTCATCAAATCACCATGTGACGCATTACATCCAATAGAGTTTATTTCATTAATATGTCAACAACAAGAACAATATCCATTAAAATTAACGAAAAAATTATGTTCAAATTCTATTAATTCCTACAAAACACAAGAACAACAGTCACAACGAGAGAAACGAGTCGGATGGACAATTAGCGTTTGAACAATCATTTTCTTTTTCTTTTTTGTCTTTAAAAATATAATTCTCATTATATAATGAACAGCATACATATATCTATTTACCTTTACAAATATGATCGTTTTATACGTTGTTGCTGTTGTTGACCTGTAGCCATACGATTGCGCTCGGTAAGAGCGATCTGTTGGTGATAATGATGATGTTTATCGGAGTCGGAGCTCATTGTACACGAGATATGTACATTTTTTAGTGCCCATAGGCCACAAAGAAGTTTGTGACATTCACTTCGAAAAGCTCGGCCAGTTAGACAATAAACAACGAAATTAATCTAGAAGAGATCAGCGAAGCTGGTTTATCGAGAGGAAAATATCGAGTTTTCACTCACCGTATGATTGAAATACATAAATAAAGTTAAGCTCAACTGGGTGATTTGCCAATGGGCTGTTGATCGATATTCCGGAAGGATCTTGGCAACTAGTGCATTGATAGATATTGGTAATGTACAAAGGACAAATGTAAATGAGATGATTAATAATAAGCATGTCAAGCGTATTCCAGTGGCACTCGTCGAATCGAAGAGCGCCTGTTGAGATTTCTGTTCCGGATTATTCTTGTTTAATCCATGATGATACAGACGACTTTGAGGATTGAATGAACGAGCAGCCGGACTTGACTCTAGAAGAAAAAGTTTTCCATAAATTTTAATTTTCAATGGGTTATCTAATGTGTTTCGCATTTCACATCAAATTAAAGATAGAAGAATCTAATAAATTATTTCACAGCTCTTCAATTTCCAAAGTCACGTTTGAACGAACGTACTTGCTTAACATAACTATGATTTATTCATTATCTTCACATAACATACCTCCTGATCGACTACGAAAGAATTGCGTCCGAATAGATGATGAACTTTTAGTTTTTTGTGTTAAATTTCGCGCACATGTCTCCGTCGTCTGCACGCAGCTACTTGCTTGTAAATAATTGCGTCTCTGTTTCAATGCGTAAAACATCGTAGAAATGATTAAAACGTTGAAGACAATGATTAAGATCGACGGTATCATACTGTATAAGCATAGATCCAAAAGCGATAAGAGATTTCGATATTCCACCAGATCACAAATAGTATAGTTTGGATGAAACCCTTTGCTTGTTTGTATGTTTATTCGAACGAGTTCTATCGTGACGAAACAATGTGAAGTGTAAATTGAGAAGAATATCATGAGAATTATTGAAACTGTATATGCAACACGTAAGCGGCACATTCGAATGGATTGAATTGGATAACGTACAACGAGAAAACGTTCGAATGTAACGGCAACGATAAGCCAAGCTGACATGTAGGTAAAGAAATGTTGAATGTAGAATCCGATTCGACAATTGATCAATGTTTTTAGTAGCGGCTGGTAATCAAACGTGATTTCGAGCATAAATAATAAGCAACCAGAGTAGAGTACACAAATGTCAATAATGGCTAACAAACCCAAATAGAAATATGATGAAAGTCCGCGTCGTGATCGTCGAAACATGACCGTTGCGGTAAGAAGATTACCCAAAAGACCAAAGATGAGAAATGCAAACAAAATTATTGTTATCACCCATTTCTCGACACCTTCGATCCCGGAATATGGTCTCGATTTGCACTGAGGTGGTAGCGTCTTATTAATGTACTCATCTCTAGTCTGATTGCGTGATTCATAATCCGACGGATTGATGTGTCTCAAGAATTCATAAAAAACTTCGCAAGTTAAATTCGCTAGGTCATATGGAGTATTGGCATTATGATTTGTATTCTCCATGCGTGTAGCGGTGCAGTGAAAGAAAGTGTGAAATCTAGAAAAAGAAGTAAATGATACTCTTATCCCGTTGACGTGTTGTTAGAATGATCATAAAGGGCAAAATGGCTGTCTATCCTTTAGCAAAAATCTAATTAGGACATTCTTGGGCACTTTCAATCTAAAAAAGATGTGCACCTTCATGAAATTCAATGCGATACGAGGAGGAAGGGTACATGAAAAAACAAAAGGATTTGTATATTTGTGCAAGATCACGAACTTCCTTACTTTTCATTTCCATAATTTGCTTATATATGCACAGCACAGCTTGAGAGGTTTGATAAATATGTTTATATGGAGTAGAAACATAACAAAAGAGTAGGAAAACAATCGTTAGGCAGCCGTAATAATGATAATGATGTAGTGTGCTTGTTATTAAGTATTATGCAGAGTAGAAAGAGAATGTGAAAGGCTTTTTTTTTCAAGAAAATGATTGAATATAAAGTTTTTCATCAATGACATTCAAAGAATCTATGCTAGACTTTCTCTATATGTCTTTGTAATGATGAAATTCGTCGGATGTTGTCTATTATCGAATAAATGATCAGTTAACAAGAAAGAATGAAACACATTAGACTGTCTTTAGACCAAGAAAAGGAAAATGAATGCATACCTAAGACGATACATACTTAGTTTTAAAAATTTTTCCTATCAAATATTTACCTGTATGTTCTATATGCCTTGCATCAGATAATAAGCTTTTTTCTTTTTCTCTAGGGCTTGAAAATTGTGATACAAGTCTACAATGGTCTGTGGAAAAATTTTTTAGCGTAGAGATATATGACATCGGGCGCGTAAGGGATTTTATACGAGGGGGAACATAGCGATGCAATATAATTCGAAGCAACAATCATAAATCGAATGGCATATGATCTATCATAAACAAGTTTATATTGGCGTTGAACATAGAACCATAAAGTTTGCCTTCATGACTTTGGCCTCTTTGAACGTATTTCCGTTTCTTTCCGTCATTTTGTTGATTCCGTTCTAGGATAGGACGATGCTAATCATATTGTGCTCGTTTATTTGAACTATTTCGACATTATTCTGATCGTTCTGCTTACAAGAATGAACATTCTGCTTGAGATGATAAAATCTCTTATTAAATATTGGTTTTCCATTTCAGTTTTTCTCCTTGCCATTGTTGACTGTTGTTAAGAAGGAAGAAAAAACATGTTGCCGTTGTTACTACCTTAGTCTTGTGAAGCTTCTGCAGTGAATAGATTCTTGGCTGACATGGATGTGAAGTCTAGCGCGTATTCTCACTTTCTGACGTTCGCTAAAATAAAAGGAACGAACAGAAGCAAAAAGAAAGAAAAGAAAACAGAATGACACAATTTTTTATTTTATTCGAAGCAATTTTGAACACCTCTTCATTGGTGACATTTACTAAACTAAAACAATTACAATGAACGGCGCTTTCTTAATGGCACAGGCACAAGACATGCTGGGGAATAATATTATGAATCCCCAGCAACAACAGAGATGGATGGAGAAACCTCCCGGCGATCCGAGTGGACTCGCATATCTAAGACCACTAGAGTCGATGCTAGCGAAACAAGTAGTTTCGCTGACAGAAAGTAAAAGCAAAGTGGGATTCATATTACCATAAGGAATGCTTTGGATTTGTTTAGTGATAATTGGCATTCCGTCTCAAGCAAAGTATGGCATATTCAATGATAAAGGTGAACAAGTGTACTATGCATTCGAAGGTAATAATATTGAGGACAAAAAAGAGAACTGTGGCGAACGAGAAAGATTTAGAATCTGATATATGTCAGCGTTTATATTGTCCGAAAACGCGTCGTTTTGATCTACATATTGTTGACAGTACGAATCAAGTATGTTGTCAAGGAAATGATATCTGCTTATGAAAACATAATTACTGGTAGGAAATAATTCGCGTCAAACGGGAATTCAAATGTTGTTCCGGTTGTTGTTGGTGCGCCTGTTGTACAGGATGCATCCAAGAAGTTACTGTTGAATCTCCGCCCGGAACTATTATCGGCTTCGTCTCACAAGAGTAAGTAGGAAAGAATCCTGAACTGTCTAACCTTGTTTGCGTTTTGCTTATCTAGATGTAGCTGCTGGCGTATGAATTATGTCTTAAAAGATGCAGCAGGCACTCCAGTTTTGCATATCACCGGCCCGGGATGTATATGTGATGGACCGTATGCATGTTGTTGTGAAAATAAGTTTACTGTAGGAAACAACAGCTCATTGTCTTTGTTAAAAAATTCCACTTTTAGCTATACGGCAATGATGGAACAACAGAGATCGGAGCGATTCATAAGAAATACCGTGGATTCATTGCTGAAGCTATGACAACCGCCGATACATTTGCTATTCGAAGTATTATCGAAACGATGCGATCACACATCGATCTAATCTATTTTCTATTTCTAGTACCCTTAGATATGGATGTGAAGATGAAAGCTGTGGCTCTCGGTGCATTATTTTTAATCGTAATGTTCACGTGTGTGTTCTTAGCTAACCTGCATCTTGTCTAATTTAGGACTTTGCTAATTTTGCAGAACCAAACCAGCGACGTGCTTAAACGTGATATTTACTGCTTACAAAAAAATATTTATGCATCACACTTCAGTATTATCGTGACTAATAAACTTGACTTTGCTTAATACGCTTCAATACTCATACCCAATAAACATAACACATTGCTGTCAATAAGTGTTCTTCTCTGTTCATTCCATACGATAATAGACAAGCAGCCTACCTGATATCGAGCCGAATAAGACTTGCATGCAAAATTGAACTTTATATACATATAATAAAAGTCGAGGGAAGGCAGTCAAACGTAGTTTAACATCTCTTCGGGTTGTGTGCAAGAAACGGAGAGAGAGCTGACAGTTAATAACCTTAAATGCCGAAATCCGTGCCAGTAAAACGCGGAGGTGTTTTTTTATTTAATTCTTGTCATGAGTTGCATACTGAAGAAATGTCGTCTTTAGCGCGAGGATTTTCCATGTCAGAATTCTGAAACAAGAAAATTATATTTGACTAAGCACAGACATGTATACTATGTAATCAACATTTCCTTCTTATCAAAGCTTTCTTATGAAAGAAACAGAAATTAGTAGTATTATTTCTCTTCGCTGATAGCTGTTTCAACTGAGGTAGAAGAACAAAAACATTATATCTCGATAAACTCTTATCGAGATATACCAATCAGGCGATTTACTTTCCTATTGTTTGTGAACCTTCTACAAATAAACGTCTATATCAAATTACACTGCTACTTACGAATGTTCAAAATAGTTTCTAGAAAATACAAAGAGAAATTTGATTCAGACACGCTTATTACATTGAAAAGCTTGAAACCATTTAGGAGCGAGTTTTCCGGAAAACCAACGACGACGCTGCTGAAGAGTTCACTGAACCATTTGCTTCATAGGATGAGAAACAATGTAGGTAATGCTGTGAAGAAAGCTACTTACATAGGCTTCAAGAGTCGCTAAATTAATATCTTGTTTTGGATGAAGTGATGGTAAAGTCAAAATAATTAAAGACTGATAATCATTGATTCTTAAGCCCCGAAGATCGCCCTTTGCGCGTTTCTAATCTTTTGCTGGAGGTCATCGCATTTAAAAGGAATTCATTAACTCTGTTAATTTAGTTCAGTTGAATGAGATTCGAGAAGAAAATAGCGTCTGAGTGCGACTGCATTTCATATTCTTGTCTTTTTCTTTTAATTGACGTAAGACATTTATCGAGGTTGATGTGAGGATTGTTCGAGCCAATAATCAAGATTAAAGCAGTCCCTTGCCGGAAGAGCAATGCGAATGACAGAGCATCTGTATTTCTGACTTTAGATCATTCTCATTAAACTATAATATATGCTCTTTGAGAGCCTCGATACCAAGTGAATCACGAGATCTAGTAGACGCGGAGGAAACAGCTCCGCGCGTCCAACAACATGCTTCTTCATAAATGTTTCTATTTTCATTTGATTACAAGATACATACGAAACGAATGTCTTCGCACGGAGTTTACTGGATAAGACATTATCATTGAGTTTTAGATAGCATAAACAATCGGTTCGAAATACTTCTGCAATTATCCGCTTTTTATTAAAAAACATTTGACTGCAAGCGAACGTTGTCTAACAGACAATTCATCTGTAATTATTTTATGCTCTCATGTGAGAGACCAATTTACTATCCTCTCGTATGTCGTGACGCTGTCGAATCTGTTTAACAACATACAATTAAACTGTGAATATTATCTCCTTCGAAATCTCTTCAATCGAAGCCCAATGCTTATGGAAAAGCGAATCCATATGTTCCATACAATGCATTGAATCGACATGTACTACTACTGACCTCTCGAACGATCGACAACAGCGCACTTTATCCGAATGTTTCATTCGTTCGTTGAATATCCTGAAAGTGAATTAAATGCATACATACACACTAAACTTTATCTCACAAAACGCTAATCTGATGCTACTTGCAGTTAACGTTGTACGTTGAATAAAGGGATAAAATAAAAGGCGTTCTTTGCGTTCTTTTATTGGAAGTTTTTTTCCCAGTAGTTGCATCATATATATGAAATTATATTACATTTATCTTCATTTGTTTAGTTTTATTTCTTGACTATCGCACCAAAGAATGATCTCCGGCAAGATTATTTTGAAATCAGGAACGCATCTAACGCTCAATCAAAGGTAATTAGTTGAAGATTAATGCTATTATATGACAAAGAGAACCGTCGTTCGATTAGATTCAGTGAAATTGCCAAGCGCACACCGACACAACCACGTATCGAGCAGCAAACGAATGTTATAATTCCTAGTTCTAGACAAGAATTATTTCGTAATAAACGACCAGTAGCATTGAGTATTGCACAGCGGTTGAAAAAGGTAGATATTTGTTAATGTGGAAAATGATCGACATTTGATTGCTCCTTTTTTTTATAGCGAAGTATCAACTACCGAATTGCCGCAAACATCAATCGTCAAACGGCAGCAGCGACTTCGGGTAGAGGACGTATTTTTCAACGTCTTACTCCTTCAAGTCGTCGTCGGGGTCGTGGTGGAAATCATTTAGGCGCCAATGCGTATTTATTCGGCGGACAAAATGGTATGGGCATACGTCTTCGTGGACAAGGTCGAATCGGTGGAAGTGCGTGATCAATCGAACCGTATTGTTTTTGCTCAACTGAAATTCTCATTCTAGCGCGAGCATTTCGTCCTCGAACACGTGGCTATTTGAATAACAATGCCATTAGTCGCATAAGTAACTATTCATCACGTGGCAACCGAAATAATCGTGGTCGACGAAATGGCAATCCGAGCAACAGCAACGGCAACAAGAATAATTTCAACCGGTAAAGGAAATCTTCCACTGTGCCGTTTTATCTCATCCGTATGTGTAGATCGAATCGAAATCGAGGTGGTAAAAATGCGAACAATCGTGGACGTGCTAGAATCAATCCAAATCGTAACGTAACAAAAGAAGGTCTCGATAATGAACTCGAAAAATACATGTCTCACACCAAACTCGAAAACGAAGCAGTAGATATGAATGCAGTCTAAGCCATGATATCATTTGTTCATTTTCTAAACATTGATCAAGCCAACTCGATCGGTGCTTATTTACTTTATGTATCTACTTCGCATGTGTGTGTGACACAGAATGTACCAACCAACGGTAGACTCTTGTCCATCTCTCTCTCTCTCTCTCTCTCTCTTGTTCTTGTTCTATGCACTTTTCTTTTCTTTTGTTTTTTCACTATTTGCCAACGTATTACGAGATTATATTTCATTGGAATCATCGTCACCATTAGAACAACTGAATGATGGCCGAGCATTTATTTTGTTTTCTCGTATTGCTACCACTCTTGTTAATAAATATCAGTCGTACTTATGAAGGAAACATTATTTTCTGAAAATGAATATTTGTGGGGTAAGATTACCAGTCTCATTTGCTACCCCCGCTACTAGACTATGCATACGAAAGGATACAATTTGATTGGTTCAAACATCTAATCATCAGTTATAGATATGATTGTAAAATTATTCTTCTTACTAACCATTTATTTCACGCATTATTCCTCCGCAGATGACGATATTGATCCAAATGGTTATTTGATGTTTTGTCCATGCATGGGTAAGATATATATTTATAACAGAACTTCCTCAAGTATAATTTCTTTTGTTAAGGTCGATTTGGTAATCAAGCTGAACAGTTTCTCGGCGTGATATCATTCGCACGAACACTCAATCGAACTCTTGTACTTCCTCATTGGATCGAATACCCACCTTATAGTGCAACATCGGTAAAAAGTGTTGCTTATCTTCGAACTACCAATATCTTTGTCTGGAATACCTAGACTCAAATTTCATTCGACCGTTATTTTCAAGTGGAGCCTTTGAAAGCTTATACAAAAGTAATCTTAATGAAGGATTTTATGATTCATCTAGCGGAGAAAATCTGGCCAAAAGGAAAACGATATGGTAATGAATAATAAAACGCATACGATATTCTTATTTCGGCGTCTTTAGTGTTTTGTTATACTGCGCAAATGAACGAGAATAATGAGGCGAAGGGCTGCCGTGCAAAAGATGGCAATCCATTCGGACCATTTTGGTCACATTTCAATATTGAATTTGACAAAGATGTTTTCTATGAGCCATTGTTTTTTGAAATTATCAGACCAGACGCTTGGAATGCCAAGTAACACTCGATATGTCCCTATTTTCAGTTCATCCATGATTTATCGTAGATACCCAGCAGCTGAATATCCAGTTTTGGCTTTTAGTGGTCCACCCGGAAGTTTTCCAGGTAAGTTTTGATCTCGTGCGAATAATTTCTCATAACTTTCTGGCATTCAGCGCTCGAACAAAATATTCCTCTAGCAAAATATTTTGTCTATTCGGACTACATTCGAAACAAAGCGGAAAAATTTCTGAAAAAGCACAAAATCGCTCCGGAAACATTACTGGCTCTTCACTTAAGAAATGGAGTCGATTTTGTACGTATTTCTATTATTCGATTAACAAACATTGTCTCAATTAATTCAATTTAGGAACGAGCTTGCGGGTACATGAATGGCAAATCGAACTTTTTCGCCTCTGCACAATGTTTAGGATTTAATCTTGAAAAAGGTATTGAACTAACCAATGCGATTTGTTATCCGTCAGAGAGTCAAATTTTTAAACAAACTGAAGCAGTGATTGAAAAGACGAAGCCAGCTGTTTTATATATTGCCGCTGATGGAGACCATATGTTAGGCAAATTTGAAAAACGTTTTGCGAAACAGTATGGAATAAAAGTAGTCAAATACACTCGGCCAGCGGATCAGAGTGAGGGCGAAGCAGCTCATATGGATTTGTATTTGCTAAGTATTGCTCAAAATGCGATTGTCAACTGTCCGTCGACGTTTTCAGCATTTGCTAAACGACAACGAGACACGAACAATAAACCGACACACTTTTGGGGCATTGAACATATTTCAACCACGAATGAATTCAAGTCTGACCTGTAGAATAATCTCCTTTGTTATTTTTCTTATCTGTGATGTAGCTGTTGCTAGCGGGCTTCTTCCTCAATACTCATATGCTCTAGATTTGGAAATCTCTTTTCTTATTTGCTGTTTTCTCATAAATAATATATACTGCCATAATCACCTTTATTGAAGGACAAAATCTTTATCAAAGTCGAAATTCTAAAACAGAACTCGAGTTTTCATGTTCGGTGGAATGTGAACGTCTTTTTGTGAAGTTCTGTTGTTCAGTGAATGTTCGGTTTCCACATGTTTCAGTATTGTTGATTTTTGCAACTGGTTTACTGACATCTGTTATTGCCCATGGAAAATCATCTTTCGCATCGATAAAAACATGTTCGAATAAGAATTGATTGATTCGTTTTTCGTAATCGTCAGGTTCGATGACTGAATATTCCAAATGTCGATTGGGATCTGTTATTCGTCGAAAAGTTTGATCAATCAGTTTAAAATTATCAAATGTTTGAAGCATATCCACAAATGCCAAATAAATATACACGCGTTGGTTGCTTTTATTGATTATTCCCGGAATTGGTAAGCTTGCATACGCTACAGAATCGTTGTTGTAATATAAATTTGTATCAATGCAAGCATCGAGCATTGCCAGTGGTTTTAAGTATGATGTTGACTGTTCGGCTAGACTATCAGTTGATTTTGACGATGCAGAAGTCGACGCTGGTTTCGCCACGTGCATCAATGCCAGACTTGTACTCATTCGAAGAAGGGCGGCAACACCTGATGTAGGCCGTCGTTCGATCATTTGAGTTTCCGACATATCTATATGTCTGATTCCAAGAACTAGGGAAAAGTCGGTGATATTCAACTTTTTCAAGACTTTCGCATCATTAGCAACGACAAGTTTTAGTTTTTCGTAAACATTCGTTGGAATGCGGATGCCTGCCGGATACAAATCCATAAAATCCATATCTTTCAATTTGCATAGTTTCTCGACAGATAAATCTCCGGCTAATCTTCGTTTAATCTTCGAGCCTTTCAAATCGAATATTTCATTGATTTTCAGTGATGGCGTAAATGCGTTTGCCATGATCGTGACATAAAGTTCGATTGATGAAAATGACGTTTCGATGTTCAAACGATACAAGCCAACGTAGCGATTGAATATCGTTGGACGACTGGTCAATTGAAAATGATAACCGGAGAGAATCTGCATTAACAATCGTGCTTCGTAATCGCGTAGAGTTTTCAAAAGAAACAAATCATCGAATGTTTTATACATTAGCGAACCGCTTTTCCCTGGATTGGTGAAATCTTTCAAATGATGATCAGAAAACGATCGACGGAAGTCATCATTTGGTATGCCAATATCTTCACGTAACTGAGAAAAGACATTTGGTGCTAGAGAACTTATTTCAACTTTGAGTTCATCATCGTCATCGCAGTTTTCATCAGCACCAGCGTACAGATTTTCATCATCTCGAATTTTCAATGTATAACATCGAGAATGACAGACTCGATGTTCGGTACCAATAACCGTTGTTTCGTTTTCAACATGTTGTCGCGTGTTATTTATGACATTGCCAAGTAAGTCAACAACAGCATGACGTAATGCTCGACCTATAACCGCTGTCTTCGAGCTGACGTAACGCAGTTGTAATGGAGACTTGACATAAGAACCAAGATGAATGTCAAGTTTATCCCAAAGATCGACATTGTATAAACACTCGGATATTTCACTCCGACTACTTGCCATACTCGTTGAATACGATATTTTGATCGATCGACACACATATTTTCGAAAAAAACCTGTCACGCTTGACTAAATCAAGTCATGATTCGCAAAAGAAAAAAAAACTAATATAGTGTTGTCACGAAGCTTTTTTTTCTCTACTGAAATAACGACTTATCTTAAATAAGACTTATTACTCAAATCCAGGGTAGTCATTTTTCTTCCAACTCAAGTTTACACAATTATCTCTGCAAGAAAAAAATACCGGAAATATCCAACTAAGTCGTCATTGTGTACATCGAATAGTTTTTCTCCGTCTATTCTTATGTAGATAAGCACTGTTTTTCCTTCATCTATTTCCTTCGATGGAGCTTCACACGCTTTCCATCATAATAAAATATCAGCCGCAAGCTATGTACTCCAAATCGAATGAGCAAATTGTTACTGACAAATGTTATTAAAGTTCGGGTAGCCGCTAACAAACATAAAAGAAATTACAATGTTGTTCTTCTACTAGACTCTCTTTTTTTCTCCTCAATCATGACTGAACACATTGATAAAACACGTTTATTAACTGACATTCGTTATCGTTTTAATTACTTATCGAGATTTCTTCATTTTACCCACGATGACATTGTTATTCTCAACGAAATCTCCAAAATTATCCTTCCTTTAACTTCCGTCATTGTCGATACTGTCTACCGCAAATTATTCTCATTCGATATTACCAAACAGTATCTTCTTCTACGTCACTGCTGTTCGGATAGTCATCCTAACGATTCCAATTTCTATTCCGACGCCATCGAGTTTCGCAAGAATATGTTGAGTAAGTATTTACATTGTATTCTTACCCAAAAGGAATGGGACGATTCGTTTCTGGAATATTTGTCTTATATTGGCAAAATCCATACATTCAACAGTGGCTCACCGTTGATTCATGTCGATTTTATTCATATCAATGCTCTGTGTGGATTTCTTCAAAGTATTCTCATAGACAAGTTATGCAAGTCGGAAAATGTCGATCAAAATTTGAAACAGAATGGAATTCAGGCAATTATAAAGTTTTTCTCGATTCAAAATGATTTTATGAGAAGTCACTATGAATAAAAGTTTGTTTTCAAATATGTAGATGCGTATAGAAATAAATAGAAAATGTCTTTTCTGTTCAAAGTACATGTTCGCGACCTTGATTTGATCAGAGATAAAAGCTTCTCTATAATCTGTTATCTATAATTTAAAAGACGGAAAAAGAAAACAACATAGCTGATTATCACCTTGAATTATTCATTGTAACTTTTGATCAGCAGGTTAGGTTCATATCACAAGACTTGATGTGATCATATGAATAGAAATTATAATTAATACTTCGTGTCTAATGACAGGAGAAGGTTCGATAGTAATTATTTAGAAGCTTGTTGACGAACATCGTTGTCATTAAACTGTTATTTATATGCATATCATGCTGAACTTTGAACATGTCTGAAGGAAATATCTGGAAAAGCGTCTTAAGTTTTCTCGCTCAAAAGCTTAATCAAGTTTGTTTTTTTACGAATGAATTCACATTTTACCTGATTGTCTTACAGAGTATATTAAGATGACGAGAAAGGGGAATTCCATGGCACTCCTTATTTCTCCGGCAACATGGTTGAACATATCGATAAGTTTCGAATGCAGAACGATCTGCGTTATCGGTTCGATTTTCTCTCTAAGTTTATCAATTTCGATCAAAATGATGTTAATATGTTAAACACATTGGCGCCAATCATCTTTCCACTGTTACCTGCGTTGGTCGAAAGACTTTACAAGAAATTATATTCGTTCGATGTGACAAAACGCTTTTTCCATTTGCGTAACGATGGCTTCGAAAGCTTTCCAGTCAATCGAGAAGTTGGGATAACATTGGATTTCGTGCAAACAGAATATCGGAAAGATATGTTCAGTGTCTACTTAAAGCGAATTCTGACACAAGGTCAATGGGACGATTCGTTCATCGAATATCTGTCACGTGTAGGACAAATGCATACACCCAAAGGCGGCTCGGCTGCGATTAACGTCGATTATATGTATATGAATGCACTGTTTTGCTATTTGGAGCAATTACTAATGGAAGTTATTTGGAATGCTGAAAGTTTAGATCAAAGAAAGAAACAAGAAGCAATGGAAGCAATTAGTAAATTCATTTGCATACAAAATGATTTCTTGACAATGCATTATGGTGCAACATGGAATAAAGAAACGTCTTGCGCGAACATACCGATAGTTAGACTAACCAAATGTTTCTTTAGATGAATTGAATTGAATTTGAAAGAAATTTTTGTTGTACCGATCATTTCGATGAATTTCGAATAAACTCAGCTGTCATGGAAATATTCTTCATATTCTCTAAGGATTCGTTTTACTAAACATGCGCATAATAGACATTGCATCGAACAGGAAATGCAATTAGTTCGAAGATGTAGGAAGCACGTTGGCTTACAAATTCATTTAGAAAAACTTAATAACAAGCGTAAAAAATGCCAGCTCTTTGTTTTTACTTCCTATGCATCTCAACACACTAGTTCTACAGTTCGATGATTGCATACTTTATATCACTTTGTCTTCATTGCTCACAAAGTCATATAATCAAAAGTGTAATATCAGGATCGTGCAGCTTTCTGCGTATATTGCTCTCGTGTAAACAGCAGAACTTCCTACACATTATTTTCTATTGAGAAGAAAAGTAATCTGCAACAGAGCGTAATTATGAAAGTTTTGCTGCTTATTTTTTGACATCCTCTTAATTATTGTACTTTTACGGTTCTTTTCAGTATAAGTGCGCAATAGAAACTATAGAGATCGTTTTGAAAATGCATATCAGAAGCAACACACTAGTAGTTTCATTGATAATTGTTACGATTTGTCTATATTTTGGGCTAGATATGCTAATTTTGTTTTCCATTCTAACAGTTTCCTTTGGATACTCAACCATGGGCGTCATGCAAGATATAGTTAGGTTTGAATGATTCTCAAGGAATGATTTCTGTTGATTTGCAAGAGCTTTTAAATAATCGTCTAGTTAGTAATACTTGGGCGTGATGGTGTGCTTCATTGCGTAGAAACAAACTTATAATAACAAATAATTAGAATTCCAACCAAAGTAGAATTACTCGTACTAATTTCGGCATAGAAATGAGACAAGTGGCGATCTTTAGTTGTAGATAAACAGATAATATTAAAGAGCAATCACCTGTACTTCATTTGACGTAATTGATCAGCATACTTCTCCTTATGTGGTTGTTCAATTTGTCTACATAGATCATCCATAGAAGAGCCCATTCGTATAATGGTGTCTCGCAAAACACTTTCTGTTAAATGCCAGTATATCGGCGTGCTTTTATGATAGTTTTGCAACAAATGCTCGACATTATCGGCTTCTTTCTCATCCTTTGAAAATTTGCGTGCATACGAAAGATAGATTTAGTTGATTTAATCTTTTACTAAGCATTACAAAACTGTATCAGAAAAGGTAATGATCAAATCCAGTTGAGAAATATCACATATGGAAGGCACACGATGTTGAATAAATAATAATCCCGAAATGATCAGACACAGCTTTATATTGTCGGGAAAGCCAAACACATATTCAATACACTCGTCATTATCCGTAAATGCAATGATGTTGTCAGACGTTAATCTAGACATTTGCTTGCTTGAGTGTGTGGTTTGAAAACGAAATAACTGTGACACCTTCTGTGAAACAATATTTATTTGCAGAGAAAAAGATGCTCTCTAAATGATGTAGTTCTCATGCACAAGTATCGCAGTAATTCATCACAGTTACCTGAAAAGATCTATTCTGGTACTGCCAGTCGCTCTTCAATTGCCAAATCGAATGTTTACAGAAAATTTCAACTCGCACAGTTTCTTTTATCAAGTTTACAAGACTATTCCTCTGATTTCCAACCATTGTCTAGATTGCATGTTTTGCCGTGCAGAGTGGTTTATCCTTTCTATTTCCGAAGTACATAGCAGCATTGATAGATGAAACAAAAAAAGTACATTTATATCTAACAGACACAATCAAGATATTTATGCAAATGAAACCTATCAAGGAACATTCTGCGTTCTACACGAGTATGTTTTAATTGTATTCGATTGTCTTAACAAAGCCAATTAGTCATTCTAAGAACTTGCTATCTGGTAATACTTTCTGTTATGTGTCCATTCATTATTCACGAGTAGTATGCAAGAACAAAGAGATTTTCTAGATGCAAATGTAATTAGAAGATTGACTTAGATGTGCTATCGACGAGGTTTACCAACATCATACACAATAATCTCGAGTAAGTATGATCGTGATTATACGACTAGTGCATAATTATGCACTTAAAGATGTCATGAGCATTCAAGTATTAACCTAATTTGATCTGTAGATCCAAAATAATCTTTTCTGATAAAGTTCCTAGTTTGAATAGCAAATTCCTAATTGCAATTGCGTTTTTATGTATAAATTCCGTAGGAAGAATAGATGAATCTCATCTATTCGACATTCTAAACGATTAGAATTAGTTAAATATATCTTTATATGTCAAAACAACAACACTGAATTAGTATGCTCGTGTACACATGAACCGTTTACAATCGAGGCAATGAATGCTTAGCTAATAATTATTTACTGTGTAACACCAATAAAGCGGAAATATAATCTGTCTATTTATAATTAGCACTGAAAGATGAATATTTCGTTTTGTATGAAAATAATTATCGTTATTAATAGCAGCTATTCAATTAATTACTCGGATACCATATTGTCATTCGCACTTTTCGTACGTGATTAAGTCACCTAAATATTTCATCATCCATTAGAGAATTTGTCAAAGTAACTTACGAAGTAATGAAACGTGCCATCTTCGACAAGAGATCATCGCAATTTGGTAGCGTTGGCGTATTGAAGCAAATAAGAAGTAGCAGAGATATCGTATCGAATAAAGGAAAACAAATTCTCATTGAATATTCACGTATTGAATAGCGCAAATAGCAAACGATATGAAGATCAAATCTTTTTTTGGAATTTTATATCAATGAAAAAAAAGATTCTAATCTCATAAGTCGGATTAAAGTCAATACACGACGAGAAGACTTACTATGACGTATTCATATTAGAAATTGAAGAAGAAAAACGTGCCTGTTTGCTGCACACATCGTCTGTCTATTGCCAAAAGAAATACAAACATTTTCCATGTTATTACAAATACACTTTATTTGACTATTAATATTCTATTAGACTCGTGTATCGCGAGAAGATCCTAATAAATTTTTGAATACAACTTTCTTTTCTATTACATATTAAGACAGGAACATTATATCTCTTTGTCAAAGTTCCTCTCTCAATCGTATCGGCTAAAGTTCGCTTGTTGTTTAGCAAATCACCGTTCGTTCATGTCGTGCTTCATCGAATAGCGCATCTATTATGAATAGAATGTAATATGATTGTTAGTTTGCATAAAACAACAGATTCCAATGAAAATTATTAATTAATTTCGATGAGAGTTTGCTAATCATGTGCGTTTCAAAGTGTGCATTAACCGTTCCGTAATTTAAAGGAAATTGTCAATTACGTCTAGTCGAACGGTACTTTATAGAATTCTATGAGCGAGAAAACACTTTAAGATATAAAACAAGTTTCTTTTCTTCTCCGTTTTTCTTTCTTTCAGACCATGGATGCCCATATCGATCGAGCTCGGCTTACGCATGATCTTCGTTACCGATTTGAATACCTCGCGAAGTTTCTCAACTTTACCAAAGACGATATTCTCGTACTCAATTCATTGGCACCGACCATTTTTGCTCATATAAAATTCATCACTGAAAAGATCTATGATAAACTGTACTCGTATGATGTTATTAAAAAGTATTTTCTTCTTCGTAACGACGATTTCGAAAGCTTCTCATCCAATGAACTCGACACCAGCACAACTGTCTCGTCTATCCAAACCGATTTCCGTAAAGACATGTTGAGTATGTATTTAAAGAAGATATTCGTTCAAACTGAATGGAATGATATCTTCCTTCAATATCTATCTCAGATCGGAGAGATCCATACAGAATCCGACCATACAGTCTCGACGAATGTGGATTATATTCATGTAAACATGTTATTTGGCTACTTAGAACACTTGTTAATCGATATTATATGGAACGAAGCATATCTCGATGACGCGAAGAAACGTTTAGGCATCCGAGCGATCAGTAAAGTTTTTCGGATTCAGAACGACTTCTTTACTATGCATTATGGCATAACAATGCGGCAAGATACCCATTTAGTGTCGTCGTCGAAGAGTCAACGAAAATGTTTCTTTAAATCAGAATAGATTTGAATAAATAAACGTTTTCTCTTCAGAATTATTTCATTCGGTCGACACCACGACTAATTTAAACGTGACTACAGATGTTTGCAAGTTAGCTTTCTATCAATACAACACTTGTCAATCAGCGTTGTACCAGCTGCAGTCGATATCTAATTTTAACTTGACATCGAAGCATTGCGTATTCAGATTCCTATGTGATTCTATCAGAAGATCTTGCGAAATTCTTCAAGAAAAAAAAACGCTAAATATGCAAGAACAATGCTATTCATATTTCGATGAATAGGATAAATATAGCTCCGAAACGATTCATCGTGTTTTCGTCCTTTACATCGAACAGCTAATTGAGGAAAAAATTGTATTTTGTCAAAGTTGATTGCATATGAATATTTAATGAAGAATAATCTGCGGATAGAGTGATTATTTTGACCTTTTAGTCTGATTTATCAAACAAATGCGGATTGAAGGTAATCGGCTAAATTCAAATTGCCAAGATTGTATTGTTAATCATGGCACGTCCTTGAGAAATGGATATATTCAAGTGCGATGTTTTTTCTTCTATTCATGTCGAGATATAAATTCTTAATGAAGGAATTCTACACTTGGATTAATATGTTAATTATCATCGTAAAGATAATGAATAGAAATATTCGTTTAGAATCAATTTGAGGTTGCTTTTCAAATTCATCGAATAGAAGAAATTCGAGTGTTTAGGGGGCAATATACGAAGTTCTTCACGCTCGAGTTGATCGACGCACCTCTGAAGCGAAAATTTCAAAGCAACAGACTCCCAGCTTTTGACGGATTAAATTTGCTTGAAACCGTATGGCGATAGATCAGAAATCATGCATCACAAACCTTCATCTTTGTTTTTTTCTTGTTCTCAAAGATAAAAGAAAAAGAAACAAGGGTCGGAGGAAGAGAGAAAAAGCAACATGAAATGCTCGCTCTTCAATACAAAAACATTTTTCTCGTCTACCATGGCTGAACACATTGATGGCAATCGATTACAACTGGATCTTCGCTATCGTTTTGATTACCTAGCCAAATTTCTCAATTTCACTTCGGACGATATTGCAATGTTGAACACATTCGCACCAATCGTGTTTCCACTGATTCCTGTTCTGTCCGATACCGTTTATCGAAAACTATTCTCCTTCGACATTACAAAACAATATTTTCTCATCCGAAATGAAGGATTCGAAGGGTTTATGCCGAGAAAACAATGTCCTATAACATTAGACTCAGCTCAAATGGCCTTTCGAAAAGACATGTTAAGCGTCTATTTAAAACGCATTCTAACTCAAGGTGACTGGAATGATGCATTTCTTCAGTATTTATCCCAAGTGGGCAAAATGCACACGAACCAAGCCGGCTCTGGAGCCATTAATGTGGATTACATTCATGTCAATACATTGCTTGCATATTTAGAACATCTGCTAATTGATGTTCTGTGTAATGCAGATACGACTGACGACAAGACTAAACGGGGAATTTTAATGGCGATTAATAAGTTCTTCTGGATTCAGAATGACTTTTTTACCATGCATTATTTAATCGAAGCGAAGGCAAACTCAACTGCAGAGAGTGTCCAATCTGAAACAAAAAAGCCGTCAAAATGTTGCTGGCTGTGAATAATCATCTCCTCCCCCAATTCTTTGAAAATCCTCGTTGAAGATTTCGCTTGTATAAATAACGCCAAATAAAGATTTCCTAGGTGTTAATGAATGTTTTTTCGCTCCTTGAGGATAAATCATTCTATATGAAAATTGCATTGTATAGTAGGCCTTTCCAGAAGGAGCAACAGAAAACGATTTGCTTTGAACGAGAACAAAACAAGAGGCATGTTTTCTATCCAAGTACTCGTAGCAATCAGTTCTGTTGAATAAATCAAATTAGATCGCTAGTATTCAAGGATAAGATGGCTTTGCTGATAGTAGAGAAATGAAAATTATCTTGTCAGTAGTAAACATCTAACGTTCAAAATTCTCGAAGGAAGTTTAACTGGATTATTATCGAGGTACGTATGGGCACGCAGCTATCAGCATAAACATTAGTTTTCCTCTGGTCGAGTGTATCGAGTGGAATGAACGATAAGAAAAGAACATTGATTAGATCAAATATATATTTGATTTCTTCTTTCTTTTTATCATGATGGATCAGGGGAGAGAGCGGAAATGTTATGATTGATGCTCCTCTGATGTTTTTGTCCTTACATTACAAAGAAAACATGTACTAGTTTTTTTTTCTCTGAGAACATCAGGTAAAGATTTGCATATTTGACATTGGAAAACGACCGCTAAAATGAAAAGAGTGATAATTTCCGCTTTTTTAGATCATGGTTTTTGTTTTGTGTAAAGAAACGTTATGAAATGCATTCATGTCTCTTTTATCATGCACATCAGAGAGGCTGCTTTCAACATGAAATTATTAGATTTTTCAAGCATCATGGAAGGAATACTTGAAGATAAACGACTCAACTAGAATTATGAATGACATTTTCATTTATAGCATTTATAGAGCGATTCCATTTTGCTATATTTACCAAGGCGAATTTTATGTTTCAATTAATAACTTTTACATAAAAGGACAAGGATCATTCATTCGTTCCTCGCACCTACACAAGTCACTTATTGAATTACGATGAATGCCACTTGGTGTCTTTGTAGTCGTGCGCGAATCTCATTTTCAATCATCTGTTTACCGGTGAAAAGCGCGACGAGTTTGCGCAGACAGTTACCGAATGGAAATAGTGATTTGGCCTCAATTTCGGCGACATGACAATTTTTACATCAATCACGCTACTGTTCTTGCTGTGTAAACAACATTCATATGACGTCTATTCTTGTAAATTTCTGATATTTTGTTTCCTCAGTTAATTTCATAGTTAATCAAGTATATGAAGGCTTCCTTTTCTTAATGTCGTTGCACAGCAATTGGTATTTCGTCCAAATAACAGCATCTGCTCGTCAAGAGAACTTGTACTTCTTAGAATAAAATAGACGCAATAAAGATTTTAAATTTCCAGACAAAAGCGTAAAAAGTATAATAACACACTGTAAAATTGAAAAAATAATGATGTCATTATTTGAATGTAATAAAATAGCTTATATATAAATGACTACCCTCAAGATGGTACATTCTTCTAATTTTTCCTCAGGAAATCATTGAAACGAGATCTCGCTCCATTTGTTTAGTCATGACGGAGTTCGATTTTCCGTCTAATTAGACCGTTGTCAACCTACAACTTCATCACACTGTTTCTGGATTCTTCTCATGCCATTTATAGCATCAATTATATGTTCTCCTCGTGCTTTTCATCTATAATCTAGTACACTGGAAGACCATTGACCTTTGACTCATTAGAATCCTGGATTTACTTGAGTTCCGTTCATTTGACATATTTTTGGCCATACGCATCAGCAACGTGACTATGACCTTTCCATCTTATGAAAATGTTTGTGAAAACGATTAAAAAATTATGCTTATCATACTTTTTGTATGTATTGGTATTCATCTCAAGATTTCTGTGCTATCTTAATTTTGATTTATCGAAACGTTGCAGTTTGCCTGAAAAGATCGTAGAAATTACGAACTCTATTTTGATTTTTTAAATTATTTGTGTGAGTATCATCAGGCGTCATGAGGATTCACCGAAGGGGGTAAGGGTATACCATTGCTCCCATACGATTGATAATTGAAAGACGTTCGCATTCTCAAGATTTTAATGTTTATTAATATACTTTAACTTTGTTCTTGGATATTTTCGAAAAATATAGTTAAATAAAAGTAATATCAAATGATAGTTTAATATCGAGAACTGTTTGAGAATACAAGTATTGTTTATTAATACATCAGCTGAGGTCAAATTTCTGTACGCGGTGGTTGTGAAAATCAGTAACATACAGGTTACCTTGTTTATCGAAAGACAAATTTGTCGGGCTATTCAATTGATCTGCTCGATTTCCAGGACCATTTCCGCCAGCAAGGATTGTTCCTTCTATAGCTCCTTTCAACCAGCGCATAATTCGATGATTACCGTAATCTGCTACATAAACTGTACCTAGTTCATCAACAAAAATTCCACGAGGATTCCATAATTGTGTTACTCCATTTCCTTTTCCGTGACCACCAGCAACGATTATTCCCTGTTTTGAATTTTGCATCCATTTCATCACACGATGATTTCCGGTATCTGATACATACAATGCATAGTCTTGATCAACGAAAATGTGAGTAGGACTATCTAACTGGTCGAGACCATCGCCCATACCGTTTCCACCTGCTACAAGCGCTTTATCTGTATTTCCTATTTCCCAACGTCTTACTTCATGCTTCTTATAATCAGCAACATAGATATATCCATTCTTGTCCATACTTAGCCCGCAGCTATCTATATCCGAAACAATGACCTCTTCTTTACTGCTATTCTGTTGTCCAAAACGCAGTACTCTTCTATTGCCATAGTCTATAACAATCACGCTGTTTGTGGTTGAGTTAACTACTAAATCTGTTGGACGCTTCAGCTGGCCATTTTGATCCTCTGATCCGAATCTACTGGCTACAATTTGTCCCTCTCGATCACCATTCCTCCACTTCACAATACGATGATTATCATAATCGCTGATATAGACCACGTCGTCCATATCAATACGTAGACTGTACGGATGCCATAGTTGATTCAATTTGTTTCCAGTTCCACAACCACCAGCAAAAACTATTCCGTTTTGTGACCATTTTGCATCTGCACTTAAACTAGGTAGTTTCGATTGAACTGCAAGAAGACGAAATCTGTTGATATGTACACTTCAGTCACATGTTTCTATCTCTCACCAAATGAAATATGAACTTCGATTTCGTTTACGAGTGGCATAGTAGTATGTCGAATACTCGCTGCTGGAAGTTTATTGAGATTTTCATTGAGTTCTTCCAATTTAGATTTCCAACAAGTCAAATCTATTTCAGTAATATCATCGTTTGCTCGACCTTCTCGCAACTTATTGGTTAGAACGTGTAATTTATGATCAATTTCAATATCATGCTCAGCAATACGTTGTAATAAAATTTCTTTCGTTTGTTTTGCTTTTTGTCGGATTTTTTCGATTGAGTCGTATTCCCATTGGTCAATTTCTTTCATCAATGAATGATTTTGCTGATCATTTTTGCGATCGAGCAATGTCTGCTGGAAAAGATCTCGATGAACTTCGATTTTATCTAATTCCTGCGCTAATTCTTGTCGATGCTGTCCTAGATGACTGTAACAAAAATCATTTAAACAACCAGAGCACTTCGACGTTGCTTTGTCTTTCCCACATACGACACAATGAGTTCGACCTGTCGCCATTAGCTGAGTATATGAATAGCACGATAAAGTACTCAAAAACAGTGAAGAACGCAACAGCATCATTTGATGTCAACAAATGACGTAATAACTGGAGTGGTGGGGTTAAAAAGATTTCCCAGTTGGAAAGAAAATCACAGATTAATGACACGGATATGTCGAGTTAGCATGGGATGTTCATCACAAAAATAATGCGATATCATCAGCTATTTCGATTAGTGTTCATAATGATGATTATTATCAGAAAATGTTCTGTTACTGTAGGCATTTTGTCAAGCTCACTTAACACACGTGATGACCTGAATGAGCTTCTTTTGTTTCATAGTTAATCCTATTTTCGAAAATTATTGTAGGGAATGTTGTCGGAAGGGTTCTATCAATCATTCGAACTTCTTCACACGGATGTCCGTTGCTATTTAGTAGGAAAAGATCATTGAGACTGCACTTCTCATACTCGAGTCGAAGATAAATGAGGTGTGCATTTACGAAAAGTTCATCTCATTGTTGGAAAATGGCATAAGTCGATATTTTCACGAAACGGAACGCACTACTTCAGGAAGGAAAGATAGATCGAGCACGAAATCCTCTGTAAATATCATTTCTTCTCCAGAGAAGAACTTCCCTATATACTCATAAATTGTAATTACTTGGCCAAATCTCTTCTTAGGGCATGAAAAAAATCTCTTTTATCCAGAAATATCTTTTCGTCTTGTTCAGCTATCAAGAACTCTTACATTAGCAAATGAGCACCCGAGCGTTAATAGTAGTGCAAGGCTATTTCTTGATGAAATCAACACAATTCTCTGATAGTCAAGCATGAAGTCGAAATTTACAGAAGTGACCTTGTTTAACATAGTTGAATAAATCTTGTCATCGCAGAAATAACTTTGTTACACAAGATGTGAAACGGCAATCTAATGAATTATTACAAGCATATCTCTCGTAAATGAGAGGATGTCGTGCTTTGAATAGCATTATTGTAGCTTCGCTGTTTGCCATGCTATTCTAATTTACGACAAGAAAAAAGAGAGAATGAAAATGTCGGCGAAAAAAAAAGGATAAAACAAAGTGTAAACAAGAATAATACTCGTCATAAAGTTCTTTTTTTATTCTCGACATTCAGTTATGATGGATGAACATATCGATTCCAGCCGAATCACAACGGATCTTCGCTATCGCTACGAATATCTATCGAAATTTCTCAATTTTACACCTAACGATATCACCATGTTAAATTCATTAGCACCACACGTGTTTCCACGCATGCCATTTATTGTCGACACAGTTTACCGAAAGTTATTCTCATTCGATGTAACGAAAACCTATTTTGTTATGCGCAACCAAGGCTTTGAGAAATTTGCCAATGGAAAAGAGCATCAAATTACCATTGATTCTGCTCAAATGGCATTTCGAAGAGATATGTTGACCATGTACCTTAAACGTGTCCTAACTCAAGGCGATTGGAATGATGCATTTCTTCAATATTTATCTCAAATAGGCAAGATACATACGAACCAGGCCGGTACGTCGTCGATCAATGTCGACTACATTCACATCAATGCCTTACTCGGATATTTAGAACACCTGCTAATCGATATCGTGTGGACAGAAGAAAGTATCGATAGCGAAAGCAAACACGACATGATCAAGGCAGTGAACAAATTATTTTGGATTCAAAATGATTTTTTTACTATGCATTATCTCAAGACTGTCAAAGACCTTCCACCAACAACAAATGTCACGGTTAAAGAGCCCAGATGTTGTTTCATATTTAATCCATAACTTGTTGTCTGTATGTATCTTGACTGAAACTCGCGACAATTGATCAAATAAACGCTTTTCTTCATTATCACATACGACACGTGTTGTCAACTAAAAACTCACATGAAGGCAATGGAACTTCTGTATTGAGTTACATCATGTAATTAAAGCAATAGTAGTATCTTTTTGTCTTCGCTTCTCAGACGAGCTTGAACGGTGATGAACATGTCAACTACGGATTTTACAGTAATTAAAAACATCTGCTCTTGTTGTTTTCGCATTAGTTGAAGAGACAACGAAAGATTCGCGAAGACAAAACGACAAAATCAGATTAGATTGTCTTGTGCTCTTTGTTCATAGATGAAATTATCCGGAGTCGATAGATCTTGCCACGAACATCAATGCGTTGGTTAGGAGGAAAATGAGCACAGTTATTAGGGAAACCTCGAAACTTGTCCTTCATCATGTTTGATCAATCTAGAAAAGAGACACTTCATTCTCTTTACATACGAACTATTTCAGAACTAACACTTATCTGCAAATTTATTATACAACGATTTGGTTCATAAGGAATGCACGAGACTTTTAATAAAAGTACTCGTACGAATATATCTGTACTCATCAGAATAAGCTAATTCTCTCGATTTTCTAATTTATTCAAGACAACAAACAGCAGATTACTTTTTCTTTTTGCTTCAGGTATTTCTTCTTTCGTTCGTCAATGTGATAATTTAATGAACACTTAAAAGTTAACTGTATTTTCGGCAGTTCTTTCTCACTCAATCAATCTACATTGTCATGTTCTGTTCCAATAGTGATCTAATACAATTAATATCCACCATAGAGCTCGACACAGTCTTTGTTCGTCGAATCATTTTCGATCTGATTAGTATCGACATTGTCATAAACTGTAACATTTCACGGAATCTTTTTATGTTGTATCATAAAAAAAAAGAGAATTGATATGATTGAAGAGGGCAGACGAGCGCTTTTGATGATCGAAATGAATGATTTTCTTTCGTTATTAGATAGACAGAAGTATCTCCTTGGCGAATTTTATTTTTCTACTTAATTTGATCTATCAATTTATCAGCTAGATTTTTTCTCTCATCGGAATACGATAAAGTTTCTCACATGATCAATATATTTTCATTTGCCAATCTCTTAACACTGTATCCCTTCTAATCATGAGTATCAAGTTTTCTATAGACGTAGAGAGTTATTATTTCTATTCTTCTTCTTCATCGTCTCCTCTTTTTCTTTCTCTTTTTTCCCATCTAATACCAGCGGCAAGTAGAAAAGATTGTTTCCGCTACGAGAAAATCTTCAAAGGATGAAAACTAGACGAAAAAAAAACCGATTCATTCTATATTTTTCTATCTCGACTCATGACAGAACATATTGACAACGATCAAATAACTAACAATCTACGTTATCGTTTTGAATATTTATCGAAATTTCTCAATTTTACATCCAATGACATAACTTTACTCAATCAGTTTGCCGTTCTTCTTCTCCCACGCATTCCTGTCGTTGCCGATACTGTCTATAGGAAATTACTTTCATTCGATATTACTAAGCAGTTCTTTCTCGTTCGTAATGACGGTTTCGATGGGCATATGGTAAAAAAGGGAACAAGTTTAACACTCGAATCCGCTCAAATGACTTTCCGAAAAGATATGTTAAGCAAGTACCTCAAACGTATTCTAACTCAGCAAGATTGGAACGATGCATTTCTTCAGTATTTATCTCAAGTAGGCAAGATGCATACGAATCAGGCCGGTTCTACGTCGATCAATGTCGATTACATTCATATTAATGCACTACTTGGGTACCTAGAGCATCTTCTGATCGATGTCTTATGGACAATTGAGAGTGTCAGTAATCAAGCAAAGCACGATATGATTGCAGCGGTGAATAAATTATTCTGGATTCAAAATGATTTCTTCACTATGCATTATTTGCGGACATGGAACGGAGATGAATCGACAACGACGAAATCACCGTCGGTGAATAAGAACAAATACTGTTGTTTATAGAAGTTGATTTATTTTCTCGTGACACAAATTTGCATAAGGAAAAAAAAAGAAACTCTAAATAAATTATGCTTGTGATTCTTGTCTGAAATTGAGAATTATTTTTAGCAAGGAAAAAAAATGAAGTTTGCTGTTGTGGACAAAGCAAAACTTCGGATGAGTAGATGAAAACTTACGCAGAAGATTGCGATTTTCTCTTCTCGTATACAAAACATGCCAGTAGTTCGTTTCATTGAGAAAATCTTTCTTTCATGATCGTTCCTATTTGTTTTGTGTACTATCTGGCTTCCTCTTGTGTTTTTGCTTATAAGTACGTTGTCGCCTACGATCTCGAACAAAACAATGTATATATGGACGTCAGAAGCTTTCTAGTTCTTCTTTTTTTTATATTCAATCGATACGCACAACAAACTACGGTGTTCACAGGCACTTATCATCATGGAGCACGAAGTGAATGACAACGAAGGTAGGTGTATGCAACCGCATCAATATTGACTTATTCTCTCGTTCGATATTGAAATCGATCTGGTTTTTTTTGTTGTTGTTGTATAGTCATCTCCGATAGTCAATCGTTTTCGTTGACACGGCCATCGAGCGCAGCGAGTTCAGATATGCCAAAAGTCAACCTTCGATCACGTCGAAATAGTTTGATAAAACGGCAATCAACTACGATTGATGTTAATGATACGTCTCTATTGGAAACGAAACAAACGCCAATTAAAGTGATCGTTGTCAATGGGAAATGTTCTCAAAATTTCAAGACAACATTAGAAGATTGCGTGGAAGATTGTATTCTGGAATATCCGCAAGAGCAAAACTCAGTCTATGTTTCTAAGCCAGGACAGACAATACAAATTCCCACGGGAAATAATCGAACTTCTAATATTTTACTACGAGAACATAGTGCAACTGCACGACTGTCAGCGAAGTCAAGTCGACGACGAAATTCAATTAATCAATATAATTCACAACAAGCACCAGGTAGTGCACGTACTAATGTGTCAAATAACGTTGCATTACCCTCCATCGCTCTAGCAGCAATAACATCTGCGCGTATACGTCATCAAATTGGCCAACAAAAGTGCCATCTCGTCGAAGATATATCTGAAGAGCAATTACATGTAACTCAAATCCCTACAACACCATTGATTGAGCCTAATACAAATCAATCCGAGCAAGACTCGATCCATCCTGACGAAACGATCTCACCGAGTCCGTCGCCAGAGATCATAATTTTATCATCGCCATCTTATCAACGAACCAAACGAGCACTATCATATCGTGAACGTCAAAAAACTTATCTTCTCTCGGATTTAGTCATGCTTGGTCCCGAACGTTACACTCATGTTTTTAACCTTCCGCGTTATCAATCGCGATTGCGTCCACGAAATGAAAATTTGTCTGAACTTGATCGCGTTAAGCAAGATCTCTTCCATCGATACCTCTGGACGCAAAATCCTCAAGTATCATGTCGCATCCGTCCAGCTACAAATTATTCGCGTCGTGCAACACTCGTTATCTAATCATGTAAATATTTTCCTGAGAAAAATCAGTGAAATTTAATACAATTTGTTCTGCTCCAGATTTCGCCTACATATGATTTTCTAATGAGAGCGGCTTGTGTATACATCATATAAAATAAAAATCAAAACGTCTGTGACGTCCCGCCGATGGACGACAAATGAGCTCGTTAAAACGGCTCTGCAGGAGAGTGTGAAACATTATCGGCATGCTTCAATGAAGTGAGTGAGTGAGTGAAGAGCAGATGATTATGCACACCAGAGAGAAGGAAACAGGGAGAGAGAAGGAGAAAGGAGAGAGAAGGAAGAACAATCATGTTCGTTCATTCTACTTTCAATTGATCTTACTCATTCATATAGACAATCGAAAAAGCATCCGTACAAGCATTTCATATGTACAATGCCAGAAGAAATCGAAAAGAATAAACCGTAAGTTGTTCAATGATGATCGAACTATTCCGTTGAAGTTCTATTCGATATTTTTGCATAGTCTTCTATTACCAATTGAAAGCCAAGATCAATTTGAATTTTATATTGAAATCACTTCAACTCCGAAAACAAAATTCATCCCGCCAACGTCATCAACACCTGTCAAAAAGTCTGCTTCTCCGTCGTCGTCGCGTTCCAATAAGAACAATGTTAACAACACTCGGACTTCTGTTCGTTCTCGCCGAACACTAAAACGTACTTATTGTAAAAGTGCGATATTCTTTCGTCAATTAAAACGGACGTTTCTGTAAATATTTATTACAAAAAAACTTCAACGATTGAAATGCAGTGCGTATTTTTGTTTTCGTTCCATAAAGAAAAATAATAAATCGTCGATGACCTAACTTTTCCTTGTGAGTCTTTCGGATTGATCTTAATGATTGATAAAAATGTTCAATGATCGTAATCGATTGGCGTCTAACTGTGAAGTAACATCAAAGAGAAGAAGACAAACTTTTATAGCGTTCAATTTGAATATCATAAAGAGGAGCAAGTGAAAAGGAAGAGACGGAGATGTTTTTCAAATTCTTCGTTATTATTCAAATCACACTAGTCAATCACAGGTTTTATTTATCGAAAGAAAAATAAATTACAAATTGGATAAAAATCATCAAAACAAGTTCATTCATTCATTCGAGTTCATATTCCATCAGTTGATGACGGTGGCGAAACTTTCCGTTTGATCATGAATATCACAGCAGTGACTCCTACGATGGCTGGTAATGCTAAACTAACGATTAATGCCACAGTGACGAAACCAGCAGTGGAATCAGGCTCGAGTAGATCAAGGCCAGCGGTAAATTGAACGAATGTGTAGTTTGTTTTAGTGAAAAATCCTATTACAAGAAAAGCAGGTTTTTAGATAGAGACAACGCGATTTTCTTCGGTAAATACCGTCGTTTGCTTGGCCAAGTGAAACGTTGAATGCAGATACAACTGGAACTGGAAGAATAGAACGGTAGATTCCTTGGTCAATTGTCGGGTCTAAGATAAAATTATTTTCAACGCCATATATTTGCATGAGAGTGTTTTGCTCAATGGTTCGATCTTCACTCTGATAAACTACTGGTTTCCATAACATCGATGCAGAGTACAAAGGACTTTGCGTTCGTAATTGCCAGACATTGAATATACCTTCGATAGATTAAGAATAGTTTTCGTCTTGGAAAAATTTTGTTTTTACCTGGAGTGTATTGATCATCGATGTATCTTGACGAATATATGCGTGTACCTTCAATACCAGGCATCAATTGAAGTAATTCAAAAGCAAACCGCGTCTTTGACGAGTTAAAACCTTCAGCTTGGAAAGCAATGTTAAGAAAGATGCTTTTGGGCGCTGTCATCAACTTCGGAAATTTGCTATCACGTTTCTTCGTACCGTCGTAAACAATGTCAACTGTTAGTGTTCCATTTATCTAGAAACAAACGAGAACTAACTTGTGCGTGAGAAACATATTTATTTCAAACCATTTCCAATGGTAACACGAATGTTGGCTGCTCGGTAGGTTGTTTAACAAACGTCACATTATTTGTCAGGATGTCTTTGATCCAGTGTGACGCAGTTATGTTGTCGTTGTCAGTCAATTTACCATCATCGTCAATATCGATAAATTCAATTATACGCCGAAGAACAATAAAGAAAGAATTGGTAGGTTTGACACCATCGAATGTGATGGCACCCGTATAGTTCTTGGCAAAGAGACGGGGATAATTAATTGTTGCGTTTTCACCCTTGGCTGTTTCAAATATACCAATAGTTAATTCATCGAATGATGAATATATCATATGAATAGTACTATCACCAACAGAATTAGCGACATAGTATAGAGCTGTATGATCAAAGTCATTACATTGAGGTAACTGACAGCCAGGATTCATGGTGAATGGTATGGAAGCATAGATGCAATTTTGAAGAAGAAAACAAATGCAAATTAGGATGAAACGAGAGGTCATGATGGAATAGATCTGAAACACGAGAGAAATCAGGTAGATCTTGTTCAAAGTTTTACTATTCCTTCAGTCGATAATCGTAATCATTCTCTTCTGAATGGTTTACCAACACTCTCTTACGTCATCTTGTTTTGAATGGAGATGCACTTTTCATTAATACTCATCCCTATTGTATTTATCGAAGTGCTTTTTGATCCTTTTACATCGAGAAGGATTTGCCTCATCTGTCATGGCCAGAGTGCTTGCTGCCGGTATTTCTTTCAATTGGTTAAGCGACACATTTGTAGCAGAGCAAACGTTTCATGAGCATTCATCCGTACTTTTGATTAGAAAATCAGTTCAATCATATGTTAGCTTTATCAAACATTCCCATGGTCTCTTATTTGCATATTCGTATGCTGATTTCAATCATTGTGACATTTATTTTCGAAATCTTGTTTTCTAGCAGCTTCTGTCGAGTTTAATAAGCGAAAATAACACATGTCTCTGATTTAAAAACAAAAGAATTTCCTAAATGCAATCGACACAATCAATCACCTCATATTGCTCATTCAAATTTTGTATCACAGTGAACATGATCTAAAATATAGAAAATAAACACAGATTTATTCGTTGAGTTCAACAATAATCGGCTTTTCGTCGTCGGGCTCGTCGTCGAACGTCCATTTGTATGTTTCATTTAAGAACTTTTTCATTTTCTCTGCACGAGCAAGTAATTTCTCTGTATCACTACCTTCCATTTGTTCATTATCATTGAAAGCCGATAAATTAACGAAGAGATTCTCCAAAGATTTGTAAATATAATTCTCTTGTTGATCAATATCGACAAAGAAGTGTTCACCGGTCGCTGAATCTGCTGAGAAGTATTTCAACTGGAAGTAAATTGTTTGAAGGAAATCAATGTAAACATTTGGCCAACGACGAAATGCTTTTTGACATGAACAAATAAGACGAAATAAAGATTTCCACTGTTCGAAACCATCGTATAAATGCCCGAGAAAAAATACGATGAAACTCATTTGTAATTCGCACAAAAGTCCATGAATATCTGAATCGAAGCGTTCAAGACAGATTCTTTCTAATTCGTCCGTTCGATCAAGTTTCGACTGGGTTAAATCCGAACCCGAATAATCACTGGACTTCTTCTCAATCGCTGTAAATCGAAGAGCAAACTGGGGATCGGCCGTCATTTTCGGTAGACGAGATTCTGCTTCGGTTAAATTCTTTGGAACTGTGCACTCATGGGTTGTTTTCTTATGTTCATTCGGATTGTAAACATTAGCCGAACAAATCTGGCCATTAGACGGAAGAAGTTTTTCGAGAAAATCATATCGTAAATGATTGGATAACGACAACCACTGACGGTAAGTATCTAACGGATAGGCTCCGAGTAAACGATCCATATCATAACGTTGATTACGACGAGCTTCATATTCATCAGGGGTTAGATGTTCACGTTGAAAAAGGTTTTGCGTTGGTGACCAACGCATTATAACTATCATTTGATTCGCTTGTTGGAAGTTGATAAAGAAACTTTGCCGAGGAGATAATTCTTTCGTTAAAGAATCACGCTCACTGTAATAGCAAAAATGTACACCGGGTGGAATCATTTTAACTCCATGAAATTGTGAACCGATTTGCCAAAAGTGCATGTCGATCCCGAATTCCATCTCTTTCGGGGCATCGAGCATGAGAAGAATGCCGCCGGATTCAAAAAGCTGACGCGCTTGGTCAGAATTCATATCTGAAAAACACAAAAGGACTTTTATGAGAAAGGGCTGTTTAGCCAGCAGTAGGATCAAGTGGCAGGTTTCTGCACATGATCGATATTCGACGATTTCGTGGAATATGAACATTATTAAAATAGGATTGTTCATTTTTGAGAATCTCATGTGTGAAGTCAAATCGCGCGAAGTCTCTAAACGAAATAAAACACATCGGTATCTTAATGTTTAATTTCAACAAAGGCAAGTACTTCAAAATATAGAGTGATTTAGGTTTGAGAAGAAGATCCACTGTCATGGATTTATCATCTTTATGCACCAATCTCATCACACTTGTTGAAAGGAATGATAAGCCGGCGATAGTCGTGCCACAATACTAAAGAGCAACGGTGTCGGAAGTATCACAGTAAGCATCATCCTACTCGAATAGCATCGATATGTGGTTTGATATATCCATCTTTGGCAATATCGAGAACATGAACATGTACCAAAGTTTGTGTTGGATCATCGAATGCAAATTGACGAATGCGTGACAAGACTTGCTGATTTTCTTGTGTCCATTCAGTTTTCTCGGCTTCGCGATAACCATGAATAGCCTAAATAATCAAACGAAACAACTCGATTCAGTGAAAGCGCATTTCAAACCTACATACGCCGTCCCAATGTGAATATTCGTAACGTTTACGTTTCATAAAACCATCTACTTCTTTTAATAAGTTGTTATATTCATCATCGGTTAGATAATCATTGACGACACGTAGTGAACTAGGTTGTTTGTGAAAAAGATCTGCTGTTTTTTGAGAACCATAGACAATATATGGCGAATTCGTTTGACTTGAATACAATCGATGCAGATGTTGTTTCATCAACTACAAAACATGAGATTTTCTCTCTTAAAATTCCAGTTTCCTAGTTACCTGCTTGATCATAATACCGCCGAGAATCATTCTATCTGAAATCGTCAATATTTCTATCTAAAACCATAACAATAGGTGAGATTTATTTTCCTAATCGTTTTCGTTTCTGCGAAGGTCCAAATTTGCTTTTCACTTTCGAGATTTCTTTCTCCGACAATTTCAAAACACCTCCTTGAAATTTACCAACGGATGAAAAACGCATCGAACCAACGTCACCTTCGCCAATACGTTTTTGTTTTGCTCGTTGAAACGGTTTCTTACTACTATTTGGATTCTTATGAAATAAATCGCCAAGTAACCGAGCCTAAACGAATCGATAAAGATAAATTTACACAAGAAATGTATGGCACATGAATACATACGTTTTCTTCGTCTTCTTTTTCTTTCTGCTTCTTCGCTCGATTCTGTTCAATTAGTTCACGATAATTGATGAATTTTTGTTTGGGTGGCTATTAGAATATGATGATGTTTTAGTTTGGCTTAAGGAATTTTACGCCTGTTACCTTCGCGCCGAGACTAACAGCTAATGCCACGCGTGCGTCTTCGTATTTGCTCTTTTCGAAGCCTTTTATTCCAAATTTATGTACATCAAATCGAGCCTTCTCCAAGTCAAACTCGACATTGTCAGGTGTTGAGATCGGAGCAGTTGGTTTCTAAATCCAAGAGCAACTTTGATTAAATAACAAAAGAATTAGTTCCATACATTCATCAATTTCTTTCTCTTCGCTGGATCCCGAAATACAATGGTTTCAACTTGTGGCTTCTTCTTCACTTCTGTTTGAGTTTTCAGCTTCTTTTTTTCTTTTCGTCGAGCATTTTTACTCTTGACTTCTTCGTCGCTGTCAAAATCGGGTTCATCGAACAGGATCGTCTTGATATCATCAACATGCCTCGACATAATCGAAATCTACAATATTAAGGTAATGCATACACGAAATGACCTGCAAAAAAGTGAAAGTCCTATTTCTTATCATCTGTGACTCATGAGCGAACGAATAGACAATACCGATAGATTGCGCTAATGGACAACAGAGCCCAGGTCGACAAATCCGATAACGGAATGATAGGATCCGGATCCGACGTTTCTAAAAAATCCGATCGGATTCCTGATGACGATTTTGCATTGGATTCCGACTAGAAAAATCCAGTCATTTGTTTTAAATTTTATAAGCGTTCTCTCTATCTATATTCTATGATGGCCCTAAGAAAATCCATAATATCCGTGTTTTGGATGCGTGGCAAAGCAGAACAGTAATTACTATTTCAGTATTTCGTAACAGAATTCAATGTAGAGTATAGCTTAGAAAAACAAATTCTTATACATTATATTTTAGAATAATTAACATCTGACATAATCGTTCTCAAACAGCAAAAAAAGAGAAATACTCATTAGAATTCAACGAACAAAAGACAAAGCAAATTCTTTTCACATTCTCGCATTGAACATTAGAAAAAAAAGCATTCAAACAATTTCTCTAGACTATTAACACAATTGCATATAAAAATATATATGAGAACCTATTTGACAAATTCTAGTAAACAATTTTTTAACACACGAAGACAAAAAAAACTCATTTGCAACAACGATCTACAAAGCAAAAAAAAGAATTCTTCTCCTAACAAGAGCACCATTAGCCATTGAAACAAATATGTACTTCTCGTAGAAACTGCGATGCTTACGACTGTTGCCGCCGCCTTTCAATTCACTCTACATTCAAATAGACAGTTGTTCATCCACGGATGCATAGCCTGAACTTGAACGTCGCGAACGCTGTTCGTGTTCCTGTTCGTCAATAGATGCTTGATCACCATTAGGTGGAACGTATTGTGGTGCATAAGTATAACCTGGCTTAACAATAATCGATGAACGTCGATACTCGTCATGAATAAATGCACAATTCTGACCTGAAAAAAGCCGCTAGATTCCAAGTTAGAATGAATTTGCATTTTACCATATGGACAATTGTTAGTCATATGAAATAGTCGACATAAAACTGATTTATGATTTGCATTACGTAAATCTTCAGCACCATGTGCAAATGTACAATCGCCATCGAATTTACATACACCAGTTTCTACATAATATTTGCACAATTCTGTTTTGTATTTCGAATTGCTCGTTGACCACGAAGCAATTTTTGCTTTATCAATCACAATTACTGGACCACATGGAATTTTGGAAAATGCTGTATTTCGTGATAAGCGCATATCCTATAGAAAACAAATAACTTTGCCAGGCAGAGACGACGTCGAACTTACAAATGCACGAATGTATCGTTTTAAATCCACTTGTTCATCATCACGAAACATCAATTCAAACATAAGTTTATGTCGATAAACTTCGCGCTGTGTTTGATAAGCAGATGACGACGAGACTGACATTGATTTCGCTGTTATACAATAAAATTCTTTCTTTATATATATATGATCTGGACAAAACGAAACGAATTAGTTTAGCAACACATATAAAAATAGCTCACAAATTAACGTTCAAGTGTGAAAAGCAGCAACAGGCAATAACAATTGATCAACCTAAGAACATTATAAATAGTCCGTAATGTGAACGTCGACGATTATTGAAAACATTTGTCCGAGAAAGTACTTACAGAGAAATTCTGTTTAGTATAGGCGATTGTACATAAGATTTCTTGCGTTCGTAGAACTGTGTGTATGTCTATTTGAATGTATCGATTTGTCAAAATGAAGAAGAATATTTAACTGTGTTTGTTTGTCGACGTGTGAACGTCACACTATCGAACGAAGAAGAACAAATAGATATATACATATGGCAGCAGCAATGTTTTCTTTCTCATCCGTCCTAGGTTTAAATTGCGTATATGGAGATAGTAGAACAACAAACAGTTTAAACGGACGGACGGACGGATGGATAAAAGAGAAAGAGATCACTTGTTGATCGTTCGAAAAAAACAAACGAAATTTCCCGAATTGAAATTCACAATGATAAAGACAATGATTGATTGTCAAAGAGAGTGCCACCGAAAAGTTCACTGGTGATCTGTTGTCGTCAATTAACTAACATTTGTTGACATGATGATAATATCCGTGTTTTTGGCGATGATTTTACTGTGATTATCATTAGTTTATTTACCGATAGGAGAATGTTATGATGATATACATACAGCAGGACCACCCAGCAGTACTTGACTTATTTTTCTTGATAAATGTTCTCATAGAAAATTCTACCAGAGCCAAATGTATGCCAGTGATCTTACTGACAGAGTTTAGCTCGTCGATGAGAACTGATTTTGAAAATATGAATTAGAAATTTTCTAGACGAATCCTGATGAGAACGTACGATCTATGAATAAGAAATGGCAAAGGCACGATGGATAACATCGATGAATCAGCAAGAATAATAAGTAGAAAGCTGTCTAACCCAAAGAGTTCTACATTTGTTATCTATCGTTTAGCTATGCTCGACTGTCATCGAGTACTCTTAATGAGATTAACGTTCGTACACGTGATAATTGCAGAGATTAACGAGACAAGATTTCATTCATCTACGTAGTCGATTTTTTTATTGAAATTCGAAAAAAAAACACTATGGACAGAATGGTTAGATATGTATAATTTCGGTGAATAATACAATTTCGCTTGATTATCTGTAGGTTTATGCACAACAAATGGCAAACAATGATAGAGTGAAATATTCCTTTTCAGAAACTATTCAGATTTCATTGTTTTTATGTGGCAGTTTCCGGTGTAGCACCAACTGTAGCTACAGGAGTTTCCGCGCACGTTGTTTGATCACCGGAAAGATGGCCCTTGTTTTCTGCATCGGCCTTCTTATGTGGATCATCAGCTGGGGTTTCTTTGCCAGTAATTTTGGCTTCAGCAATTTCAGCTGCTTTGATTAATTTCTCATCTATTACATGAATAGTTTTCAATTGTCTTATGTATGTCTTATTCCTACTCACTGTTATCTCCAGAGCTCATGACTGTAGTTATCGTTTGCTTGCGTGTGTGTGTAAAATCGAATGAATGGTAGATACTCTTGAGTTTGCTGCTTTTATCACTCTCTTTTTCCTCTGTGATCGGAGATCTTCTTTTGGCCGCTTTTTCTATATTTTCTCTTTTCCGATAGAATCGCTCGCATGATATTGGCGCGTGATGTAGCAGAAATAGTCACGTACAGAAATATATATCAAGAGATTTACTCGAAGTCATGGATAATGCAAAGGACATAGAGTAGAAAAGAAAGAAAATAGCATCATCCTTGCTCTCTATTTGGATTACAGTCTTGTTTATTAATGATAGAAGAAGAAAGGAAAAACATGAGACATAAAAGCGAAAAGACTGATAATGTTAGTGAATTGCTTTGTTGTATTCTTCAAGCTCTTTTTCAAGTTGCTTTAATGAATTAGCATCATCTTTGTCCAGCTTGTAGGAGGATGATGGAAGTTTCTGTCCCGGTTTGAACGTCTTTGTCTTTTTATTGAAACCGAATAAACTTTTAAGAAAGTTTCTCTTGGCACCTTTTTCACCACGAGCAATGCTAAGTAACTGTTTGATTCGAGACTCTTTTTCCGGTGGCAAACCACTTTGTAAACCTTCTTCATCATTTTCATTATCGTCAGTTTGTTCTGCTCCTCCTTCTTGATCTTGATCTTCATTTTCAGTATCAGTAGGTGCAACAGTTGAAAAACGATTGCGCGATGCATTCGAGTTTTTATCTGTTGGAAGTGTAGATGTGCCGTACTTTCGATTAGGGCCGTTACAGCCAAGTAAATTGAGTGCTTGTTGAAGTTGAGGATGTAAATTACCAGCAGCATAGGCCATTTTTACGTATTTGTTGTCGCAGACATCGTCCATATTTCGTGCAGCTAACGCTTGCTGAACAATCATTCCGACGGCGGCACCTAAATGAAGAAGTTGATCGTGGAGATGGCAGAAGTTACTCTTTTCTTACTAAGCATGGTGATAACAATCGGATTTTTTAGTAATTCACGAAGCTTTGATCGTTCACGCGGTGGAAGATCACTTTCCACATCGCGATTGGATTTGGAGCTTCCGCCAAATAATCGCGAAAGCAAGCCTCGTTTCTAAATATTTCATTTATCAACAAATACAATGAAATTTAAACAACTGAATCACATACGTGGATCACATGACTTTGACTTGCTAAAACTGCTATAGCTAAAATCCCAACAACCAACAGCTGGCGAGACCACATTGTAACTACTTTCAATATCGATTACTTTGCTTCTTAACACAATATCTTCTTTATACTAACTAGGTTGTTCTTCTTCGACTTATATGGATAGGATAAATGCGTAACTTCCTCTTCTTTTCCTTCTTCTCCTCCTCGAACAGATGTCTAATGCTAATGAATGGATTGTTGAAGATTGACAAGTATGATGTATAAGAGCAGAGCAACTGGCTAAAACGAAAATCATTGATAAATGACATGCCAGTGAAATGATTACCAACAGATAGAATGTACCCAGCTGCTTTCACGATACCTCATACAATTTTATTTCGAGACAAACAATTTGTTCCGTAATATCTAATAAAAATGACGCAAAAAATCTTCGCTCAGTTACGTCGAACAATATCTACGGCTACTGTATGTTTCCATTAAATTAAAAAATAATGTCTTTAAGAATAGGTAAATTTTTAAATAACTGAAAAAGTATGTTCGCATAGTTCAAAATCGGTGATGTTGGATTGTCGGATGAACGTCCAAATATTCGACGATACCACCGGAAGGGTGTTAAGGCGATATGACCAATTGTGTGAGATCGAACAAGAGCATAGCATGAAGCATGCACATTATTGACAATAATTGTGCCTTGTTCAGTTAAAGGAGCCATTAGCCCTTGTTTCTCAATGTCGCTAATGTCAGTAATTGTTTCCCATGCTGTTTTATTTCCTTGTTTCGATGGTATAACAAGAACTTCATCACCTTTCGATAGATTTTCTGCCCAGACAAAGCCATGGTTTCGACGATGAATTAAGTGCCGTGGCGATAATTCAATTTGCGCATTTTTCGTGCGGATACGTTTATATGAACCTGCTTCGTTCAAGTCTCGATGGAGAAAAGCAATAATAGGTGAATAAGCGATCCGATCCTGTTCATCGATTATTCGGACTTGTTGGCCAAGTTTTAATGAAGATAATTTAACTTTACCGACATCAAGAACATCAACGGTGGCGTCTGAAGGAAAACATTCCGCCTCTAAATAATTCCTCGTGCGAGACCAAGAAACAAGAAGAACATAAAACATACGTTCGCAATAAACACCACGATTTTTATTTCGACATTGACAATAGAATTGATTATCTGGTTTACGTATGCATTGACCGCCATTTAGGCATGGTGACGGCTTACACGGATCGTTACTACACGTTGGACCGGAAAATTCCGGTGGACAGCTACAGCCACCATAAGGTTCTTCGTTAGTTTGAACGCATGTGCCTATTACATCAAGATTTAGAATCCAAGAAAAGTTTCTTACCTAATTACCTCCATTGAGACAAGGATAGGCTGAACAGAAGTCTGTTGAATCACATCTCGGTCCAGCAAAACCTGGTTTACACACACATTTATTAGCCACGCATATACCCTATGAGAAGAACTAGATGTTCCTGTCAATCATCAATCATTTTCTACCTGTGTACCATGACAAGTGGCATCGCCGCATGGAACATAACTGAATTGATTGCACGTTATGCCGCGAAATACGGGTGTGCAAATGCATTGTGCTAAACGATGTTGAGCTCTAGCAATGAACAACAACAACAACAGAAGAAATCTTTCTCAATGTTACCTTGATTATTTTCTAATAGAACACAAGTTCCACCATTTTTACTAAACGAATATTGACAGTCAGAAAGCTCACTCTTACAAACTTATCGTTACCAAGGATTTGGTTGACAACCAAATGATCGAAGCGCTGTTTCACATTTCGGTCCTCGGTATTGTGCTGGACAACGACAATATCCATCCATTTGTCCAACGTCAACACATGTTCCACCGTTCAAACATGGGCTTGTGTCACAGAAACTGGCGTACAAGTGAGTATCGATCGACGTTGTATTATGCACTATTTCACAATAGTCACCTATGTACCCTTCACGACAAATACATATGCCCTGGAATGGAACAAAACTTATTTCAGCTAGCTGAGACATCATTTTTTACCTTAGTTGTTGCGGAATTTGTAATAAAACAGCTACCACCATTTTCGCATGGATTTGTTAGACAAAAAACAAATTGTGACCGATTACCCATGGCGATAGCGAACATTCGTTGGTTATAATTATTGTCATGCGCACTCGATGAGCCAAGACCAGCGATAGCTGCTAAAGTTTCAGCATCAAATTGTCGATATTCGGCCACTGGTAACTTTTGCGTTGGTTTCTTTTGCGTTGGTTTCTTTTGCGTTGTATACTGACAGAAATCACCACGAAAATTTGTCGGACAATTACATCGCGCACCGTACGCTAATCAAAACACACACACACACACACACAAAGAGCAGTAATGTAATCATTCAATACTGTCAGTACATACTCGTTTGAATGCATGTACCATCATTATGACAACTATCTGTTTGACACGACATTACAGTTCGACAGTCTTTCCCAGTATAGTTGGGTGGACACAAACAAACAAAATCGAAATTTGCTACCTCTATACAAGTACCACCAAACCAACATGGATTCGCAGCACATGGCGAAGTAGAATTACATAGACGTTGACATGTTTCACCACATACACCCTATATAAACGAATTGTATGGACTAGAAATGACGCCATATGTGGCTTTACTTTCAAACAGTGACATGATTTCTTGATTGAACCATTCGCTGAACGAGTAAGTTCACATTCACCACCACGGCAATCTTCCGATTGACAAAAGTCTAAAGAACATTCCGTTCGTCATATCACCCCAAAATTTTTGTTTTCATTACTCGCATATATCGAAGGACACAGAAAAGCAAGTGCAATAATGGACAAAATTACCTAAAAATGAAATTCTCTTTGCTCACACGGAAAACAACGCAATTAAATCTGTTACCTTCATCGTTAAGTTTTATTTCAATAGAAAAGAGACAGTTCGATTCTTCTTCGTTGAAACTCTCAACGTCAAATCATTAAAATGAAGATCAATCTTCTTTCGCTCCTCTTATCAATATACTTATGCAAAGTAGAGCGATGAATATGTATACGAAAGTTGATCCTGTTCAAATGTCGATCGTTGCACTTCGAGGTAATAGTAGACTTATATAAATGACGTTAATACAAGACGTTTGTTTGATTGAGATAGATGACATAAGGTAGGAAGGAAGTGCTGACCTTAGATGGGGATTTTCATTGATTAGAGATCAATTTTCTTCTTTAAACGAAGAAGAAAAGATCCGATTAATTTCAATCATCAGTATATTCTAATGACCTTGCCAAAATAAAATATGCTAATATGTAATGAGAGAATGAGTGTTCAAAGAAGAAGAAAAAAAAACCGAGGAGAAAGGACGATATTGATGTGCATACAAACGACATAAAAAGGATGAGAAAAAAACAAAATATGAGAGCAAAAGAGATTAAAACACATATAAAATAAATTAATTAGTCTCATGCAGAAAATGATGGGTTTCAGTAGAGTTTGTATTGGTTGGCTCCACATGTTTCTTTTCTCGCTCTTTCCATGGTGTTATTGCCAAACGAAATCTCTGTAATAAATGAATAGAACATTGATTTTCTGAAAGATGTGTACACATACCGTTGCTAAACTGCCTCGCTCTATAAGTAATTGATAGATTGCCACACCTGGGATGAATATAACTGAAGATAAAGCAAATATCCAACCAATCAAGTGGCTCCAATCGGGATACTGAAATATACGAAAAGAAAATTAAAAAAAAGGATTGAATGAATGCTCCAGACCAGATAATAGAACGGGTCGGTTAATTTTCCATATGTCGGATGAATATGTTGTATAAGACCAGAAAGAACGATGCCCTTGAAAGAGAAATGATAAGATAAAGAGAATAAGTGCAACAGATATTGATTACTCCAAGAAACAATGGTGCTGCTAAACACCATGTTACAATCCAAAATTTGCCAGGTTTACTTCCTAACATTTCCTGTATATCTTCACTAATTCGTTTGATACCATAGAGCCATGAAACTGCAATAGCTTCGAAAAGTACTGCGATGATGATTGAATAAAAGGCTACAATGAGAATTCAAAAATTTAGAACACGTCCCGCATCTTTACTCTCGTGTTTTCTGTTATACCTGCATAGTTTTGTAATAATTCAACAAAATAAACACCAGCATCAGTACAACTCGGTATGCCGATGAGAAAATAAAAGAAAAATAATATCCCAACAAACCATTCACGATGCCGTCGTAGCACTGGAAACACGTCGCTCAGCGCTGTAATAATTGCTTCACTTCCTCCAAACTAAACAGAAGCGACATAATGGGAAAGACGTACGAAATTTGAATTGTCGTCATAAATAATTACCGACGAGTCTAGGCCGAGTGTTAGTAACATTAAGAAGAAAAATATCGCCCAGACAGGTGCCCATGGCATGGTTGCTATGGCTTCAGGATAGACAATAAACACAAGTGTTGAGCCTTGTTCTGCAACATCATTAATTTCCCGTCCAGATATTTCGCTCATGTAACCCTAAGAAACAAAAATCTTTTAATTACTGTTAATGTGTTTCTCAGGAAAATTAATAAACGGCCAACAAGTATAAGAAACTAATACTCATCGAGACATCGTAGTATCTGTCTTAAGTGTTCTACCCGAGACCAATTGGACTCATGAATGAGCGATACTTACCAAAAACATGAAAATGACGAATCCACTTGCAAAACTCGTCAAACTATTGACTGCTACTGTAATCATTGCATCTCTACAAGCAAATCAATGGAGTTTACATTTGAGAAAATTCAGACAAAATCCTACCGGAAAACATTATGATGAAAGTCGTTATAACTTGCGAATGCCATGAGGACACCGAAACCAGGACCCAGAGAGAAGAATGTTTGCGATGCCGCATCGACCCATACGGACGCATCACTCAAGCGACTCAAATCAGGTTTGATATAATACTCAATACCTTTCATTGAACCATGTAAAAATAACCCGCGAATCATGAGAATGGTTAAAACCACATAAGGAAACAATGCTGTAAACCATACGACCTAAATAGAGAAGACAGAAGAAAGTGAATCGTAGAGAAAATTCATACGATTTGTCTACTTTGCCTGATGTTTTAATTCCTTTCCACATCGAAAAGTAACAGATCAGATAGATTATTGCTAGACAAGCAAGATTTTCCAGATTGACGTTACCGAGATGGCCCAAGCTAAGATGCCGTTGTGGTTGTAGCCGGTACACTTGCAAGCTAAATTGTAAGAGAAAATTTGAAAATAGTTTCGAGACAAATGTTTGAATTACTGGAAGTATTCTTGCGCTGGCGAAACGATTCTCGAATTTGCTAATGCAGTGGAACAGTTTTCATAGAGATAGTTCTGTTCAAAAGTCTTCTCCGTTGAATTTAAAAACTTCGTACAATTTGCAATAAAATCTCGACGTGTATTGACTGTCGAGCAATGTTCTGTGTTCCATGAATTATCTAGGAAACAAACATTGAAAATCAACCGAAAACTACAAACTAAATCATATACTGCATTCACTCCACGGCAGGATCCGTTTAAACGAAGCAAAAAGATAATATAATCCCCAAGAAATCACCACATTGTAGTAAAAATCAGTATAGAAAGCAATGACCGTCACAGCCCAGCCGATTCCGGCTAAGAGAGGACAGATCTTTTTCCAACATGTTATGGAACCTTGTCGATAATATTGACCAAGAAGTAGTTCCAAATAGAATAAAGGCATGCCGCCCAGGATAACTGAAAGAGCATATGGAATGAGAAATGCACCTGCGAAGAGAGAAGAAAGTTTTCTGAAAGGAACGGAAATATTTAGTAAGGTACCTCC